TTTGTTTTTAGTAAGATACTTATTTTATCTAGTTTAGTTAAAAACAGGCGGTAGATTTCACGGCTTTTGCTAGTAGACCAGCGGCCAAGGTATTATTTATAGTAATAAAGATAGTGGTTGGAGCGGTTAGAGCGGTTAAACTTGTTAAATATAGTTTAATCGCGCCTGGTACGCTTGGATACATGGTTAGGGCGTGGCCATTTGCCTTTAAGGGCACTAGTTAGCTTAATAAAAATTATAACAGGGTTTTTTAAGTTTTAATAATTTATTTTTTTACTTATTATTACAGGCTTTAATAATGTTTTTTTAAATGCTAAATTTAAAGTTAAAAATATTTAAGAAATTTATTATTGTTGTGCGGCGCGTTGGCTTGTTAATTTTTTAATATAATATACTATTTAGTTTACTTTATACTAGGGTAAGTTAATTAAAAATATTACTAATATTTACTAATTTTATATTTCTTAAAAATTTTTATATAAAAAAGCAAGGGGTTTTCCCTATTTAAATGTTTATAAAGCTATAACTTATTTTTTAAAAATAAGTTATAGCCTTAACCAGCCGGAGCTTAAAATATTTAATAAGCTTAATAACCTATTCTTGTTTTAAGGGGAAATTTTATAACTTTTATTTATTTATATAAAATAACTTAGTTATATACTACTTTAAGGCTACGCCTTTTAAATAACTATGGATATTAACCTTTACTACCACTTTTTTTTTAAGAATTACCATGTTAAGAATATAGTTTATAAAGGTGTATATATCCTTGTAAAAAGTTTTTAAGCCTTATTTTTTTATTAATAAATTTTTATTATTAACTTTATTAGGCCAGAAGTAGCTAATATTTTTTATTTTTTAATAGTATTTTTTTAGCGCAGCTTTAGCTGGTTAAGGGTTTTCCTTATAAGGAACTAGTCTTAGTTTATTAGCAGGTAAAATAAATCCGCCTTTACCTCTTCCACGTTTGTGTTCCCTTTCTATATCTTTCTGGTTTTAATAAAAAAAATTTAGGGGTTTTAGTTCTAGTTCTTGTTTTTAAGGCGCTCGTGAATAAGCCTCTAGCCTTTTAAAATAAGGTTTTAGTTATTATTTTAGTTATTAAACCAGGCTAGGGACTTTATACGCATTCTCTAGGTTTTATTTATATGCATTTTCTAATTCTTGCGTTTTATTAGTTTAATTATTTTTTTAAAAATTTTTAAAGTCCTTTTTTAAAGATTTTTTAAAAGTGGCTTGCCTGTTATTAACAATCTCTAGATAGCTATTTAATTCCTGTTATAAAATTAATTTAAAGTCCTTATTTGCCTGTCGGGGACCCGGATTAAAAAGTTAGTAATTTATTAAATTTACCGCTGGATTTGCCTGTCAAAGGCCGGGATTAAAAGGTTGTTAATTTACCTGTTGTAGGCCGGGATTAAAAGGCTATTAAAAAGGTTATTAAGAATTTAAATTAGCTTGGGAATTTATATTGCGGACTTAAGGACTAGTATTAATATTAATATTAATATTAATTATATTATCCTCTTTTTTTATAATTAATAAGACAGGGGGACGCCTGGGTTTTGTAATTAATTTTACTACTACTTGTTTTAAACAACACTAAAAATATTAGCTAGTAATTAGTTAAGTTTGCTAACTTACTAAACCGTGAGCAGCCGAAGTGTTTAGCTATTACCTAGTTAGTTTAGTTAGAAATACAGATAAGCCGGTAGTAGTAGGCTAAGGTGGTGTAAATAAGCTAGGTTAAGAAGTAATAGCCAGAAAAGCAAATAAACCTATAAATAGCCTAAAAAACAAAGGAATGTCCGCGGTAAAGGCAAAGATTAAGTATATAAAATATCCCCTAGTATTAAAGTTAGTTAGCTAGCCAGCTTTATTAGCAAGTAGTTATATAATTATTAGATTATGGTTATTAATTATAGGGGTTTATTTTTACCTAGTTAGTTTTAGGCTAAAGGTTAATTCTAGACTAATAATATTATTAGTACATGTTAGTAAGTTTACCCGCGTACGGCCTAAAAGTTATTTTAGCTTTAATAAAAATAAATTTACAGGTGCGGGATGCGTAATTTTTTAAGCTTTTTACTTATTAATTTATATATTTCCTATTTTTTAGCCAAGAGATAAAAGATCTTTTATAGCCTGGTAAAAAATTAACTAATTAATATTTTATACCAGGGGGTAGGTATACTAAGTTAAAGATAGTATAGTTATATAGTATACTATAAAATTAATAAAAAATATTATTCCCTAGTTAAACTCTTTTGTGAACTACTATTTAACCTGCTAAAAAACCTTTAACTAATAGGCTAATATTACTAAGGCGTTGTTTTATTTAGTTTAAGCCCCCTTTATGTTATCTAGGATTGTTAATTAAGAAACCAAGACTAAGAGTTTTTATTAAGGCGTTAAGATTTAAAGGAAGGAGTTATTAAGCACCGAGGGAATAAATTATTAAGTCTAAGGTTTTTAAAAAAAAAAGAAGAAAGGCTGTTAGTTAACCACTAAATATAGACGCCTCCTAGGAGTTTGGGAGTTTAATGGTTTTTTAATAAATAAGTAAAGGAAAAAGTTGTAGAGAGAATTAAGAAAATAAGTTTGCTAAATTTGTTAACCAGTTGGAAAGAGAAAAAAAGGGGTTTTTTAAAAAAAAGAAGAATAATTACCGGCTAATTAATAAATAGATAATTTTTAGAAGCTTGGGAGTTTAGTAAACTTCTAGCTTAATATAGGATAACTAAATAAATAAGTAAATAATAAAGTAAAGAATTAAAAGGAAGAGATTTGCTTAGGCTTCTTGGACGCTAAGAATTGCTTGGTTAATATTTACTAGCCTAATCTTAATTAGCGTGCCTAATTAAGTTATTAAGTTGTTTACTTAACTAGTTATGTTTTTAGATATGCTACTATTATTGTTGGTACGCGATTTATGGATTCATAATATTATTAATGTTTTCCTAAAGGCTAGCTATATTTTAATAAAGGAAAGGGGTTAGGGCGGTGCCCAACGGCAGTATTGGATGCCGTTGGGTGCCGACCTTGACATTAACCCTAGTAATTCAAACAACTTTTAACCACCTATAATTAGCAAGAACTAGGCCGGGCGCTTTATAAAAAAGCATCTAAAGTTTTTTAAAAAGAAGCAGGTGTTAAAGAAATAAAAAAAAAGTAAAAAAAAGAATACTAAGATTATTTTATACTAGTTTAACAAGTTTTATAATATTATTAAAGCCCATGGGATTTAAAATAAAAATATTTAAAATATAAATAAAACAGGCTTTAAAATAGGCCAGGGAAAAACTTTAAATACTATATTTATATATTATTTTAATTATATTCCCTTTATAAATTTAAGATTTTAGCAAAAGCTTATTATATTAGTTAAGTATATATTTATAGCTGGCTAACTTCTTTCTCCGCTCCTAATCTTACCTAGGCAGGTGTTCTTAAAGGACTGGATTTTTTTAATTAATTTCCCTAATAACTATATAATTAAAAAAAGTAAAACTAGCTATACAAGCCGTGAGCTTAACTATAAATAATTTAGGTATTTTTATAAAAAAACTAAAAAACACTAAAAAGGAGCGTATTAACTTTTTATTTTTAATTAATATATAAGCTATATTTTTTATAAATTAGCTGCGCTGGCAGCTAAAAAAAAAGTTTTATTACTTTTTTTACTATCTTACCTAACTTACCTTTTTTAACTGCTTAACTTAGTCCCTTTTTAGCAGCTTAAAAAAGTTTATAAAAAGCATGTTAATAAGCTAAGCTATTTTAATAGCCAGAACTATAACAAGGTTTATTTTCTTAATAATATTAAGTTAATTTAAATAAAGGCATTAACTATAAGGGTTATAAAAAAGGGCTGGAGTAAAACTGGCCTCTAGTTATTTAATTTTAATATAATTTTAAAAAAAATAGGCGCTTTAAAAACTTTAAAAAGGCCTTTATAAATATTAAATAGTAAGCGTGTTATTAAAAGCATGGCTAATCTTAAGGCTTTAAGGTCTTTTATAGCCTAGTAAACTACACCTTTTTTTATAATATTAAAAACTATTTAATTAACGCGCCGTAATATTAAATTAATTAAGTAAAAATATTTTAAACTTTTAAAGTTTTTTATACTCCAGCGCCTTATCCAAGGGGTTATTTATTAATTTAAAAGCCTAGCTATAATAAAAAGAAAACTAAACTAGGAACTTATTAAAAGGTTAAAAAAGCGCTATAATCCTAGGTTTAAAAAGTAATTTAATAAGATAATAAACCTTTTATATATTAAAAATGCAAAGAAGCATGTTAAAAAAAAAAAAAAAAAGTAAATTAATAAGCTATTTAAAGCGCACGCTGCTAAGCAAATAAAACTAGCTAAAAATATTAAAAAAATAATAAAAAAAAAGGCTAATAATATACTAAATAAAGTGCTATTTATTAAAAATTAAAATAAGTTTATTAAGAACTTTATATAGCTTTATTTTATTAAAATATTGTTATTTAAAGGTTTTACTATTATAATACTAATTATTAAGGTAGCTTGTTTAACACGCGTTTTCTCGCGCAGTTTTTATATTACTAATTTAATATTAATATAGCTAATCCGTGAATACCTAAAAATTAGCCTTATTTATTTTATTTTATAATATTTATTATTTTAGCTAAAAAAATAAGTTTTAAATAGCTTCATGTTTAATTAATTTTTATTAAGATAATATTTTTATATAGGTGGGGCTGACCGACCGCCACCTAGGCAGTCGGGCTCAGCGAAGTGACGAGTATGGAGGGGTAGGCTTCTCCCCGTGCAACTAGCCTCGAAGCTTCTGATTGGCTCCGGGAGCACCAAGACAATCTGTTGGTCGGAGTCCGGAGTTACTACAGTCTACAGCTACACTACTGTCTCCTTGAACAAGTCCTCGAACCAGCACAGGTTCCCCGAATCACTCTCCTCTTTACGAACCGAAAGGGAGGATCCCGCTACACAAGCCGCAGAAACAATCCAGATGGCCTCCGTCAATCCAGCGCCATCCGCAGCCCGCAACGTCAACCCTTCAACCTCAGTTTCGGAGAAGAAGGCCCCAATCGAGCTTACTCCTTCCGATGCTGACAGCATCCCTTCGGACCTCGTCGACCACCATCGAGCACTCCGGCCGCTTTCACGCCGGCATACGCTTCCCCCGCTGCCCGATTTACGGTTTGAGCAGAGCTATCTCTCGAGCATACGAGGCGCGGATACATGGGGGCGGGTAGCGTGGATTACTATTAGAGACCAGGTTCGCGTGCCTTGTCACCTCCTATTTCCAGCTGCTCTGTTCGGTCCTATATGGAACAAGCGCAAAGATGTCTGACTCAGCTTATATTCAGGTCCTGTTACCGCTTGTTCAAGGTACGCTTTGGACGCTTGCGCTGTCGGGGTGGCGCTTCTGGAACCGCACTGCATCGCTCAGCGGACAAACGCTTGGTAGTAGGATAAGGAGATGGTGGTATGGAGTCAATAACTGGAAGCTCCCCCCTCTTACGCCCAAGAACCCGAAAGCAGCTGCTGCGCAGGTCGAAGACGTATGTGGTTCATTACTCTATTTCTAGCTTGATTGACCAGGTTGGAGAACCCATACTAACATTTGCGGAGTTTTTACAGTTCTATACAGCGCAATTCTCTAACGCGGGTGCCGATTAAGGCCTTGTGTCAATTCTAGAGGGGCAAATAGTGACTTTTTTGTGTTTGCATTCATGGCGTTAAGGATATACTCTGCTGTTCTATTTCGCTCATATATCAACCAATCATTAGCTACTTCGGAGTCTAGAAGGATTGTCAGAATTAAATTTCGTATACATAAGAGCATGGCTTCGCTTCAGCCCGGCTAACTGTCCACTTTAGATGATTATAATAAGGAACGATCATCCCCGTCAAAGGGCGTTCTTGGGAGAGACAGTTGCGTATCGAGGCCACAGACTCCTCGCATAACCCACAAGCTTTTCTAAATGGTGGAAACTCTAATCCCGGTACAACCCATATAGCGACTCCAACAAATCAATACCAGAGCACCGTCCACAGTAAGTAAAGTATAGATGATAGATGACGCTGGCTCTAAAAAGCCAGAGGTATTAGACTGTCCCATCAGGTTGTTGGATTGGAGGCACAATAGTACCAGCGGAGCCATCGGCCTCTCGTGTGGCTCCATCATTCGAGGCCGGAATAGCTGAAGCAACAGGTGCTTCAACGGGCGCGGCCTTTGAATCAAGACCAGCTCGAGTTTCCGGGGTAATGCCTCCAGGCCCATTTCCCATTGGCCCAAGTTGTTGCTGTTCAATTACAGCCGGCTGCCCGGCAGATTGGACTGGTAAATCACTGACTATCGTCTGTTGACTTTCAGCAGGACCAGTTTTGACTCGCTGCTCTGTAGTATCGTTCCCATCGCCCTGTTTCCCGTATCTGAGCTGGACAACGAGGCTCGGCGGCTCCCCGTTGAGCACAGACTCGTCTCCGCTTACTTCATCTTCGTCATCGCCTTCAAAATCGTTTTCGTCTTCCTCCTCGCCGCCCTGCCATTCGTTTCCGCTTGACTGTCCGTCGTTGGAATTTGTATCTTCATCGTCATCCATACCGTATTCAGCGTATCCGTTCATCCGTGTAGCCCGAGTTCGCTGCCGTCTATCAGTGCCGTCGTCCTCGGCAATATCAGTGTCCTCGCGCTGTCCAGCAAGCAGGCTTTCACCGTACAGCCCTCCCGCGCGCGATCGAACTTGCCGTCCACTCGCAGTAAATCTTGGTCCCGCAGGTTCTGCGGGCGTAGAAAGCCCAGATGTGTTACGTCCAGATCGCCGTGGTGGTGGTAGGCCATCAGAGAAGATGTCCTCATCATCAGAGTATGTGTACTTGAGCTTCTTCCCGCGAGTGCGGCCTTCGTAGAGGGAGAATCCGGGCTCCGGTCGGGAGAATTGAGCTTTACGGGCAATGCGATAATCACGGCGTTTGCGTTTCTGTGATTCTGTCAGTAAGTGTCAATATTCAGCTTGGAATGAACATGCCTCCTCTGAACCTTCGAACCGGGGAATGGAAGCCTTTATCCTCTCACTCAGCTTCTTGGAGTTCGTCCCCTTCTCTTCCTCCAACTTTGCTGCGACCCCTTGCAATTCTGGAATTGTCCCAGCCACGCTCCACCATGTAACGTTCTTCAACGCCGGGTTGCTTTCGCGGTAAAGTCGGAAGTGTGTATCGTCGAGACCCTCAATGAGCCAATACCGCCGCTTTAAACTATCACGTCCCCAGGGCTGCACAGAAAGAGGTTGGTTCAGATCATCTTCATGGCGCGCTTGTTTGTAGGATTCCTTGATTTTTGCTTGAACGGCGTCGGAGGAGGAGAGGGACCAAAGAATCAGCGACTTCAATAATTGTAGCTATTATCGGTCAGTACTTGTCAGAGACTAATATGATGAACTATGGCATACGCGCTGTTCCGGGGACATTGACGCGAAGTTGCGACCCCCGTGCAAAGGATTCTTGCCTTCCCACGCCTTCGGCCATTGGGATGCATGCGTCTGGATAGCTTCTTCTAGAGGGCGTGTGTAATGATTCCGCCTGCGGATTGTAAGAAGTAGAAGTTAGCATCACGTCTCTAGGTGCGATGATGTGCAATTGAAGGTTTCTTCGAGCTTCGGGTGTATGACGAGAGACGGAGTTGACAACTTACTCCACGTCCTTCTTCCTGTTTAGCACCAGCCCAAGAAGCGCACACAGCAGCCTTTCGATATGATCTCCTGGAGTGGATTCCTCCACCCCTCGTTCGATATCTTGCGGCCCAAAGTGTGGTGTCGAGCGTGGGAATACTTCGTGGAAACGCGCGCGGAACATTACAATGAACTAAGGGTTGCGACAATCAGCGAACATCCACGAACAGCGTTTTAACGCGTTGTATGGTATATGCTAAGCTTAGATAGTGCCAGAGGAGACATATTACTTACTGCAATATCTGGATTATCGGCCAATACATACTCGTGAGGTGGTGAAGGAGCTCGTTTCGGTGGCGGAGTTTCGGACTGCTTCTTCCTCTGGAAGTACTTCGTTATACCCACAGGCTCATCGAGAGCCATGGGCATAGTTTCTTCATCTGAGGGAGGCGCAGATGACAATGAGGAGAGATCTGAGTCGGAAAGAGACATTTTCGACATGCTTGCGCGGGGGCGAGGGTGTGATGTCGCCGTGTCGGAGGGAAAAGTGGGTGAGCCTGGTCCGCGTCGCAGGGAAGTTCGTTCTGCTGCGCTACTCCTCCCCAGCTTCAAACGCGGCTTCTACGCGGTTGGCTCCAATAAGACGACAGCCCAGATCGAGGTATGATCAGCACAGTCATTCCTACGCAATCTCGAAAACTACTTGAGGACACGGTTGATGATAGAATTTCGTGTATTGATTTCATTGAGATCATAAGAGGATCCCGCGCATTTACAGGAGTAAGAGCCTCGCACGACAAATAAAGAGTACAACGCCTAACCAGCTTGTCGAAGTAAACGAATAAAGGCAACGCGTGCCTTGTCTAGGGATCGTGGGCTGGTGGATGATATCTGACCGGGATTCTGATCTCTAGGAGAGAGAGGGGACACGGAAGGAGCTGAACAAGATGCCCGAGGCCCATGGGATAGATATGCAGCGGCTCGGCGCGTTCAATGAAGACCATATTATGATAACGAAAACGTCGAGCACAAAATACTCAACGCGCTCATGTCCGCCATCATATAAGCGCATGCCCTGCTACATTCAAAGGCCTCTCTGTAGAGAAGCGTGAGCTTGATGATGGAAGAGCCGGTAGTAATTTACTCGTCATGGACCAAGTATTCCATAGCATCAGCAGCCGGCTGGAAATGATTCCAATGAACTCTATTAGACCATGTTAGCCTACTTCAATACATTGAAGACAGCACGCCCAGGCCAGGAGCATCAAGGATAACGTCACAAAGTCAAGAGCTCTATGGAAGAGTTTGATGTCACCGTTGGGGTGCTAGACAGTAGAGTAACTTGTGACGCGTTCTGTCTCCGACACTGGAGCGATAAGGTGAGGTTGGAGCGCAACACTGATATCCGACCGCCACATAGTCAAGTGAATATTCGGCAGCATAATGTCGCTGATGAAAGATATTCTAAGCAGATGATAGAAACCTCAGAAGCAGACCGAATAACTTGGTAGACTGGAGTAGGACGTACGTATGTTGGCGTTGGACTTGGTAATGGGGCCGACTTCTGAACTCCGGAGAAGGGGACTGGGACGTGCCAAGCCGCTAGCACCAACGCGGCTAGCGCACTCTGTAGCGACCTTTTGGCCCTAACCCACAAAGCCCTTCGATCTTGAATTCTCAAGTTACAACCCGTCAAGCCAAACTCTTGAGGTACGACGACTTCCACCACCATCGCTGGCGATCTTTCTTTCAAATACTAACCACCAGGTTCGCAATAGAAAGTCGCCATGGGTCGTGTGATCCGCAACCAGAGGAAGGGCCGTGGCTCCATTTTCAGTGAGTGCGACCGGGTTATCGCTGAACGACGGTGATATTTGCTTGGGGATCAAGATTGCTGATGAAATTTCTCTTTCAGCGGCTCACACCCGTCTCAACAAGGCCCCTGCCCAGTTCCGTGTCCTCGACTACGCTGAGCGACATGGATACACCCGCGGTGTCGTGAAGGAGATCATCCACGACGCTGGTCGTGGTGCTCCTCTCGCCAAGGTCCAGTTCCGCCACCCCTACAAGTTCAAGCACATCACCGAGACCTTCATCGCCAACGAGGGCATGTACACCGGTCAATTCATCTACGCCGGAAAGAACGCCGCTCTGACCATCGGAAACATCCTTCCTCTCGCCTCCGTCCCCGAGGGTACCGTCATCTCCAACGTCGAGGAGAAGGCCGGTGACCGTGGTGCTCTTGGTCGTACCTCCGGAAACTACGTTACCGTTATTGGCCACAACCCTGACGAGGGCAAGACCCGTGTCAAGCTCCCCTCCGGTGCCAAGAAGGTCATCAAGAACACTGCCCGTGGTATGGTTGGTATCGTCGCTGGTGGTGGTCGTACCGACAAGCCTCTCCTGAGTACGTTAACCGGATCATGAGCCTATCAGTCGAGGCAGACTGGGGACAATTGGAGGAAAACAAGCGCTAATAACTCTTGTACAGAGGCTTCTCGTGCCAAGCACAAGTTCGCTGTCAAGCGCAACAGCTGGCCCAAGACTCGTGGTGTTGCCATGAACCCCGTTGATCACGTAAGGCTTTTCCCCGTCTCCGGCTATGGCACGAAAATTGGTTCTGACAAAAATCCTCCTCACAGCCTCACGGTGGTGGTAACCACCAGCACATCGGTAAGGCTTCGACCATCTCCCGCTACGCCGCCCACGGTCAAAAGGCGGGTCTCATCGCCGCCCGGAGAACTGGTCTGCTCCGTGGTACCCAGAAGACCAAGGATTAAACGTGATATCATATGGAGTTTTTTTCTTTGTGACGGGTTGAAAAGGCTTTTTGCTATGAGAGATATGTACCTAGGCGACTGCGGACGCGTCCTTAGCCAATCAAGGTTGTGGCCCACAAACAATTTCATTGATGATTAAAAGCAATTGGGTTGATAAGAATGGGATCGTGAATCCCATGTCGCTGGTGAATTCGGCGGGCTATCATATATCAGGTTATGGGTTACACGGTGGTTCAAAAAAATCTGAATAATTCTGTTTATTCCTGTGTTCTAGCCATTGGATGTATTCCCTGCAAGACCTCAATTAGATTCAACCCTGTCAGTTGCAAATGCAATTGTTCCTTGTCAGTCCTGGGGACGTTGTCTCGGCATAAATTGACCATCCTAGTCAGCGCCGGAAAAGAGCAAGTACACAGTAGCCAGGCACCCCTACCTTGTTGCAGTATCTTGAAATATCCTTAGTACAGTACACACAAAGATAATTATACAGCTTGCTATTCACAATCGGAATTGCAGACATTTTTACTAAGATCTGAATGCTCTTCCGCCAGAGCTGCCTCATTAATAATATTCTGGCAACCGTCATTCAGCGGTATCTTGCCACAACATCTTGCTACTATCAATATATTATAGATCTTTATACAGTACACCCTCTGGCCTGCATACTCCGGATATCCAAGGCCCAGAGACAGTTCGACGTTGATTTTGTATGACCGATCCTTGGCGCTGTTGTTCTTGAAGTGACCAATCAGCGCTGTGAATTCCAATCCAACAATGAGGAGCGCATCATGCCCATTACCCATATATTAAAGCGTTGAAACTTGGACCCTCCAATCGCTATAATGATAAGTACACTAGCATTATTTACTACCTACTTGCCTCATCAAGATGTCACATACTCTTGACCCCCAGATAATCCCGCGCCTCCCCAATCCCGTCCCTTCATCCTCTACAGCCATTCGCTGGCAAGCAGTAGTCACCCGCGACCCGACCGCCTCATTCGTCTACGGCGTGCTCACAACGAAAATTTATTGTCGCCCCTCATGCGCCGCTCGACTGGCACGGCGCGCAAACGTCGAGTTCTACGATACGCCATCTCAGGCTCAACGCGCAGGGTTTCGAGCCTGTTTGCGCTGCAAGCCGGAAGAGACCCTCCAGGCGATTGCCAACCCGCAGGCCGTTTTGGTGCAGAAGGCACGTCATACGATAGAGGCGGATATACGCTCTGGCATAAAACCCACCCTGGCTAGGCTAGCTGGGGAAGCTGGCCTAACACCTAGTCATTTCCATAGGGTGTTCAAAAGGATTGCAGGCGTTACGCCGGGGAAGTATGCAGCTGCGGCAGCTATAAGGGCGCGTGGAGTAACGCCTACGCCGTTGGTGGAGGGTACTCCTTCAAATACTGAGAACAGGGACATGGACATGTTTCAACCCTGGGACGAGATGTTGTGCGCTGGTCTGGATGCTTGGTCTGTTGGTGATTTGAGTTGGGGTTGTGGCTCCGGTACTCCCGAGGTTGGATGTACTGTTGGCGCCGACGTTGAAAAGGCTCTGCTTTGGAACAATTTTGATGTTTTAATAGCTGCTGAGGCTGAGTATGCATCCCGCCAGGAGATCTCCGGGGCCTTGGGATTATCTGATTGGGTGGACCCAACTACCCCGAACTCGAGGTCTGGTGAGGGGATTGCTTCATTTGCTGGTGTTTAATCGCTGGAGCCAGTCTGTATAGCTCTGGCTTTTCTGCGTTCTCAGGAGCTCAGTCCCCTTTCATCCAATATTAGCATATATTGAAGTATGTCTAGGTGACTTCTTGCACAATTGGCATGTGTGGAAAACTTGATGTTCGAAAGGGTTGATTGTTGGCTCGCCCGAAGTATATATCTCGAAGCGGTGGTGTAATTTGAATTCTGGGAATCAGGATGCCCGCATGGTCATGGCGACTTCAAAGATCCTTGGATACATACCCATATTACTGGAATAGTGCCGCTTGCTTTTTTATCACCAGTTCGAATTCTAAAACTGGCCCCCTTAAACTAGTCCATCTTATCGCCTGTATCAGATGGTTTCATTTTGCCAAGTTTGACGAGACTTGTTCATATTGGACAAGACAGTACGGAAAGCATCGCGCTAGAGCTATTCCAATTGCCACCTCGCCGCAATTATAAATATGAAACCAATATAAATCGAGGTTGATGAGCACCCCGTATCACTGAAATGCTGTTCGATAGACGCCAGGATCGTCGAGTGTTGCAGGCCATGGCGCACTGGACACAGAACGAAGACGATCCGTGCAGCAAGCCAGCCCGCGGCGGCAGTTGATCACTGAGAGATCATCGCAACCTCATCACCTCATCGGCTCGTCCAGACTACTGTGTGATCCAAGACAGAAATCAACTGTGGTTTGTGCTGTAAATAGATCGTGGCAAACCAATACGAGTACGATTGAGTCCTGGAGATGGCCCACCAGCCGGCCCACAAATCAGAAACGCGTGTCGTTCAGGCAGCGATACAGTGAGGAATAGGATGTTCACTACTGTTCAGAGTTCAGACGATCGATTTGTCCAGCCGTCGCATGTTTCAATCGGCCAATCCACTGGGTTTCAGGCACCCACTATCGTCTGTCAACCGGTGGCTGTGAGCCCCGCAGCCAGAAAGCCAAATTCGTGCCGACATGGATGGTCCAGCCTCCGCACCACCTTCAGGCTTGCTTATCATCCAGGACGGACCAGGGCCTCGCCATCCCGTTGATAACTCGATGCTGCCCGTGGATGCTGTCCCTGGAGCAGGATTTGGGACGCTGTGGCGCTTCCGGCGATCTTCTGGACGATTGCGATTGGCGTGGCTGTTGCTGTCTGTCATTCCTCAACGGTTGCCGAAGCGCTTTAGGCATTTTTCTGGTTGCAATGGTAATTGAATTACTCCGTCTAGTGGTTAACCCAACGTAATATTATGCGCCATACGGAGTATAGGTAAAAATTAATGAAAAGGAGATAATAGTTTCTGACTTACTCCGTCGCCGGGTGGGACTTTTTCATTAATTGTCAGTGCACCCCCCCCCGTCTGTCGTAACGTCGCCTCTTTCTCTCTTTCCTTCCTTCTGCGTCTACTTTTACACCCTCTCTACTCTTTACGAAGCTGGACCTCCCATCTTCTTGACTTGACCACAGTCGGCTCTCGCCAATCCATCACCAGGACCAGATCCTCCGTTCGTTTACTACTACAGCCAGCCTACCTATATATGAGCCCGGCCGTTCACTCTTTTTGGTAATTCTATTTCTGCTTTAGCCTTTCAGCCGCCGGTCGAAGACCTATCAGTACGGACATCAACAGCCCAAAATGAACGTCAACAAGAGATTCGACCGCTTCAAGCAATGGGCCGGGGAGAGAATGGGCGGCGAAGTTAAGACCAGTGTCTCTGACGACTTCAAAGCCCTGGAGACAGAAATGGGAGTGCGCCACGAAGGTAAACTATCCGAAACCAGACTTTGGTTTACTCATGCTTATTCCGTGTGTTTTGGAAGGCATCGACCGTATCCACAAGTCCATGACCGCCTATGTCAAGTCTGTATCCAAGCGCAGTGAAGGGGATGACAAGGAGAAGACATTGCCCATTGCGCACTTGGGTGGTAGCATGATTACCCATGGAGAGGACTATGATGCGAATTCCGAATATGGACGCTGCCTTACCAGTAAGCTGCCATTTTTTGTGTGGTTGAAGGTGGATCAGAAGCCTGACTAGGTTCGTTTTAGTGTTTGGAAGGGCAGAGGAGCGTCTTGCCCGGATTCAGGAATCTTATATCGCCCAGGCGACATCGACCTGGCTTGAGTCCTTGGAGCGCTCTCTTACTCAATTGAAAGACTACCAGGTACAAACACCTATTCCCGCGATTTCGGCCTTTACCTTATCTTGTCTAACACATTCTATAGACATCCCGCAGAAAACTAGACACTCGGCGTCTGGCGTACGACACATCTCTTTCAAAGATGCAGAAAGCAAAGAGAGAAGATTTCCGTGTGGAGGAGGAGCTGCGGACCCAAAAAGTCAAATACGAGGAAGCCAACGACGATGTGCACCGTCGCATGCTTGACATCAAACACTCGGAACCTGAAAATATCATGGATCTTCATGCCTTCTTGGATGCTCAGTTGAGCTATCATGAGCAATGTAGGGAAGTGCTCCTTAGGTTGAAGAACGAATGGCCTTCTGAGTATGTTCTTCCTATATACCATGAGATATGGAACACCCCGTGCTGACATGATTAGGCAATATGCGACCCAGCCGTCGAACGGTCATCGTGGAACCCGCTCTCGATCGAACACGGCCCATTCATACCATGACCGGTTTGAGCCTTTGCACGAAGAGCACAGCAATAGTGTCGAGGCACGGCCGGTTATTAGATCTAACACGCACAGCTTCTCTGAATCACCCGTCAGAAAAGCCTATGCGCAAGAGACTTCCCCGCATCGACCTGTCCTGAACCGCACCTCGACGTTTGAAGGCTCTACACCGTTGCGACAGGTTCACGAGCATCCTGTCGCCGCTCAAAGCGCAACGCGTGCGAACAGCGAGAACTTCATGACAAGGAGGAACAGCATCCAGGCCCGTCCTATCAGCCGAGTGGTCCCCGAACCCGCAGAGGATGTTGGTTACCACAGTGGAAGCGTGTCTGATCGCTCGGACAACGGCTGGACCGAATCTCGCCAATCGCCATTTGGTAGCACAGTTTCGAGAAGGACTAGCTCGAGCACACTGAACAGCTTTGCACATAAGAAAGCACCTCCTCCACCACCACCCTCGCGCGCAAAGAAACCAGCACCACCACCTCCGATGAAGCGCCCCATACTCAGCACAGCTCAGATGTGAAGGCTCTGCAGTCGACAAACCATTGGAATGACTGGAGACTGGTGCACTATATGGAGGGTACAGATAGGGTTGTATGATTGGAGTGTAGTGGCTATCTTTTTTTTCTCCGCACTCTCCTCGCGGGCGAGCTTTGAAGGCGGATCATTGCGGGCTATTGAGGAGTTTGGCTGAATTTCGCATTATGTATTATTGTTAATGCTGCTTAAGCAACTGTTGCTACTCTTTGGTGCATTGGTGTATTCAATAGACTTAATTTGTCAAATTTGATGTAGATGTAGGGTCAGTTTACTCCGTAGATGTCGCTTGACTGTTGAGTTGTGGTGTAGATCTGGAGACTGCGGCTAAACCCGACAACGCCCTGCTAGTCCGAAAACGGACGTGGCCGGCTGAGTCAGCTTAAGCCTGCGCCCGTCCTGACGGCAAGACGGCAAACTTCAACTCTCCCCCCAAGCACCGCCGACCACCACGGAAAGTCGCGAAAGCCCCGTCCCTCCATCGCCATTCCATCAAGACAGGCTTTCCACGCGCTTTCTTCAACATCCACCCTCCTTTTGGGGTCTTTCTCCCCACCCCAACATCGCTTTTACCCTCCCCTTCTCCCCTTCTCGCTGATTCTCATCTTGATCGCCTACCGCCCTGTGTCCCCCCAACCAGTCTAAACATCACGAATTTCTATCGCCAAGGTGCTGATACAGATCGCTACTTGTCGCATTCATCGACAAAACACCTCCTTGGCCTATAGCTTTCGTGTTTTTGCGCGTATTGTCGCCTCACCACCGCGAATTAGTAATTACTCTTACGAATTTCGTTTTCCGCGTGTTTCGCCATCGCCCTGACCTGGAAGTTGTCGCATCAAAACTGGACCCGACGTGTTCTCTTCACTTATGAATCGACAATAAACGCGCTCAAACATGACGTCTCTTCAGACAAACCCCAATAATGTCGCTCCGGCGAACATGAGTCTGCCCCCGAATTTGACGCAGCAGCATATCCAAGAAACCATCCAGGTATGGTGTTTGTCTTGCTTTATTATTATTCCCACGGCTGGCCTACCTTGTGCTCTTCCCTTACTCACCCCATTGAACTCAATTGAACTCACTACCCTCCAACCAAACATCACTTGCTCTGTCCTGTCGCTGATTTTTAATACTGTTACAGAAATACAAGCAGATGCAGGAACAAGGCGTTCGCCCCGACGACCCCGAATACCTCAAAGCCCACAATCTTCTCTCCGCAGTTCAGCGACAACAAGCCTACCAAAAGCAGCGACAATTAGCGCAGCAGCAGCAACTCCAGGCTCAACGTCAGCAGCAACAGAATGGTACTACCCAAGAGTTTGCCGCGACAAATGGAGCTAACAGTAAGGCTCATCTACATGTTTCTTTTCTAACTTATGCTTACCATTGTTTGGCGTATAGACCGAGCAGTTAACCCCAGCGCTGCTGCCAATAATGCTATCCAAGATGTGGTCTCCACGCCTGCTGTCGGGCAACAGAATTCGCACAAAGGCGCGCCAGCAGCTAGTGGCAGCTTTTCTGCGGATCAATTGCAGACACTTCGAAATCAAATAATGGCCTTTAAAATGTTGACGAAGAACCTCCAAATACCGCCGCGCGTTCAGCAGCAGCTTTTTATGTCCAAAAAAGTCTCCACACCTGCGCCCTCCGATAGTGTCGCTGCAGCTGAAAATGTACTGGAAAATGCCTCTCAGGGAAAGCCAGACCAAGCTACGACAACTACCGATGTGTCCAGCGCTAAAGAGTTCTACGAGGACTTCCAGTCCCCATATGACCTGTTCCCCAAAACAGTCAGCTTCACGGATCACGCTTCCCGGGCTCATCGTATGCGCATACCAGCTCTAATGCCAGCAGGTATCGATCTGGAGCAGGTGCGTGAGGAGCGAGAAATCGCACTATACAACCGAATCAATGCGCGGAAAGCGGAACTTGCTGCACTCCCTGCGAACCTTGGCGTATGGAACTCAGGCCAAAGCGATGCCGCCACGGGCGACGACTCTTTGAAGCTAAAGGCCTTGATTGAGTATAGGATGCTCAACCTCTTACCTAAACAGAGACTTCTCCGCAAGCAGATCCAGCATGAGATGTTTCACTATGATAACCTTGGCATGACAGCCAATCGTTCCACCCATCGGCGTATGAAGAAACAATCACTGCGCGAAGCTCGGATCACCGAGAAGCTCGAGAAGCAGCAGCGTGACGCTCGCGAGTCTAGGGAGAAGAGGAAACAAGATGTGCATCTTCAAGCGATCGTTCAACATGGCAACGAACTTCGGGAAGCGGCGAACCAGCAACGCTCACGTGCCGTGAAGCTTGGTCGCATGATGTTACAGCACCACCAACACATGGAACGCGAAGAACAGAGGCGCGTTGAGCGAACTGCCAAGCAACGTCTCCAAGCCCTGAAGGCCAATGACGAAGAGACATACTTGAAGCTGCTTGGACAGGCCAAAGATTCTCGTATCTCTCACCTCCTTAACCAGACCGATGGTTTCCTCAAACAGCTTGCTGCGTCCGTCAGACAACAACAACGTAATCAGGCTGAACGATATGGCGAAGACCTTGAGGTCGAGGATGATGAAGATGAAGATATCGCGTCTGGCAGCGATGAGGAAGGCGAGGGCAGGAGGAAGATTGACTATTACGCAGTTGCTCACCGTATCAGAGAGGAGATCACCGAACAACCTAATATCCTTGTTGGTGGTACCTTGAAAGAGTACCAGATGAAGGGTTTGCAATGGATGATCTCTCTTTACAACAACAATCTCAACGGTATTCTGGCCGATGAGATGGGTCTTGGAAAAACGATTCAGACCATCAGTTTGATCACGCATATCATCGAGAAGAAAAGAAACAATGGCCCGTTTTTGGTCATCGTCCCTCTAAGTACACTGACGAATTGGAACCTTGAGTTCGAAAAGTGGGCGCCGTCTGTTTCCAGAATCGTTTACAAAGGCCCGCCGAACGCTCGTAAACAACAGCAACAAAACATCCGCTGGGGCAATTTTCAGGTTCTTCTAACGACTTACGAATACATCATCAAGGATCGACCTATTTTGAGCAAGATAAAATGGACGCATATGATTGTCGATGAGGGTCATCGCATGAAAAACACCCAGTCCAAGCTTAGCAGCACTCTTTCACAGTACTACACCAGCCGCTATCGATTGATCTTGACGGGTACCCCGTTACAAAACAATCTCCCTGAATTATGGGCGCTGCTGAACTTTGTATTGCCAAATATCTTCAAATCCGTGAAGTCCTTTGACGAATGGTTCAACACGCCATTTGCCAATACCGGTGGTCAAGACCGCATGGATCTGAGCGAAGAAGAGCAGCTCCTTGTCATTCGTCGCCTACACAAGGTTCTACGGCCATTCCTGCTCCGACGTCTGAAGAAGGATGTCGAAAAGGACTTGCCTGACAAGCAGGAAAGAGTCATCAAATGTCGCTTCTCTGCCTTGCAAGCCAAGCTCAACAAGCAACTTGCTACGCACAATAAGATGGTTGTTAGCGATGGCAAGGGAGGTAAGGTTGGCATGCGTGGTCTAAGTAACATGTTGATGCAGTTGAGGAAGCTCTGCAACCATCCCTTCGTGTTTGAGCAAGTGGAAGATCAAGTGAATCCTGGACGAGGCACAAACGATTTGATTTGGCGTACTGCTGGCAAGTTCGAACTACTCGACCGTATTCTTCCGAAATTCAAGGCGACTGGCCATCGTGTTTTGATGTTCTTCCAAATGACACAAATCATGAACATTATGGAGGATTTCCTTCGTCTTCGTGGCATGAAATACCTGCGACTCGATGGTTCCACCAAGTCTGATGACCGATCGGACCTGCTAAAGCTCTTCAATGCTCCCAATTCTGATTATTTCTGTTTCTTGCTTTCGACGCGTGCCGGTGGTCTTGGTCTCAACTTGCAGACCGCGGATACTGTCATCATTTTCGATTCCGACTGGAACCCTCATCAGGACCTCCAAGCTCAAGATCGTGCGCACCGTATTGGTCAAAAGAACGAAGTCAGGATTCTGCGACTCATCACCTCTAACTCCGTCGAGGAGAAGATTCTCGAGCGCGCACAGTTTAAGCTTGACATGGACGGCAAGGTCATTCAAGCAGGAAAGTTCGATAACAAGTCGACGAACGAGGAACGTGATGCACTTTTGCGTACTCTTCTCGAGACCGCTGAAGGTACAGAGCAAAATGGAGACCAAGATGAGATGGATGACGATGATTTGAACGACATAATGGCTCGGTCCGATGAAGAATTGTCAATTTTCCAGCGCATGGATAAGGAGCGCCAGAAGACCAGCCAGTACGGCCCTGGCCACAAAATGCCGCGTCTTTTGGGTGAAAATGAACTCCCTGAGATTTACATGACCGAGGAGAACCCGGTAGCGGAAGAAACCACTGAGATTGAGCTGGCGGGTCGTGGTGCTCGTGAGCGCAAAGTTACTCGATATGATGATGGTCTCACCGAAGAGCAATGGCTGATGGCCGTGGACGCCGACGACGACACTATCGAAGAAGCAATCGCACGAAAAGAAGCAAGAGTCGAGAAGCGCCGCACCAACAAGGAGAAGCGTGGTCGCAAAGGGCAAGGTGACGAGTCCTCGCCTGAGCCATCGCGAGAGACTTCTGAGACACCCCAACCCAAGAAGCGTGGTCGGCGAGGTCCCGCTCCAAAACGCAAAGCAGACGAGCTAGCCGAGGAGACGCCCCAGCCCAAGCGTAAGAGGGGTAGACAAGCCAAGCCCATTGAGACATTGAGTCCGGATGATCGGGCTGCTCTACAGCAGATCCTCAACAATGTCTACCAGGCGTTGATGGACATGGAACAAGAACTACCCGCCGATTCATCCGATAGTGAAGATGGACCTGTTACACGGGCGATCATCGAGCCATTCATGAAACCGCCACCCAAGTCGCAGTATCCCGACTATTACATGATCATCCAGAACCCCATCGCTATGGACATGATCAAGAAGAAGATCAACCGCGAAGAATATCAGAACCTGAGGGACTTCCGGAACGATATTGCTCTCCTTTGTCAGAACGCTCGGACATATAACGAAGACGGTAGTATCCTGTTCCAGGATGCCAATGACATTGAGGTAAGCCGTTACATGTATTGACAATTATTATCGCCCATCACTTACATGATCACAGGCTCGATGTGTCGCTGAGCTGAGCAAAGAGATTGAAGCTCATCCGCAGTTCGCCAACCTCGACGGCTCGCCGGCAAATCAAAACGATTACTCAATGTCTGTCGTCGGTGACACTCCCAGCGCGGCTGCAACACCAGGACAACCGAAGCTGAAACTCACGTTCAATGCCGGAGGTGCTATGCCTGGCATGAATGACCTTCAGTGATGTTCACCTTGGACCGTTGTTGATACATATACTGTTGCTCTAAAGATATCTTGCAGAGGCTTGCACATTTACTTTTCTCACACTGTTTTTATTGAAGTCGATTCAGCATGTACTATTCCACTGGGACCCGTGGCGGCGTTATGTGACTGGGCGGCAAATAAGCTATGCTGGCTGACGGCGCTGTCCGATTCTTTTCTCTTCTATGGACGAAAGGGAAGTGTTTCACCAATATGTCTATTTAGTGGTATTCGGTTTCCTCTTCTTTGCTTGCCTTTTAGTGCTTTTGCTTTGCATTGGCGATTCTACTACTAGATCCAGAGTTCTTGTCCCAAGACTTGTGTCGTTTACGAGTTGGTCTTTCGGTCCTGAACGTTTGATAATCCTCACATGGACGGACAATTGGTTTTCTTTTCACAGACTCCATAATAAATTAGACACCAACAATCTAATAGTAGATCAGCCCGCCGTTGGGAATCATTCGTCATAGTCAAGCCATCAATGATACATTAACACACGACAGCAGCCGGAGGACGTCATAAGTCACGTGCTAAAGCACACCGTCATTCGCCGGACCCGCTCGTCATCTCTCACTGACTTGAAGATAACCAACCTCCACATCACCCTCTTCCTCGTTGTCCCTAAAACATTTTCCGTCAGCCCCCAACTATCTACTATCACAAACTCTCCTCAGCTATAACACCCCTAGAAAAAATGGCTAGCTTCCAGGACCGTGCTCAGCACACCATCGCCCAGCTCGACAAGGAGGTAAGTTTGTTTGTGCGTTTCGAGCGCTGGCCTCGGTGTGTGCGGTATCTCGACGAGGTCCGAAATTAGCTTTTTAGAATGCTATTTCATCCGTCGTTGACCTCTCCCTGTCGCACTGGACAGGGTCGTTTCTCTACCGCACATTCCGAAGACCCGTTCGCTCTTCGTCGCACCTGTGCTTCTTTTTCTCTTTCGGGTTCCCACCAGGCACACAAGAGCTAACCAAACCTGATCCATACAGCTGTCCAAGTACCCTGTACTTAACAACCTCGAGCGCCAGACCTCTGTCCCTAAGGTCTACGTGATCCTCGGTCTGGGTGGTATCTACACCTTCCTGGTCTTCTTCAACATTGCTGGCCAATTGCTTGTCAACCTGGCTGGTTTCCTTCTCCCCACCTACTACTCCCTCGACGCTCTTTTCTCCGCTGGAAAGGCCGATGATACTCAGGTGAGCAGAGCCACCATTAATCTTCAGCTTTGAGCATACTGACGTATCTTGTGATCTAGTGGTTGACTGTATGTTCTTGTGATTCCCTTACTCCTAGCAAGCGCCTAGATCGCTTCCCACGTGATATGTTATCATCAAACGGACTGGGACTGATTTTACGTGTGAATCTCTAGTACTGGGTCGTCTACGCCTTCTTCACCGTTATCGAGAGCGCCATCAGTGCTCCTTACTGGTTCCGTGAGTCCTTCTTGGACTTCCTAACGATGGATTCGCGTGCTAACCTCTAATCCTAATAGCCTTCTACTACATCTTCAAGTTTGCCCTTGTCCTCTGGCTCGCTCTTCCCCAGACCAGGTAAGCTGAGCACCCCGGATGTAAGCGGGAATACCTTGGCTGACGTTCCCTCTAGCGGTGCCCAAGTTGTGTTCAACTCTCTCCTGCAGCCCCTTGTTGGCCGCTACTTCCACGGCGGTTCCACCTCGGCCAACCTCCGGGCCCAGGCTGATGCCGCTACCAAGTCGCAGTAAATAGACCGGCTGTAAATCTGAGCTCTGTAGTTGACCGAACGACAGCTGCAGATCAGGTCTATTAATTGCGCATTGGTAGGAAAAAAGATTGGCGACGCCGGTGATTCTGCGACTGCGTCGTTTGATCTCGGCCGGAGTTGGTATGGTGGTGGAGGTGGGCTGCGTGGTCGTATAGCAAGATCATGGACTTGTCCTTGAATCTTTCTTTTTGGCATGAGTTTTCTGTTGTAGAAACGTCTGCGATTGTTGGTGGGTTAAGAGCGGGAGCTGGTCTCGTTCAATAGGAGCGATAGTTATTTCTGATGCATTTATCCTCTTGGGTGAACTCGAGCACTGTTTTCCTTGCGAGCGATTCTCATTGATATCTTTATCCAAGCGTAACGCAATGAACGACATCAATCTTCCAACGCAGTCGGTAGCCCACGTCATGCCTCAAGCTCAAGACAGCAGAAAGCTGAAGGTATTCGGCCTTAAAGGACACTCCTAACTCCGGAGAAAGTGATTATTGAATTGCTAAGTAGCACTGGGTACCGTAGCCCAGCAAATTTCCCTCCTTCGATATGCCATTCCGCGGGTAAACTCTTCCATGATTAATAAAGGCCGAACCGGTTCTGCCAGCCATCCGTACGCGGATTCAAGATGATGCGATATGGAAACGGATTCGAATCGGTGGTGGTTATAGGGGGTATGTGATCTTTATCGCGGTTGACCACGGCCAGGATCTTGAGCGCAGCCTTTTGCAACATATTCTCCATTGCTTTGCGGACCTTTGCGCGTTCTAGTTCGCGAGAATGTTAGCCAGATGCATCGTCATCCAAGATTAGTCCAAACATACCCGATTCCGTCCGTGGAGTAGCAACCGTCACATCTAGGTTCCACACCTCCCAGCAAACCTCTTCCTCGCCCTTCCCCGCCAAGCCAGTAAACCACATGTTCGAGCGCCTGCGCTTCTTTTCGTAGAATTCGACGGCGATGCGCCCGCGCACGCCGCTTGAGTCATGGGCCCCGGGGGCAGACGAGGAGTGCTGGCGGACTAGCGAGCTGATGCGCGAGTCGATGAGCGTTTCTAGATCTACGTCGTTGATGGCGGGGAGCGTGAAATCGAGCACGTCGAATGTGGTTGGGCGGATTGATGGGAAGTATCGGTGGAAGAAGATTAGGTTGAGGACGCCTGGAACGACGTATAGTCAATCAGTAAGGAAAATGGAAGTTCGGCATCTGCTATGTGAGAACTGCCACGGACCTTTTAGCACGTCCCTGACTGTTGTCGTGTCGGCGAAGATCTCTAGGAAGTACTCTGGAGGGGTTTTGCGGGGCTCCATTGGGACTTCGAGGGGGGTGGCGGGGAGGATGAAGAGAGAGTGAGACAGAGGGCGGAGGAGCGACGTGGATATAGATTAAGCGGAGAGATGTAAGATCTGTAGAATGGGTTGACTGCCTGAGTCTCTGAGTCGGTCTGAAGAGAGGTGGTGGTGTGGTTTCGGTATATGAGTATGACGGAGAGCTGGTCGGGGGATAGCTTGCGGTCCCGCTACGTGGGGGGAAGATAAGCCGGTTGGAGTAAACAAGAAAGCTAGGTTTGGGGGGTCGGAAGAGGCGGCAAGTAGAGTCAGACTAGTCCATATAGATAGGAGCTCATGAAGAATTGAGAATATAAGGAGAATGCATGGTGGTGTGTGGTGAAGGACGCTTTGTCTTGTCAAGGAAGAAAGGGACAGGGAATCAGCTGCCCTGCCATGTCCGGGGAATGGATTCCATCTGACAAAATTACAGCGAGTGCCCCGCTATCAGCTCGGTATTATTGATTTCCATTACATAGCGGGTCCCGTGACCTCAGCATCCTGTGCAGCACAGTTGAAAGTAACTCCGAATTGGAGGGTGGTATACAGGACCAGCAGTAGGCAAGGCCATGATGAACGCAGAAAGTCAGTAAGCCTCGGAGGTGGGGAGCCTGTGCTCTCAATGTCAGGACCACACTGCTCACCTAGCGAGCACTGTCGTCCACATCCCCTTATCATAAGGCAATCGACCGGGTTAGCCGAGGCCGCTGGAACTGGCCATTCTCCGACCGCGATCGCCATCAATGACTTGTCACGTCCACCTCTGTCTCGCTCCATCTTTCCAACCACCGCGTTGCTCCTCTTCTTCAACAATTACTCAAGTTATATAATGAACTGCATTGGCCAAACACTGGATTGAAGCTAAACCCGACCCCTTCGCTCCACCATGATCAGTGCTTCGAGGCGCTGGTTCCGGCGCAATCGCAAGACCCTCGCAATCGGCACGGGCGTCATCGGTGTGGGCTACCTCGCAGGCCAATATGTACTAGGCAAGATTTCTGAAGCACGGGAGCGTATGAGCAGTGACCGTATCGCTCGCGAGAAGTGCGTCATGTCCCTCCCCACTCTACTCGCATGGTCGGCGAATGCAGGCTGACTATTGTGCTCACCGCGCAGCTTACGGCGACGGTTCGAGCAGAACCAGACCGACTGTACATACACCGTCCTAGCATTATTGCCGACTGCGGCCGAGGATATATTGGAGGCTCTACCCGTGGAGGAATTGACGAAGGAACTGCAGAAGAAACGCGCGGAGCGGCTGGCCCGTCTCAACGCTGGGGAGGGGACGGCGACGGGGTCGGACATGAGCTCTGTTGCGCCTAGTCTATTGGAAGATGATCGCAAAAGCGTGTCGAGCGAATCGTTCCTGCGTACTAGTCAACTCGGGGAGTCGACTGTCGAAGGGGATGCGCCCCAACCGAAGCGGAATAAGACGCAGCTTTGGAATGAGGTTAAGATTACCTGTACGTCTTTCTTTCATCTTTGCTGCAGCCAGCCTATGAATGGACCGATCAGTCAATGGGGCGTTTTCTTTTCCCTGCGGAACTGACAGGGTTTAGCTATTACCCGCGCATTTACCCTCCTATACACCCTGTCCCTGTTGACAATCTTCACGCGCGTCCAACTTAATCTTCTCGGTCGCCGGAACTACCTTTCAAGCGTGATATCCTTGGCTACACCCGCAGACTCGTCAACAATTAGGTTAGAGGACCATGATGATGACTTGACCCAGACGCTCGGAAACGATTTCGAGACCAACCGACGGTACCTTGCATTTAGCTGGTGGCTGCTCCACCGTGGCTGGAAGCAATTGGTGGAGGAAGTCCAGGCCGCGGTCGTGGAAGCGTTTGGGCCTCTTAACCCCAGGGATGATATTACGTTTGACAAACTGTCGGAATTGACCCTTCAGGTTCGTAAGAAGATAGAAGGTGCCACCGAGGAAGACAGGAAGTATGTTGCCTTATGCGCCCTAGCACCTGAGCGCAACAAGATATTTACTGACCCTGCTTGAAGACACCGAAAATGGCTACCTTATCTGCTTCCTCCCCGAGAAGAGGAGGACCACTTGCTAGACGAGTCCGGCGTCCTCGGGGTCACAGAACCCTCAACACCTCAGACAGCGGCGACGCTGCGACATCTCCTCGATGAGACGGCTGATCTGATCGACTCCCCCACATTCACTCGTGTTCAGATGCTCCTTAACAACGAATGCTTCGAAACGCTGATACAACAGTGCAAGATGGATGCGTTCAAATCCGCAGGGCCGGTGACAGCCCCTCAATCATTCACGTCTGTCGCCACGGTAGTTCCGATCAGGGAGAATTCGGAACTCAAGACGAAGCTAGCGAATGTCCTTGCCGTACTTGCTCGGCAAGCTCATACCATTGGCAACGGGACGTCTCCGCCGAACATCTATGTAAGTGCGATGGATCAAGGTGTACGGGAGCTTGAGGCGTTCGCGGCGGTGGTGTACAGTTCGAACTTTGATTCCGAGCTTCTCGGCGCTGGATCGGGTACCAACTCTTCCAACGCAACGGCTGCAGTTCCAGGCTCTGCTTCCTCATCGCCGGTGATAGTTGGCCGGGACGACCGACGCGCCGAGGACTCAACAACTACGACGAATACTGACGATAACGACTTGGAGAAGGCATGGGGAAGAGCTGTGGTAGAACAGCCAAGCGGCGGTCCGACTGCATAGGCTAACGATAAGCCTCCGAATACAGATAGTTTTATTGACGGAACATGACAATGATACCATCTGCTCTCTTCGGATTATTAGCAGAGTCGGTGATTGTAATAGTATCTTCCTAGCTGAATGCACGAATTTTGCGGCATAATCGGGTTGACCGGAGGCCCCAGCAGCTTTTTAATGTTTACCAATCGTGGTCAGACGAGCGGACTAGCTTATACAGAGTAGACTGCCTTGGGCGTACAGTAGACAGTACTCAGTGGTACGGTGTGCAAATTTGCAACAGATAGATCTGAACTCGATCTTAGGCTGTTACATAATAGCCGCGAGATCTTGCGGGGAAGCCGAGTAACCGACGGGGCCAGGGTGTTCGTCGGGGAAAGGGACTTTGTCCACCGGTGGGCGGGTGGGCACGAGGGGTCCGAGGGCAAGCATTGCCAATCCTTACAATTGAGTTGCACGGAATGCTTAGATGCTTGGATGTATGAAACACCAAGTCACACAGTACAGTCACTGTCCAGAGGAGTCAGCGATTACTATTTCTTTGATGTGGAGTGGGTTCCTTTCAGCTGGACCATCACTAGCCTGTTCCTCCAGAAGATCCTTGCCTGCTTCTGATGGTGCAGCTTTGTGATCTTCAGGCTGTGATGATGTTTGTTTGCCATCAGCATCGGAATTTTTGGAATTTTTGGAATTTCTTTAATCCATATTAATTCCTTTATAAAGCATGTGCTGCTCCCTGCTTCCTTTCTTTTTTTTTTTTGCTCTCTGCAGCTCCTTTCAGCCCCTCCCCCGCGGATTGTGAATTATTGTCATCCCTTTTGTTCAGCTAGGGCTTCCTGTTAACTCCGGAGTAGTAGCCCTCAATCTCCGAGCTCGGCCGGAAGCCGACACCGGCCTGTATTTCTCCAAATTCCACCCCGTGATTCACTGTAACACACCGGGCTTTCTTTTAAATTGTCTTTCTCTTCTGACTCATTGATCTGTTGCTTTTAAACCACCTTCGCCCAGTTCCCAGCGCCAGACTCAGGCCGCATCACGGACATCATGGGTTTCCTGGGTACGTGCTATACCGACTCCTGCTATTGATCAGGCGCTGATATACAGATCGCGAATAGGAAAGAGCAACGATCCTTCGCGCGAAAAGGCCGACGAGGCGCAGATGAGCATGGAATCGCCCCAGCCTGGTGATCTCCCTGCGCTCACCTCAACCACGGAGCGCAAGCTGATGGCCAAGGTGGATTGGCACGTCGTCCCCTTTCTGTGCATTATGTATCTGCTTGCCTTTCTGGACCGGTACGAGCTTCCATCTTCAACTGTCGCAAAACCCAGAAACACAATTAACATGACCTTGCTTTTAGAGTCAACATAAGCAATGCTGCAGCCCTGGGCATGGAAGACGATTTGGGCATTGCCGAGGGAACAAAGTACAACACAGCCTTGACCATTTTCTTCATTCCCTACATCATCTTCGAAATACCCTCCAACATTCTGCTCAAGAAGTTGCGGCCTCATGTTTGGTGTATGTATCAAAGGGTGCTCTCTATGTGGGTTATGGCAGCGCTAATCGATGCAGTGTCCATGTGCATGTTCTTGTTCGGCGTTGTCACAATCTGCCAGGGCTTGGTCACAAACTGGGGTGGACTGATGACTACGCGTTGGTTTCTGGGTAGGTTTAATCACATCGGACCAACACCTCAGTGGCTAACGATGAGATGTAGGTATGTTTGAGACTGGCATGTTTCCTGGATGTGAGTGATTACCCCACTGTTGTCCGACTCGAACATTGTGTAACAGTTCCCAGGTTTCTATCTACTCGGAATGTGGTACAAGCGCAGCGAGGCCCAGAAGCGATTTAGTTTCTTCTTCAGTTCTACTTCGTTGGCCGGTGCGTTCGGTGGTTTGCTCGCTAGTGGTCTAGGAAAGATGGACGGTGTCCGCAACCTTGCAGGATGGCGATGGGTTTTCATCATTGAAGGCTTGATCACTGCCGTGGTTGCAATCATCTTGTTCTTCTTCCTCCCGGATTTCCCTGAAGAGGCCAAGTGGCTCACCGACGAAGAGCGCAACTACATGCGAGCAAAGTTGGCCCAGGATTCCGGAGAGGCTGGAGATGACACCCACATGGGCTGGCGCGAGGTTCTGGATGTTTTCAAAGATTGTGAGTCACCCGTTCTGTTGAATGGATGCGAAGTTCGTGTGTTCTGACATCTTTTACCAGACAAGATTTTCATTGCTGGCTTGGCCTACTTTGGACAAGTTGTCACAGCTTATGGTTAGTTCTCTCCTTCAAGCTCGAATCTAAAGATGTACTGGCAGCTAACCTCCCTCAGGATACGCTTACTTTGCGCCAACTATCATCAAGTCCTACGGCTATGGGCGTGAGTTTTTCCCCTTTCCTCGTCCTGTCACCGTACTAACCAACTTCGAGAAATCCAAACCCAACTGTACTCGATTCCCCCATGGGCTACAGCTTTTGTATTTTCCATGTGCATCGCATATCTATCCGACAAATTCCGACACCGTTTCGCATTCACCATTATCCCCATGTTGATCTCCATGGCTGGATTTGGTATCCTCTTGAACGTACACAACAACCGCGATGTCCAGTATGGTGCGTTATTCCTGGTCACGTCGGGTTGTTACAGCGCAATGCCTGTCGTCGTCTGTTGGTTTGCTATGAACCTAGGTGGCCATCGACGGCGCAGTGTTGGAACTGCTTGGCAGATAGGGTTCGGCAATAGTAAGTGGTCCCAGCACCTTGCTGCACGTTGCAGTACCACTAACATGCATTGAAGTTGGTGGTATCATCTCTACGTATTCGTTCCTCGCGAAGGATAAGGTAAATCACTATCACACCGGCTTCAGCATCGGTGTATCCTTCCTTGCCTTTTCTTGTGCCTGCTGCTGCGTCTACTTCGCGGCGCTGTGGCATCAGAACCAGAAGAAGGCCGAAGTCCTGGCGAGTGGTGATCCTATTCATCTTGATGAGGACCAGAAAGCTTTGGGCGACCTGGCGACAAAGTTCCGTTATGCGTACTAGGGGTTGGAAAGGGTTTAATGAAGTTACGATGCTCTAACTAGAGTCCTGAAGGCCATGATAGGGCTAGGGCTTAGGCCATGGCCCATACATCCACAGAGATTAATACATAACGATGTGCCAGCATATATGCCAGCATATCTTCTAAATCAATGAAAAAAGTTATCCCGATGTTCTCACAAAAAATCCACTCCATTTTTGAATTGTCATGTCGATGCGTTGCTGTTGGGCTCGGTAAACAGAGAAGGACCCGCACGTGACGTATCACCTGACTAGGGTTTGTGACGCACACAAGCTTAAGTAGCTCTTCCGCTCCCGCAGGTCCATCCTTTCTTCCACCCATCTTTCATCCTCGCAGAAGTGTGAGTACCAGCTCTTCCACCCGCCGCAATGGCTACGATTATCCTATCAAACAGTTGACTAATTGCTTACTAGCCCATCTACGAAGATGAGAGCCAAGTGGAGAAAGAAGCGCGTTCGCCGTCTCAAGCGTAAGAGAAGAAAGATGAGGGCTAGAAGGTGAGCTCATCAACCCGAATCTCAGAAATTGGGCGCAATTGGTTCTAATTTCCTCACAGCAAATAAACAACTCGCCCCATCCATCTCAGCTTCTCATGTTAAGCTCGGTGTTGAGCGCTGAACACGACAAGAATTGACGACGTCACGATGATGATTTTCCGGTTATGATCGTTTCGTGGTTCGCCTCCCCCAATGAGGCCTGCCTGGTCTGCAACATACAACTGCTTTTACAATAAATACATCATCGATTTCGGAACCCGCCGTTCAACTGGACCTTCACAACACAAATGATTGCGAATCTCCATCCAATTCCGCGGATTCATCAACAATCTCGATTGCTTGTCAGGCTAGGTGGGGTTATACTCGGAGGGGTCAATGTGTCTAGTGGGATTGGGAGGAATCAGTGAAAGACTGACGGATTCCTTGTTACGAAATCACTGGTTTCTTTCGAGTTTGTCATGGGGACTGGTCAATTTACCTCCATCTCAGACATTGACTTCGGTTGATGCACCTGAGATCTGGAGTCGTGGACGGTCTTCGAGAGTTTATTACCCTCAATTACGAAACAAAAGTTCGCAAACGCATCTTGATACCTTGTACATGTAGACTTGTAGACACAATCCGTAATCCTCGAAGGCTCAATGATTATCTCAAGTCATCGATCTATACAAGTCGCGAAACGGATTCTCGATCAAATATCCCATGAACCTTGTGTTCGCGCCGTGGGTTATGTCTTCTCCGCCTTTGTCTCACCGCTTTCACTTTTTTGTCAACTTTTTTTTTTGCAGACCTTTGCGCTCCACAGCCAACTACTCGACTCTTTGACACTTAAGAGACCCCTACAATGGCCTCCGACAAGGCTGAAAAGAAGCGCAAGCGCGCCTCAGACCGTCATGAACGCCCTACCAAGAAGCCTGCACTGGACCTACAAAGCCTGCCTCCACTATCTGCCAGCTTGATCCACGACGACAATGAGCTCGCCCCAGTACTGCGTACGCAATTCACCACTTCTTTCCTACTTTGATATCTCATGGGAGCAGTGCTGATAAATTTGTCATAGTCAACACCCCTGGTGTCACTTCACAACCCAACATCCGCCTAAACCCATACCTGAAAACCCGCAGCCACAGTTCTACCCATCATTCGGGCAATGATGGGATTGCATCGACAGAGTTACTGCTGCAGTCTTCTGAGCACCCGAAGCTGGACTTTATCGGCCGGGAAGCAAACGACGATGCGGACTCCCAGTTGAAGCACTACGTTGCCGTTGTGGACCCCGCGAGCAAGACATGGGAGTTTGTCGAGATCAGACGGGTCACGCTCCGCGGCGCAGTCCGGAAGGCTGCTGAGACGGAAGAAGAAGAGGAGGAGAGCGAGGATGAGGATACCGTATGCTCCCACTCTGCAGGAACTCAGTAGTAAAAGCGACTGACCAGCGTTCTTTTCCACAGAAAACCATGCGCGAGCAAAGAAACGACCTTACATACACCTTCGGTACTAAAAAATCCCGCAAGGCAACGCAATCCCAGGCCGAAAACGCCCAGCTCTCCAACGCGCCTTCCGGCACCGCAACAGCCGCCGAGTCCGCCCTCCTCAGTTCCATGCCGGCCGAATCCGCCCTCGACATTGCCGCCAAATCCGCCGCCGTGCAAGCCGAAGTCCAAGCCGCGAAGCCCCTGCCTCAAGCAAACCTCGACGCAAAACACCCCTCGGAAGTCTACCCGCTCGAAACCCTCATCCCCAACGGCAATGCCACCCTCCGCCAACTGCCCATCAAGGACTGGCAGGATACGATCTCCGCGGGTCTCACAGTCGCCACGACCTCGCGGTACGTCTCCTCGCGCATCGACGATATCGTCGAGTCCGGAAACACAACGTACCTCCAGATTCTGCGCTTCATCCTCGTTCTCCTCGAGCTTGCGCGCGCTCTACGCTCGGGCAAGGGCCGCGGCAACAAGCGCCTTCCCAGCCGCGACGACCTCCGCCGCATCCTCTCCGGCGGATCGAAATCCTCCTCAGACAACTCAACCGACGATCTCTCCTCCTCACAATCTACAATCCCCGACCCGATCATCGACGGCATCCGCCGCAAGTTCGCTCCAAATGGCTCAACCGTCTCCCCGAACGATATTTTGCTCCTCGAAACTACTATCTGCGCGCTGACGCTCCATCTCCCGCCTCAGCCTGTCAAGGATGGCGTTCCCACGCCAAATGGCGGCAATTCGCCTAATGAGATGGCCACGGACCCCTCCGATCTGCGCGATGATCTCCAGCTCGATAATGCGAAGATCACGCAGTATTTCCGCGAGTTGGGATGTAGGGTTGACAAGCCGAGGGAGACGGAGTTCGCTAAGTTTGGTATCCGGGGTGGAAAAGCTGAGGCTGCGACGAGGAGGGTTGCACGTCTCAAGATTCCCGTTGAGTTTCCGAAGGTTAGTCGGGCTGGGGGGAGTAGGAGGTAGATACGCAGGTTGCTTGTTAGTTGTTGAAACTAGTTGATGATATTATATGCAAGAGCTAAAAAGGGGTTCTTTCATGTGTCTATATTGGCGTTTAGAGACATTTACTTATTGTGAATACCAACAAAGTTAGTTAAGAAGTTGAAGTGACTTGAGGCCGTTCGTCTGATCGATCACGTGTTCACCTAGATCTTACGTGGATTGAAGGAGCTACAAGCTACAACGAGGAAGTTGAGGTTTGGAGTATGGACAATCCTGAATTGGACCCAATGTTAATGACGGGCCGGTCCTAATGAGCATCCATCATGATATGGCGAGATAGTTCCACCAATGCGTAATCCGCACTATGTAAGGAGTGGACGGGAGGGCTATATAGATTTGAGAATATATATACCACAACCCATTCGCCACCGCAAGCGACAATAGTCACTTAAGCGGCAGCGGCGACAGGGATCGGGCCACCGATAGGGTTAGCCGCGATCGAGCCGATGGGCTTTGCGTTTGCGTTCCCGGCCTTCATGCGAGGAACCGCAGCCTGAAACTCGCGTTCCACGGCAGCCTCGAGGGTTTCATTAGGCTGCATGTTCAGCTGGGAGTCGGTCCAAATAGGCTGGTTTTCGAGCTCGGCAGCTTCAACGCCAACGCCGACGAATCCGCCCATTGCCTTCCAGTCGCTTGCGCGCTTTATACCAAGGTCGTTCCAGACGGCGTTGACAGATTCGACGAGGTGGTCACGGAGGTCCTGGGTGTGGCCGGGAGTGGGGGTGATTCGGAGACGCTCTTCACCGCGAGGAACGGTGGGGTAGTTAATTGCCTGAACGTAGATGCCGTGCTCTTCAAGCAGCTTGTCCGAGGCCTGCTTGGCGAGTTCGGCATCACCGACGAGGAGAGGAACGATGTGAGACGGGTTGGGGATAACGGGAATATCCAAGTTCTTGAATGATTGCTTGACAGCGCGAGTGTGCAACTGCTGCAGGACACGATCTTGCTGGTGGCGGGACTGGTACTGGATGGCAGCATCGGCACCGGCCATCGTCGCCGGGGGTAATGAGGTAGTGAAAATGAACCCAGGAGCGAGGGAGCGGATGGTGTCAACAAAAGCGGCCGAACCAGCAATGTAACCACCAACGCATCCGTACGCTTTACCCAGGGTACCGGTAATGATGTCAATTCGGTCCATAACGGTGCCCTTGGTGCTGATGGGGTTCGCGGTGCCCTGAGAAGCATAAACCTCGTAGTCGAGATGCTCGGCAACTCCAGCACCGTGAGGTCCGTACATGCCAACGGCATGGACCTCGTCTAAGAACGTAATGGCTCCGTACTTGTCCGCGAGATCACAAATCGCCTCGATAGGAGCAATAGAGCCACACATACTGTAGACCGATTCGAACGCAATAATCTTGGGGATGTGGAGAGGAAGAGACGCAAGCTTCGCCTCAAGGTCGACCAAATCGTTGTGCTTGAATACCATCTTCTTCGCGCCGGAATGACGGATACCCTGAATCATCGAGGCGTGGTTGAGAGAGTCGGACAGAATCACGCAGTCGGGCAACTTGCTGCCCAGAGTCGCCAAAGTAGCGTCGTTGGCGACGTAGCACGAGCTGAAGACCAGAGCACCCTCTTTACCGTGGAGCTTAGCCAGGGTGTTCTCCAGCCCGACCGCATGTTGGTTGTGTCCGGAGATGTTACGAGTTCCTCCCGCACCGGCTCCGTAGGTATCGAGTGTCTTGTGCATAGCGGATAGCACTTCAGGGTTGCGACCCATACCAAGGTAGTCGTTCGAGCACCAGACGGTCACCCTCTCCTCCTTCGAAGTTGTATGAGCGCGTGGGAATTCCTGAGCGAGGCGGTTGATGTTGTTGAAGTAGCGGTACGACTTGTCCTGGTGCTTCTTCTGCAGTTCCGTATCGTAAAAAGCATTGTAGTCAAAAGGTGTGGCCGTAGGAGCACGAGGAGGGCCAGACACGGTAGCTGAGGCCGCGGTGTGGGAAGCGGTGGTCTTGGAAAGGCCAGGGTGGACTAGAGAAAAGGATTCGCTGTCAGTATGGTTTCTGCAATTGCGATAACGAAGCCAGAGACGTACTCTGCTGAGCCTCCTTGTGGAACTCAGTGCTCATATTGGCGCCATTTCCTCCCGTCGAGTGCAGCGCCCTCTTCCCCGGTGAAGCCCGGGTAGGCTTGGGGGCACCAGTACCAGGGACACCAGCCGCGGAGGAGGTGAACCGCTTGGTGCCGGTCATGCGAGCGCTCTGGACAGCGAGAGCCTTGCTCATGACCGGGCAGCGGCGAGCAATCCTCTGCAGATTGGTCATGGTACCACCACCGGGGCTGGTGCTGGGACGGGTAGCGGTAGCCAGCGAGCGAAGGGTGGTCGGGGAGCTGCGCTTGAGAAACGGACACATGGCCCGAGACTGCTGGAGAAGGGCCTCCATTGCGATGGACGTTGGGTAGAATCGATGGAGAGCAAGTGACAGAGCAATTGAGGATGGGGACGAAGAGGGTCAGACAGAAAACAGGAGAGGGGATCGGAGTCAGTAATTATACGCGGCGGCGACGGGATTCACATTTGGTGCAAATCTCGGCAGCCAAAGCCCGTGACTGTGACCGAGACCGAGACTGTGGGGTGAGCGGCGCCTTGCCGCTTCAGGGCTAGTGGCTGACATCCTGGGCTTTGTGATTGGAGGGCGCGGTCGGGCGACCTTGATCGAGACTTAAGTCTGAGTAATGGTGTAATCTTGGAATTACCAAGCGTATGCGTATCGATACTCTTAGTCAGAGACAACGCCGAGCTCTGCCCGCACTCGACCTGAAGCATGTCCCTGGGAAGACACTTGATACGGATTGAAGATATAAAAGTGTTATTATGGATTGTGTAAAGTGCCGCACTCGTGGGAGCGATTACGGACCATGGCCCGCCGGCCGCGGCTAATGCTTATGTGAAACAAATTCCGGGTCGCCGCCCGTGATACTCAGGCCACCTGCGAGGTCGGGGATTGTACTCGGTAACAAGCGCCACTCTCGAGTACTCTGTCTGTTCATTACGCAGAAAGTACTCCCTATAGCTGCGAAATTATAAGTACAAGCGAGCTCTCAAGATGTATGCATGTGTGCGAACAACATGTCTAATACCTGTCACGTCCAACTGACATCATGCCGAGTTCCACCCTCCTTGCGGAACTGCACATCAAATCGCCATCTTTGTCTTTGACATATGATAATGTTAATACAGACCAAATATAGGTTGCCCCAGAAGAAGGTAAAGGAAAATATGATAGTGAAACAAGACCGAAGAAATGGCACAGTAGGGAAGGAAAGCCGAGGTGACCAGAAGAAAAAAAACGCCGTCATGCATCAATAACAACAGATAATCAACAACTCGTCAGTTTTAACTACCCAAGCCCCCGTCGCCGTCTATTAGACGTAGTCGTTCTTTGGTTGTCTTCGCTCGTTTGGCCATCCCCTTCCCCCCTCGGCCACGCCCTCGCTTGGGAATAGGTGTGCCAACCGAGGGTGTTCCAACGTTTTCTGCCGTTGATACAGGTGTCGCAGCTCCTGATGGTTTGGCACTAGCATCATCGAAATTTCCTTCGCCTATAATTGAGGGGTTAGGACTGCGCTCGTTTGCTGTCTCTTGGGTCGTCGGAAACATACCTTCGTGATACATATCATCCAGTGTAACATCTCTCTTTCTCTTCTGGGCATTCTTCTTGCCGCCCTTGCCAGCACCAAAAGTTTCACCTCGCTCGAGAGCTTCCCGTTCCTTCTGCTCAATAAGCTCCGCTTGTTCGTCATCAGCAAGCCACATAGCAATGTCCTTGGTCTTGCTATCGCGGTTGCGTGTGTTGAAGTCAACACCGCCGGCTGCACCACCGGAAATGACGACTCGTTGCACCTCCTCTTTCTGCAAGGCTCGCTTACGAATGCGCTCCTCGATAGTGGAACGAGTGATGAGTCGGTACACAGTGACCTGTCTGGTTTGACCAAGACGATGAGCTCGGTCCATGGCTTGCGAGTCGATCGTCGGGTTCCAGTCAGAGTCGTAGAAGATGACAGTGTCGGCGGCAGTCAAGTTGATACCCAGACCACCAGCGCGTGTGGACAGAAGGAACACGAAGATATCGGGGCGTTGTTGGAAGTCAGCCACCGTGTCTCGGCGATCCTCCAGTTTGGTGCTTCCATCCAAACGGCAATACTTGTAGTTGCGGTAGGTCAGGTACTCCTCCATGAGGTCAATCATGCGCGTCATCTGGAAGTAAAGGAGCACACGGTGGCCTCCTGCTTTCAGTTCGCGTAGGAGTTCATCTAGCTTGGCTAGCTTGCCAGAATCTGTAACGAATCGTCGCATTGAAGGAACCTCGATGTGGGTGTAGCGACCCTTGGTTGAAAGTGGCTCGGGCAACATCGGAGGAAGAGAGTAAGGCGTAGGATCCAGCTGCTGCTCGATGATTTGCTCTTCCATGGCCTTGGAAGGAGTGCCGAACAAGGCATGCTGAACAGGAATGTTGAATAGGGCATCCTCCGTCTCTCTGGAGGCCCCTTGGCCTGAGGACATAAGAGTGATCGGGGGTGCCGATGCAGCAGGCCCGGCACAAGGCTCAATGACGTTGAGGCCCTCTTGTTCAAAGACTGACCGAGAGACAGTCATGAGTTGACGCATGTACCCTTCCTCTGCGATATCGTGTACAGCCTGGCGGTCGTTACGTTCGGCAATGTTGAATAGAGTGTGGGCCAATGCTGCAGACAAAGATTCATCTTCATCATAAACTACGTTGAGCCGGGACAACCTGTTCGTCCGTGCGCGCCGACGGACGGCACGCTCGAATACACCTTGATGAGAATAGTCAAACGCCTCTCCGGCCGAGGTATCCACAAATCGCAAGAAGGAAAATGCACCGTCATCCTCCACGCTCTGCTTGATATTTTCCGGCGTGAAAATGTTCATCATGTGCGACAAATACTTGGCACAGAAGCCGGCTTTTGAGTTATTAGGTCCTGGCATATCGACGCGGCCGTCAGACTTGCAGAGTATTCGTGGCACTGGGAACTCGATCAGGTTGCGGGTCGAGTAGGCGACGTCAACGCTGTGACCCTCTCTCACAAAAGAAGCGGTCTCTGCAAAGTGTGCAAGAGAGAAAGGTGACTTGGTTTCAGCCCGTTCAAACAGATCGGGATGGTTGCAAACCTTACGAAATTGCATAACCAAATTCATCAGCGTTGTGCTGTCTGTTTCGTCACCGACGGCAGCCTTCTCAATGAGATCCATGATACTGACGCGGTTTCGTAGATTGGCGTAGAGAGCACGCTGACGGTACGTAAGATCACAGAAGACGTCCTTTTCGACCTTGTCACCGAGCTCCTGTTGGACGTGCTTCTTAACACGACGTAACATGAAAGGCTTCAAGATCATATGTAGACGCCTGAGTTGGTCCTCGTTGAGCTTCGTATTACTTTGTGCATGAGACTCGATGTCCTTGGAGAACCATTCGCTGAACTCGTCGTGGGAGTCAAAAAGCGTGGGCATGATAAAATGGAGAAGAGCCCACAGCTCCTGCATGTTGTTTTGAATGGGAGTACCGGTCAGAAGAAGACGGTTACGGCAGTGGAAGCCAAGGAGACTCTTCCAACGCGAACTTTGGGATGATTTGATGGCCTGGGCTTCATCAAGAATCATATACTGCCACTTGACTTTCTGGAAATATTGCGAGTCAAGAACCACTAGTTGGTAGGAAGTCACGAGTACGTGGAACTCTGATTCCTTGGTGTAGGTGATGTGCTTGCGATCCCAGAACTTGCGGAGAATCTTGCGGTCTTTCGAGTTACCCCAGTAAGGCAGAACCTTGATATTGGGAACGAATTTGGTGATTTCTTGCTGCCAGTTGTGAAGGGTTGATGCCGGCGCAATAACCAGGAAGGGACCCCAGATGTTATGGACTTCGGCGAGATAAGCCATAACTGAGATGGATTGAATTGTCTTACCGAGACCCATCTCGTCTGCTAGGATACCGTTGATGCCCTGCTCGTACAAGTTGACGAGCCAGTTCAGGCCCTTCAACTGGTATTCCTTTAGTTTTGCCGTAAGCATTGTAGGCTGCGAGATCTCAATATCGCCCAAACTCGTGGGGTTCTGGAAGTTCAGTTCGCTATCATCCATCGTGTCCATGGTGCTCTTATTAGGGTCATCAAAGGCACGCGCTCTCTCCTGGGCCTGTTGAACCGCGTTCTGAGCATTGGCCATGGCAGCCTGCCGAAGGGCGGTGTCGTCCTCTGCGTCGAAGTCAAGGTCCTCGAAATTGGTGACCTTCGCACCAACGGCAGGGGTCAAGTCCATGGCATCAGCCCCCTCCACACCTGCGTCCCCAGGCTCCCCGTCTGCTCCTGGAATCTTGCGACCAATAAAGTGGGAGTACAACTCGGTCTGGGAGATGAGGAAGTTGAGCTTGCGCTTCTGGCGATTAGCCTCGCGCTCGGCCTCTGCCCTCTTCGCTGACTCAAGTTCTTGCTTCTCTGCGAGACGGCGCAGATCACGCTCTTCACGTTCGTTCCGTTTCCAGAACGACATCATTTCACGCATCGTCCGTTTGGCGCGTGCCTGAGTATCCTTCATACTCTTATTGGTACGCTCCTGCCATTTGCGAGACTGCTTGCTGGCTAGCTGGGCCGTCTTGCGCAAATTCTCTTGCCGAGTGCTCAGAGAGTTGACTTTGGTGCGGTAGACTTTGGGAATATCTTTACGTGCGATATCCCTCCAGATCTGTTCGTAGATCTGGTTGTAGCCCTTCGACTCATAGGTAGACATGGGAATAGGTGTGGCTTCTTTGGAGCGACCGCCCTTGGCATCCTTCTTGAGGGCCTCCTTTCGTGGGTCCTCCCTTGGAGCAAGAGGCAGAGGCTCATCGTTTTCCATAGCAGCATAGGCAGCCTCGGCAGCGTCCTTTTCGGCTTGCTTCTGCTCTTTTGACTTTTTGGGTCGTGTGACGGGGCCGCCGCGACCGGACTTGCGCCTTGACGGAGAGCTTCGGCCAATGTGGAAGGAACTGGTGGTCCCTCCTTCAAGGTTAGGTGCCAACGGGGTGACCTCGCCAATCTCTTCTGGAGAAGTAACGCCTTCCAAGGCCCGTTTCGTGGTTTTGATTTTCCTCTGGGCACGTTCTGCTTCCCGCAGGAACTTGGCTTTCTCAGCAGAGTCCTGGGTCTCGTTTGCCTTGAGCTCTGCTTCAAGCTTTTTCTGCATTTCCAGCCGCACGGTATTCTCTCGTCGGCGTTTGCGCTGCATGTCTTTCTTGCGTTCTTTCTCATCCTGTACTTCCTTCGCCTGAACTTCGGCGATGACGGAAGCTTCGTTTGCATATCGGAATCGCTCCGTGCCCGCATTGGCTTGTCTCGCGAACGACTTGGTAAGTGTATAGAGATAATTGTGGCGGCGACGCTAATTTTTAGTCAGACAGGGTTAATTCAGAAAGTGGATAGAACATACCTTGCGCCTGATGCCCTCGGTACGTTCCAGATCTAAGGCGCGCCTCTTCCCTTTAAGGAGATACCGTTCTTGTTCTTGTTCAAAACCTGGAGCTTCCACATCGCTCTTGTCTGCATTGTCAATTTCGACCATGTATTTGTTGACCATTTCCGTTTCCTTTTCTGACATAATTCGGCGAGGGGGCCGCATGATCTTGGGAGGTTCCGCGACACCGTTCGCCGAGATGTCGTTCGTTTTCGGATCCTTCTCAGTAACGCGTCGACGCCTGTCCGTGCTAGGTTTCTTCTCTAATCTTGAGGACGAAGCGGGTGGAGCTGGCTCGATATCTCTTACTCTGGGGTTAAAAGCGACCGGTGGAGGAGGACTCAGGCTTGTAGTAGCATTGACTGATGGCGCAGCTGAATGGATCGAACCTAGTCCAGGTGGAGGGGACTGTCTTTTAGGAGGAGCTTGCTCTTCGGTGGGCCCTGAAAGGATGCTAGCAAACGACATTGGGTCCGCGGCGCGAGCAGGTTTCTGTTAGTAGAGAAGATTTGTTAGCATTGAAATAAACAAGATGGGATTTCGGGGGCGGTTGAATGATGGAGAAAGTAACGTACAGCTTCCCTCGGAGGTGAAGCCGCTCTCGGCTCACGCATCATAGAGTAGGGAGGAACTCCATGGCTCATTGAGAAATGTGCCTCCGGCTCTTTCTTAGGCGACACCACATGAGCATGGCTGTCCGGACGACTAGAGGGATGGGCGTGGGACGGCGTAGAGGGCCCGTATGGGGATGCGCCACTACCGGGCAACAGGGAGCCAGAGTAAGGTCGGGGAAGGTATTGCGGAGTCCCTGCGGCTGAATGTGCTTGGTACTGCGGCGACGGATCGGATGGATGCGGCGGCTGGGGTGCACCGCCGTTCAATGGTGGTAGAGACCCTGGCATAGGCGTAGGCGCATGTGAATAGTGAGGGCTCCGCGCGAGGTTGGGTTGCGGGAAGGCAGGGGGCGTTTGAGGCGGGTGTTGCTGGTACTGCTCATTGCTCGGGTAGAAATGACGCGGTTTATTCGAGGGCGAATAGGCAGCGTACCGAGACTGCTGAGTCGGAGACTGGGGGTGATACGGCGGAGCCCCGGTCATGGTGGTAGCCGCGAGTGTCCGAAACGCGGCGGCGATATTCGAAGACAGGGACTACCGTTGCCGATGGAAAGGAAACAATTGAGGTGGAAATCAGTTGTTCATGTGTTTGCCCAGGATAGCTAGCCAACTGGCGCCCACGCGCAGGAAGGCAGGGAGTCCAGTCCGTCCCGTCAAGGGAGCGATCACGCGTCCGGTAGTCGTCAGCGTCGAGCTATCTGCTTGTAAGTATAGGCCTGCGATGATGAGAATTGCGGACGTCGAGGTGGGTGTGGATGGTTTCGAGAATTAGGATGGACACATTATTGTCATAGGCGGATGAAGGGAGTGGAGGATGGGACGAAGCAGGCGAAGAAAATGAATGAATGAGATGGCAGGAGTTCGCCTTACCGGGTTTGCCAGGAATCTTCTTCGGGAGGGTCTGGCTCTAGTGTCTGCTCGTCTCGTGTGGTGAACCAGCGAATCGTCGCGGGTCAGCCGTGATCGGAGATCAGAACACTCAGGCTGAAGCCATGCGTCTTCCGTATTGGTACACTGACAACGTGAAGATAGGACGAGAGGGGCGATGAGACGAAAGGTGAATGGGGAAAAGTTGGCGTTGGAGGTGAGTCTGGTGATAAGTGACTGTACTGTAGGAGGGAGAGCAAGAGGTGAAGAGAGAGGGGATGGATGAGCTGGGCGTTGGAGAAGAGCTGATGCTGGTGAGGAGGCCCAGTGGTTCGTCCTCGTGCTGCTGGGATCGAGAACTGCGCTGCCCCTTTGCCTAACCCGACTTTTCTTCCTCTTCGCTCGTCGGCTTCAACGAGCTCGGCGATCCAGTCCCTGTATTTGTATTTCACGTATCGCTCTCTCTACAGCAAACACTGTTGGTTTGCAACCCGCCTATACTGCCAGTGCTGTCAACAGCTCCATCTGCAGGTCGACTTTTCAACTGCATTATTCCCGTGCTTTCTCATTTGGCATCTCACTGCCACTCTCTGACTACTTACTCATCCTGCTAGCAGACACTGAGGCGGGCGAAAACCTATACAGCGGCTGATCGCCCTTCCTCCGCGTCATTGGCCGGAACGTAAGATACGTTACAAGATCTACTAGCATCGCCAAATATTACATCGCCAGATTCCAAGACTTTGCAAAAAGCCCCAGACCAGTCACCTAATGTAATAAGATCATGTGCAATGGTTGCTTGGAAAACGCGACTGCAGGTCGAGGGCTGTTTGGTGCATTGGAGCCAACAGACCGAAGCTGGATGAGCGCCAGGAAGCAAGAGGCGTGGAGATAAGAGGATTCAGTACAATTTGAGCCGACGAGCACGGCATCTTGGCAGTTCAGGCCTCGTGCGCAACCAGGTCTCTTGGTCTCAAGTCAAAACCCAACGCTGCGGCATACGCTGTCTACCCCTAGAGGTGAGACATCGTCGGTATGTCAATTGCTGCTGGCCGGTCTCAGGAGTCGGGAATCGCGAAACATCACCCGGGAAAAGCGTGGAGTTCCGAGAAGGCGCAGCGCATCCTGCATGGACGCGAGGGCCAAGCGCCTCCTAGGCTCAGAATAGATGATATGCATGTTGGCATTGTACCTCTCAATAAAACCACACGTACTTTGTTTGAGGTCAGATCCCTGGGCACTGGCAAGCAGTACGGACTGTTGATTCTACGGAGCTTTTTTTGTGTCTCACCCTGATACTCTGTGCCTGCCTTACCCCAGATGCAATACTACAGCAACAGCAGGTTGCACAGAAATCGACATAAAAGCTCGCTATCATTATCTGCCCCTGGTCTCATGTATTTCTTGAAAGACCGATACTTCTTCGGCTTCCTCGTTCATTCATAACATTCATGTGTATTATGCTCATCATATCAGCAAGGTATCTCTCGTCCAATACTGCTACCCTGCGTTCTACTCCGGAATCTCCAAAACATAACGACCCGCAATCTTACCCTGCTCTACATTCCAACCATCATTAGCGTCAAGACTATTACCCAAAAGAAAAAGCAACCGCGAACGAAAAGGGAACCTACTCATTAACTCAAATATCTGTGGCAGATCCTTCAACGGTGCTTTCTTGAACGGCGCCTTGATAAGCCCTCTGGCGAAGAAGTCTAACGCTTCGACGCCGTCCTGGCGGTTTCCGACATAACTTCCCTTGATGTTGATCATGCGGACGACAGTGGTGAACACGGGGGCCTTGAGGAAAGCATTGGCCGGCAAGCCGATTGCGACGACGGAGCCGTGCGAGCGTACGTACTCGGTTGCTTGTTGGAACGGCTTTTCGGCGACGGCGAGGAGGATGACGGCGTGGGCACCCAGGCCTCCGGGAGTGGCGGCTTTAACATCAGCAACGACATCGGCGGATTTGCTGAAGTCAATATACACCTGTTGATATAATCATCAGTCTTGCTTTTCAAATGGGATCGCTTTTCGGATAGGGTAAGGTAAGTGGAGTACCTCTGCTCCCAGCTGCTCACACATGGCTTTTTTTTCGTCACCGGCGTCAATGGCGATAGTGCGTAGCCCCATTGCCTTTGCGTACTGCTGTGCCAAAGAGCCCAAGCCGCCTCCAGCACCAACAATGGCGACGGTCTGTCCCGGGCGAGCACCGGACTCTTTCAATCCTTTGTAGACGGTGATTCCGGCGCAGAGGATCGGAGCAGCAGCATCTAGAGGCACGTTGTCCGGGATCTTTGAGGCCAATGCAGCCTTGCCGATAGTGTACTGCTGGAAGGTGCCATCAACTGTGTATCCGGACAGCGAGGCATGTGCGCAAAGAGGTTCGTCTGATTGCATGCACATTTCGCAAGAGAGACAAGAGCCGTTAAGCCATTTGATTCCAGCTTTGTCGCCGATCTTGAAGTCTTTATCGTCTACCAATTCGCCCTTGGCGACAACGATACCAGCGCCCTCGTGGCCGCCTACTAGGGGCATCTTTGAGGTGAGAGGCCAGTCACCGTTCATAGCATGAAGATCCGTGTGGCAGACGCCGGAGTAGTGCATCTTAACCAGGATCTCATCTGGACCCGGCTTCGGGACGGGAATCTGTTTGTAAACCGGGGGTGTGCCAGTCTTTTCGACCACTTGGGCCCACTGGACTTCGGGGATGGACATGGCTAAGATGATGTTCCGTAATATGGAATTGAAGAAATATGCGTAGATGGGAGAAGATGAATTGTGAGTGTGAGAATTAGAAAGTCAGTGTAAGCTACCAACATTCGTGAGAGCTGCTTATGCCATTTTATAACGCAAAGAGACTGAGGGGTGCAGCAACACAGTCTCCAGACCCTGTCTGTAACAACACCGATATGGCTCCACCCCAGTAGACACTGACGCAGTCGACGTGAGGGTTAACTGATCTCGCACAGCACCATTGCCCGATAGTCCTCCTTTCAACCGATAATTAGAGCGGGCGCTGGGCGTACAGCAACCGATTGGCAGCCGGATCGACCTGCCATGGCGAATGGGGGCGAGAACCAAGTAAACGTCATCCTGGAGAGCTTGACAGACCCGGGCCAGACTGCATAGGCGAAGACGTAGATAGACTAGGTGCGGATTTGCGGAACCGAGGTGGCTTGGAACTTGGTAGGATGACGGCGAGACGCGGTTCGGCGAAAGCCTAAGGTCTGGATCAGACCATACCTGGGCGCGATATCTTGATATCAGGTATGAAGTGGCGAAACAGCAGCCTTTTATAGCACGATCCCCCGGGGTCCCCAGAGATAATGGCGTGACAGCTTCGATTTCAGGGCCGTTGTAAGAAACACTCTGCGGAGTATGGAAGCGGACTGCGGGGGAGAGCCCGCTGAGTGGGACCATCCGGCAACCCCCGCTTGGAGATCGACTGTACAGTCTGTACCACTGCTAAGTAGACATGCCAAACAAGTTGAAACCACATAGGAAAGCTCCGGCCATTCGCTTGTATCTTGTGGCTTGGCTCCTGGATCGCACCGCATGGTGCCATCTGCTAATCTGGGAAGTTACCTCACTCAGTCGCACCCGGTTCCGCGTGATATTTTATCATATTCTCTACTATATGCTAAATCCAATCATGAAGCTTACCTGCACACCATGAGATGCAACCAAGCATCCCATCTAGTATGCCGTAATACCAGGTGCCCACAGCCGAAGACAACGCAACCGTCCCAAGCCGGCGGTACGGTCGTATGACCAGTCACTGACAGCTCAGTCATGTACTACTCACCTTCTCATCCGATCCTAACTTTTTGCTCTCGAAGTTCGTCTCAGAAGGTGCAGAGGATGGCGGCGATGAGCCATTTACCGTCATCTGGGGGCCTTTATACGTCTTGCGCGCATACAGCAAATAATACAGCAACGCGCCACCCCAAAGCGCACTGTTGATAACGACAGTATAGTTCATATCGTCCGCTAAAAGCACCAGTCAGCAAGGCCACACTCGGTACCTAGGGACATCTGGAGTAACATACGAGTCGGATCCGGGCCCAGTGTCGGGAACATGCTTAGCAAAATGGCAAACGCCAAATAGACAATCGCCGTAACTGCAATCGGCTTGCTGAACTTCCCCGTATAGAATACACCTGGGTGAAACCGCTCCTGACCCCAGACCAGCCGGCACAGAATGGGCATCAGCCAGGCGAGGTCATTCCCGGCAACTGCTAGGGAGAAAAGTGCACTGCTGGCGGCGGCGTTGATGAGGCAAAGAAGGCCGATGATTATGGCTGCTGCGACGACACCCCAAATTATCCGAACGGGCTGATAGCGGATGCGTTTGCTAACATGGCGGAAGTAGGAGGAGAAAGGGAGGGCGCCATCACGGGAAAATGCCCAACTTTGGCGGGAGGCGGCGACAACCTGGGATACTGGTTAGTGGTCTCACTCTGTAAAATTAGATATGGGATTAAGGACGGAATGGAGAGGGAGATACCAGGCTCAGTCCCATGAAGAATTGGACTGCTGCTACGACGGCCATGAAACCGAGGGCACCGGGCTTTCCCAAGCAGTCATAGTAGATCTTCGGACATAGTTCAGTATGGCAGCTATCATAGGGTGGAAATAACTTACTTGAGCCATCGGCTGGCCGAAGGTCGTCCCCATCACAGCATCCAAGTCCGTGTTGATGACCGCCGCAATCACGGCCAGAGAAAGAAACCCTAAGATGCCACATAGCCCACTAGACCATAGTATGCCTAACGGAACAGCACGGGCAGCATTCGTAGCCTCCTCGCTCATATGGACACAGGAGTCAAACGCCCCGATTGTCCAGATAGGCGAGAGCCAGGCAAGCATAAATGCCCACCCGCTCGGCCATGTTGTAGAGTTTTCCAATTTTCCGAAGACATATGATCCCGAGTTGATTGTTCCGCCGTTGACTGCCTTACCAATAGGTAGCGCGAGAACTGTCGCTATGACAAGACCAACATTGGTCACAATGCATACGGACTGGATCTTTGGCATAATTCTGGCGAAGAAGGTAGCGATGAGGCCATGGACGACTACACAGCCCACGTATGTCCCATAGACGACCGGTCGAGAGGCAGTCCAATTACCGTCTCGCGCGATGGATATGATGGCCAGCAGCATGGTTGCAAACCCGTCTATATCGTCAGCCAGCGGCCTCCAAGCAGTATTCGCCGATACTCACAGTCAATGGAACAGACGCCCCCAATAAGCCCAAGGGTATTGCTATACCCAACAACGAAACTTAAAGGATTCTTCCACTTCTCACCACTGAAATAGTGTGTCCAGAAATAGAGGCCACCAGCGGTAGGCATCGCGGATGCTAGGTCGGCCTTTGGAGAGGATCATCCATCAGCCCTATCCTGGATTGGAGGTATAGAAGTAAGGATAAGCCTACCATTGCCAGCCCTACAATGAAGATAAACACACTGGCAGCTAGCCATCCTGCGCCTATCATCAGACATCATAACAAGCGTGCCTGATTAATCTACCGAGCAACTCACCCTACTTGAGTCAGCTAACCGCCTCATCATAATAGAAGCAGTAACCTACCCAAACCATCCCCACCGGACCAGCAGGTATAGAAAACGATAGTGTGGACGCAATCGACGGCAACAGGCCCATGATACTGAATGCAATGGCAAAGACCTGGACGGTCGAGTAATGCCGTCGCAACTCCTGCTTGTAACCCAGGGTTGCTGTAAACTCGCATATTAGTTGGCGAGATTCGCTCATTCGCTGTGAACCGGATAGATCTAACCGTACCTAGCAATTGCGTATCACCTCGCTCAACGGCGGGCTCATCGCTCGCTTGAGCGGGTCTCTCAGTCTTCTCGAAGTCTGTCATGGTCATACAGATTTCTCAGGATGCCAGAATCAGATTCAGCCCGAGGGGGAAACGGGAAGAAAGCATCACCGGAGTGAGGGGTGAAGAGCTTAAATGAGATAAGGCTATCATGCCAGCATGACGCATGTCAGCACGAATCCAGTGACCCAGCAAGGGACACGCGGATCGACCTTCAGCATCTCTCCGTGAGTGGGACGAGATGGTATGGAGTAGAAGGACAAGACTATTGTTCTTATCGGTGATGGGAGGTGCAGTGGCCAATCTAGACCTGCAGCTTGATGATAAGAAGCAGTAGCGTCGGCTAGTCCGAAGGTCCAACGGCTTGGTCTGGGGAGTTCAGAAATTCCGGCAAGGATATTTCGTATTGAAGCCCGCGTGGAAATTGCTTAAACAGGGAACCCCTGCTTATCGGGAAGTAGGCGTAGTCGTTCCGACCTGCTTAGACTTACTCCGTAGAGGCAATGTTATCTGTGATCTACTCTGTACTATACATACCATTACAATCTAACCTACAACCGCCATGGACTTATAGCGACAGGCCCAAATGCGCAGGGAACCCAATCCAAAATACAGAGCTACTATGAGCCCAACACGCAAGAAACAAAGTCAGGATTCATAAGTATACATAAAGGCCGAGGTCTAAACAGCGCCAGGCCCCTTGTGGTTCGACTGGTCCAGCAGAAGACGGGGCTTGATATAATCTTCGTCCAGCTGGCGGAACCAGGCGACGTGATCTCCTGAAGGTCCGCCAGAGAACAGGTCTCGGATAGCCTCCCGTGCGCTTCTCCCCGCTTCGCGCCGGGATGGAGACGCGCCATCTGGTGGGGTCTGCGATGACGCCGGGTGCTGTGGAGGTTGAGACGGTGATCGGCGCATTCGCGTCGGAGCAGCAGGAGGCAGGTCATCGTCAGAATGCATATCGTCTACGTCGAGTTCGAAGGCATCCGGGTGGTCGTGGTCCAGTGCCCGGCGCTTTCCAGAGGACTTCAAACCGAACTCGTCCTCGCTACCGTCCTCGCTGCCGCTACGGCTTCCAGGACGGTTGCCTAGCAGGGTAGCAGTCGTTGAACGGTCGCGCGGTGTCTGCGTGTCCTTTGGACCAAAGGCGTCTGAGTACATTCTTGAGTGTCCTACTCCCGGGCGCGACGATGATGGCGGACTAGGGCGGCGGCTGTTGCCACTCGAGTAACTATTGTTTCGGTCGAGGTCCCTCCGTGACACTCCGTCAAGCGGGATGTTGTCTGGACGGCGAGGCGTGTATCCCAGCCCAGTATCAGAGCGCTTATAATATGTGCCTCCGTTGGATACCTCGATATCAAACTCGTCGTCAGACTCAAGTTCTTCAACAACGCCTGTCCGGATCCCAAGGATCTCCAGCATGCGCGCCGTTGTTCCTCCGAAGATGATGACAGTAATCACCACAACGACAAGGACAGTGGCGCGTAGAGCTGGCCCATTCGCACCCTTCAGACCTGCCGCCAGTGCTACCCCGACAGCGCCACGAAGTCCGGCCCAAAAGAGCATTGCTTGATATGCGAATGGCAGCTCATCAGCCACTTCCACTCCCCGTCGACGTGCCCTATACCGAATGAACCAATTAATGGCTCTTGACAAGGGGAACACCGCAAGGTATCGGGCAAGACAGATACCGACGACCGCGACTAGAATAAAGAGAGGTTTGAACTGCACATCCCTCTGGACAAGCAGGTCAAGGCCCAGGTAAATGAAGATAAAGTTCTCGGACAATTGCGCCATGACTTGGAATAGATACTTCGTGGTCAATTGCGTCCGGCGGGACATGTTGTAGTAGGCATAATGCTTCAGGGTGATACCGCAGAACAAGAGCGACACAATTCCTAGGACTATGAGTTTCCCGTCATCGAGCAATCAGACTTCAATGACTCACCTGACAGCAGAACACCGTTAGAGAAAAAGTAGCTCGCGTAAGCTATGAGCACAATCAAACAGCTCTCAATCTTAGGTTGACGACGGACGTGGGTGTATTTCAGTCCGAGGGCCGTCATGATCCCTACAATCACGCCTACCAGCATACTGCCAAAGAAGACCAGCAGGAACAACCCGATAGCCTCGAATAGATTGAGGATGGATAGAGAACCTGCGTCACTCTCCGCATACTTCTGCGCCGTCTCAAACAGGACAATCGCAATGGCATCGTTCAATATCGACTCACCAAAGATGACGGTGTAGAGCTTCGGTTCGACCTTGTAGAGGTTGAAGATGGCCAGAATCGTGACTGGATCAGTCGCAGACAGCGTAGCACCGACAGATATGGCCTCGACGAAGCTGATACTGAATCCGTCCAACGGAATCCTTGTCCAAGCAAACAAAACCAGCCCAAGCACAAGAGCCGAGATAAAGGTTCCCGCAAACGCAAAGGTGAGGATTGTTCCAATATTCCGGAAGAAGTTCGCTTGATGTAGCTCGTAACCGGACGCAAGAATAATCGGAGGAAGGAGCAGATTGAAGAAGAACTGATAGTCGAAGGCGACGAAGTTCGTAATGGGCGAATCAGTCAGTCGAATAATCAATCCGACGAACATACCTAGCTGCTGATGAGCACCCTTATTGCTTCCGGTATGAAGTCCAATGAAGCAAGACGAGAGATACATACCCCCAAATATGGACAGGACCGTTTCATGTACAGCCTCTATCTTCCGCTGCTGCAGGATGTAACTCGTGAACAGAGCGAGCATCAGCAGGGTGATCATAATAAAGAGCGCCCAGGAGCTGAAAAACTCCTTGGTGCCGGCTTCGGGTGCATCTCCTGTAATCAATTGTATCAGACCCGGCCACAAGTACTAGTATATCCTCGATGCGAAAGGTGGGAGATGCGAAGGGCGAGAGGGGCTCGAGGCGCGTACCATCATCGGGATCTGTATCATAATCCGCAGCTCTCCCTACCAAACACAAAAGCGTTAGCGTCTGACTTAATCGGGAAGCTCAAGAGAGTAGCAAAGATCATAAGAGAATAATGCGCATGGTAGGAACGCATACGAAGGAGCGAATGAAGAGCGTCACCCATCAGTTGGCCAGCCATTTTGATGAAGTCGTTGTAACCACCACGGCGATGACGCTACTCAGCGGTTTACTCCAGCGGCGATTTTCTGACACCAGTACGATGCGCACATAATAATCCGCAGGCACAGAGATGATGGAAAGAATCTGAACAAACAAGGGTTTAAGGACGAAAGGCGAGTTGGAGTCTAGAGTTTGGACAGGACAAGTTTCGCCAACGTTTCCTAGGTCGGGGATTCCCGCCCCAACTGTGCCTGTCCGCAGCCACGACGCGCAAGGCCGCGCGATCTTCATCTTATCACTCCGCTAAGCGCCGGCTCGCTATTCATCTATTATTGTTTCCTAATGGGTTCCATATTCCAAGCCTGGTCCGCTACTAATTGGGATTGAGATCAGGACCTGGGACCTATGGTAGGGCTGAAGCGGCTCTCTTTGTTGACCATGGTGGAACTCGTTCCATCCTTATCAGTCGGAATGTGCTACGGAGTCTATTCTGAGACATAAAGGCAGAACGCCAGAACCTATCCTCGACGCCAGGCCACACATGTGAACGGCGGTATATAATCTTATCATTATAGCTATTTCTGTCTCTTCCCCGTCGTTCCCTCCGAAAGTCGGCTGGTCAACCAAGCCGCCAGCAGTGCAGCACACCCACCAAACCGCAGAACCCATCCCACACTGTCATCGTAAGGCTCTCCCCGTGGTTTTTGGAATGCTTTGAAGATGGCACTGCAAATCAGGCTCGATAGAACCTGCGGTGATGACACGGCTACATTATGAAGCCCAAGGACAATTCCCGCCTGTGCCAGATCTTCGTCTTCCGCTGCTTTCGGAGACCTTGAGGAGCCAGTCTCTCCTTCATTCTCATTCTCATTTGCACCGCGATCTCGGCGAGCTGATGCTTGCTCATCAAACGTCACCATTTCTGACCTGCGGCGTCGGACTCGGCGCTCTTCTTGTAGAGTCGCCACCTCGGCAGAGATCAAAGCAAATGGCGCCCATAGCGTCAGGGCCCATGATATGCCGATTAGACCGACTACTATTGTTGCAGCAGCAACTGAGCTGATGAAGAACGTGCTGAACATACACAGGGCGAAGAGCATCTGCGAAAGAAGCCAAGTCCGACGCAAGGTGAGACCAGGAATCTGCAACTTCGACAACCACGCCTTGCGCTTTGCTGAACGCCGTGCTTTGCCGCGAAAGACCTCCGGGTGGAGCTCCGAGACCAGCCCTACTTCGATATCTGTGCTGGATTGCCTTTCGACTCTTAGACAAGGCTCTGCCTCGTGTCGAATGCCCGTCTCACTGATGTCGTCAGAGATCACGGGCTTGTATGTCGGGACAACGAAAACGGGAAGGGCTATATTGGCAATAAACGAGACCAATGCATATATAAGAAGGGCCAATGTTCCAACCCTTGTCGCCTTTTCCCACGCCTTGTCGATATCAGAATCTGAAAGATCTGGGTGTTTGTCAAAAATAGGATTGACGTAGAGCTGGCCGATGTACGTCGTTGCGTAGAAGAGAAATGGAAACCATGCTATCCATGCAGCAATCTGCACTTCGCAGACCTTGGTAGCTTGAGGTGGTAGATGTTTGATCGATTTAAAGACTTGCTTGAAAAAGCCAACCACACCCATGCTTCCTGATGGTGGCGGCCCGTCTAAACGGGGGTCACGTTCCTGGATATATGAGCAACTGATCAGGAGAGTCACGACTAGCGAAATCGATGACAAGGCACACAGGATCTGAAACCGGGTGTGTCCTAGAAACGGGAATAACTTTGGTAGGTTGATATATCCGAGAATATATCCGATGATATTCCCTACGCCGGTCATTCGGCTGGCCCAAGCATTAGCAGACTCCTGCTGATGCGCCGGGGCATTATCCACAATGAAGCACCGAATGCCAGCCTGGACTATATGCCGTTAGTCTCAAGTTCTATCAAACAGTGCGAGCAGACATGCTTACCAGTATTTATCGCAAAATCTAAACACCACATAATCATGGTGGCAACAACAATGACCGTTATCTTCGCTCCCTCTGACTTTGAGTCTCCGCCGAAGACCGCGAAGATACCGCCCACGGCCTCTTTAACCCAAGCAAGCGCAAGAAGAGTCGCAATCGTCACTGCGCCTCCAACTACCATGAAGGGCTTCCTCTTACCCCATGATATACGGCAGTTATCGCTGCGGATCCCAATGTACGGCTGCACCAAGGTCCCAGTAATCGGGCCTGCAATCCAAACAAAGGCAAGAAGAGCTTTGCTCATTCCAAGTGACAGAAGGTAGGGCTACATGCAAAGCCGGGTCAGCAGCTATCGTGAATCGACGACATCCAACATCGAAGATTGCACTTACCGAGCCACTTGATAGCTCAACTGACCACACAACCTGAAGCCTAAAATATCAAATCAGTTCTGGCCATTACGAATGGTCTAGTAGACTAGTATAGACCAGGAATGTTGGGCCCGTCAAGCTAAACATAGAAATTACGTACCCGCCGATACTCAGAGTCAAGAGGAACAGATACCAACTGCTCTTCGTCTCAGGCCTCTCAGGAGAATCTTCAGTTCCAGTGATGCTTCCAGAGCCGTTCACAAAGGTTATCGAGTCCACGTCAGCATCGTCAGAAGTTCTTGCTCCCACCAAAGGGGAAGTCTCGTCGGCAGCTCGGTCCATCGCCGCCATACTCGGCGCAAGATCTTTTTGTAAACTGTGTGTCGGACAAGAGAATCAACAGCCAGGGTCCAGCGACCATATATCAGAGGTCGTGGTCGAAGATCGCGAGGTAATACATCCAACCGGGATATCCCTGATCTAGTGGAGACGCGTGCGTAGGAGCTCTTTAGAGCAGTGTATGTCTAGTGTGCATCGATGCGGGTGAAAACATGCGTCTTTCGTTGTTTATATCAAGGCCAAATCGCGCAGATATCAGGCGCAAGATCTCGATCAAGCTGGGCAAGCAAGGCACCGGACTGCAAAATAATACGGAGTAATGGCGCTGATTGAAGGAAGCCCAGCGATGATGTCGTGTGACAGGACGCCAGTCACGTGTATGACGTTTGCTCCAGGCAGAGCCAGCGTCACCCTACCCTACCAGTATACGGCACGGGAATCCAGAAAACGACATGGAATAAAATACACGAATATCTATTGACTTAGTTTGTTGCTATGTACGTACACGACCGGATCCATCCCACCTTTCACACATAAAAACTTCGTAAATCGGAAATGTCTATCAATCGGAAATAGAAAGCAGTTTCAGCGAGAAGCCCCAGGCTCCTCTGGCTTAAACAAGTCTCTCGACAGCCTCATGCTGCCGCTAGACTGAATCTTTGCTTATCAAAGCTTGCGTGTCGTGGTATATTCCGCATTTGATCCCCCTTGTCCTTTTCAAAGCATATCAACCCGAGATTTCCAACAAACCCTTGGACAAAGGAAATGGGAGACAAAAGGAGATGACAAACAAAACAATACACAAATAGCACAAAAAGCAAGCGGAGGTACTATGAGACAGGCCCATGCACGGATGTCGCAACCCAAATATAGACCGCATAAAGAATACGCCGGGTCTGGACGCAAACAACAAATTGAAGCAAAAAGGCATGGGCGCCAAGGGCAGACCACTAAATCTGCCCGGTCATAGAGGGTATGTTGAAGACGTAACACCAAAAGGACATAACCCCTCAAGAAAAGCCGCAAAACATTAGGTACGTATAGTATGAACATAGCCATATTAGAACATTGAAAAATGCAGCCACGATAAGTGGAAATCGCAACCCCACTAGATGTGTTGTTGCAAAAGTTGGGGAGCGATCATGTGAGGTCCCATCATTGTACCCATTGTAGGTTGGAGAGCCATGGATGATGGCATGGTCGTCATTCCGTGGACACCGGGTATGGCGTGGACAGATTCAGATGGTGTCTCGTCCTCGTCTTGAGAATCAGACTCATTGTCATCGTTTTCCAGATCATCCTCGTGGACTATCGGGTGACCGTCCTGCTGAGCCTCGTGGATGCGGCGGTGCCTAGAATACTTTGTAAGGAAGACGATACTGAGTTCGAAAGGCGGTGGAGACTTACTGAGCTAGGTTATCAGACCTAGAAAATGCCTTGTTGCAATAAGGGCAAGGGTATGGTCGCTCTTGAGTGTGGGTCCTCACATGCCTGAAAGCTAAGAGTCAGCGGGCGGCTAGGGAGATTGTGACAAACCCGCATAATGTCATGGGAAGTGAAAACCAATCATATTGCAAGGTAGCAGTGGTGTATAACTTACCGTTTCAGGTGCTCTAATCTCTTGAAAAGTCGGCCACAGGAAGGAATCGGGCAAGAATGAGACTTCTGTGGGTAAGGGCCAAGTTCCATCATGGTTGCACTTCGGGCGCGGCGAACGGGTCCAGTTGCATATCGGTCGCCCTTGTGTCCGATACTGTTGTGGACAGTTGTTTCCATGGTTCCGTTTGTGGGGAGAGCTGACAGATCATCGGCGTGGGCAAGGGGCATGGAGCTCTGCTCGCGGTGTTCATCCACATTGGAAAGAGGTGTGCCGTTTCGCGACATTTCCTGCATCAAGTTCTTTTGGGGTAGAGCTGCAGCACCGTAAGCCCCAGTAAGGGAACGGTGCAACGACTCATGGCGCGCATCATCCGTCTCACCTGGAGCAACGGAGCTGGAAACAGAGCGTCGCAGGTCACTCGGCCTATGGGCCGCATACGAGAGAGCAGGGGCAGGCGAGTGGGTGCCAGTAGTCACAGGGTGGGCGGCGCCGGGTGGGATGGAGGATCGACGCCGACGTTGCTTGTAAGTGGGCGACCCTTCTAGAACAGAGTAAACATTGGAGTGGAAAGTCCGAGCCGGTGTAGGAAAATGCGCACTTGCGAGGTTAGATGGCGGAAGGTGCATCATAGGGTTGAAACCCGCCCCGGTAGACATTTCGGGGATTGCGGTGTACAAGCCCGTGTCTTCGTTGGCAATGTAAGCAGGCTCTGCCCCCATGTGAGAAGTGTGTTGCGGGGGTGTAACAGGCTCGAACGATAAGCCGCGGTTGCTGTAATCCTCATACTGCGACGAGACAAATGACGGCGCCGGCGAGTATTCGACAAATGTGGGCATTGAAGAGTGGCGCTGGTGGATGCGAGAAATGGGCATTCCGTTGCGATCGTACTGGATCGTGCCGTAATCCGCCTCGCGTTTAATAAGGTTCTGAGTTAGAGGGTTGGGCATCGGAATCGATGTGTACATCTGGTGATTGACCGATTCGTCCGTGAGAAGGGGGATCGACGGCGGAGCCATCTGGGGAGCCATCTGAGGAGGAGGCATTGCGTCAACGGTCCGAACGACTGGGGATGCAGATTGGCCATATGTCGTACTTGCGTGTGCAGCAAACGATGATGAATTCGCTTGTTGTGCCTTTGTGAGTTGCTCGTACAGCGACTGAGACGAATCAAACTCAAAAGACAGAGCAGGCTCGCTAACTGCGACGGTGGTGGCTTCCTGGCCCATCTTCTCCCTCTTTAAATCACGCTCCAACGCATCGAGAAATAGCCGGTCGTGGGGCACACTGTACCAGTAGAAGACCTTCTGCTTTTTCTGAGTACGGATGCAGTTGTTCTTGTAGAGGAAATCGAGAAATGGGCTTTTCGGTTCTTCGAGTGTAGCATCTGTCCCAGCCTTCAGGTTTCGCAGGTCGGAAAAGATACCCTCCTCGAACTTCTTTGAATTTTTGACAGGGCGTCCAAAGGCTTGGAATCTGAAAGCAAGGCAGCGAACGATGTCTGTTCCTGAGATGTGGAAAAGGTTGCTCCTAGAGATGAAGGTTAACAGGACACGAAGAAAGTACGTTTGACAGGTACACTAACCAAAGTACACAAGAGATGTAATCGCCAGTCGGGAGAAGGAATCTCCGGATGAGCTGGTCTGGCTGCCAGTCTACTGGCGCCGAAAGAAGGAAGTATTTCACTTGATCACAGTTAGTCGGATGACGGCGAGAGCGTTAAGTTAAGAGAAGTCCCTCTTACAATTATCGACTTGTTGAAGTGCAACTTGCGCATCGTGAGGCAGGCTCTGTTGCGCTTCGTTTGAAAGCATGAAGGTCTCTGGCTTCTGAGGGGGCGCCATCGGGGCACCGTGTTGAGGGTACATAGTCGCGACCTAAAACAAGAGAAGCGTTAGAGCAAGTAACGACCATAAGGCCATCAACCGTGCCAGCGCAGCCAACTAGCAGCTCGCGACGGGTGGACCGAGTAACACCAGGACAAAACATACGTCAGGTTAGGTACTCCGTCGTCTCAAGTCGTCAATAGTAATAGGTTCTCGAAGGACAGTTGTATATTAGGCAAAACGAAAAACGTTTTATACGGCGATGATGAGATGTTGTATAAGAAACAGCGATCGCTGGAGGAAATGCAGAGGCTATATTCAAACACAATCCGAGGAACCAGCCTCCTGCAGAAGATGTATTGTTAGAGACTGACGCCGGTAATAGCTTCGATCACAAAGAGCTGCGACACGACAAAAGGATAGATAAAAGAAGGGGTAGAGAATGAACTGGGCCAGCCCGTTTCCAATTCTCTTTGAAGAGCTCGCACGGCGAAATTGAATTGAAACGAAGGGATGAGAAGGAGAACGGATGGCGGCAAGTCGCGATGGGATGGGGGCAGAGGAGGGGAGGAGAGAGAGAAGAGATGGACTGAAGGAAGACTTGCTTTTTCAGAGTGTTGAGAGAGTCGGTTTGGAAGCCGGGGGGGGACGAGAGGAATAATAATAAGCCTTGTTATTATTATTTGGGACTAGAGCCAGATGCTAATAATAATGCAGAAAGGATAAATAAAAATAAAATAAATAATAATGAATGATTATGATAATCTGAACCAGCCAGTCGTGATTAATGCTGAGGGGTCCGAACCAAAGAAGAGTTCAGGGAGCAGAAGCCACGGGGACGATGGATCGTATCTTCTTCAGGCTCGCTTTCTCTCTGGCTGGCTCAGGTGATGGCCGCTGCAGAGGCTGGGCTATTGAAGGCGCACAGCAAAAAGAGGCCGTCCGAGGACTGGGCAGTCTGGAGCAAGGAAAAGCGGAGCAGCTAGAGACCGATACAGGCCCATACCAGGACCTCTTCCAAATAACCGGGAATAGAAGGCCATTGTAAGATACTTTGGTAAGGCGCTGTCACGTACTACGGATGGATCACAGAGTTAGTGGGCCCCCTTTCGGGTCCATCAACAACTGAAGTCATTCTGATTTGAAGAATATTGAGCAGATCTGTTAACTGAGCCGGCTACCACACCGAGTTACTGTCGGATTCTCCTCCTTGTTGGGTTAGAATGCCTCCAGCATGCTCCGGAGCATGAGGAAGCTATACGGAGACAGTGGCTCCTCGAGTCTTCGAGTCGTCGAGTCGTGAAAGGGGCACTATACATAGCTTAAAGAACACTGTAGCTATTTTCAAGGTGAAAGCAGTCAAAGCACCAATTTCGAGAGCGTATAGGCAATTGGAAAATGAGGAATCAGAGCACAATCACAGACCTTGCGGAGATTAGATGCCCTTCTGGAAGGCCTGAGAATTCGACACAATGACAATCACTTTTTGACCGTTTAGTCACCGTTAAAGGTCGTTGTGCCGTAGAGCTACGCCCGGATCGACAGCGCACTTACTGCTTCAAGCACGTTCCTCAAGCGGCCCATCATGCCTAGCAGAGCACTCAGACTTCAGTACTCGAAACCAACAAGTAGTGGTAAATATGCTGAGTCTCGAGGCTCAGGGCGGTTGTATTTGCAACAAGAGTCGAAGCCCAGGACATTCTTCTGATTATTTGTCAATACAGACACCTATGATACTCCAGACTCCAGTCAGAGCACAGGCAAATGGGGGAGTTGGTATTCAGCGGCTAGATTGAGTGCCAAGAAATCGAGTGCGAGTCAGGAGTCGAGCTCTGGTGGAGCCAAACATGCCAAGGCAGCGCAAACATCATCAAACTGGCGCCGGAAAGAATCGTGAAGTATTTACCCCTTGTTTCAGTGTTGAGCGCTTACCTGTGCCCAATCAACGAGTGCTCATGCTTCTTCGCGGTGGCCCCTGTCCTTCAAGGCCCTGTCCATGACTCCATATCCACCGACGAATCCGATGGGTCATCTGCGCTCTCGGCCATTCGATCCTTGCCATATCCTCCGATCCGTGATATCCACGTCTTCCCTTCTCTTACTCGTTTTGGCATGGATACTGTCGTGTATCCTGTGAACAGCATCTCGAAGTACCGTCGTCGAAGCCAGCAAGCATTGAAGCCGAAATCTGGACCAAGGCTGAAGCAGGCCTGCTCTGGAGGGCCGTTGCACGAACGGCTGCTTGCTCGGTGCCAGAGTAAGAACTTGGGAGCTTTTACGGGCGGTCATATTCAAAAGGATGCTCGTCCTCACCATGGGGCCGATGACTGACTCGAGCTATCTTCATGCTTGAGAAGACTAAAAATAGACGCATCGTACAATATCACTACCGCCACTTCGATCACTGCTTGCAATCATCATGTTAGCGGTTGTTAACCCGTTACACACCTCAGATCCGGTATAGCTCGACAGTTGAATCTCATTATTACAGGACTACTCGGACCCTTCAAGATCTCCTCCAGATCTTGTCCAGATGTGACCGATCTGAATTCCCGGGGGACAGGTCATCTCCAGCTACGGAGCATGATCTTCATACCCGGTATCAGGTCCTCAAGACGTTAAACTCTGGTGGTTGTGATTGTATGTACAAGTGAAGCCGTTTTCTCAACGGCGGCCGTCCTTCTTCTGATAACCGGAACGGAGTAGTATGATGATAGCCGTGGAATATGTTAATTCCTTGGAGACGGCACTCCGTACGAAGAGCAAGAATTGATCCATCGCCCATTCTGCATGCAGAGTGACCCTTTGCGGCGGCTAATCAAGGATCTCTGGCATGGTCTTCACAGGCGGCGCATGCTCACGGTGGGCCATATAGCCCCTTTTCACCCATTTGCAGATGGCAGGAGCCGCAGGACTGTCGAGCTGCTCGAGCAAAGTTAAAAGAGTCAGGCCATCTTGAGCAGTGGCTCGAGGAATCTTCAACCTGATTCGAGTCCTCTGGATCGACAGAGCATCGTCATAACAATTCGGGCTGTCTTCGGAGCCGATAGCCCTACACTACGTTAGTACTTCCCAGATTAGCCCTAGAAAGGTCATCTTAGTCTCCGTATTCAGTACGGCCCACTGAGTACTCTAGCCTCTAGGAATTGGAATTGAAGAGTGGGAATAATGATGGTCGAGACTCGCGAGGGAAGAGGAAATCCGAGCATTTCGTAAGAGCCGGAGAACAAATCCTGGAACTTTCTCCATAGCATCAATTCTCCGACGATTTGCCCAGCGAATTATTGGAGCCCAAGATACCCGCTATTGCTTGTCTTGAATGCCTTCAGCTGTAGCCTGTCCTCGTACACACAAAGGGTGCTCACTGAAAAGGCTGCACAGCATCTACTAACTATTTTGCTTTGTTTACTTTCAGGGGCAGGTTTTCAGGGACAAACCTAACACGCAAGCCCCGCGAGTCGCGTAGTCCGGTATCTGACTCGCTATAGCTAGGTAGGCGGAATATGTTTTCATCTCAACGCCTTATGCAAGCCCGGTGGGGAATATTTGAAATCTTGCAGCTCGAAACAATTGGCCGTGCACGAGACCTGGTTTGATCGCCCTGCCTGAAACCATCTAGAACATCCCGACGAAGTTCTAGGGACGACATCATATCCACCTTATACGACCATGGTCCGTTCTTACTAACAATAGAAGATGACATATTTGCACCTCAAGGCTCAAGGATTCCCACCAGTCCCAGCCTCCTCTTTTCCGCTTCCACGGTCCTCGACTTTTCCGAATAAATCTTGCGCTGTGACCTATAGGGTACAGCAACAGCTATGCACACTCTGTAACGAGTGGATACTGGACATACATACAACCACGGCAACTACTGCACTTCATGTGTGCGGGGAACATCTGAAGGGACATCAGACTGTCAATCCAGCAACCGAGAAGAAGACTATAACATGGCGTTTCTTGAGTCCGTATAATGCTCTACGCGTCTCCCGGGATTCAGTTCCCATGGATTTTCAAGAGAAGTTTCCCCGCAAGTTTGTCTTTTTAGATCTGTCCAGAACCTGGCGTCTTCGCTTAATCGCTATAATTGCTATACTTTCTGGCGCGACTCGACTATCTAGTCTAGTCCGTCTCTCAGTGGAATCCATATCCCAACTATCCACCATTCCAAGAAGTCACCTGGCACTGGCAGATGAGCTTCTCGGAACACCCGGATATATCGACTGTGGCGTCTTTTGGCCGAACATATCCGAGCTGTTAACGAAACACCCTCGGCAAGGTGCCCGGAGAGCGCAATTCTGTTCACTAACCTTGATCGCTGGCTATTATTATTAGAGTACGTTCTCCAGTATGTACTTCCTACTACAGTCATGCTAGTGTGGAGTACCAAAAAACCGGCTCCAAGAACTCCGGGGCGGGCTCTTCCCACGAAAGCAACGCGCAAAAAAAGCCAAGCAATACAGCACTAATTGTGGCTACAGCGTAGACCATCTGTGATGTCTATACAGTTGCTTCGTATGCAACCGCCAGTCCAGGGTATCCAGGTTTCGAAGTCAAAGAGGCTGCACCATGGCCGTATGCAACCGACGGCGACGGCGCCGCCTGTCAATCCTTCTGAGTTCTGACAGGCCCTTGCACCTTGCTAATGCAGGAATTCGTCGTGCTGATCCACGATTGCCTACCCCGCTTGCCTTTGGGTCTTGAAGAACAGCGCTCTGCTGCATGGAACTTGACTGTCACTGCTCCGTACCCAGAGGTGCGGATGAGTACCGGTGGCATCATCTATACACTTAGGGGGGGTGACTAGCAGAACCTGAAACGGCAGATAAATCCTCATTCATCCTCATTTGATACATGCAGGGCTCAGCTGGAGCTTTGACTCCGGAAAACCGCTCTGGATGGCCGAACCGTATCTACCTATGACGAAGTATAATCCCACCGTTGAGATAACAAGGTGTCATTGCGCGTAACGACTCCAAAATCCTAGCCACGTCTTTCCCCGCTTCCGATGTCATGGATGGGCTATTGAATTCCAAATGATGGACAGCTAAAAGTGCTTGGATTCTAGAAAGGAAGTCTGCTCCACGTTCCTGACTCGATAGACCTGATGGCTTTGTGGCAGCTTGAGCGGATGGTATCGATGTTCGAGATGCTTGACAGGCTGAATACGCAGTCTATCCAAAGGATCGCGATGAAGCACTTAGGTTTGAAAACGATTTACCTTGTCATGATACATGCTACCGCCATCGGATTAAACGACCATAGCAGATGGCAGCATCAATGGGACGTGAAAGCGAGTAGAAGACAAAAGAACTGAATCCCCTGTTCATAGCCCATGACTCGCCCTGGCATTAGATCGTTCACTAAATTCTATGAAGGCAGTTCAAGGAACTAAGTCTACGGCCATGTCCACTTCAAACGACGAGGGATTCCGAAGCAGGGAAGCACGTCAGGCCAGGCCAAAAATCTCAAACATTAGCGCCGTCGGAGATTTGGCTCTTTCTGGAACGGTACGCTTGTGTTGGCGCTAAACCAGAACGAGGCTGGGGGCGGGCCTTAAGGTTAGACCCATGTGGAAGAGGCTAAGTTTCAGGTTCCGTTTTCCAGGTACCAGAGGTTCGGCTTGGCATCAGAATAGGTGATTTGATCCGCGATCGAAATCGAGCTCAGAATCAGATGTCCCCCAGAACAGCTTTGACAAAGACCCTTCCGTGGATCGTTGCTCAAGTCAGCACACGTCTTGTTACAGACTGAGACGTGGAAATGCCAGTGGAGAAGAGGCACCGGGTTGCCTCATGCGGGAAAAGAAGAGATAGCCTAGGTGAGGCTGCACTGAGCACCAGCTTGATCAGTTCGACCGTTCGAGACCAGCTTGCGGTGGCGAGTAAGGTTAACCGCGCATACGGGCTTCAGAACACTCCGTCGCGTAGACCAATCGCCAGGTGTTCTATCGTCGGCCTCTGGTCTTCCCTCGGCCTCTGGACTTTCCGCCTCCTCGTCGTGATGCTTGGACGTGCGCAACGTCCCGTTTGCTCAGATTCAGGGTTCCACCTGCAAATTTTCCGATCGAAGGGCCCCCAACCCCTCGTTCCCGCCGCCCACCACTAATCTGCTTCTTGGGCGCGGGCTTCTCGAGGATGATCCCGTTCTCTCGAGCCTCCCGGCGCCGCTTGTCTTCCTTTGAAACAGCCTTAGCTTTGATTCCCTTTCGCATTGATGATGGCATGTTCTTCTGGTGGTAAAGTGAGCTCTTAGCCCCAAGCTCTTGCATTCTCAGATCGAGTGCCTTGTGCCGGTTCTTGCCTGTCGGCGCAAGATCCGAAGCTGACTCCAAGAGATGGGACTCTTTCAGCAGTCGCTGGAGCGCAAGATCATTCTTCAAATTGAGCGACTCAACATCTTTGTCTTCTTCGTCGTCCACGGCTTTCTTTGAGAGCTCCGTAGTAGTTAAGTCTATATCGAATGAAGGTGGTTTCGATGTCTGTTAAGCCAGTATTAGCATGAACCAATTGCGCGCACGAGTCACTTCATGCCTACCATAAACGCCTTTCGAGCTCTCTTGTCTATGATGTCTCCAGTAGGGCGAGAAGGAGCCTGATACTCGACTACTTCAACCGGAGCGTTCTCCTTCTCTTCTTCAAGACCGCTCCATTCGGACTCGGACCCAGACTCTTCTTCTTGGCTATCTCCATCATACTCGTCGTCGTCGTCGAATTCCACTTCAGATTCGTCCTCGGCAGTGCGCGCTTTAACATCTAGAGGCTGAAATTGGGCTTCGAAGAATTTGCGGAGTTTGTCTTGAGCGCTTGGTTCGGGCGCGACCGGAGATTCCTCACGGTTACCACCCTTCTTTGGCCTTGACACCGCGGAGATATCCCTTTTCCGTTTGCCAATCATCTCTGAAATATGGAGTCGTAGTTCCGTTGTAGGGAGAGTTGATCAAGGAAAAACGGTCATAGGCAACTTTTTTTCCCGATATAGTCACGTGCGATAGTAAGAACCCGCTTATCGCCCGCTTGGAGGGGGGTTTTAGTTAAGCCTTAGAAGTAACCCCTCACCAAAGACAAAATTGCAATTGAACAATTGAACAGAGACAGATTACTAGAAGGAAGGGGAACCTAAAAGCGCAAAATGACCCAATTTCGTCCCTGCATCGACCTCCACTCAGGGCAAGTCAAGCAGATCGTCGGCGGCACTCTAAGCAACATCGAGTCAGATCTCAAGACAAATTACGTTTCCAAGCTCCCAGCAGGCCACTATGCGGGCTTATACAAGCAACATAATCTCCGGGGTGGGCATGTCGTCAAGCTAGGGCCTGGCAATGACGACGCAGCGAAGGAGGCGCTTAGGACCTGGCCCGGGGGCTTGCAAGTTGCTGGGGGCATCACGGATAAGAATGCACAGTATTGGATTGAGCAGGGCGCTGAGAAGGTGAGTTTGCCTAATCGCATGGATTTGGAGCATTCCAAGTTCTATGGTGCCAGCATTAGACGCAAGGAACCTATTGGTCTCATGGATATATATTTACCAGTATACAGGTTATCATCACATCATTTCTCTTCCCAGAGGGCCAATTCTCTCTCGAACGGCTACAGGCCGTTCTTGCTGCACTGGGCGGTGACAAGTCGAAACTAGTCCTTGACTTGAGCTGTCGCCGAAAGGGCGATACGTGGTTCGTGGCTATGAACCGCTGGCAGACTATCACCGAGATGGAGGTGAATCAAGGTAAGTGGAATCAGTTTCAGTTCCCATTGCGGAGGGCGAAAGGCCATGCATCTTCCCCATTAGGTTAAAGAGGTCGCGCACTAACAGCACCACATAGAATCAATATCTCTCCTCGAACCGTACTGCTCCGAATTCCTTATTCATGCCGCAGACGTGGAGGGTCTGCAGCAGGGAATTGACGAGGAGCTGGTCTCGAAGCTCGCGGAGTGGTGTTCGATACCGGTTACGTATGCGGGTGGAGCACGGAGTCTGGAAGACTTGAAGAAGGTGCATGCTAGTAGTCGGGGGAAGGTCGATTTGACGATAGGGAGTGCGTTGGATATCTTCGGAGGCAACGGTGTGACGTTTGAAGAGTGCGTAAAGTGGAATAAAGAGCTTTGAGTTAAGCAGGCAAGAGTGGAGTAGTCATGCTTCAGGTTATATATAATGGTGCCGGTCTGTATAGAACAGACTGGATTGAATTCTTGATGTTTCATAACGGTTTGAATAATTCTATCGAAGCCAAAACAATATATACATACGGCGCACGAAGCAAGCCGGCCCGATACAAGAGCATACCAGCTGTCGTTTAGAAAGAAACGCTTCTCCATACGCCGGACCGGATCGGCAGACATTTGATGGCCGATTAGGGAATTGAGCCACGTCGGAGTCTATGCGTTAGTTGACTTTGAGGCCCATCTAGTGAGGGAATCAGCCACGTCCATCAAAGAAGCGATATCAGGCTCCAACAGCGCTCGCACGCGCGCCCCCGTCAAGCATATGCCGAAATCCCATGCTCGCTATCCAGATTAATCAAATGCCTAAGGAACACCGAAAACAAAAGAAAAGCGCCTAGCTCAGCGATATAGCTCCGCCCCGACGGGCCCGCATGTGCAGATAAGCCTGGAAGGCACAGAAAACGAAGAATCCCTGCAATATCCGCGGTCAGCTTGATTCAACCCTCCGACCTATTATGTGCCTGTAGATATGGTTCGAATTTGTCACAGAGAGAACAGAGATGCAACGTACGGCGTAAACTATAACAGCAGTAAAGATCGAGGCGGCGACCGCTCCGCCGTCTTCCGGTTCACCATCTGAGCCGGTAAAACCGTGGTGTTCACTCTGTTTGTGCGATTTGTCAGTGGTTGGGAGTCATATTCACAGCTTGCACGATGATTGGGGAGATATAGTTGATGCAAATCGAGACGAGGGACGAAGGAGAAAGGCTGCAATCAACGCACCTTGAATAGCGATCCAAGGACGGAGAGGATGACGATACCGAAGAGGGAGATGACCACGCTGTGGAACTCAGTACTCATAACACGCTATAATCAACGATATCGCTTCGATGAAGGATCATACCAGGCCCATGCGTTCATCACAGATACAACGGGCTTCATTGTGCTGGGTGTTGCTTCGCTGAAGTAGGATAGGTGAAAGGAGGTTGGTCTGGCGAAGACACGCTTGATGCAGCAGTAGTCGGGACAGAATACTTTGACGGTGCGCAAGTCCAGTGTCGAAGGAGAATAAGAAAGGAGAGATAACAATCTAGAATGGTGATGTCTAACTTGATCAACAGTCTGGCTGTTGTAACTTGTGAAGCTCCATGTGAGGAGTCTAGCCGCATTTAGCGTCCGCACTCTTGGCTCAGGCCTGGCCCGGGGGGCACTCTATATGCCCGGCTTAAGAGTATGCAAAAGCAATCTACTCAGTAGTGATACTCAGGAGTCCTAATCATGGATTGTAGTCGTGTTCGTGACATCAGGTAGCATTGTTCAATTATGCTCCTTGCCCAAATGATGTTTCTATCAAAGAGTCCCAAGGACCTTGGAAGTATATCGAGTCATGAACCCTTCGAAATTTATGTACAAACAGGCGAACTCTAGCCTGCTCTGAGCGCATCGCTGTGGATACTCAACATCACCGAAATCATAACCAGAGACCACTCCATAGAACGCCAACCAGTCTTGAAACAGAACTTTTGAATCTGCCTTCCTGCCTGAGGTATCATCAATCATAAATAGAAATAGCTTCGGCCTTCCTCATACGTTCAGAGTTCCTCCCCTTCAAACGGCTCCAACATTTTAGACATGTAGGGACCATCCAATGTATATCCAAGACGAGCGTAGTAACTGCGAACTCCAACGCCCGAAATAACGCTGATCTTTGTACTGCCGTGCTCCTCTCGGGCGATTCGCTCGGCCTCCTCCATCAACAAGGTTCCGAAACCCCGATGTTGAAATTTGCGCGGGTCACGTCCATGGAGCGGAACTGCAGAGCCGTACACGTGAAGTTCACGGATGATACTGGTTTGCTGCCCCGTAAATTCGGGACGGAATGTGTGCGTAGGACTGCATTTGCGCAGACGCAAAAGACCAATCAGGATGTCCTGCTTCGGATCTTCGTAGGCGAGGAACGTCTCCCAGCCCCCGTTGGCCGTATAGTCACGACGAATAAGCTCAATTTGAGACGGGCGAATCTTGTTCTTGACCTCATTGATACCGACCTCACGAGTACGAACGTCTCGACATGTTGTGCCGAAATCTTTCATGCGCGCTAGAGCCAGCTCCCGCAAATTTCCATTCTCGACACCCGACGTAACCAGCGGCATGGGGATATCTCGCTGAACGCGGTAGATACGGGTCCAAGGTGGGACGAGTGCAAGGATACGGGCAACAAGGTCGACTAGCGCATTAGGGGTATAGTTCTTGTAACGACCTGTTCTCCAGAGCTCGTACAAACCGGTACCGCGGATGACAAGTGTGGGGTAAATCTTCAAGCCATCAGTCCGGAAAGCCGGGTTCTCGAAATATTCTTCAAACTGGAAAAGATCGCGCTCCATGCCGACATTAGGCAAATCAGGCATCATATGACTGACCACCTTAAATCCGGCATCTTTCGCAAGCTTGAAAGTTTCCGCAACTGCTGCGACCGTGTGGCCGCGGTTCGTATCTCTCGCAACGTCCTCGTACAGACTTTGAACTCCAATCTCGAGTCTCGTGCATCCGTAGCGAAGCATGCTACTCAAATGCGTGTCCAGGCAATAGTCCGGACGAGTTTCAATGGTGATTCCAACGCACTTTATGTTACTCATTTCTCCCGCCTGGACTGCCTCGTCAACATTGTCCGTCTGATAACCACTGAGCGCATTGTGAAGTTGAGCGACAAAGGTATCTCGATATTCTGCGGGTAAAGACATGAACGTCCCTCCCATGATAATGTATTCGACCTTGTCGACACTGTGGCCAAGAGACTTGATCTGATCCACTCTTCCTCTCGCCTGCTCGAACGGATCGTATCGCGCGCGGATTGCTCGCATTGATGTAGGCTCATAACCGGTATAGGATTGCGTCGAATATTCGAAGTCGGAATCGGGACCGCCGGGGCAGTAGACACAAATATTTCCGGTGTAGGCGATATGAGGGCAACGGTGGGGTTTGCTCATCACAGCAACAACGGCGATACCAGATGACGTTCCTAAAAGCATGTATAAGCAAAGCGCCTTGGCTATGGAACAACGAATACATACTGATCGGCTTCGCAATCAACTTTGGCAGAATGTATTTCTTATAGTGCTCAGGGACGGCGGAGATGATGGCCGTCAGAGGCGGCTGGCTGGCCAAGCTATGCTTTTTTGCCATTTGACCCCGTAACTTGTTGAGGTTGATGTCCCTCTTGGGCTGCGTCGGGTCCTTTTGCGATTCATACTCCTGGATCAGAGCGTTCGCTATATCAGAGCATGCCCTCATATACCGTTCATTTTCCGGTGGCAGCTTAGAATTCTTCTTAGATTTGGGTGGCGGCGGGGCGGTCATTGTCATAGTAGCCATGATGAGAGGCTTCCTCGCGCAGCATACGAGGGGATGCTGGTCGAGAAACAGAAGGATAGCTGGGGCAGCGATTGAACTGTATCAAAATGTTGAATACCAGCAGTAGTGATGGTGGTTTGAAGTGGTAGCCCGCATCGGCCACTGATAGCGGAAGAAAAATCAAGGTCGACCGCCCGCGATGAATCGGACCGCTTAAAGCTTTCTCCCGAACAAATAGCCAAACCCGTGTCTCAAACATCGATTGCTGCTCGCTCTCTACTGCTATCCTTTCTTTCCACTACCCCCTCCTCTTTAATACCTTTGACTGTCAACTTGCCCGTCTAACGGTGCAATCTCCCCTCTCTTCTTGCTTCCCGTCTTTTTCCCTTCATTCCCGTCCGTCAGTCGCCATGCAAGCCTTTCGCCGGAACGCGGCCTCTGCCCTTCGCAACGCTGCTGCCACCCAGCGCCGCGCATACACTCCCGGTCCTTACGCCGAGACCGTCAACAACCTTCGCATCAATGCCGATACCAAGGTCCTCTTCCAGGGTTTCACCGGAAAGCAGGGAACGTGCGTGCTTTTCCCGGAATCTGCGGGATTAACAGCTATACATGATGCTGATATGCGCCGATAGTTTCCACGCTGAACAGGCCATCGCCTACGGTATATACTACCATACCTTTTAGAGCAGTTATGCGCGCTGCGTCGTTCTTGAAACGGACACTCACGCCTTCTAGGTACCAAGGTTGTCGGCGGTACCAACCCCAAGAAGGCCGGTTCTACACATCTAGACCTCCCAGTTTTCGCCAATGTTAGCGACGCTGTTAAGGAGACCGGTGCCACTGCTTCCGCCATCTTCGTTCCGTATGCCTTGAGTGAACTCCAGACTGCATGAGAAGTCAGCGCTGATGCTTGGAATTTAGTCCTCCTCTCGCTGCCAAGGGTATCGAGGAGGCCATCGAGGCCGAAGTGCCTCTGGTCGTCTGGTAAGTCTCGCCATATCTTTGGGAAAAGCGTATCTATGTCATTAACGGTGCTGGTATTTCATAGTATCACCGAGGGTATCCCCCAGCACGGTATGACAACAGCCATAGCTCGCATGTATCGTTCACTCTTAAACTAACGAAACCATGCTAGACATGGTTCGTATTACCGATATCCTGAAGACTCAGAACAAGACCCGTCTGGTTGGGCCTAACTGCCCTGGTATCATTGCTCCCGTAAGTCTCAGTGCTTGCCTAGTACATAAGAGCATCTTACTGATAACGTGATACAGGGTCAATGCAAGATCGGCATCATGCCTGGCTTCATCCACAAGCGTGGCCGCGTCGGTATTGTTTCTCGTTCTGGTACTCTTACATACGAGGCCGTGAACCAGACCACTCAGGCTGGCCTCGGTCAATCTCTCGTTGTTGGTATTGGTGGTGACCCCTTCTCTGGTACCAACTTCATTGACTGCCTGCGCATCTTCCTCGAGGATGAGGAGACCGATGGTATCATCATGATCGGTGAGATCGGTGGTAGCGCTGAGGAGGACGCTGCCGAGTTCTTCAAGGCCAACAACAAGCACAACAAGCCAGCCGTTGGTTTCATTGCCGGTATCAGTGCTCCTCCCGGCCGCCGTATGGGCCACGCCGGTGCTATCGTCAGCGGTGGCAAGGGTGGTGCCGACTCCAAGATCTCTGCTCTTGAGAGCGCTGGTGTTGTCGTTGAGCGTAGCCCGGCTGCTCTTGGCAAGTCGCTGCTCGCCGAATTCGTCAAGCGAGACTTGGTTTAAACTTGATTACGAGCAACTTCATTTTATATTACGGCAGGAGGTTGTGCGGGTCGCCGTCTTGATGCTCGGTTGACGATCAAAGTCGCCGTTGGAACATCGAGGCGATGATTGATATCTCCTGCTTTCTGCTAGATTCCCGCACTCCCTTTGAAGTTTTCTTGGAGCTCCTCTGTACTTTTCCTGTCCTTGTCATTTCATATGTTTAGAGAGGCGGTAGGAAGTAATTGGTTTCCCTGTGTAAATTTTGAATATCTTGTTTTGCATTTTACAGACTCGAAATCTGATACCAGTTATGACAGCTACGGGGAGGCGCTTGCTTTCGGTATACCACTATTAACACTTCATCAACTGGAGATCTCATTAATTGTCAACCCATTACGGTTTGATTCACACTCAATATATCGTCTACATGTTTACTAATAACAACTATTTCTGCATTAATAGTTGCCATAAGCCATGGTTGTATCAACAAAGTGACTATTAAATAATGTGCTTATACACCATATGCAGCCAAAGGGTGCAGCAATGATGCCTAAACAATGACGTTGGGTTCAAGGGCTGAGAATGAGTGAGGCTCTTTACCTTCCATAGTACTCACGTGACCAGGCACTGTCCTCGTTGCTTCAGAAACGAGCGACTCTTGTTTATTCCCATTCCCGCCTGCCTCGAGCATCACCAATCCAGCCCCAAAACGCCATGAGCCTGGCGCCCTGACAGAGTGTGTCGTCGACTAGCATATATCGGAGTGCTTTAATCCCTGTGTTTTTATTCTGTCTGAGGTAATATCCTGGCGGTGGCACTGGAGTCGGCTCTGAAAGAAGGATCAAAACAGACGGGCGCTATTAAACCTATTATTATTGCCCGTGGTTACCCACTGTTTTGCACCTAGCAACGAGTGATCCCCAAGCAACACCACTATCCGACGTCCTGTGTGCGATAGCTTCTGGAAAAGGAAGATGCCTCCCGAGCTTGGTAAGGCGTTGCATTTCCCTGCAGAGTACCTGCTTCGCTTCTAGTCATCCGATGTTATCCCGGATAGAATTGATCTCTACTTAAGCGTCGCTGACCCGCGGTGACACCAGGTCGCGCAGCTTCTCTGTCTTCTAGTGCAGCCTCTCAATCTACCCAAATTGCCATTTCTCATAGTCGTCCCGGCACTGCAGATCTCATGAGATCGCGCTCCGAAACAGTAATATCCAGGAACAGCCGTCGCCCGAGATCGAGAGGCTCGACTGCCAGTATCCATTCAACTACAACCCAGCAGACCCAAGATCAGCAACTTACCGATGGCTTCTCCCAGTTTATGCCGACGCAATCGTCTGCAGGGTCCAATCTTTTTGGCAGCAATCCGGAGGATATTATAATTCGGTTTGGTCAGCAATTGTCGCACCAGGTAAATGGAACCTCATTAGACCCTATGCAAGACACCCATCACTCTGCCATGCCGAGAGCCGACGAGTTTCCGAACCATGCTGTCCATGGCCATCATCTCTCGCACCATTCATTATCATCCGGATTACCGCACGGGTTGTCAAATGCGCCAATCCCCCAATATCAGAACATGTACGACAGTGGAATTGAGAATCACTTACCGGAACATGTCCTTGATGATCACGACACTTCTGAAGCGGGTCTCAAGAAAAAGAAGGGCTCTAGTTCGTCCCTCGCCAACGATAATGAGTTGCGCAAGCTTCTACGACAGTATGAAGGTTATACTTTGAAGCAAATGGCGGCGGAAGTCCTCAAACATGAAGGGGCTGGTGGCAAAGCAGAAAAGGTCAAGCAAGTTTTCGCGATGATCTGGTAAGTTTCAGATGCCCCGTGTTCTGTCCCGCCACTTCTTACGCGCCATAGGTTGAAGGAGAACTGCAGAAAAAGCACAGGCTCTGTCCGTAGAGATCGTGTTTACTGCTGTTACGCCGAGAAATGTGGAACTGAACGAGTCTCGGTCTTGAATCCAGCATCTTTCGGAAAACTCGTTCGAATCATATTCCCGAATGTACAGACGCGACGACTAGGTGTAAGGGGAGAATCAAAGTATCACTACGTCGATTTGACCGTGATCGAAGAGAAGCAGCAGAAGCAGTCCGCACCAACCACGCAGTTACCCTCTCATGAAGCCACGGCGACAGGTACTGTAGAGGGTCTGAACGGGAATGAGATGCATAGAGCGTAAGTGAACCTTTGCCATGTCCAGTCGCGTCGGGGACTCATATACCTTATAGAGCCAGTGTATTACCGCAGCCCACAGCAGACACAGCACTATTTCCATCGCCTACCACATCATTCACTCCGAAGATTTCGGTTGATAGGGCAATATCAGGCTGCGGTTGTCTGGCTTCTTCGCAGGCCGAAGTGATCACGCTTGAGAACGTCGCCAGCCATTCCGGAAAATTGATACACCAAATGCTTCAATTGCCAACCACGGATAGTTCCTCGGTCGATACTGATTCCCTGCAACTACCTGATATCAGTGGTTACCTCCCCGAAGGAACGGACTCCAAAGTGGCGGCGGCTCTTGCTGCTCTCTACCGTTCACACTGTATCTCAGTCATTGATAGTTTCCGGTATTGCAAGGAGCGCAATCTGCTAAGATTCTTCTCTGCGTTCCATGGCACCCTGACCGTCCCGGTTCAGAAATTGTTGACACACCCCAACCTTGCACCTTGGATTAAGGAGTGCGACTGGCTGATGTACCAGAAGATGATTGCATTTGTGGCACCTCTTACTACACAAGTTGTCCCGAAACTGGTTTTGGATGCGTTTAGCTCAATATCCCAACGACTTACAACGCACATTGCCGAAACATTCAAGACCCAGCCTGTACACGTCTCCATTGCGAGATTAATACCAGCGCACATATTTTGCAACCTTCTGAAACATATGCTTGATGTGAACCAGTCTGCTAACGCCGCTGCCGCGTGGCTGTGCCACCCCGACAATAGGAATCAAATGTGGCTCGACTTTACAACACTGGTTGACCCCAAGGAAATGACCACCAGGGCGAATATTCCTAGCTGTGCAGAGCAGGCTACGGAACGAATACTGAAGCATGATCTCCGCGCCCTTCTTACGCCTGTCGCAGATCTAAACCCTGCTGCTTCGAATCCATTCTTCTCCCAGCCTGATATGGAAGGTAGCCCTGAACCACATAAATTCCCCGTCGAAGAGTCTGTGGGCGACGAATACAACTTCCCAGACAAGTGGATCTCCTTCATCTTGAACCTCGCGCATATCTTTCCTCAGCATCGCACACAGTGCATCATTGAACGAGTGGATGCGTTGTGGGATTGCATACTACACCGTTTGACCCTGGGAGGAGCCCAAAGTTTTAGTGCCTGGTGGATGACCAAGGTATTCTTTCATGAGATGATGTTATGGCAGGCGGAGAAGGGTGGATTCATGCATTATACACCAAGCACTTTGCAAAATGCAGGCCTAGATTCTGACCAGTCGGGTCCGGCAGCTCTTGTCCTGAAGGATTCCCCCAAAGCCGTCGATAACGAGTCACCTACAACGTCAGATGCGCACAATGGCGCCTCATTAGACCAGAAGCGGATGGGAGCCGAAACGAATCCAAACCACATCGAAGATGAGAAGCCTTCTGATATTTCCGAAAACCTAACAACATTCCATGCGCCGAATCACGATGACAGCGCTATTGATCTTGACGATGACTCAATGTTGATGACCGTGGGAAAATACGGCGATATGATGGCCTCCGACCCCGCAGATGCTGAAGGCGATGTCATCGTCATCTAGCTCTGCCTCCATGGGAGTCAGGCCCCCGCATTCTGGAAATAACAAAAATCTGCCTTTTGAGGACTGGAGTTGGGGTGAAAACCTTTTCAGGAGTTTTGCTTTTGGTTGGTACATATGGAATGTTTCGGCGTTGGATTATCATTGCACGAGAGACGAGAAACGATAGCATCGACCAGGACAAAACGACTAACAGCATGGCAGTTTGATGCTTTATTTTGGCTGACAGACGCACACATCTAATATCGTGGTTGAATCCGTCTCGGTACGCTGGACGGTTTTTGTTTGATCCCGCTTTTGCTTATTTTGTTTGCTTACGAGGAATGTCGTTTGTGTAGATATTCATTCACATTGGATTGCATCGGCGCCTGGGTCTGACTATCAGCTTGTTCAATGACCATGTTTTTTTTTTGTTCATGACATTCTGTTCTTGCAGCAAATACCTAGCTATCATGGGCTGGAAGGGATTTTTAATGTATTTTGATGAAGCTGGATAAAGGCCATTGACTTATTAGCCGACATTATACAGCGAGTAGAAAAACTCCGTGGTATCCATGCATTGCGGCAGCGTTACTCTTACAACTTTATAGAGGAGCTCCGTACAATATGTCGGCTCCATAACCTGTAAATAAGATAATAACACGGTGTGCTCATAACCCGCTTGGGTTTGGAGCAGATATTCGAGTAATGTCAATGGCTGACGCCCGAGTACGTTAGCCGGCTGTAGAACAGATGCCGTGAAATGGCATCAACCTTGATAGGTACTGCGGAATCATCTCAGCGGGTACTGCGGAATCATCTCAGCGCAGCGGCAGGGAAGAACCTTGGTCCAGCAAAACCATGGGCAATGACACTCTGGATGTCTATGTTACCTGCATGGTATGGACTCCAAAGTTTGATCAGGATGTATCGACCAGATCTATATCGCGGAAAGAAGTTAGATCAAACTGAAATGAGACGGCGAAACGCAACAACAGGATTCTAAAACATACGGAGGAGGATCGAACTTGAGGCTGACACTACTCTTGGGTCGTTTGATGAAAAATTGAGCGAGAGGTTTCAATAACCCGGCGCCTGGAGGGTGTGACGCTGATACAGAGCGCGGCGCCGAGAGTCCGCTGGGTGGAATAGGTGGTGAAACTCGTAAAATATGTGGTTGTACTGTTTGAGCGGATCCTAGAATGTGTGGTGGAATGGTTGAAATGGCCTCTGTCGTGTTCGGATTATGTCGACGTCTAGGTGGTTCATCATGTTCCATGGCGTATTGACGGCGCAAAGCCCGTACATGTCTTTGCAGATCCCGCCGTCGCGAGTTGTAGGAGCGGGTCTCCGAGCTTTCGTCTTCATCACTGCTGCTGTCCTCACTATCCGAACAAAGGAAATCCTCTTCCAATGGATACATCGAGTACATGGTTCGCGATTCATCTAGTCTTCTGGTATCCGAAAATTGGGGTTCAGAGAAGTTGTTTGCCAGACCGTCAAGCTCAGTACCATCAGAGCGTTCATCGTACTCCGTAATGACGCGAAATTCAGGTGACTGGTCTGTAGTTTGATTAGAAGAAACATTGGCAGCCTCACCGGCGTCCGTTTCCGAATCAGAAAGAGAGTCAAAGCTGGTCAGAGCTGCCCGCTCTAGAGTCTGTAATGGAGCACGATATGAATTCAAATACTCTTCCGACGGTTGCATTCCCCTGCGTCGACGGCTGCGGTGGCTACGGGAATCAGCATATTGGACTTGATATTGAGCAGTTCGGGCGAGAAGCTCATCAGCCGACATAGAAACAAACACCATGCCTGCCTGGATCCTAGTAGAGCAGCGCGCATGTTAGCAAGACACGATTACCCCGGGGGCTGAACGTACGGAGCGTCGTAGCCAGATTTGGGCGCTTTGATGACAAGCTTCTTTAAACAGAAAGGAGTCTCCCCACGATGCTTCAAGATCAGGTTGCAGCGGTCTGATTTCGTACAATACACGGACGAGTCATTCGAAAGAATGTTCTCTGGCCCTGAGGTTTCACAAACAGGCGGATATGTGCCCCCATCACAACTGGCCAGCTCCATCTTCAAGGCCCCAGGCACGACTTGCCCATATTGACCATATTTCAAAGATTGTAGGCCCTCTCGGTTATCATCCGAGTCAAGCTTTCTGCGTTTGACTCTCGATTGGTCCATTTCATGATCATGATCGGATTCCAGAGGCATTGTAGACGGGATATCTATACGAGGAACAGGTTGATCAAGGATAGACTCGCGATTCCTCCGACCCCGGCCAAATTGATTGCTACCTCTCAAGCCACGGTACCTTATTGCATTGAGGTCTTGTAATCTCTGTAACCGATTTCCAGGATCCAAGCCCGCACCATAAGTACGAGCTTCTCTGATACCCCGCTCTCGTTGTAAATCCCGAATCTGCTGATCCACGTATGCTCTGGTTTGTTCAAAGGAAGATCGACCTCTTGCCCGTTCGGAGCGGGACTCCTCTAGCTCTTGGTTGAGAGTCTCTAATGCTTGTGCTGAAGTGTCCCTGTTCCGCTCTGTGTTTAATAAATCGCGCAGATGCTGCAAGCGGTTCGCGTTCGGTCGATGAGGACGATCGCTGGGTCTGCTTCCTCGGGCGGTACGACGGGAAGCGGGAGGATAGTCGTAATTCCCCGACTAGAGACGGACCAAAAGACAAAAAGTCAACATACGCAGGTCTGGGTAAATTCGCTATGTGCTAGCAGAAAGGGTCTCGGCCGCGAGCGTAATATGGAGCATAGTTCATTTCTGACATACCATCCTATGGAACGGGGGCGCCGTTAGTTCGACTGGCCAAGATCGGTGATAGGAGAGGGGGGAAAGGCGGAGACTGGGGACTGTACCGGGGCGAATTAGGCGAGTCGATTTCGAACAGGCGATACGGGGTACACGGTAGACAGATGCAGGAGGCTCGATCAACGGCTGCGAGCAAAAGAACGGCAAATGACGGTGAGCAGAGGCGAGAAGGAAGCGAGGTGGATGGAGAGTTGGCTGATGACGCTCTGGGGCATACCGTACTATCGCGATGCTTATCTGCGCTCACGTGAGAAACCGGACAACAGTACGGAGAAGACCAAGTAGACTCTAGAAGTTTGACTAGAGTCGCTTCTTGTCGCTCGACGTCTTCGCTGGCTTCATGCATGGTGGTAACACATTGAGTGATGCGCAATTGTCTGCTCTGCCCCTCTTCTCGCTCCTCTCGCGCTTCTTCCCCCCTCGGCGATCGACTTCCTTCGTCCAACGCTGCAGTGCTATCCTCGTCCCGCCCTGACGCTAGCCTCTATCACATTCCCCCGCTCTTGCTACAGTACAAGGAGATACGTTACTTTTACCGTCAGTCCAGAGGGTTACTCTCTTACCTTGCTGTCGCATAGCTGAGAGGCCGAATCGCCGTGTTTCGGAAGTGGAACTGAAGTCAAACGGCTGCTCACCTCGCTTGACATCGTCACCCCGCGTTGACTCCGCGCCTATAACATCCCCCCTCCTTCTGAAGGTCATTTTCTCTTGCTCGCCTTTTCCATTCAACAGAACTTTCCTTGACGACTCCTCACTGTGTCTTAAACCGGCCAATTTCGGCTCGTCACTATGGATTCGCAAGATCAGTCGATTAGCGCAGGTACGTACTGGCTCTGCCTACACTGATCATGTGCTTGTGATATCTGACATGTCCGCCCCATAGATGAAATCGCGCTGTACGATCGTCAAATCCGACTTTGGGGCGTCAAGGCCCAGGAAAAGTAAGTGACACCAACGGCCCAGGTACTGAATCACTGGCTAATGGCGCAACGTAACTTCCTAGACTGCGATCCGCTAATATACTCCTGATCACCTTCAAGGCTCTCGCAAACGAAGTTGCCAAAAACCTGGTATTAGCAGGAATCGGGAGCTTGACAATAATTGACGACGCGATCGTTACCGAAGACGACCTCGGGGCGCAGTTTCTCTTAAACCAGGACTGTATTGGCCAGAACCGGGCTCAGGCTGCAGCCCCAGCAGTTAGAGACTACAACAAACGGGTTAAAGTCTACGCAGATGCCGAAGGCATCTCGACCAAGCCGCCTGAATTCTTTGGGCAGTTCGATATTACGATTGCAACTGAGCTTGATTTCGCCATGTACAATACCATCAATTCAGCCTGTCGTGTTGCCGGGCGTCCGTTCTACGCAGCTGGCCTGCATGGATTTTACGGCTTCGTTTTTGCCGATCTCATCGAACACGACTTCGTGATCGAACGGTTCAAATCAAACGTTCAGTCTCAACGTCAAGAGACGTCGACTCGAACTATACTGAACATCACGCCCAAAACGGAGAATGATAAAATCGTTGAAATGGTCACGAAAAGGGAGAAATACCACCCTCTTCTCCTGGCAAACACGTCACCGCTTCCCGATGAATTTACCCGACCCCGCCGCAGAAAGCAAGTGACGCCACTTTTGAGTTGTCTACGAGCTCTCTGGGAGTTTCAAAAACTCAGCCAGGGCAGGCTGCCGAATCTTTCTCATCAAGATCTCGAATTATTCACGAAGTTAGCTGGGGTTGCGCATCAGGAACTCAAGCTTGATATGAGCACACTTGATTCGGAATTTTTGCGAAAATTCCTCCAGAACCTGGGGAGTGAATTAAGTCCAACAGCCAGCTTTGTAGGAGGCCGCTTGGCCCAGGACGTAATAAACGTTCTGAGCGCCCGAGAGCAGCCTATCCAAAATCTACAACTGTTTGATGGCGAGAAGATTGACGCCCCTGTCTATTCGCTGCACCCTTTCTTCCCAATCGATATGGCAAATTCCATGGCAGCCGTTCCTCCTGCTGCAAACCCGATCCCACTGAATGGTCAGCCGGGCGTAGGAAATGGCCACCCGCCCGTTGGACTGTCGTAGATCCCCAGCTTGAAGCCGTCTTCTATGACTCTGAGTGACGCTTGAAGAATGGGGCCTCACACAGGGCAAGGAGAGGTCACCATTTATTTTGGGTTTAATGGAGCCTTGGATCTTTTTTATATTCTTCTCACTTTCGGTCAGAAGTTCGGAACCAGGGGCTACCTGGGCTGGGAGTGGACTTATGACTGTATGATAGACTCAAATACTGGATATAAGTCGAGGAAGGATTCAGGATAATTCGAGATCCGACATATTTCCCCCCCTTTTCTTCTCCAGTTGCTCAACATCAACCACAGCGCATTGCGCAAAGAACGCTTTGGGGGTTTCAACACATGTGTCTGCACATTATAGACGCGTGTTAGGGCTAACTCCACTTATGCGCAGTACTCTATACAAGGGATCGACTGGGATTGAAGAGATAGATCTCAATTGAATTTTTCGAGCTCCTAGTTCCATATGATATAAGTATATGCTTCAAGAAGCAAGCAAAAAAAAAAAAACAGGTAAGCTACCAAAGCAACCCATCTCAACGCCATTCGCCGGGAATCCATGAAAGAAAAGTGAAAGCCGGATATACATTAAATTTGTATGAACGAAGAGTGTTTCATCAAATCCCAAAACACCCAAGAAGGCAAGACCCAATCACCATATATACTGTAAGAGTCTAAGCCACTTCTCAATAATCGGACCTACTCTTAATCCCGGTCTTTCCTGAAGAGCGGCGCACTCTCCTCATCTTCAGGCTTCCTCGGGCCAGGGCCATTTCTCCTTCCCTCATAAGGCGGAACCTTATCCTCATCTTCTTCCTCATCTGAGATAAGACCCTGGAGCTCGAAGGTCTCGGCGTCTTGGATGCGCTGCGCTTCAGAGGGGGAGCGGGCGTGGCCATTCATGTGCGTGAATCGGCTGCTGCCGGGCCCGTTCGGAAGGGCAATAGAGCCGGAGGGAACCTGGTCGGTGCTGGTGCGGGAGTGGGAAGGGGCTGCAGGGTCTGCGGATTCGGGCCAGGCATGGACGGCATAGATGTGGAGGAGAATGTTTACGACTGAAGAGAGGTTAGTCGTGCTTTTGAGTTGAGTAGATGCGAAGGTGACAAACATAGGAAGAGGATGAACGCAATGCTGTAGAGGATAAGGATGTACGAGACGTGCGTGACTCCGGCGTTTTCAAGAAGCATCATCTGCTCCTCAGTGGCGCCCATGAAGAGGAATCCGGAGGCATATAGTAGCTGCACGGAAGTTATCGTTAGGGCTTGCTTTTTGAGTATGCCAAGGCTAAGGCAGGAGGTTCAACTTACGAAAGGCGTCAAGTACTGGAAGCTGTTAGGATCCGAGCCATCTGCGTTCACACTGCTCCTGTCCCTCAGCACGAAGGAGATCTCAATGATTCGAGTCAAACCAGCCGCCATCAACGTGTAGCCAAAAATGGTATGAACCATGGTGCTGATCATTGAGTGCTGCGGATGACCGGACATGGCATAACCCGTAAGAAGAATAACGATAGCCGGGATAAGATTCCTCTTGGGTCGGCCGTTTCGCTTCCGGCTCAGCCAGATACCCAACAGACCAGCACACCACCAGACGATACCCATAGTAGTGTGTTGGAGATCGTTATGAACCCAAGGCCCGCCCCACCGATGTTCCGTGAAGGTGTTGACACAACCCCACGCCGCAATAACCAGAGAGTCGAAAAACTCCTGGCTGCGGCCGGTGCGGCGCAGCCAGTACTGGCCGACAAGCAGCAAAATAGTAAGCAGGATGCCGTAGGCGATAAAAGCACTGCCCATGATAAAGTGGGCCAAGCACTGTCCGAGATGGTCATCACGACAGAATCCCAACGAAGTGATCCCCCCGAACAGCATCTGTACCCAGCTCAGAATCGGCATCGCCTTGCCGAGGATGCCGTGGAGGACAACGAGGACCTTCCGGAACTTCCCAAGAATACCCCTTTCGATGTGTAGCTTAAGATAAATCCCGAGAATAACTTGCGCGGCTAAGAAGAACATCAGCCAGTTTGCGAACGAGGCGTGAACGTTCTTCGCGAATTGGCGGCCCTTATGCGCATGGCCAAGGAAGTACGCAACAATGGCGATAGCGGTTCCGATAACCTGGACAGGGACGTGCCATCGTGACCGAATAATCTATGAGGCCGGAGAGTCAGAACGAGATTCGCGACGGCCTGATTCGAGAGACATACACCGAGTACCATGCCCAAGGGGAAGATAATCCCAAAGGACAATCCCATGAGAATCATATGAATCCATAATGTCGAGTCCTGGATATTTCAGACTGTGTCAGCCTGCGCGGAGTCGAGATCGGTTAAGATGAGGCATCATACAATAGGGTCTTCGGAGACACCGGCACCTTCGGGGACGTGTTCATGGTCGCCGTGAGCCAGGACAGGGGAGATGAGAAGCAGGGCTCCAAGCACCCCGCGTAACTGGAGAGCGCCCAACATCTTGCCTTCCTCGCTGGACGTTTGTAGGAAGAGAAGAAGGGGGATGAGGGAAGAGAAGATGGGGTAGGCTGACGAATCTTTTGATTGAAACGATCGGAAGCGGACCGGAGACTGAGAAATGGAGATCACACCCGCTGGGATTGGTTGCACGTGCCCACTCTTTCTATAGCATAAATCAGGTACAAAGTTACAAGAAGGTCCAAACTATCAACCTTCCAATCAAATCCAACGGACATGACTATTCCAATGGCTTTAGGCCCTTCATCTATGCCCGTAGGTCCGCTAGTGGCAACTTACGTGGGTGCCTTGAGATCATAGTAATTCAAGCCATAGTACCAAAAGTTGCATCTCGAAGGAACCCACCAGAACTCTTTATCCATCCACACAACTATGTCCGCAACTCCAGGGAAACACCAAGGCGCCGGTACTCCTCAACAGGACTCCCAGAGAGACAAGAAGCTCGTAAGCCCACCTTAATTAAGTATTTTCGGCCAACATCCGACTGACGGCACTCACTCAGGCAACCCTCCGCGCATCAATAACAGACCTTGAGGCCCAAACTGCGCAGCTCGAGATCCAAATCGCCGAGATAAGGACCAAGTTAAAGTAAGCTACATTCAAAGTTTTGTCAATGTGACCTTGACTGCCCCTAAGCCGAAAGCTCACTCAATTGCGCTAGGAATGACCCATCGGAGACGGTAAAGCGGCATATCCGGTTACTGCACGAGTATAACGAGATCAAGGATACCGGACAGGGGCTGATGGGGCTGATTGCTGATGCACGTGGAGTGAGGCAGATTGATGTGCAGAAGGAGTTTGGGGTGGGTGTGAAGGATTGATTGAAAGGCAACCATGATGAAAAGCGAGGAATGTCTACGCTTGCCAGCGATACCGGGAGTTGTGGAGTATGGAGTGCCTTTGTTTTGTTCTCATCTCATCTATAATACATAGGTAGAGAAGAGAGTCTGTCCGATATCCAAGACATGAGATCTAATAAATGAACATCACAAACGACCAGGCCAAAGAACTCAAGAAATCTAAACAAAGATTAAGAGAGAAAGTAGATGCTAAAAAGTCCATAGGACATTATCAAAAAAAAAATCGAAGGGATATATGCAAGAATGTAAATGGGAAGATTAGTACTCCGTACGAGCGCGATTAATGACCCTTGCCTAAGCTTTGCAAGTTGACCAACTCGTAGTACCGACCCTTCTTTTGGACCAGTTCGCTGTGAGTTCCACTCTCGACGATCTTGCCTTGGTCGAAGACGTAGATAACATCCGCTTTTTGAATCGTACTAAGACGATGTGCGACAGCGATTGTGGTTCGACCGCGGGCAGCAGCATCCAGAGCGGCCTGGACGACCTTTTCTGACTCGGAGTCCAGGGCTGACGTGGCTTCGTCGAGAAGTAGGATTTTAGGATCACGAAGTAGCGCTCGGGCAATGGCTACACGTTGCTTTTGACCACCTGACAACATGCCGCCTTTACTTCCAACAACGGTATTGAATCCCTCACTGTTACTATATGTTAGCGGACAAGCTATAGGAAAGATGAGTAGAGTGAGAACTTACGGCAGTGACATAATGAAGTCGTAGATATTGGCCTCCTTGCAAGCCTTGATCAAGAACTCTTCAGGCACATCGTCCTCCACAATACCGAGCAAGATATTCTCCTTGATAGTGCCCTGGTAGAGAGTCGGCTCTTGGCTGACCAGGGACAAGAAGCTGCGGTAGGAGTTGATGTTTAGTTTGCTAATGTTTTTTCCGTCAACAAGGATCTCTCCGGCGATTGCATCGTAAAAGCGCTCTAGAAGTGCAATGGTAGTACTTTTGCCGCAACCGCTAGGTCCGACAAGCGCAACATATTGTCCGGGCTTCACGGTCAGGTTCAAGCCACGGAGGACAGGCTGCTCAGGGCGAGTCGGGTATCTGAAGTGCACGCCTTTGAATTCGATTTCACCCTCCACCGTTTCGAGCTTCTCGCCCTCTTCGGACCAGTTGTCAATCTGTGGCTTTCTGTCAAACAATCGTCGAAATTCGGCTGCCGCATTCTTTGCCTTGCCCATGTCTGGCGCAAAAGAAAAGACGGTGCCCGCGGATTGAGCACCGAAAAGAATTTCAGAGAAGCATACAAAGAAGCGGAACATGTCATACTCGTGGTGGCCGAGAAGGGTTCCTCCGTACCAAAAACCGAGCGCAACACAGAAGAAAACAAGCGCCTGCGACGAGGCATATAGCAGGGATGATTTCAAGATAGAGATTAAACTGGCCCTGCCTTGTGCGTCAAGTTGGGCGTGGTAGATGTTCCAGACATCCATTTCTCGAGTTAACGATGCAACAGTGCGAATAGATGATGTAGCCTCGCAGGCAAAATTTGCGGAACCTTCATAGGCGAGCTTGGATCGTGACTGAAACTGGGCTAGCATGTAGAATCGGTAGAAACCGCATGCAAGGAGAACTGGCACAACTGAAATGCAGACCAAGGCTAATTTCCAACCAATCGACAGGGCGATGATGATTGCGGCTCCCAGGGTAGTGGAAGTCATTAAGATCGTGCCTAGTGTCACGCCGCTGACTCCAGAAAGATGCTTAGTCTCGGTGGATAGGAAGGAGGTCAAGGCGCCGGTGCTATTCTCTTCCTTGTCGAAGAAAGCAATGTCTTGACGGAGTAACGTCCGGAAGGCCGTGCTTCTCGCGCGACGAATGAGTCTCTCAGAGCATACAGCAAACGCAGCGCCGCTGGTTGATTGCGTTATAAACTGAACGATACCAACAACAAAGAACATCAGTGACCAAAAGTTCGCGTCGTGGCGGAGCTTGCCATATTGTGATTCGGGGAGCGCGAGGGTGCTAATGGCTTTGGAATATAGCACGGCTTGTGTGGGTTGACCACCACCGGCCAAGACTGAGAAGACGAGTCCGATGATCATGTGCGGAATTTCAGGCCGATTGAAGGAAGCAATGAATTTGAGCAGGTTCCATAGCGAATATTTAGGAGCTGTTTCGGGCGGCCTCTTGGACAGAATGGCGCTGGAAATCGACTTGTGGGTGCCGGTGCGGTCAATGGTCGTAGACTTCTCGTTGAGTTCGGAAGACTCGCTGGACGCAGTTTTGATTTTGGCAATGTCCGCACTGGTGAGATCATCAGCGTCGCCGTCCTCTTGATCCATAGCTTCAGCCTCCTTCTGCTCGTTTATACGCTGCGCCTCCACAAGCCTGTGATAAGCGCCCCCACGGTCAACCAGTTCATCGTGAGTTCCTTGTTCAGCAATTTTGCCGTCAACCAAAACCACAATGTTGTGTGCTGTCTTAATTGTGGAAAGACGATGAGCAATCACGATAGTCGTTCGGCCTTCGGCTGCCCTCTCCAAAGCCGCTTGAACAACGCCTTCCGATTTGGTGTCCAAGGCAGATGTAGCTTCATCAAGGAGGAGGATCTTCGGGTCACTGACAACGGCACGGGCGATTGCAATACGCTGTTTCTGACCTCCTGAAAGGAGAAAGCCGCGCTGGCCGACATTTGTCTCATACCCCTCGGGCAAGGCGGTAATGAAGTCATGAGCGTTAGCCATTCTTGCCGCGTTCTCGATGAGTTCCCGGATCTTGTCTTCGGGTTCTTTCTCGTATTTTGTGCCAATGATACCGTGTCTAATATTCTTATAGATCGTTGTGCCAAAAAGAACAGGCTCCTGGCTGACCAAAGAGATTTGTTGACGGAGCCAGCGGAGATTGAGATCCTTGATGTCATGGCCATCCAACAAGACTGTACCCCGAACAGGGATGTAGAAACGCTCAACTAGACCGACAACTGTACTCTTTCCAGAGCCAGAAGGTCCGACTAACGCAGTCGTTTTCCCGGCGGGCATTGACAGAGAAACGTCCTCCATGACAGTAACTTCGGGTCTGGACGGGTAGATCTGCTTGATATTGCGTAACTCAATGTGGCCCTCAAAGTTGTCGAGGATCTCTCCTTCATCTGAGTATGGATCCAAGGGGGACTGGCGATCAATGGTTCCGAAAATCTTTGCGGCCGCAGCTACAGCGTTTGTGAATGCTTGAGCATTCGGACTGACATTTCCCAACGAGAATGAACCGATCAAGATGGCCATGAGGACTGTCAGAACATCACCCACGTCGACTGCGCCATCCACCAGGAAACGCGAACCCATCCAGAAACCAAGACCGTAGTTCGAGAACATCAGGCCAAACATCGCGCCGATCATGAAACCCATGACGACCTGGTTCTTAGTTCCCCATTTTTCAGCCTCGTCCAGGTGGACTTCATACTGCTTCGCGAGTTTGTCCTGTGTACCAAACGCTGTGGCATTCCTGATGGAGCTGATCACCTCTTCAGCAACTGTACCGCCGGCACCGTAGCTGTCGAGCGACTTTTTGCTGTATTTGATGATGAACTGTGATCCACCACCCATGGTAAGGACAAGGGCAACGATTGTTGAGCTGCAAATCAAGGCCAGCTTCCAGTATTTGACGTAGGCGATGATGAATGCGGTCACGAAGGTGGCCAGGGCAGTCAAGGTGAGACCAACTTTCTCCGAAACGCCATCCTGGATGAGGTTTGTATCGGCCGTGATACGGGTTGTCACTTCTCCAGCACCCAGCTTATCAAAATAGCCGATGTTCTGTCGCAAGATGGACTCAAGGTAATGTTCGCGGATCTTTTGGGTGGCGTGTTCTCCCGTATAGATGAAGCCGACAGTACTGACATAAACGGTGACAAACTCGCCAATACCGAGGTACACGAAATATAGAACATTTTTGGTCAAATCGTCATAGAATTCGTCGTACGAAACCTCGTATTGCATTATGTTTTTGAAAGAATTTGCTAGGGAACCGAAGAGAATCTAAAGTCAATTAGCCGCGGGCTCCTTGAGCGCCATGTGAGATTCAGTACGTACTGTAAATAGAGGCAAGGCCGCACCGGCCGCAATAGCGCATATGGCACTGATTGCAAGAATAAGCAGGTCGACTTTGGTAGCATATCGCCAAAGGCCGAAGAAGGAAATGCTGGCTTTTTTCTCTTCGAGCTGAGTCTTCAACACTTGTCTCTCTTCTTCAGGCAGGTGAGCAATAAGCGCATCTAGTTCGTTGACTGAGACCGCATCGCTGCCGGAGGACGACTTAGGGCCGTGCTCCTTGTCTGCGGGAGTGGCCGTGGTACTGGATGGAGGGGAGAGATCGCTTGGTTTTTGCTTTTCGTTTGTAGGCTGCGGCGTGAAAGTCTGTTCCTGTGTCTTCGAGACCTCAGCAGGCTCGCGCGCAGCGGTCTCTGGCGCAAGAGGGTTTGTCTCTGGTTGCGACATCTCGTTTGGCTGAGCCCCAGAATGCTGCCGGATTCAGATAGCGTTGACTGTTCTGACCCGGGATTTTACTCCATGAGTCGGGTTTGTTGCGCGCGACAGACGTCCGAGCACTGAAGGTCTCTGCAAACTATAAGGGTGTCTGAGCCTGAAGAATATAAGGCGGGATAGTCGCTGCTCCTCACGAGATGCGGAGTCGGAGTCGGAGTCGGAGTCCGATCAGTGCAAAACAATCAAGGGGATCGCGCGAATTAGGGGGGCAATCCTTGATGGTAATATAGGGGACAGATGTCAGAGGAAGCGAAGAGAAAAGATCCAGGCACCCCGTGCCAGCGAGGCAGACCGTCGTCACTAAATGCTTTTGACTACATGGATGCCCACTTTGGCTAGACTGGATCATCGGAGCCCCAACTTCCCGAGATCCTTGTGCAAGCGAACACTCATCCTGCAATCCTTCAAGATGGAGCCTGTCGATCGGGGATTACAACCCCCGAGCAGGTACCTCTATCTCCACCCTCTGCTAAATGTTCAACAACAAATGGTGTTTTGGTTGCCTGGTCGCAGTCGGGGTCTGTCTCGGGAAAGGTATACTACAGAGTACAAGCAGGTCATAACTTGGCGTCAGCCTTCCATTGTTTCCAGAAGACCGGACCCTATCAGATCCCTTGCTGCTTTTTTTGTTTGAACGCGGGGTCCTGTTTCGGATAATTGCATTGATGGACTGAGTCACTGACTCACTGGTCTTATCGTCTAGCGTCGCATAGAAGAGCTGCCTGAAGCTATGCTCATTGCAGCTGCCATGTAGATAAGACAGTCACCCTTGGTTCCACGGGGCGTACATGGTTGGACTACATTCCTGGAACGTTGCATCTGATTATCTTCGCCGCCTCGACAATGGCTGGATTATCAACCGCCCTTGCGATGCCCGAGCCCGAGTTTTCCTCCAGACAAAGCTTGATGCGAAACTGACGTCCGCTTTGGCGATCCTTGGTTACGCGGCCACAGTAGTGTTCGTTCGCAACTTCGCATCTTGGAGCCTGCTGGGTCCCTGATCCCGCGAAGGAAAATGGCGGAGAATAATTGCTATTCCCGTCTTAGCGCAGAAATGCTTGTCGACGCAGAATTATGAATCTCATAAGTCGCATCACCTATGGCTGTTGCTTTCGCGACCCTTAAGCTCAAGTCTTGACGTTGACACCCTGGCCTCCACCCAATTATCTATGCCTACGGAGTAGTTGCCTGCACGGAGTAATTCGTATGGATTGTTCTTTTGCCTGTTGGGGACTGACTTACAAGTGGGGGGAGAGATGCGGCGCTAACTCCTAAGTCCGTTCCAAATTTATTCCAAACGAATACGACCGCCCTAAAACTTATACAGAGATGGACGTATTCCGTGTTCTCGCTTGCAAGGCGCCGCGGCCTCGGACCCCCGAATCCCCGAGGAGTTGTATGAATGGTCTAGAAGCTGCCATACTCCTTGCTAAGTGCTGATACCACTCATCAAAACAACACTTTACTGACTGCGGGCTTGAGGAAGATACATAATGCCACTATTATTTTACTCTGGCGCGTTCATTCTATACACCTCTGGGTCTTTCTATCAAATCTGTGCACGAGAGGGGCGAAAAACATCTAGCATGGACCCTTCTAGCCATCAAACTCGACCGCCGTTCCAAGGATGACAGTCGATTTCTTCAGCGAATCGCTAACGTGTCTCCGGACTTTGAAGCATGGCCGCGTTGGATGGTTGCCTATGAAATGAAGTTCTGCAGCACCTAGTTCGTTAGATTGCCATGGAACTTGGAAGGCCTAACTGATCACACTCCTACCAGTCTGACATGATCTGACAGTCTGACAGAGCTTGTACTACGCCAAACATCGGATCTAGCCACTCGCTTATGCGCAATGAATTGTGCAAGCTGAGTGGCATCTGTTGGAATATATGGTCCTCGATCACAACCGCTTCTAAGATTCCTGGGACTAGGTGCTCCAAGACTCCGACTCAAATCGTCCCCCACTTGCCAAACAACCGTAGACGATGCCGCCAAATACTGGAGAGTACAATGCTATTCTGTCAGTCTTGGAAACGGGCTTGTAGGCGTGGATGGCGCATCATGGTAAAACTCAGCTCGTGAAGATTGCTTGATGACTCCTGAGCCATGTAGTCAATCGGTTCTGGCTACGTGGTTCCAAAAGTGGTGGCATCCTTGCAGACATATGTGTACATGAACATATCAAGTTATGAACCATCGAAAGTGTAACAAATGCTTTACCTGGCCCTAACTCGGGGATCTGTCTGTGCTTGCCTGGAATGATATCTGACCCTCTGGCCTGCACGTAATCAAACGCTACCTGAACCCGTGTCCATGCCGTAGACCATGTCCGTGTTATATCACAGAAGGGAGTATCTATTTTGGAATAAGGACATAGTTATAACAGACAACTTGGTTAGTATAGTAGCTTTGGGCGACTTGGACATGGAATAGATACTCATGGTACTTATGGACTATGACGATGGCTATTCGAACAGGTGGATCTCGATTGCAGGCCAGAGCGGTAATTTCTGCCTAAGGCATGGATAATCACATGGTCTTCGGAAGCGAAGCGCTAACCCTGTCCGCACCAAAAAATATCCACCGACGAAAAGACCTGGAGACGGTCGACAACCTCACTACCGCCAGTCCATACACCCAGCTCGCCGTCGCGACAACCCATCAAGATGCCGGTTAGTGACATTCCACACCTTTGCCGACATGCTGGATGAATCTTCTTTTCGTCCAGCCCGTTTTTCTCCGTCCGCTCCGCCAGGATGACTTATGAGGCCAAATGAGTGACCGCTGGCTAACGCAACGTCCGTCGATATAGAGCCACAAGAGTTTCCGCACCAAGCAAAAGCTTGCCAAAGCTCAGAAGCAGAACCGTCCCATCCCCCAGTGGATTCGCCTCAGGACCGGTAACACCATTAGGTAAATACAATCTAGTCCAGCCTACAACGAGCCCATCAGCCGGTTTTCTTCGACCAGTGCGCAGAAGAGGAGGAACTACGTGGTTTGAAAGCAAGGATCTCGATTTATACAACATTGACTCGATATGTCCTCGGTACGGCCGGATCAGATATTGTTAGGAAAATACGCACGCACGGCGGTCGCAAGAAACCAGGCACAAGGGTATAAAGAGAACTCGCATCTAACATGGTCTTCTCTGCAGATACAACGCTAAGCGACGACACTGGCGCAAGACCCGTCTCGGTATCTAAGCTCGTGCTTTCTTTCCCGACCGAGACGTCAACACTTTGTTTTCCTGGGATCTTTCTCCGTTCAATTCAACTGTGATACACATACACGCACGGCCGAGAAATCCTTCCAACTCGCGATGCTTTAGCTGCCAATAAGAATCCACTCACGAAACCCGTCTTCACTTGCATACGATCGAATACCCGCTCTCCTTTATTCTATCTTTCTTCCCAACCTTCTCCCTCGCCTCGGGCTATCCACAAAAATTTGTTCGGAACCATGATTTACCATCGACAAGCGCACCTCGTCTCTGAATGACCTTGAGATGAGCGGTCGGACATATTGGAACTAGTGGCCAAGCGGGTCTGTGGTGACGGGCTCTCATGAGGGAATGGACTCCACTGCTTTCTTGTTGCAAGTCACTGTACGCGAGCTCTTAGGGAAACAAGAAAAGAAACACAAATCGAAAATCTGATGGGTAATGAGCATTGAACGGTATATTGAGCGCATGGTGATTGTAGACTGGAACATAGCGAGACCTCAAGTGCATCTGACACCAGATCAGTAGTATGTTGGGATGGTTCCCCAAGTGGGTGATCGATTCGTAGTCCTACTTGAGACGCGAGTCATTTCCCAGATTTCTTGCATGCCCTAGTCTACGTACATCAAGCTTTGTGAGTAGTTTGAGCTCTCTACTCATCCCTGAGCCTTTGGTAACGACAGCCATATTCCGCGCACTCGAGCTCAGGGCTTAGATGCCGTGTGTTCTCTGAGAGAATGATTTCTAGCTTTCGCGATGCTGTCGTCCCAGGTGGTTTTATTATGAGAGAAGCAATACAAAGTGCAAGGTGCCCTAGGTTACAGGTCCACTGCCAGAAACAAAGAAAAGGGACAAACTATAGCTACTAAAGACAAGAAGAATAGAAATCTATCATGCGCGAACATTGCTAAGTCAAGCGAAGAAATGAAAGTGAAATTTGGTAATCTATCGGTCAATCGGTGCAATAGGTCAATCCATTCCTTGGCCATTTTAAGGAAAACAGATGCAGCATTTGGGGGTAACGTAACCAGGTACTAGAACGAGTGACAAAAAGAGAGAAAACAAGACGAAACCGCAGAGTACTAGTATCCCATAACGCCGTGGAGCTAGACGACCCATTTTTGGTAGCAAAGTCCAGGAACCAACTCATCGTGTGTTTGTCATTAAGGGCCGTCTAGCAGTCCACATAGAGAGCAAAGGAAACATTCCGAGATGAGGCGTTTAACGGCTAGGAAGTGAAATGTTAGCAGATGCAAGTCAACCGGGGTTTCCGGTTTCGGGACTTACTCCTCAGCCCACTCATTCTCACGGCGGATCTGGTCCTCCTCCTCGGGGGTGAAGTCGTTCTGGATGTTGAAGGTCTTGCGAATCTCCTCGGGGGACTTGCCCTTGATCATGTTCGCGACGGTCTTGCAGCCGATGTCAAGAAGAGGCTTGATGTCAAGGTAGTTGGCGGCCTATAACGGAAAGGTTAGTAACTGTCAAGACCGTATATTAAACGGACAAGGATTATGCGTACCAAGATGATCTCAAACAGCATTTCCTGGTCGACCTGCATGAACTTCTGGTCCCACTCGTCAATGTCGGTGGTCTTGCGGCGGGTGTCGTCGTCGTCACCGGAGCTGGGAGGGTCGCTTCGGTGGTGAGTGCACCATTCGATGACCTTGGTCAGGACGTTCTCCGAGACCTAGGTTGAGGAAAAGTTAGATTGGAGCTTGACCCGGATTATGGTTTCAAAAATGTGACTCACATTGGAAATGGGGATAGCCTCCTCGAATGCGCCTTCAGGCAGGTCATCGATCATGTTCTTGATGAGAATAGAGCGTGAGGCAACATCGATAGCTAGTGAGTGTTAGCACATCCTCAAGACAACAGAAACACTTTGGGGGAAGCAGTCCCGGGGAAACACATACGGACTTCGATCTTCTTGCCATCGTTGCTCTCCATGATAAGAGTTTTCTCAGCCATCTTGAAAATTCGGGGTTGCTGTAAATCGGCGTTAGTGCTGGAGTCTGAGGAATTGAAAGTGGTAGGTTGGATTGTGCAAGCTCTGAGGCGGGCTCTGGTGTTAAGGTACGAGGGGTCCAAAGGCGGGGAGTGCATGCGCTTGGGTGAATGACCTACCGATTGCAGGGGATTTTTGAGTGGCTGGGTAGTTCCGGAAGTGTAGATTCACAAGATCTCAGAGAGAAGAGAGCTGCTGTGGATGAAGAAGGCTCGGAGGCAAGGGAAATGAGGAGGTATAAGTAGGCAGGCAGGAAGAAAGAGGTGAGCGGTGCCAGTCAGGAAGATACAAAGTCAGACTTAGTGCGGGCAAGATGTCCGTCATTCTCATTGTCACTGAGCCTAGTGCCCTCTATTTCCATGGTGCTCTTGCAGGCACCAGCCACGCACTGTCAAAGACCTCTTTTGCCTAGTGTTCGTCTGCAAGAGTGGAGTGTTCTTTCTTCCTGGTGTTTGCCAAAGGCTTCTAGGCTATTCCGCAATCCAGATGGCATGTTGTGCTTCAAAGGCAGCCTGAAATAGAAGGACTCTACTTTGTCCACGGATAAAGACCAGATATTGTCAAGAACGAATTTGCAGAGTACTACAGTCGTAGGCGGCCTGAATGCGGCTCTTGGTGCCCAGGCATTTCTTTATCACCTTCAATGAAAGAGCCACTTGATATCGATCCACTCGATTAGTTTTGCGATCGAGTCTGGAACTCGCTGTCCGAATCGAATGAGCTGGGATCGATAGTTTGTCTTAGTGATATCATTCTCCAACGCGTCTCTCTCATCCACTCGCGGCCCTCCCTGAATCGCATGCCCGGTTTTCAATTTGTTTTTGTTTTTCTGCCTCTTTCTTTTCTTACTTTCTTCGACTTTGCTTTTTTGGGTAAAATATCTGCTTTCCAAGGGTTCTTTTTCCTCCCGAGATTCTTTGAACTTCTTAGACCAGCGACCCGCGTCTCGATGTCGCGCCGTGATCATCCTTGATCGGTTCCACGACGTCTTTGAAGGCAGCAGCATGTGCAAGACAAGAGTTACATTCCGTATCTACTGCCATCTGTCTAATCCTCCGTCTCCCAACAAGTCCAAACCATGTGGAGGCGAACATACTTGCTCCTCTTATTGATTCGGGTCTACTTTGCGCTGAGCCCCAGCTACATCCACCCCGATGAGCATTTCCAGGGCCTCGAGGTTGTCGCAGGTAAGCGCTTTGTTTACAGAACCGTTTTCTCCCCTGCTTTGGTGCGGCTTGGTCAGTTGACGATGTGACGGGGCGGCTGATGCTCCCACACACCACACCACACCATGCGCTCGACACTCGCTTTCTTCGGCTTCGCATTGCTTATGCGCTTTCACTTATAGGCAGAATTCTTTCATACCCGTCGCGATTACCATGGGAGTTCACCTCTGAGCGCCCGATCCGCAGCGTCTTTCCGCTATGGCCGATCTATGACGTCCCGATAAGCCTCCTGAAGTGGTTCTATACCGAGACTGGGGATGAAAGCCCACCAGCGGAGCTGGTTTACTATGTTGTTCGCGGGGTCATGTTCCTGTTGAGCTTCGTCTTGGAAGACTGGGCCGTGCACGAGTTGGTGCCTCTCCCGCGCCATCGGCGAGTAGCTCTGGCGTTGGTGGCATCCTCATATGTCACCTGGACTCATCAGACGCACACATTCTCCAACTCGCTCGAGACGCTGTTGGTTGCTTGGGGTCTAGTTCTGATCAACCGTATCATTGATAACAAGGTTCGAGATCAGAAATCTGTGGGGAATCGACTGGCTAATGGTGGTAACAGCGCCGCTCTTCTCTGTTCTCCTGCGCTGTTCTATCATTTATCTGTGTGGCAGGCGTCTTCAACAGAATTACATTCCCAGCTTTCCTGGCCATTCCAGGCCTTCAGTTGTTACCGCATTTCTGGCGCAAGTGAGTCTCGCGTACTGTCCACCTCCAGTTCTCGTTGCTTATCAGCTTGTGCGCAGACCGTTATCCTTCTTGTCTATCATTAGCTTCAGTCTCATCTTCTTCTGTATTGCTGTCTTCATCGACACGACGTTCTACAGACCGTCCGCATCGTTCAGGGATGTCTTGCGCTCGCCAATAGTCACACCGCTTAATAATCTCCTCTACAACACGGACAACTCCAATTTGGCTCTCCATGGACTTCACCCTCACTATAACCACTTTCTAGTTAATCTGCCTCAGCTTCTTGGCCCTGCACTTGTGGCAATGGTTGTGCAAGCCTATAACCAGCGCTCCATACCCTCCTGGATGAAGAATCTCCGCGCAGCCTCTGCATTATCAGCCACCGCGATGCTGTCCATTTTCCCTCACCAGGAACCTCGGTTCTTAATACCTTGTGTGCCCCTGCTTCTCAGCTGCGTCCAAATTCGCAAGTCGCGCCTATTCTTGGCTGCTTGGGTCATATTCAATGCAGCCCTGGGGTTTCTGATGGGTATATATCATCAAGGAGGTGTCGTGCCCACGCAACTCGCGGTCCCATCCATCATCTCGGCAACCACAGAGACGTGGCATACGTCGCTAAAGCAACCGCGCTCTCTAACCGCTACTGTTGTATGGTGGAAGACATATTCTCCGCCATTGTGGCTACTGGGTGACAACTCTACCCTGCCTCTGGATTTAAACATCGATACCCGAGACTTCATGGGTAAGGCCGGGCCTGAAATGCTTAGTGAGCTTGAAAATTTGGTCCCTTCTTGTCCCTCAAAGCAGAAACGCGGCAGGTTTCTAGAATCAGGTTCGGAACAACCTGATGTTGTCTTCGTGGTCGCTCCCACATCCGTCACCTTTCTAGATCAGTTCATGGCTCCGCAAACCTCTGAATCGAGTCTGGAACTTCTTGAGCTGTGGACCTACAGAAAACATATTAGTCTGGATGACCTGGACTTTGGCACCGATGGCGTTCTGCCCACTTTGAAGCGGGTGATTGGGCGACGCGGGCTAGGAGTTTGGCTTGCGCAACGACCCGAGTGCCGTGACAGCTAGCCTCCAAGTCTATCATCTTATTCATACACCTTCAGTCGACCTTAACTAAGGTTGCGGATAGCGTTTGAGCAAGCCTTCGCCTGACCACTTCCGTCCGACATTAATATGATCAGGCTATTCTTCCCCTTTCTTTACCATCTTCACTTCTCTGTACATGTTTTTTACGCGTTTCCCAACTTCTAGATCTTGCGATTTTTCGGGTTGAACTGGTCAGGACATTCATACAATATACCCTTATGTACTCTTCTTTCACGAAATCCTCCTCTTATTTTATTACTTTCTTCTTGGGTCGGAATTAATGGCGACAATACCATCCTCTTATTCTCAAATATTAACAATTTGTTACGCTTGAGTACGTTGACATGATTAGAATTCAAGGTGAGTTTATGATCCCCGCTCGGCCCTCTAGCCCTACTTCCGCGCCACTGGGCGGTCATGATGCAACCGGCGGCCTTCACATCTAGGTTGAGATCTAGCTTGAACCGAGGTAGGACCAGTGGTTCAGTCTACCTGCAGATCTGTCCGATAGATCCAATTCGGGAGCGAATGATGGAATCCATTGAGGCCTGGTGCTTATTTTAGCAGTGTCGCTGGCATGCGCGAAAATATCAAATTTGGTTAAAGTACGTGATATCATGGTTTCCAAACACATCTGGATGGCGGGAAGCCAGTTTTAACGAATTGGCGGAGTCCATCCGTTACGGAAAAGGGATATGAGAGAGATAATGTAAGCGGAATCGCGGTACTCATTATGGGAGGGGAATAGATTGATATAAGAGTAGCGCCACATCATAATTGACTAAAAAAAGTCGGATGATTGTTTCATGCATCGTCACCATCGTCAGAGTTCTCAAACAGGTAGTTCGCCGCGAGCTCTTCGTTCTTATCGCACGCGAAATAGGCCTGAATGACCAGGTCTCGCGAAAATCCAAGTCGGCAAAGCTAGGACATAATTAGCTGAAGAATGAAGTCCGTAGTGGGAGTTAGCCCTACCCTTTCGATAGCGTCTCGCTCCTCCTCTGTAACGTGAATCTGAGTTGTGCCCGGGGGGAGCGCAGCATCGTCCTCTTCGCTCAACAGTTGAAGGAACGCCTCTTCGTTCTGTCCAATAAGCTGTGCAATCTGAGGATTGCCCTGGCCGATTTGTTGAAGAATAGGCTCCAGCATCTGAGGTTGCTGTTGGACCAGCTGGCGAAGCTGCTGAAAAGTTGGATGATTGCGGAGGAAGTCGAGCGACTGAGCTTCACCACCAGACGCGGCCCCGGCCCCGGCCCCGCCTCGACCTTCAGTGTTGCCAGCTTGAGCAGCGGCTTCGAAGAGGTTGACCGGTTCGTCTTCTCCGGATGCAGGTGTAGCTCCAGTAGCAGCGGGGGCTTGAGCAGCGGCAGGGGTAGCAGCGGCGGATCGTTGTTGTTGCTCCTGCTGGATATTTTCCGGAATGCCCTAATTCGCAAAGGATAAAAATCAGGAACTACGTCATAAGATACAAACGCCAACGATACTCACATTCAGGAGGTATTCGATAGCCCGGTCTGGGTTGAAGAAAGCAGCCCTCATCGCACGATTGATTTGGTCCCTCTCGAAGCCCATACTCATCATCTGGTTGATCACCTCTTCGCTTTGCGAACCGCTCAGCAGCGCTGAGGGGTCATTAAAAGAACCTGCAGGTGGCTGGGCGGCTCCAGATGAAGCGGGCGATGGGGTTGCCGGAACTGGCGCAGAGGCAGCCGAGGAAGATGTGTTTGCGGATGGAGCAGGGGCGGGAGGAGGCGCGGGAGTGGAAGTCACTGATTTCGCTGGTGTCGACGGACCCTGGGAGGACGGCTGAGTCTTGGGCTAGGAAAGTTAGCAGTTATTACATTAGAGTGAACGCGCGAGAGAAAGCGGCATACCTTGGAGACCATGCACACGATGAATCCCTTCTCCTCGATGTTGTAGAACTCGACCGTCTTGTCATCTTGAAGAATCTTTCCTGTCAAGTTGATCGGGTATTAGACATGATCGATCAACACATTGCAGGTAATCAACTAACCAGAGTAGATGAGTTTCAGCGAAGGCACGTCCCATCCCTTTTCCGTGGAGATCTTCTCCTTCACCTGGCCAACCTAAATTCACTTAGCCCCGCATCGATGCTGGCTTCCGAAGCTCGAACAAAGCGACTTACAGTTTCTGATGGTTCGGCATCAATCACGAACTTCTGTTGTTTCAGATCCTGAGAGTCAAGGGTTAGCATGAATCATGACAGTTCATGTGAGCGATACAACAAAAAGTACATACTCTGAATGTGAGCTTCATCTTGCGCCACCGGAGGAGTAGATAGAAGTGGGGGAGGGGAGACAGAGAAATGAGAGTAGGTAAGACTAATGGCGGTGCGGAGTAGGTGTTTTATTAGCAGAGATTGGGGAATGCGATCCCGGGATTGAGAATAATGTAAGACTGCAAATGAGCCGAGAGGCAGCAACAGAAGATGATGAATTATGATGGCAAGGCTGGCAGCAGACAAGATGGAGGGCCGGGAACTGCCAGAAGGCGGTCAGCCACTCAGTCCCGCCCATAAGCCACCAGACACCAGCCACGTCCATCTGCTCATCAGCCATTTTCCCGTTCCCAGTGCCTGGAAATTAGACTATATTTCCTCGCTTTCCCGTGGACTCGCTCCAGGCAGTCACCGGCGCTCAGCAGGCTCTAGCTCGTCTTCATCTACGGAGTGCATTGCGATGCATTGAGCCCTGGTCATCTAACCGCAACAGCCTTGGGATCCTGACTTGGGCTCTCACCGAACACCTAGGGACTGGACACACTCCCTGGAACACGTAGTCAAGGGAACCACAGCCTGTACCATCCATCTGCCCTACTTTATAACGGAATATATGCGGGACCCTCTGCGCGCTCTAGCGGTGTCCATTGCAGTTCAGCATATCCAGCACTTTTGCACGAGCTGTTCGCCAGGGCTTTGGCCGTCTTTTAATCAGAGGGAAAGTGAACATATCCCATGGATCGCTCACATAGCATCTTCTTGCGGTGGCGCAATACTGGATAGAAGCTTGCACTCCTACTACCTCGTCGCCTCCTGTTCGGTTGGCATCCTCGGAACTCGTTGAAGTCATCGCTACATTGCTTATCATGGTCTACTCCGGATTAGAATACTTGAGTCTCTCCTGGCTAATTCGCTGACAGAAACGTCGGTGTTCCAACCTTTGGGCTCCTCGAAGTTCATACCCAAACTGGCGGTAGTTTGTCCCCAAGCGTTCTACGGACACGTCACATTGTGGATCGGAGATTTATTGGTTCTAGAACTTCCAGCGCATCCCGTGTCTGATCAAGACCACAATTGACGGCCATTATTGGAGACTTGCAAAGCATTGGGATTCGGCACATCGAAAGCCTCGACAAACTGTTGACATTGGTCGTTGGCGAGGCCTATCCGATACAAGAACAGTTTCTTCACACTGCAAGCAGCCAATCGCTGGCTCCATAGCATTGGAAGCACAAGCCTCAAACAAACAATTGCGGTCTAGGCATGTCAGGCACGGGCACCTCTGCAGCCCTCGCATCTCTGTGGAGGATACATGGGTGTTCGTTATAATGCTTACTCAAGTGTCAGTGAGTGGCTCCAAGTGGATGAGGATCTCGCTGCCAAACAGAAGTCAGCTCTTGTGTGATCCAGATAAACGACCATTTGAGCACTGAGCAGCCGAGTGAGAGGACGAAAGCCATCGAGAGCTTATAGCGTATCCGATCAATGTGCCGGATTGGTATATTTCCAGGCATAACACATCGCTGTTGCTCGGCTTTTGACCGAAGACGTAGTCTGTCGTACTTTTGCGTCAATGCTTGGTATTGACAGCTTATTCTAAGTCACATGTAGTATTTGCTATAGTTCTTAACACAAGACCCTGGTCGTCTACCAATGTTCATCCTCAAATCTCGTCCAATCCTTCCGTGTTTTTCTGACGTTCCTTCCCCCATCATACAAACCGCTCCTTCCAATCAACTCAATACCACCAAGCTTCCATTGACTCTTATTCCCATCTCTCCAACCTCCTCGCTCTGACCTTCTGGGCTTTCACGACCTCAAACCCTCTTATCCTCACAGGTGCCGCGCCTTGCCTTGCATACCGGGAGTTTTTCCGAGAGCTCTTCCTGAACTGTATTGTGCATTCGGTTCGAACGCGCAAGCCCTTGTCCGTCCGTGCAGGACCTGTCCCATTCATCATGCACAAGGCCTCACCGGGCTACCTGTTAGGAGGGGCCTCGTTGTTCTCAACAATCATTGTCACTGTCCTTGATGGTGTGTGTTACATATCTTCTCGAGCTTTGACACCAGATAACTCTTTCATCGAGGCGGTCATTGTCAGCTTCAGCACTATCAGTTGCTCTGTGGTTCTTGCGTTGATGCTGATCCTCGCGAACGATTTGAAGATTGATGCTAGGCTGCTCCGACAGGGTTGGAGAACGATCACCTACGGCACTGGCATCGGATATCTCATCGTTGCTGCTGGGGTAACGGCAGGAGGATTAACGTGGAACGCCTTGGAAGCTGTGAGCAAGGTGAAGAAGTCAAACGTTGATCCGTATCAACAAGCACTGTTTATTTCTCGCTGTGTCTTATGGGCAATTTCGGTTCTCTCACAAGGAATGTTGTGCGGAGTGCTCTTGACAACCATCACGAATCATGACAGCCGCAGTCAATGGCCGACTTTGATCTCGTACGAACTTAGCACTATCACCCCCAGCCGTTCGGAAATACTCCAGAAAGGAACATCTTACACACCCTCGTCCATTGCCGACTCGCAATCTCCATCGGTTGACACTATATCTCGTCACCAATCATCGGTTTCGAGGGAAACGTCTCGACGGTCAGTTCGTTATTCCGGTAGAACACTGATTCAGTCAGACTCCAAGCCTAACTCATTCGAGCTTGATTACACTACCGTTTCCTTTCCCGAAAGCGCAACGACACGCACCAAGATAGGCGGCTATCATGAAGGCCAGGCCAGTGAAGACAATCAAAGCAGACCACAGCACCTCCAGCGGAGCACTTCACAGATCAAACGGTCCCTTGACAGTGTGATGCTTCGCGCTTCGTCGACTCTGTCATCCTCCACGCTATCAGAGGCCGCCAAACAGCCACCCTCCACACTGAAGCTTCCGGATGAAAGCAACATACACCCGCTTTTTCGGTCTGGTACTCGGTCCCCTCCTCCAACAGCCACGCCAAGCACAATGGTAGTCGCCGCGCCAGATGCGGGTCAGACGATTACCGTTAAGACTCTGCAAAGAATGAGGTCGACACGTTCATTCGGGACTTACACCTCACGGAGGAAGTCTCCTCTGCTTGCGCAGACAGATCATCTCTTTGAGGATGTGGAGCATAGGGCAGGGTCAATCTCTAGTTATGCCAACAGCGAGCGCGCTTGATACACCAGAGCCGCCCATTCTGACGCATTATATAGATAGACCATATTTGTTATTTAGCGAAGATACCAATAAATTTTCATAATCGCGCCAATGGGATTTGCAGCAATCAAGTACAGCACGGTGGTCTTAACGCAAACACTCGGGGTAGGATCTGATCAACCTGCCTGATGGGAAATGTAGATGAAGGGAAATCTCAAGCGGGAATTAGAGCTTCAGTCCTGTTGTACGATGATGTTGTTGGATGGGCCATGGTCCACTTTGATAAGCCCTAATCAGACGAGTCCGCCCCCGGGGAGCAGCCGCCCGTACTTCGTGAGCGACCCCGTTGCAGCCAAGTAATGTGAACTAGAAGGAGGAGGCCCTAGTTAGTCATACTAAGTTATGGAAAGGAGGCACCTCATCGTCTGGGCAAGGGCATTCTTGATGAAGGGCCCAATTCCCATTTTGGGGTAACTCGGGAGTGACGAGGTTATGAGTGCAGAGTTGCGCTACATAGTGAATCACGGATCCAGAGAAGTTGAGAGCTGATACATAAAAGCCTACGAAGCAAATGACGGATTTACACTTGAAGAGGGAAAACACTGAAAACTGAGCCCGTCCTCAAAATCGGGGTTAAGGGTTCGGAATCAGTAATAGGCTTTTTCAGGGGACAAGGACGAAGGCCATTTTGATTTGCGGGTTTCTTCATGGACCGAGGCCCAACCTATAAATATCTAATACAACTCAACTAGAAAAAAGCTTCAGAACTTGGCGCAGAGACCATTCCCTCCTCGGCCCACCACTGCCTTGCATGCTGATACAGGACGTCCGAAGCATCACCGTAGTAGGGACCAAAATGGATGTCATACAAGTCCTCATCCAAATCGTCTAGGTGGCTAGCAGTCCACGGATATGATACCATGCTGTGTAGATGTAGTGGTGGCAGTGCCGTCTTGGTACGCTGCGCCCGCCAGTTCTGTTTCATCTTCTGAAATTTTTCCCAGGCGAGCTGTCGCTCATGTTGCAGGCAGGCTGCCATGGAAGGCGGAATTATATGCACAGCTTGTACTCGCGGGATCTGCCAGGTGAACGTTTCAAGGCCTGGTTCGAACCGCTGATGATACTGTGCTAATTTGTCGCGATGGGTTGAGAGGCGCTGCTCCAGGTGCTGCTGCTGATGCTCGAAGAAGCCAAGGCTGGAAGCTGGGCTACTGATTCCAGTACCGTGGACTGGTTCCATATCGGTCTGTTGCTTAAGCTTGTGGCATTTCAGCATTTCGCCTAGTACACCGCTGGCAGGCATGTCGGTGCGAATCCCGTCCGTATATGAGAGGAGCGGAATCAGAGCATCAATTTCCTCCACAGGCAGAGAGCAGAGCTCCCCTTCCATGTCCTTGATGCCGGTGCCGGTGCACCATGGGTGCTGAGCAGGTCCGCTCTGTCCGAAATTCCGCCAGGGCCATAAATTGTTTTCTTCCCATTGGACGATTTGGAGCTCCTTCAGGTTGGGAAATAGTCGAATAGCGAGTGCAAGCGTTGGGCATGAATCGTGGAGCTCCCAAGGGAATAAAAAACCTCCACTCGCTCCGAGTGCCAGTTTTCGTATTCTCTTCAAATCTTTTGAATGAAATTGTCCGAGGATAGTCCACGGACATCCCGTGAGAATATCGAAGCCTCCCCCGTCCTGGTCCACAAACAGCACGTCCCTATCGAAATTGAACCATGTCCCTGGACCATTCGTGCGAGTTTCAAACGCGAGCGAGTATCCCCAACGCATCAAAACCATCCGAGATTCACGGCAGACATGCAGAAATGGCGGCACAGGCGTAAGGCTGTACAGCCGATTATCGCGCATAATCTGGTAGGCCACCCATGGATAATCATGGAGCCATCTCAGCGGGATCTCCGGCGTCGACCTCGTTGATTGCCAAGGTTGATGTGGTCCACCCCGACTACTCGTCACTCCGAACGACTCTAGAGTTGGTTGACTGACAGGCCCGGGAATACTGCGGCGCCATATCGGTGCGAAGTGAACCAGGTCCGGGTGTACGCGAATGTCCAACCGTTGTCTGAACTGCTCTTCAAAGCTCTGTTCGCTTTGAGCTTCTTCTTGTATGTGCACAACACGGGGTGGGGTTGCGAGCATGTAAATCTCTCGTCGGATCTCTGGTGGGAGGAGGCCAAAAGCATGGAAGGTTGTCGAGGCCATTTTGATGTGAGAGTGAGGTTGTTGAGTAGATGGTTTGTGATGGCCGGGTTTTAGTCTGAATTGATGCGCCACGCTGCTTCGGGAAAGAACTGACCGCGGCCGGCCCAGGAAGGCAGAAGGGAGCAGGTACCGAATGGATGTGGAACGGAAGAGAAGCAAAGATCAAGAATAAGAACAGGACTTGGACGGATTAACTCATAGGACAGAGAGAGGACTACACCAGGCAGCTCGAACTCCGCAACTTGCAAAACAAGGTAAGGCAAGCTCAAATTGAACAAAGGAGAAAAGGTAGATTAGAATACATGACCCAAAATCTTCAGCGACATTTGTCCATCGCCCCTCGCCTCGGGACCAGTTCCATATCTCCCACAAGCGCAAACAGGGGAGTGAGAAACAGAATCTATACCGCAACAAAAGACCCCCATGAGCAGTGAGTGTACAGGCTCTATGAGCGGAGCAGGATTTGGAATAATAGAACAAGCGGCTCATTTTTGTGGGTCAATATAGAAACACGGTCCCTCTAATCTTAACATAACAGGGAGATTCATCTAAACACGAACCTTGCACTCTCTCGAAGCTTTGAATCGCTCAATCACCAACGTCGCAACTGATATACACCCGTTTAACCAATGATGAGGGTCTCCTCGTCGGGGAAGTTGTACTGGGGAACCTCGAGGTTCAAAGGGGCGGGACCCTTTCGGATACGGCCGGAGATATCGTAGTGCGAACCGTGGCAGGGGCAGAACCAGCCACCGTAGTCACCGGACTCACCGATGGGGACACAACCAAGGTGGGTGCAGACACCTAGAGGGGTCAGGCGATCAGTTGTTGCCAAAACAAATGCGGGATGGTTTCCTACCAAGCATGACAAGCCACTCGGCCTTCTGGACACGCTCCTCGTCAGCCTGGGGGTCACGGAGGGACTTCCAGTCGTAGTCCTGAGCCTCCTTGATCTCGTCCTGGGTACGATGACGGATGAACACGGGCTTGCCACGCCACTTGATGATGACCTGTTGAATTCCATGTTAGTCGCAATGCGTGCTAACTCGACATAACGCCCCCTCGGCTAAACATAAACGTACATTCTTGCCCTCGGGGATCGTGGCCAGCCCGATTTCAACCTTGGCCTGCGCGAGGACGTCGGCGGAGGCGGACATGTTGACGAGGAAGTCTATCGCAAAAGCCACACGTCAGCCCATTCTTCCGCGGGATAACCGGCCGTTTCATGGTTCTGCGAAGCCAACCCAAAGAGTCCACGGTATGCAGGCTCCATTTCCTCCGAATATCACATCATTCAGGGACACCTACCCTGAACAGTAGCCTTGGCACCGACGGCAGAGGCCAGACCCATAGTACCAGCGACGAAGTAGGAGAAGACCTGGTTAGAGCGGGGAGCCTTCTTGGAGGAGTATTTGCTGAAATCAGGGACCTTCAGGGTGTCCTTGGCGGTAAACGGGCTGTCAAAGCTCGAGCTGTACCGTTGCTGGGAGGCGACGAGGGCGCGGGAAGTTGTGGACAGCTGCTGGCGGGCGCAGGCGCGCAGCAGAGAGCCGGAAGCGGAGGAGAGAGCCATGGCGAGAGAGCAATTGCGGATCAATTGCAGGAAGAACGACCGATGGAGGCGGGGAGGAGGGTGATTGGGGCGTTACGGCGTAGAGAGGAGCAGATGAGGAATTCTGAGGTTGAAGCCGACGGACTCCCGAAGATGAAATATACTCAGCCTCTGATTGGATGCGGTGCACCCGTAGTTCATCACGTGACCGTCTATAGAGTACCACGGTCTACGTCAGGCACCCTCAAGTCGAGCCATTACGGATTTACTTCGCGGGCATTGAAATATTTGATCAAAGACGGTTCCTGTCTATCGTCCAACGTTGTTGGTGTTCTTGATAATAGCCGGGGTTGCTGGTAATGGCTGGTACAGCCGTCATACGATATCATTTCATCAAACCATAAACACGATTATGCCAACAGAGTATACAACTCAATGCGCCCCAAAACCCGAACTCCTGAACAACTCCTGAGCGTGCTCCCAAACCTCTATTACCCAAATCAGTCAATCATCTGCCATCTCCACGTCATCATCCTTGGACTGCGAGTCACCGGGCCCATCTACCAGCATCCCAACAGTTGGGGGTCTGGAGCCCCGAGGCAGTGATGATTCCTTATCTTCATCCGGGCGCTCCTTATCTGTCTCGGGTACCGGCGGTAGGGCTCCGTTCAGCGTGCGCTGTCCCTTCTCGATCTCAATGTCCTTGCCCGATTCCTTCGCTCGCTTCTCCTTGAACTGTTTATACGTTGTCGTCTTCGGTATAACATCGGCGAGGAATTCTAGGTTGTCTATTCGCGATACTGCGGTTGCTGTAACCGACAGTATTAGCATTCCCCCAAGACGCCTTGCTGTAGACCGACCTACCTAGGTCTTTATACTGAATGGTTTTCCGCGGTTTGCGTTCTGACTTGACGACATTGTGCCCTTGTTCCGTGAGGTATTGGATGAAAAGTTCCTGAATTTGGTTCAGTCGATGCCCAAAGGCGAGGGAATAAGCCACATACAGTAGCCATTGCGACGACAAAGGTCGCATTGTTGGAGCATTGGACAATATCGTCGTCCAGCTGGATGATCTTCTTTATACGCGAGACTGTCGAATATCAGCAGGGGCTATCTTGCGATAAACCGAAAGGATATTGGGCGTACTCGGAAGAGAACTCTGGCCTGTGATCTCCGGCGATGCATCGGACCCGGACACTGTTTTACTATCTTTGGTAGGCATTGCGATATGACTGACTGATGGAGTATCTTAGTATGGACAAGGTGCTATTTCCGATATTGGACGAGTTTGAATGCTCCAAAAGGTGTAGGCTCTGATTCAAGAAGCGGGTGGTGAAAGAAGAGGCTCTGGCGCGTCCCGCATTCGATATCGCGAGGCAGACAATGTTTTGAACGCGCAGTTCGTGGTGTTGACAATAGTGCTTTGTTGTGAGTGAACGATGTGATCAAGATGTCTCCGGTATTTCAGTCTCTTCTATTTTAAAGTAACAAGGACCGAGTACTGTCCAGCTCTCACCAAGTCACCGTCTTTGAAACTGCTTTAACGCGATAAGCGTCTCGACTTCCCTTATCTCACGTGGTTCCGCGTACCCAATAATGACGGTCGACGGCTCCGGAGGTGCAGCTCTGTCACTTCAAGACAGCTATGCTCGCTCGCTGCAGCTCAACTAGGCGATGAGCTCAATGCCTGCCTCGTCGGCCCCGCTTTCCCCCCTTCTCTCGCCGTCCGTTCAGCCAGAGCGTCGCCTCTGGAGGAGTTTCTCGGGGTTATCGGCCTCGTCGCAACCACGCTCGCCCACCGACAATGGCCAGGCTCCTGTAATCACGGAGGAGATCAGCGAGATCAAACGATACGAAGACTTTACGACTATTGACTGGGTTCAGGATGCGGTGCACGAGCAAGCGCGGCGGCGGATGAAGCGACAGGAGGGCTCGGGATTTTGGGATAAAGAAGGCACTTTCAAATGGAGACATAAAGTACGAGAGTCTTATGACGCTGGACAAGCCTGGCTTGTCATTACGATTGTCGGGGCAGCAATTGGGCTGATTGCGGCTGTCCTAAATATTATTACCGAGTGGTTGTCGGACATTAAATTGGGATACTGTACGACGGCGTTTTATCTCAATCAACAATTCTGTTGCTGGGGTGCTGAAGGGGGTACGTTCGGTTGCTGTGAGATGTTAGATGACATGCTGATTTTCTATTTCGTCAGGCTGCCCCGAGTGGAGGGACTGGACTTCATACTGGGTTGTGAACTACGTTCTCTACACCTTTTATGCGGTACCTCAACCCTCCTCGCCCCCATGCTATACACTCGCTAAGTGTGATAGGTTCTGTTCGCATTCATAGCTGCGAAACTAGTCAAGTCGTTTGCGCCGTATGCCGCCGGATCGGGAATTTCCGAGATAAAATGCATCATCGCTGGGTTCGTGATGAAAGGCTTCCTGGGCGGATGGACGCTCTTGATCAAGTCAATTGCGCTTCCGCTGGCTATCGCGTCCGGTTTGTCGGTAGGCAAAGAAGGTCCAAGCGTTCACTTTGCCGTCTGTGCTGGAAATGTCATCTCGCGGTTTTTTACCAAGTACAAGCGAAGTGCATCGAAAACTAGAGAAGTTTTGACAGCAACGGCAGCAGCCGGCGTTGCTGTTGCTTTTGGAAGTCCGATTGGTGGCGTATTATTCTCCCTTGAGGTACATTGTCATCTTTGAACCCCAAAACAAAAGCTGACCTGGCGTAGGAAGTAGCGTCCTATTTTCCATTGAAGACTCTGTGGCGGAGCTATTTCTGTGCTCTAGTTGCGACTGGAGTGTTATCCGTATGTATCACCTTCCTTCATGTGAATCTATAGACTAAACGCCGCATAGGTTATGAACCCTTTTAGAACTGGACAGCTCGTCATGTTTCAGGTGCAGTATGATCGAACATGGCACTTTTTCGAACTCATATTTTTCGTCATAATTGGCATATTTGGTGGGCTGTACGGAGCACTAGTAATTAAGTGGAATCTTCGTGTCCAAGCATTCAGGAAGAAATATCTTTCCCAATATGCTGTGGTGGAGTCGGTGATCCTAGCTGCTATCACGGCAGTCATCTGTTTCCCCAACATGTTCCTGAAAATCAACATGACAGAAATGATGGAAATTCTGTTTCAGGAATGCGAAGGAGAGCATGACTACCACGGCCTGTGCGAGTGAGTGTTCTATATCCACTTCATTGTCGTTGCTAATGAAGTAGATCTAAGTATCGCTGGTCAATGGTGTTCTCATTGGCCACTGCCACAATCCTGCGGGTATTCCTGGTCATCATATCATATGGTTGTAAGGTGCCGGCTGGTATTTTTGTCCCATCTATGGCGATTGGGGCGTCTTTTGGCCGCATGGTCGGTATTATGGTCCAGGCATTGCACGAATCGTTTCCAGATTCGAGGTTTTTTGCAGCCTGTGAGCCGGACCTTCCTTGTATTACGCCGGGCACTTACGCATTTCTCGGCGCGGGCGCGGCTTTGAGTGGAATCATGCATTTGACCATCTCGGTAACTGTAATCATGTTCGAGCTGACAGGAGCTCTGACCTATATTCTTCCAACCATGGTAGGCAATGCAGCTCCCTAATCCTGACGCATGACTGACATGTCTAGATCGTGGTTGGAGTCACCAAAGCCGTTGGAGATCGTTTTGGAAACGGCGGCATAGCTGACCGCATGATCTGGGCCAACGGGTTTCCGTTCCTTGATAATAAAGAGGACCACGTCTTCAACGTCCCCGTTTCGCATGCCATGACGAGCGACCCGGTATCGCTTCCTGCGTCTGACTTCCCAGTACGTGAAGCGGAGCATCTCCTGAACGATAACAAATTCCAAGGCTTCCCAATCGTGGAAGACCGCTCGAGTAAAATCCTAGTCGGGTACATTGGCCGCACAGAATTGCGTTACGCTATCGATCGAGCTAGAAGGGAAAGCATGCTCTCTCCGACTGCCCAATGCGTATTTACCAGGGAAGCAGTGGAAGCATCAGTGGCTCGCCGCGCCTCCTCCACTTTCCAGCGTACCCATTTAACACCGAGTACCTTTGATAATATAGAGACCACTTCCGGAGCGAGCTCCGTGGACTTTAGCAGGTACATCGACCATACCCCACTAACAGTTCACCCGCGTCTGCCACTGGAAACCGTCATGGAGATTTTCAAGAAAATGGGCCCTCGAGTCATCTTGGTTGAGCACCGTGGCCGACTTACGGGACTCGTCACAGTCAAGGACTGCCTCAAGTACCAGTTCAAGGTCGAGGCCGAGGAGCAAGCACTAGCTGCAACGCACCAACCGGAGCTTCCCCTTGGGGCTTACCAGGCGAAGGATAATGACACGCTTGAAGAACGCATCTGGCACTTTATGCAGAAAATTGGGTCCAAGTTTTCCAAGGGATCTGGGCGACCACGAGATGTCAGACCCATCCCGCAACAGGATCGATCCCCAACTGGTCCGGGGCCGGAAGAAGACGCTGACGATGGCATGGTCGAATTAGAAGAAAGACCTTAATGTTAGAATTTGGTTGTATAGTATACGAAATAGACGAACGTTTATCTATCCTTCCATGTTGTACCCCCTTTGGACTGGAGATAAAGGGCCACCTGCCCTGAAGTCACCTTGTAGATACGGAATACGGCCAGGGTCTCTAGTAGGTATTGATGCTATAAAAATAGACATTGTCTATATCTTGATATCTACCTTGTTTGCTATGGGCATGGTCTGTAGTGTAGATACCCGGACAGGTGGGGGTTGATTATATGCAGGTTAGAGGGCGTATATCATTTCTCACTCCCCGTACTGAGCCACATAACCAGCCGTACTCAGGAAGTAGGCTGGCCCAGTTAAGAAGACTCCTCTCTCATCCCAACAAGGATACACCCACCCCCCATCATCCCCGCGCCCAACCACCACAGCCCACCAACCTTCTCCCGAAACACAATCATACCCAGCAGCGCCGTGACGAGGAAATTCGCCGAGGTATTGGTAATGGACACCTTGGTCGTAGACGGCGCGGCTGTCAACGCGCGCGTGAAGAGCGCCCACATGATCACGTTGCACAACACGTTAAGACCAAGACAGATCTGTTCGCCTGTTAGAATTGCGGTATTGCATCAGGGTAGACCCGTAGCTTGGGTAGGAAGCAACTCACCCCTCTCACGATAAGCATGAAGACGGGATGGCCGTCAGCGCCGCCCGCAGCGCCGAAGAGAGATAGGACTGCATTTGCAAAGCTTGTTGTCTGCTCGTCCGTGGTTCTGTATTTGACGTGTTAATCTCAAATTGTTCCTGGTTTAGATTGCGGCAACATACAGTTTCGCGAAGAGGCCGTTCAATGCGGCGAATGCGCCTGAGGCAATGGCGAGAAGAATCCAGCGCGGTTTGGGCTGAGGTTGTAATTGGGATTGCAGTGTTGAGGAAGGCATTATCGAAGGCGAGAGATGGTTTGTGCCGCGATGTATATTTTGTTGAAATGAGCTGAGTGGTGGTGAGACGGGCTTATGTAGGTATGCCAAGTATCGCAGCTTCGGCCGTGATCACCCGCGCCGATCAATTATATAGTTCTTCCCAATCATTCACCATGCATGTTCGATTAGGTGAAAATGTATTATCTATCATGACACGTTTACAGTTTCTGCTCTATAGTAAGCATCTAAGGCGAAAGCCGCTCAATCCGCCATTTATACGACGACTCATCCTCCCCGTGTATCCGCACATATCGAAACCGATCATGTAGTCGACTACGACGACCCTGCCAGAACTCCACCGACTCGGGAATCAAACGCACTCCACCCCAAAACGGAGGGAGAGGGATATCCTTCGTATCAGCGAACCGCGCCTCCATCTCCTGCACCCGCTTCTCAAGCAGCGCACGCCCATCGTCAATATCCGTTTCGTTCACGTCGTGCGGGATCTCAGGATAAACTATTGAGCTGGAGTCCTCGCCGGGTCCGAAGCTCTTGCGTCGTTTGCTCACGAGGTTATCAGGCTCAGCGGACCAGAGCACCTTGCTTTGCCAGCTAGCCCAAGCGCCGATCTGGCTTCCGCGCTCCCGCGTCCGCCAGTATAACTCGCTCTCCTCGCGGCTCAGCGGCTCGACCATCCCTTCGATCCGGACTTGTCGCTCCAGCACAGACCAGCAGAACGTCAGAGCAGCCCATTTGTTTCCCTGCTGCTCTAGCTCCAGGTCTTTGACGAGAGGCTCATCCACTCCGGAAGGCATAGAATCAGGGACGCTGCTCTCACTGTTCTCGCTGACACCCAAGCCAAATACTTGTCCGCCTTTCCCCTCCCGACTGCCCCAATTGCTGTATACCGTCCAGCCTCTCTCATCAAGCTCCTTAAGGTACACGACGCGGGCACTCACGCGCCCGGACGGCAAGGACGCAGTTGCCAGCGTGCACGTCTCCGGTGCCGACGAAAGCTCTAGCCGGGGATCGCGAAACCACGCATGAAACTGGTACAGCGGGCTTGTAGGGTGCAGTTGAGAGATGGTGAGCGGGGGGTTGCGCACGAATTGGTGGGCACGTGCGGGGTGCGATACGACCTTATTGTCCAGTGCCGTATTGGGGGTCATGGTATCCGACCGGAGGGCTTCTGCGACGACTCGCGCGGGGAGAGCAGACGCTGGAATGAGAGGCTCTTCGGAGGGAATCGTCTGGGTCTCGGGTGTCGCTGCGATGTCGCCGGGGGCGACTGCGATTGACGAAATTAGTGCTTTGAAGTATAGCGTCGTACAGATATAGCTAGAGGACACGTACAGATCAGCTTCTTTGGCCGTTTGTGCTGTGGATCTGTAGAGTCCATGGCCGAAAGATAGAACCGGGTGGTGTGGTAACTGCAGCGAGGTGGGAATGGACGTAGCAGGGTTCTGATTGAATTGGACAGAAGACGATGACTCATAGAAGAAAGCAAACAAAGTATCTCAAGCGAGCTTTCTAATTCTGAAGCGATGTCGGGGAAATATTGTACAAGGGAGGTGGGATGATGTTGGAGAATCAAAGTGGGGGTTGGGGACATCCCGCTATGACGCAGATTACGGCTTCATGCAGAAAGCAAATGTACGGAATACACCCTCTGGCCTACGTATACCAACACTTACCTGTTTTAACAGCCACTTTATACTCCTGATATAGCCTGTGTGCATGGCCATGGTCCATAGTAACCGGCGCCATTGAAATAATAGAACATGTCCACGATTTGAAAGTAGTACTGTAGACTATGTCCAAAATCCAAGAGCACTTTTTTGAATGGATTTATGTAGGCTATGGGCCATGTCCGAATGTTAATGGATCGTCAGATGTCGTATATCATTGACTTGAGAGTTGAGAGTCTCTATCGAACAAAGAAAATTGAACAAAAGGGAAAGATATGAAAAACACCAGAGCCCAAACAGTGGTATAGATACAAAGCCATAACTCCGTCCCCGCTGAATGCAATATGTCCAAATAGATACGTAAAGCTCTTGGCAATCAAGTGCCTCCCAATGTCTATGCAGTCACTGTCGGGCTGGAGAGCTAGAGAAAACCGGGTCCAGCCCTGTATGAATGCGATGATATCCCAGTCGTCGACTTTTGGATGTAAAGAAAAGAGGCAACTTTTATCGTCAAGGAACTGAACAACCACTTTAGAGTGTGGCTGTGACTGCACCATTGCCCACAAGATCGGCAATCTTGTGGGCCACGGCCGTAGGATACCCGCGAGAGAGCATCTCCTGCACCGTGCGAGAAGCGCTCGCATGGTCGTCGGCGGCTAAGAACGCACGGGTCATGGCTTCGTACGTACTTGGTTCCCGCTTTTCAATCCCGACACTGTTGTAAATAGCCTGGGCCTTCTGAACGTTTCCTTCGGCGGCCCATCCGTGGATGAGGGTGTTGGCAATGTAGGCGGTCATTTCCACCTTACGCTTGGCCATATCCTCAACAATCGCTTCAGTCTGTACGACTTGATGGTTGGCAACCATGGATTCGAGAAGGGCCTGGTACAAGCAAGGTTGCACGCGAACTTTAGTGTTAGACACTGCGGACTTGAAGACGTTGTGGGCGGCTTCCATGTCCCGCATCACGCAGCCCTTGGCATGGATGAGCGACGCATAGTGCACGGCCTCGGGCTCTTGCCCAGACGACTTGACAGTCTCGAGCACCTTTTCCGCAGCTTCCATATCGATGGGCTCTAGAGAGGCATGGGCATCGATAAGCAGCTTGTAGGTGTGCATAGTCGGCTTGATGTTTCGGCTCAGCATTCGCTCGTAGTAGGCCAAAACCTTAGTACGGTCGCGTTTTGTGTTGAGGAAGTACTGGATCATGGAGTTGTAAGGCGCGGGTCGGGGCTTGTAGTTCGGCATGGATTCCATCTCTTCAAACATCTCCTCGGCGAAGCGCTCGTCGCTAACACGGCAGAGTGCATTGACGATAGTTCCGTAGGTGACACTGGTAGGACGAACGTTGTTGGCGCGCATCTCCGCAAAGTACTGAAGGCAATCGTCAATACGACGGGCCTTGCCGAGCTTGCCGATGAGAGCATTGTACAGGAACGAGGTTGGCTCGACGCCCTCTGCCACGGCACGGTGGAAGATCTTCAGCGCTTCGGTCGCCTCGTCAAAGGTCTTGGTAGATTCCTTGAGGGTAGTGATGTACAGGCCGAAGGTGTTGGCAGACGGGGCAGAGCCAAGTTCGGAAAGCTCGTGGTGGTACTTGGCAGCAAGGCCGCGGTCACCCAGCGTCAAGCAAGCGGCGACCATGGCATCGAGGATGGAGTTCCAGCCATATTTGACAGCCTTGCACTGAGGCAGAAGAGGAACATCACGCCTGGCCATGCTCAGGACTTCATGCACCAGATCAACGCGATTGTTCTTTGCGGCAGCTGCAATGAGTTTGGCGTAGGTAATGTAGCGAGGGTGTCGACCAGCACGGCGCATGTTGCGGAGCCTGTTAAGAGCTTCGTTGAGGTGAGCCTCGGGCCGACCATGGGTGCTCTCGAGTCCATCAGCAATCATTGCCGATCCTTTGAAGTCGGTAGCGAATGCGTAAGGGTCGAATGAGTCCTCGCTCGGGGCCGAGCTCATACTAGACAGTTCAGAGACGGGGGTGTGCGGACCAGAAAGGTAGCTAGACGGGCTAGACGACAAGCCCAAATAGCTGTGCCATCTGCTGACCATGTCAGGCCGGCTGGTGAAGAGCTTGTTCACGGCTTGGTCAACGAGATGGACAGTAGTGGAATCCATGGCGAGTCCCGTGGCTAGAGCAATGTCCAGCATATGGGAGAAGCGAATGGGGTGGGCGGCATCAAACGACATGGCGCTGTTGTTGACCAAGATTCCAGCTTGAACCTGGAGAGCAAGGGCAAGGTCACGTGGGCCGAGCTGGGAAATCTCGAGGGGTCCGAGAAAGGCGACGGCGTGTTGGGCGACAGGTGAGATGAGGCCGCCATTTTCGACCATCAGCCAGAGAAGGGACATTGAAGCTTGAGGCGAAAGGATAGCAGCGCCCTGGACAAGAACGCGACTAAGAAGGTGAATACTCTCGTTGATCTGTTCACGAGCAGAGTTTGAAGAAAGGTTGTGGGAAGAGCTGCGGATGCGGGCAAACATATTCCTTGCCTCGACGAGAGATTCATCGGTGCGACCACTCTTCAGAAGAGCGACTGCATACATCACAGTCGGCTGTACCATATCCGACGTTGCCTGACCCACTGTGCTTAACAATAGCCACAAGGGCCGAGCAGCTGACACATTGCCGTCACGGACGTGGAGAGCCAGCATCGAAACAGCAGGCTTTTGTCGCGTCTCCACGTCCTTGGGGAGAAGATCGTATGCTTCGGAAGCAATCTTCAAGTTGCCGGAATCGGCCGCCGCTATGCAGATCTGAGACATGGCCTGATCAAGAGCTCCATCGCGCAGCCGGTTCTTAGCTTGGTCAAGCGCCTTTGCATGATCACCCAATTTGAGAGCGTGTTGCACTAGAGCGTCATGGATGATAACAGACTCTAGTGCCTCTTGTCGGGTTTCACGGTTCTCAGTCACTTCGTCAAAAGAGGAGCGGATTCGCTCAAGGAAGCGCATCGCATTTTCCTCCTTGCCACATGTGATATAGGCCTTGATCAAAGCAGCGTAAACCTGACCATCCAAACGCTGAATGATGCAGAATGTGCCATTGTCGTCAGACACCGCAAGTGATCTGTACTCGTTGTAGCACTCGACAGCACTCGTCAATTCGCCAGCCGAAGCAAAGGCGTCAATCATCGAGGGAAAGATGGAGGCGTGGGGGGTCACTTTGTGAGACTCCATGTGTGCATACACGCGGACCATCGCATCGACCTTGCCCTCGGTGGCGCAAGCACTGATCAGATAGCGGTAGGTGTCGAGGGGGAAGACGAGATCAGGATGTCGGGCAGCGGCAGTCTCGAACAATTTCAGGGCAATTCCGAGAGAGTCATCCTCGGTTAGGATAGCCTGCTCAAGCTCACTAGAGTGTAGCATGAACTTTCCAGGCTCCTCCATTCCGCCATAACGGACCCTCTCCTGCTCTAGCACTTGCATTGCTTTCATGGCGTCGTGAGCACGCATAACGAAAAGCTGAACTAACATTCGGTAGGTTTGTTCATCGGGAATTACCCTACGACGAAGCATATCCGAGTAAACATCGAGCGCCTTCGGGATCGCCTGTGATCGATCATCGTGAAGTTCGATGGCAGAGTCCAACAAAGCATTATAAGCGCCAACCGTCGGTGTGAGGCCGTCTCGAAGAAGAGCTGCAAAGGCGCCGGGGATGTCCGCATACTTCTTATCGGACGCAAGCCGCACAATCCGCTCTGAGGCACGGCGAGACTCCTCCGTGACGAGATCGCCCACCGCAGCTACATCTTCCGGCAAGTCTGGGAACGCTTCAGTGGCAGAAGCATCGTGCGCCTCGGACGCTTCCTCCGCCTGCGCCTGTTCCTCTTGTATTTGAATCTCCCGGGCTACCGCCTCTTCGACCTTCGCGCTGACATCCGCATTGGCGGAAGCCTGAGTGAGATGAGGAGAGTGGTTGCGGTCGGAGCGAGCTGTGGCGGACAGGTCGGTTTCGTCCTTCAGCCGACTGGCCTCTTCTTCGGTGACCGGCTTCCAGCCAAGACCCCGCTTCAACTGTAACTGTTTCCAGTCGCTGTCATCACCGGTCTGCTGAGCTTGTTGCCACGCCGCATAGTACGCAGCTAAGCCAGCATCTCCGCCGCCCGAACTACCTTGGCTGGCCTTTGCGCCGGCCCCAGACGAACTCGACGGTTGGAATACATGTTGCAACTGGGTGGTGCGGGAGAATTTCGCCGGGTTAGCGGCGGTGAGATGGTTGAGTGTTGTCGACGACGCGTAGGACTGCGAGGCGGCGACTACTGATTGAGCATAGCCATGAGTGAAGGCTTTGGTGAAACTCTGACGCGCGATGTGGGTAAACGGCTTGAAGACCATTTATCTTGCTGGGGACCTCTTCATCAATGGGAAGAGGCAACACTGGTCTCGTTAGGCACTCGCTCTTGCTTGGTCCAAATTTGGGAGGCCGTACCTTATAATCTGGAGAAAGATGATGGTGCAGGTTCATTTGACGACGGGGTCGCCAAAGGAACGCGCGAGAGAAAGAAAGGGGATGGTAGGGATGGGAAAGAGAGACAAGGATGTCTATTGGGGACAGGGAAAAAAAATGATGGGATTATGAAGAAGGGACCGGGAACGAGGGATATTTTATGAGAAGGAGAAAAGGAACTGGACAGTGGTCGCGTTGGCTCGTCCCAAAACGGTCTAGCGCGGATCCAAGAGTTTCCAGAATTCGACCCTGTCCTTTTGCACGGCCAATCGCCTTGAGGATCCTTTGCAGGAATATCGACCAGGGATGCGATATCAATTCCTGTTTCAGAGTGGGCTCCTCTTTTTCCTAGACCTGCATAGTCTATTTGTCGCGCAGGATATCTATCTATCACGTCGCCCTACAGCAAAAAATTCTGCGTACACAAGCTGATTCCTAATCAGGACGTCACTGCTTGTTGATCGGAAGCTGAAGGGATTTGGGTCAGGTGGCCGCTCAGCCCCAGATTTACAGTGCGGCCAATCGGCAGGCAGCTCGAACTGGAGCCGTAAGGAAGAAGCAGGAGCCCGGATCTCTGGGTTCCTGATTTTCTGGCACCGTTGACAGTCTGACTCACGGCTGTTCCGGCTCTTTTTCTCGTGCTTTTCTTCCGCCGGACTTTGGCCCGCTGGCCCCGTCCTATCACCGATGCCCGGATCTCCGATATCCGAGAGAATCGCCGATTGCTGCCTGCCGCTGGGAATATGCCTGAGGTCTCCATTCATGGTATCAAATTCGAGGCTCGACGAGGTCGAGTAAGCTGAAGAGCAGAGCTTTCACCCAGTATAACGCTGCCCACGTCAGTGGCGAAATCTCAAAGTCAACCGCCGGCTGCACTACTTCGTAGTCTATAGACTACTATCACCTCAAACTGCCGCGTGGACAAGGCCGAATTGGGTGTTGGCAATTGAAACTGCAAGCGAATGTCAGCAAAGCAGAAGGAGTCTCGACTCTCCCGAGTCGTGGATTTTCTGTGGAACGCGGAGGACTCCGCAGAGACTGTTATATCGTATGATGACCTCGACAAGGAAGTTCTTTCCATTCCAGCCCCTGCGACGGTGCGCAAGCAATATATCCTCGGTTGAATGGACCACGGCCGAAGAGCATTTTCCGTACTTTTATCCTACCGTATCACAGTCTCAGCTGTACAGCGTAGAGAATCTTGACTCCGGAGTAACAGTTACTCCTTTGTTCGTCAGGATGATCTTGGGTTCCTCCATTCCAGGCACACACTAGCCACATTCGTCAGCTCCAGCCACAGTACGGCGGGCACTTGAAGATGGTCAGTCGATCATCAAAAACATTCAAGATGACCGGCAAATACCAGGTGCCACTGATATATGATGCCTTGAGTTTCGCTCTTCGACCCTCTTGATTACATACCTCCCGTTTCCCTGTTCCCCTCTTTGCCTTGACCGGCAAGCCCAAAGCTCATCTCGAAACACGCGGGGTCAAGTACTTTCGACAGCGACTGCAACACTGATTCGTTGGTACCTCCTCACCGGCGTCGCATTTGCAGCGCATTTGCTTCTTGTTCCTGCTTGCTGATTTTGGTCTGTCTTATAGCTATCCTCGAAGCCATTCGCTTCCAGAAACACTCGTCTCGAGATACCACCAGAGCCCCTCACCATGTCCTACAAGTCATCCGCAACCACGGCCGTGTCCTCTCCCGGAAAAGTGTTGCTTACTGGGGGCTACCTAGTCCTGGACAGGAATTACACAGGCACTGTCTTTGCACTCGACGCTCGGATTCACGTCGTCGTGGAGCAACTCCGAAAGGGGCAGAAGCTACAGAACGGAAACGCCGAACCTGAGAAGGATAAGGAGGATCTAATTGTTGTTCGCTCGCCCCAATTCGTCGGTGCTTCGTGGGATTATGGTATACAACGAGCTGAGAATGGCGGTGGAATCAAGGTCGTACAGAAAAATGATGGGTGAGACATTCCAATCTTGTAATCTGGACGCGACTAACTGTGTTAGACGTGCCAATCCTTTTGTCGAGACCTCTTTGAACTACGCTTTGACTTATATCAGTTATGTAGCTGACTCGAAGGACTTTGGTTCACTGTCCATCACCATCCTCGCCGACAGTGACTACTACTCGGAGACGGCCTTTTCAAGGGCTTCGGGGCTTCAAGCTGGGGAATTCGTCAACTTTGGCGTTCCTCTCCACGAGGCGCACAAGACCGGCCTTGGTTCTTCTGCTGCTCTGGTCACTTCTTTGGTGTCTGCGCTGGTAATCCACCGTACCATGCAGCCTGATGACCTCGGTGCGGCTCGTGATAAATTGCACAACCTGGCGCAGGCCGCCCATTGTGCTGCCCAAGGAAAGGTTGGATCCGGCTTTGACGTTGCTGCCGCTGTGTATGGTTCTTGTCTTTACCGCAGATTCTCGCCGTCTATCCTAGAGTCCATCGGTGATGCGGGCAGCCCTGGGTTTGATGAAAGGCTGTTCAAGGTCGTCGAGGATGCTGACCCGGAACACCCCTGGGACACGGAGTGCCTGGACTTTGGTATGACTCTTCCCCAGGGCATGCAGATGGTTCTCTGTGACGTGGAATGCGGCTCTCAGACTCCGTCCATGGTCAAGAAGGTGTTGGAGTGGCGTAAGCAGAACAAGCAAGAGGCCGGTCTTCTTTGGGACGCTTTGCAGTCGAACAACGAGAGGCTCGTCCTTGAATTCAAGCAGCTGTCTCAAAGCCCCGACAAGGGTTTCGATGAGGTCCGCAATCTGATCGAACGCTCTCGCAGCTATATCCGCAGCATGACTGGAAAATCGGGCGTCCCCATCGAGCCAAAGGTACAGACCGAGCTACTTGACGCGATCTCCAAGGTTGACGGGGTTGTGGGCGGCGTAGTTCCTGGCGCTGGCGGCTATGACGCCCTTGCAGTCTTGATTCAAGACGAGCCTAAGGTCGTTGATCGTCTGAAGCAGCTCTTCGAAGACTGGGAAAGTAAGGTGGAGGATGACTTTGGTGGCAAGGTCGGCAAGGTCCGTCTTCTCGGTGTGCGGCACGGGTCTCTTGGTCTGGAGAACGAGCCGGTGGAGCCGTATCGTGCGTGGCTGTAGGTGCTTGGTTGCAGCGTTCATTATTTCGGGGCCTTCTCATGGGCAATGACTCCTTACGAAGTGCATGTTGAGCATCACGAGTATGGTAATGATTAAGTAATGGGTTTCTCAAAAGCATTAGAGAAATGTTATCGATTTAAGGGTATCCTAGGAGGGGTTCCGTCGTTATCATGAACTCGGGTGCAATCGAATATGCCAGGCTGGGCAGGCTGTCGCTTTGCCATTTGTCACTGATATCTGACCCGGTTGAGCATCAATGGGTAACGGCCCTGATGGGTATTGTTTGACTCCCACCTAAACATCTCGCGCCTCTTCCAACAAAGACTCCAGTGGTGTACGTCACCGCAAACTTCATCTCGTTCAACCGGGCGTGGCCCTTAGTAATGTTTAGGCTGTATCACCGACAAATTGGGTTCATGGTAAAGGAAATCCGTGGTTCAGATTGCAGAGGTAGTATCTAGTGCCATCGGGCCCAGCCGCTCGCGGTTATTTGGGCTTGCTTAGTCGGCAGCTACGCCCATCGCCATCCGCGGAGTCTTCGATTATTTATCGTCATGCCTGGCGAGTCTGCGGCGGTTGTATCTGTTGGGCTCGCTGGTTGTGGCTGTGGGAGTGCCATATGGGGTGAGAGCAGGGTTCGGGGGTTTTATGAACCATGGTCAGACCAAATATATACCCGCAAGATTCAAGGCAAAACAGACATCATGCAGGACAAGATCAAAGTACGCCCGGTGGCATGAATTGACACTCATCCACCGGGGCAACAGCACGGCCAGAGACACACCAGGCCATCAGTATCAATGGAAGAGCAGACGAGCTGGCAAAGCCCTAGACCTGGCAACGGCGTGGGGGTCTACACCCGTTGCCAACCAACTACCACCACTAACAAACTAGGAATAGCTCGATAGTTGCTACAGGATCAATGACACAGAAAGAGCCATTTGTATACCTTGCATCAGAAAGATGGTAATAACGCGCATAATTAAGTCAGGCATGAACAGAAACAAGAAGAACTTGGGCTACTAAGCCAAAGCCTGATCTTGAAATTATGATTTTCAAAGACCCTATTAAAGATGTCAAATTATGAGTAGAAAGAACCCAGAATCCCTATGCTGCTGAAGTCAAAACATACCACGCGCGTGGCTCGGGCCGCGAAGAAAGTGCTGAGCATCCAGGCCATTGTGATTCGGACATGGTCAGGTCTGACCAACTATTTTTTGCCGGTTGAGTCCAATATCTTGTTAGCTTATATGGTTTATATAAGAATTATTGTTTAGAGCCCTAGCACCAACTTAGCATGTTAGTTCAGGGTGTCTTATATTTTTGGCCTTACCTATATATATTTCCAAGCAAGTGGTTCCTAAACAATCCAGTCAGCTGCGTGATATCAATTTTTAAGCTCGGTGATATATGCAATTAAAAAATAATTTTTCAATAACTGAGCATGTTAACTCAGAGGAAGAGTGGTATTAATCACGTGACCCCATTATTTGAATATATCCACTAACATATTACAGCCGGGCTCATAACCCGGAAGGCCCTGGATCGAAACCAGGACATGCTATCCATCTTTTTTTTTATCCATCTTTTTTTTTCACCCCTCTCTTTATATACCTTCATTGCCCTAATAAACGAATCAATGCTCATTGGCATTAACCACCAGCATTTGACAGTATTATATTCGCATGTATAAGTAATGCCCTTACCCAAAATATTCAAAATTACGGCCTCTGTTTTGCCCTGCCCAGTTAGATCTCCAACCCATTCTTGCTGGAACACCAAATATTATAAATTTAAGTGTTATTAAAACTCACCCGCAGTACTGACACTGCCGAAACTCATTTGCTTCCCTTCCCCGGTCAGGCTTTTGAAGGGCCATATCCTATGCGTCCATCGACCGCTTCCCATGTCTCCTGCTTTACCCCCAACTTTCCCAAGGCAGAGACCGCCAGCCACAGTAACTCAGATCTACCTGGTTCATTGCTGCCCTGTAGGTCCGTTTATGGCCCACAATAAGCGACCATGCCATAAAGCCTAGTAGACCACGCCATGTTTTATCATATCAGTCTAGAGGGTTGACAACCATGTCACCAGTTAGACCCCGTCGTCCCCCTGGCTTCTTCCTTAGCGACTCATTTGTTTGAATGATGCTAGAGTTCCACGTCTTCTACTGCGTGCCATCAAGCCCACCCCGTCTTCCTGGCCATGGTTGGGTTACGTGCACATAGAGTTGTTCATCTGTTCAACTGCAAGAAACAAAAAGGAACCCCGCGGAAGTTGTACATTAGACCTTGATTGCGGCACCCCCTTCATCGTGCTTGTCCTTCATTCCCTTCTTCAACCCCTCTTTATCATCATTGTTATTCTCCCCTTCCCCCTTCTTCTTGTCCTCCCCCCTCTTACTGGCCTCATCCCCCTTCTTCTCGGTGTCCCTGCGCTCCTGACGGCGCTTTTGAGCCTTGGTTGTCTTTACTCCGGCAGGGGCGTCAGCGTCGGCGGCGGCGATGGTGGTAGTGGAGGGTGCGGAGGATTGACCACGGCCACGGCGCCGGGCGTTTTCATCGCGCTCAATGGCCCTTTGGACCACGGCCCAGGCCTCGGCAAGTGTGGGGTCGTTATTGAACTAGAGTCATATGTGTCAGTGTATAGCCAGAAAGTAGGCCATGGCCGAAAGAAAGAAGAGCACAGGACACATGGATGGCCAGCTCGAAGAGCGCAAGAGGGATGGACAGACTGAAGAGCAGAGATGGGCAGAAGATTTGGACATGATCCAAAGAGAGGAAGCAAGCCGAAGAACAGACTCGGTCAGAAGAATTGGCCATGATTCAAATTGAGGAAGCAGACTGGAGAGCAGATGTGGGCAGATGCGGGCAGAGATCTGGGTATGGGCAGAAATGGGAAGACAGGCAGAACATGAATAACGGATTCGGACATGGTTGGAAGAAGGAGAATGTGGATGAAGTTTTGTATGATACTTTCGAGGTCGAGGTAGTGGGAGAAGGCAGGCTGTAACACGATGACAATCATTAGCTCAATCCAGAAGAGACCGGGGATTGTGACTTCAACCCACGGGCGTGATTGTGGTAGTGATGGGTTTGTTGGTGGGAGAGAAAGAATACAGAGCAAAATAGATCTGGAATTTCTCACTGGGTACTTGGTCAATCACCCTTTGTAAGAAGTATAAGGAGGGCTGGAGAAAAGAGCGCAGTACGTCAGAAGTCAACCAGCGTAGGTGGGAGCTTGTGCCGTTATATGCCGTGCTGATTATGTAGTATGGAGGCTGACCAGGGCCGCAATAAGTATTAATCAAGTATGAACAGTAGAAATGAGGCAATGGACAGTAGGCCATAGACGGGGGCTACAAAGGTGAGTAGGAGGTAGATACGGACATGAGCAGCAGAAAGAAAGGCCAGCAGGATGAAAGCATAGAAACACTCGAAAGGTATCAGCATGGCCAGAACACAAATACCAGCTGAAGATGTGCAAAGGAGAGACGGACCGATGGCTGTCAGCCTCTTGTCTAAATTTAAATAGTAATACAAGATCTTATAGAGACTAAGATGATACAAACATAAGCGGTTAGCTTTGGTTCAATGGGGACGAACCAAGGCGAAGACCAGGCCCATCGCTGCAGCACCGGCTGCGGCACTGGTGGCGGCCACTATAGAGAGATCACGTTGTGTGACTGTGACGGGACTCTCACTGAGAAGGTCGTGCAGGTATTGACGCCACGACTCAACAGACATGGATGAAGGGAATTGCAATGTAGAAGGGTTGAAAGATCCTGTGAGCTCGCTTGCCGTGTTCGCCGGAGGCTGGTCTTCGGTAAGGGTGGTTGGCGTGGTTGAGTGGGCAGTCACATCAGGAGATTCGTCGGAGGTAATATTGTCTGCAGTAGACGGGGTGGTAGAAACAGAAGCAGAAACTTCTGGAGCGGCAGCGGTTTCAGCAGATGGCACAGGCTGGGCATGGACGAGGATCTTCTCCTTTTCAATAGCCTCGAGCACTTTCTCCTCAAATCCCTTGACGAGCCTCTTCCGGCGCCAGGGCTCAACGGCTATCTGGAAGACCAGGAAGAGGAGGACATTTACCCCCATCAGGCCCCAGGTCCCCCATGTACTCATACGGCGAATTTTGTCCGACCAGACTTGCTCTTCGTGGTAGCGGGATAGGATGCTCTTCGTGAGACTCGCAGCAGCCTCTTCCGACTCGCGTTCAGCCGCCGACAGGGCTTCCTGCGTTTCATTTTCGGCAACTTCGTTCGTGTGGTCGTTGCGGTATAGATGTGTGAAGCGTTCTAGATCAGCCGGTGACCAGGCGTGTTTACGCTGCAGTAGTTCGTTGACTTCGCGCTGAGAAGTCGAGCGTCGGTTTATGGCGGCCGCATAGGCGTCTTTTGCTGCTCGGACCTGAAGGCGAGCGGCTCGAAGGCGCTCCTCTAGTAAGGGGTTAGCAGGAGCTGGATATGCGAAGTCGGGTCTCTGACGAACCTTGTTCTTGTATACTCCTCTTCAGGGCCTCGATCGAAGAGTAACCAGTCAGGTCGTTCAGCCGCTGGCCCGCCACGAAAACATTTGATTGCATATTATCCATCATCTCGGTGAACTGCTTGGAGAGTTGCGACCGGCGGTTCTCTAGATACGAGGGAAGTCCCCCGGTCTCTGTCGAGCTGGGCTCAGCATTTCCCTTCCCTTCATGCCCCTGAGTGTGCACCGCGTCCGCGGCTTGCGGAGTTCCCTGATCCCCCGCACCTGTTTCTGTTCGAGTGCTCTGCGGCGCACTCTCCGGCGCACCCAAGGCGATTACTTCATCTTTCGACTTCCCATCCGGACTTGCATCTGCAGGCTTCTTTAATTCATCCGATAAAAGGGCGGGCTGGGAGCGGAATTGACAACGTAGGCAGACCGAGAAGTTTCGCCGTGAATCTCTGGGGTAGTGAAGAACTTTGGTGGTAGGACTTGAAGCGATCGGCGATCGTCTGCATAGAGATGTTCTTGGTATTTTCAGATTCGTTCGTAGAGATTGTCTGAACAAGCCTGGCACAGATTGCATGGTGACTGCGAGGTCGCAGGACCGTCCGGTTTGTTGTTGGGAACGGCTGAGTTCCAGAGTTGGCGGAGAAAGGCCGGGCGGCTACTCGGGGAACCACTTCGGCGGAAGGGCCACCCCAGCCACACGCGGACGATTGGACTTCTAACTACCAGGTATATAAAGTATTCTTACGGCCCGGTGTCCTTTCTACTTTAGCGTCCATGACCAAGTTATCGTAGAAATGAAGTACATTAGGACTAGTCATACAAACAAAACTCATAGCAGGACGGGGGCTGTAGAAACAGCGATTACCGAGAAAAGGTCACAGGCAGCTCATAGCACGATGGAGGCTGTAGAAACAGCGATTAGCGGGAAAAGAATCCACAGGACCAGCTCATAGCAAATCATAAGGCTCATCAGTAGTTGTTCGTTCAAGGTTCATAGGTTCGGATGGTATGGATATCTAGGTGCAGGGGTATTCAAAGCAGACTGAACTGTGGCCGAGTCTAATCGTGATTCTGCACTTTGTGGTCGCCCTTCACAGCCTCGGCGTACGTAGGAGGACTGGTTTCTTCATTTCCCTGTCTGCTGCTTCCAGCTGCACCATCTTGTCCGTGTTGAGGCTTAGGAGCGGGTTGTCTGGACTGCGACTGTGCGTCCGAGCCTTGCTGTGCAGGCATAGTGCCGTAGCCTCTTTGAGGATGAGTCGGAGCAGGCTGGTGAGTGACATAGTAGTATGTTACGTGCCCATTCTCGACGTCGCCCCTCCGGTTAGGGACGGGCTCGTATGACGGGTCGTCGTAGTCCGGTTCGGGGTTTTTAAGGATGATGTACCATGCGTGGAGCAAGCCGGGGACGTAACCAAGACAGCAGAGAGCGATGTTTATGATGGAGTCGGCCGTGCAAATACCTAGTTTGATCCAGACTGGTTGCGAGTTAGTGGGGAGACGGCAGCGTCGAGGTAGATGCCGACTTACCTGAGACGGGTGGAAAGAAGATTGCCAGGATGGCAAGAAACATGTCAGAGCCGCACATGGTTACGGATTACCAGAGTTCTAGTGAGGATATATTCAGAAAATGAGATTTGTCTTGAATGACATCGAGGACAAAAGCTGCTGCAAATATGGGCGCCTACGGAACACGGATTACGGTCAGCCACACGGTGTCAGATGAGGTCATGGGCACGTGAGCCGGAGAGAGCTCTGTGGCGCAGCACGCCACATGCGGAAGCGGGGCTCCGAAGCGGGGCTCCGAAGCGGGTGTGACTCAGCATCGGCATGCCGGGCCACGGTCGAAGCTCGGCATCGACTTGAAAGAATCGAGATAAAGAGAAAAGTCCTTGAAAATGACGAAAAAGGCTACGTAGATAGGTAAAAATGCTATCAATAGATAGAGAAAAACTGGAAGAGCTTGAATAAGTCAGAATAAAAATGTGCTGACCGAATAGACTCGCTAAAAAAGGAAAAAAAAGGGATAGCATGTCCTGGTTTCGATCCAGGGTCCTCCGGGTTATGAGCCCGGCTGTAATATGTTAGTGAATATGTTCAATTATTAGGGTCACGTGATTCGTACCGCTCTTCCCCTGAGCTAACATGCTGATTGATTGTTTTGCAGCTGTTTAAAGTTGCTTATATTTATACAAAAACTTAAAAAAAAGCTCCAAAACTCGTGGCCACGGTCGACGCGAGACTGGGGGGAAGTTCGGCAGCATCCCAATGGGTGCTGAGGCGCATTCCTCTTAATCCTAAACCTTATCTACAGTCCAAGATCTTTGACTAGCTTCTGAGTCTCTGTCCAGGTTGCTAGGTCAACGCGTATGCCTGTATCTTGTCATTGTCAGTAGTCTTTACGGCGTCCCATACACCAGCTAACTCTAGCCTGGAGATTGACCATGGCCTGAGTAATGATGGGCCGAAATTGAGTGACAATCATTGGCGTTAATACATAGGCAGGATGCAGTTATGAGCAAAACATAAGAGAAAAGGACGGGGAGCACGAGATCTGGATGGCTGTGTGACCTGTGAAGCAACACAGGGCGTTCTTAGAGAGTCAGAAGTGACCCAAGGGTATGGCAATTATTGGCAATATCGGCCATGGCCCTGCAGTAGTTGTAGTGCACCTGAGGCTGCACGAATTTACGACCCTACTAGACTAACCACGCTAGGTGGGGCGTGACGGGAGCTAGCGGGAAGTCTGCAGATACCATTGGTTAGCCCTTGCTATTCTAAGCCACTAGCGCCAAACAGAGTTCAAGCACCGAGGCTAACGGCAGACTAAGCCATGTTCGGCGAACTATACTCCGTCAAACTTCGATACTCGATATTCCAGGTCCTCCAAGAGTTACCCACTGCCTTAAGACTGCAAAAAAGCGGCTCGAACATTCCATCTAGCAGCATGTTAACTCAGAGGAAGAGTGGTAAATAGTCACGTGGCCGCCAGCTTGAACATATTCGCTAACATATTACAGCCGGGCTCATAACCCGGAAGGCCCTGGATCGAAACCAGGACATGCTATAGCATCGAACCAGCGGAGTTGCCTAGCAGCTTCATCATCTTTTTCTTTTTTGCAGTGATGTCCTATGTACTCCGTATTTTCGGATGTTCTCGCACCTGTATAGCAGCAGCCTGGGCTGGCAAACCCGTCAAATGACTCTTCAATAATAATATTATTGATCGTGCTGGCTGGCACTGGGCAGCGGACTGTGGTGCCCTAACTCTCGGTACGGATATCTGCGGAGTTCAGGCGGGTCGCCGGGCCTCTTGCCCTCAGGCCTCACGTAATGACCTGATTTTCAAGGCTCTGACCATGGGTGCCTCATCGAACAGTGTCTTGGCCCTACATAACCGTCTAATGTGTCTCGTGCCTCTCAAAAGCTCTGGGTGCGGACATATTGCACGCCACGGAGTATTGTATGCGGCATTCAGCCTACCATTACCACGGTCGATAATACAAGACGCTTCTGAATGGATTACGGCATCAAGCAATGCGTATGGCTTGTTTGTAGGCCATAACGGCAATACATATTGCAGGCCAGATGGCGACCCCAGTGAGGGCCACTAGCAGCAACGGGTATTACCTATATATCCAACCAGAAGAGCCCGATACTGAAATCAGGCGAAAGTCATTGAAGTTCTACAAAGGAGTACCTATAGTCCGAAAAGCTGATGTTGATAGGCCTATTACACGGTACAGCCTGGACCGCATACAGTAGGTATGGCCATGGACACTATCAATATGGCTTTGAATAGTATTATAGACCATGTCCGAGTTTTGAGAGTAACTGTGTATACTAATTACTCGTCACTTCGCTGAGTCTGACCGACTAGGCCTAGTGGGTTTGGCCGAAGGCTCCGGGGAGCGACGAGTATGGTTATAGGTCGTGGACCATGTCTATATCATATCATTCAATTTCTATGAGATGCTACTTTGTACTCCGTATGGACATGAATATAGCACGGATATCTGGACAGATAGTCTAGAGTGGTTATGTGCAGGGCACTGCAGGCAGCCCAAAAATAGATACGATCAGCGGCATATCTAGTGGTAGTGTGGCACTGGCCACCGCATGGCGGACAAGCATCCTGCAGATTCTGAAACGGCCGGAAATATGACATGAGGAGGAAGATTGAGCAAGGCTGGGCAGCGCGCGATACCTTGCAGCGGCCCTTGCAAAGGCAGCAGGGAAAGACCTGCATTGCTAGCCAGGTACTCGGAAGTCTCTTTGGGACATGAACTGAATGCCGAGAAAATACTTCGCATGGTTGCAGCTGTTGCTCTCACCGAACTTAGACTAGGTACGACGACAAGAAGTATACATCATTTCGCTATCTCGTAGACTTGCGATGTATCGCATCCTTCGTTGGCGCCGGTTTGCCACGTCAATAATTGTCACCGCCGGAGCATAGGGTCTTGGAAACAGATCACAGACACAGTTCATCGTACCCCGTAAACAGAGAGGAATGTGGATTCCTCTCGCGGCCCGCTTGATCTCTGGACGAGATGCGCGGAGCCAGGGTTCGTGAATCGCGATACTTCGATGAGACTGCCTCTGCCAGCTTGGAGTCGGTCGCAGCTCGATCAAAGCAACTTGATGAGTTATTTACTGCAACCTCTGGCCATGTCGAGTGCTTCAGATTCGTATGATTAGTAGCACCTTGCTGAGACAGCGTGTAACTGACCTCAGATCGCCAGTGTTGTTGTCCTGCCCGAAGAGTCTAGCTTCGTCGGCGGGTGGGCGCTGTGGAGGCTGGTTTAAATTGCAGTCTGCCAAACCTCCAGCCGTGCGTCCCCCTTTTGCAGCGTCAGAGTCATCCTTGCTGAGTCTGGCCCTCAACTCCCCTCATCGGGTCGATTTCTTCTCTTCGAAGATCAAGGGCGCCCACCTTGCACTCAGCCATTGCTGGGTTCTGGGAAAGCGACCGCGGGCTCCTGAATAATAATCCTTGTCCGACTCCGACCAGTAAGCCCGATCACGGGTTTCGTCCTAGCTTCCCCCGATCAGCGCCCTTGTGTTCGGTCTCTCTCCAGGCTCTCCTCCATCTCGCTCCCCCCTTGTGCCCTTGCGTGGTTCTTCTTCTGAACCGCCCGTGTGGACCGGTCGTTCGTTCGATTTCGCTTCTTCACCACCTTCGTGGGCCGTTTTCTCTTCTCTCTTCTGTCAGTTCTTGCCTAGTAATACTTCGCTCTTGAGACTCAGCTCTCTGCCACTCTTTTTCCGACTCGACGCGATCACCGCCGAGATTTCCTATAAATCGAGACCAGAAATCAGAGTAGGGACAAGGACGATACAACATGACAGAGCGCTGCGACCAATTCACCTGTTAGATTGACCATCGAGCCGTGATCTATACTCCCCGAATTCGACAGCGACACTCGGTTCGCGAGAGAAACGTGAAACACCATGTCCAGCTCCTGCATCTCACTGTCAGGCTCAACGCAGTGCCCAGCCTTCAATTCGTCTTCGATCTCCACAAGCACCAGTCTTTACACCGACTTGTACGCCCGTCTCCAGCCGATCCCAAGTAAAGCCCATCGCTGACCGTCGCATAGCCCGTTTCTGCAAAACGTTACGAATCTGACCGAATTCGACAATGCCCTTAACAACTATGTGCTGGGCTCATACATCCAGAGCAAGTGCGTTTAGAAACACGGCCTGGAAGCGTATCTTGCTAATTGTGCTACAGATATGCCGTGTACCTTGGCTGTCAGGGCGACCTTTCCAACACCAGTGATTACTATGCGCGGTATACCACAAGTGCCATCTGCAGTGGCTTAGTCCAGAGTTCCGCGACCGACTGCGACCTGTCGACTGAGCAGACACGGCCGCTCTGTGCGGATGACTGCGTGAGTGCCGTTCTAAACCCACATCCCCCAGTGCTAACTATGTGACAGGCATTGATGGCTACAAGTGAGGAAGAGATTGCTGTTAACGACGAGCTGTGCCCTGACCGACGAAGCGACTATTTGAACCAGATCCGCTCCGACTTTGCCGTGTGTACTGGTCCCGAGGGCTCTCTCACTGGATCATGCATATCAGCGGCCGTCAATGAACCCAACGAATGCGGCTTTCGCTCAAATCTTATCGGGCTGTGCGGATTTTGCGCTTCGAGCTCTGTCAATTCGACTGATTCCTGCTGCATAAATGCGAATGCCTCGACTCGATGCGAAGGCGTGGATATTCCGACCCCGTCTACATCGTTTATTCCCATTTATACGTCCGATACGGACTCGGGAAACGATACAGGTAACGGCTTGTCGGGTGGGCAGATTGCGGGTATCGTCATTGGCTCTGTTGCTGGGTTCGCCGTGCTCGCGGTTCTGTTAGCGTTCGGTCTCATATATTATTGCCGGCGTAAGCGCCAGGCTGGCGACGACAACTCACTCAACAAGCCGAACCCTCAAAGAAAAGGATCTCCCATGCAGCAGGCCGGGAACCAAGCCTTCGGTGCCGCGCCTGGGCGCGTTGCGAGAATGTCCGCCCTACGCGAGGCCCCGAGTTCTTCTCCTGGGCACTCTCGGAATTCGGGAGCCTTCCTTGGTGGCAGTGCCAAGTACAGTGATTCCTCAGACTCCGAAGGCTTTGCGAGCCCCGGAGCCATGAACAAGAAGATTCCGCCTACCACCGGAAAACGCCAAGGTTCACTATCAAGCAACTCGGCCCTGGCGGGTGCAGGTAGCGACATCTCTCCTCGCTCCGGCACGATTGGGCAGTACTCTTCGCCGGAAGGGTTGACCAGTGGACAATCCGAGCAGCTATCTTCGTTCCAAGACTATTACTCGCAAGATGATATCCATCCCGGTGACAAGGTTGCAGTACTCTGGGCTTACCAACCGCGGGCGGGTGACGAATTTGGCCTAGACCGCGGCGAGATGATCAAGGTGATAGGTATTTGGGACGATGGGTGGGCGACGGGTGTTCGTGTACCCGAGAGTGCAGAAGAATACGATGCTAGACACCGCGAACAGCGTGACAGTGGCGTCTCGAGTCGCTCGCAGAGAACCTCTCCAGCCCCGTCAGGCGAGATCAAAGCATTCCCATTGGTCTGTGTTTGTCTCCCACAACACTGGAGGAAGATCATCGATGGCGGACAAGGAGATGACGAAGCAGCAGAAAGATATGGATCTATGTCCTAGTTGAACCACTGCTTCTCATGCCACTTTACGCCTTCATGATAACGCCTTTTCTTCTTCTCTCATCTCGTGAGCAGCCATAACTCGTCCATGTCCGGGAAGGCCTGGTTATGTCTCCTCATCGCAAGTCTCGTCTTCTGTCATCCACACCTGTCCATCAAAAAATATCGATATCCGACGCCGCTCAAATCCACATACCCGGCGTATTTGTTGCGTGTTCACGGCTACCTTTTCTCTCCTTTCTCGACCTCCCATTGTTCACAGTTCAGCAACCCTCGAGATCTCTCCGGATGCGTCTGAGACGACTTTCTTTATTAGCGCTTTATTTTCATATACCCCTTTCCTTCAGCGGTCAAATGGCTTTCTCTTAGACATGCCATTCTCGTCATGCATTTACATACTCTTACGAGGGTACCGTCTGCAGTCTGACAGCAGCTCTACCCTCCATGGTCTGGACCTGCCTTCAGTGCACGTTAATATAAAGAGGACGAGCTTCTTCATCAGATGTGCAATGACCATCTGCCTTTATTTCGCCAGTGTTTAAACTGGCTTCTTCAGTACATATTGATATATGTACGTATATTTAGCTTCATGGCCTGCAATATTAGAGATTCGAACACTCCGTCAATTCCACTTGAGTAAACAGCGTAGACTCTTTCTTACGTGGGGATCTGCTCGAGGCCATGGTCTGAATCTGAGGATTTCCAGGCACCTAAATGAGGCAACCTTAAATATGTGAGCAGCTGCAGGCTGCACGATTATTTTGCAGTGTATAAAAATAATGATTCAGGGGCTGACAGTGTGGCATTGTTACGACAGTCGCAGCGAATCAAGCGTGGCTGGTCGGCCACCCCACTAACCGCCTAACGCAAGCGCAGCAACTTGGAAGTGAGTGCCCCTCTCGAACTTCCCCCATCCCCTCTACCTACCTCTCTTTTGTTCCCCATACCCTTACTTCTGGAATCACCTATTCCCGCATCTACCTTTCGGTCTTGCTGGTCAGTGGAACACCCGAAGCTTCCTATCCAGGATCCCTCTCTCGCAGATACCGAGCGGAGCCAGCCAGCGAGCAATTACAGCTGACGTCGTCTGCCTGCAGTTAACATATTGCGAAGTCCACATTCTCTGAAACAATGTCGGTGAGTATTTGACACAATCGCATCCGAAAAGATTCATCTAAACTGACCGTTGTTTGTCGCTGTCTAGCTCGCATCTGGGTATGTTTACTCGTGCTCCCCACGTTCCGTCATCTGCACTCGAAATGATTATAGCCGCCTTTCGTATACGATCCTAATGCCGTGGAATTTCCAGTGTCCAGGTTCAGGATGAGTGCATGACTGCATTCAACAACCTTCGCATGACCGGTGGCCAGAAGGGTTCCAAGCCCAAGTTCATCATCTTCAAGATCTCCGACGACAAGAAGCAGGTTGTTGTCGACGAGGCCTCTGACGACCCCGACTACGAGGTTTTCCTCAGCAAGCTTGAGGCTGCCAAGGACGCCAACGGCAAGCCTGCTCCCCGCTACGCTGTCTACGATGTCGAGTACGACCTAGGTGGTGGTGAGGGTACAAGGTACAAATCACCTTACCAATCGGGGTTGGCTATGCCTGGCTGACACCCTTCGTTTTCTGTAGGAGCAAGATCATCTTCATCTCTTGGGTGCCTTCCGGTACCTCCATCAACGTATGTTTCTCCCAATGCTCGATAACCGCAAAGCAAGCTGCTCACTCAGAAACAGTGGTCCATGATCTACGCCAGTACCCGGGAGGTTCTTAAGAACGCTCTTAACGTTGTCACATCCATCCACGCCGACGACAAGGGCGACATCGCCTGGAAGTCTATCCTTGCTGAGGTCAGCGGTGGGAAGGCCAAATAGACGAACGGCGACGGCTGGGTCCGGGCCAAAATGCGATGACGTGGGGTTTCGCGCTACAACGCCTCTGATCGGATTGAGTATCTCGAAGTGCGGATAACTTCCCTTGCGCGCGTTTAGTTGAATATCAGATCGTTATGACTTGACTGCCTGCATAGTGACCCTGTCGCGTTTTGCGACCGTGGCAACTCTCCGTGAACGAGCTTATGGGAGGGCAGCTTCCTTTGTCATTTTTCTCTTCCTTCTTCGTCAGCGTTTGCCTGTACAGAATACTTCTGCCTGCTGCGGAGGTTGACTCTCGCGGTTTGGTGTAAAGTAAAGCACGATATCGTCTTCATATAATTGATTGCTAGACGCTGTTCCCGCGGCAGCTTGTTCGGAATCAAGCGTTGTTAGGCTGTAGAGCAGTAATTAAAGAGGCCATGTTCGGGAAATCCGAATCCTTCAGAGATAGAGCGCGATCTAGAGAATGTCATACGGTAGACCCGCGGACGAGATAGTCAAGGTGCCTAATCAGTTATGACGGGGAGATTAGGAATCTTCTCCCAATGAATCGCTGGCCGCTGGTCACGTGCGCGGGAGTGGTGCGATGTCCTCGAAGTTCCCACGAACGTCTATTCCATCGCGAATCACCTCCTGCCCTTGTCCCTCACACCAGTATCCTCGGCCCCGAGGCATTGAACTTGTCAATTTTACGAGAGTGAGCTCTCATCATTTATTTATTTCTCAGTCGCCTCCGGCCGTCACACACAATGTTCGCTCCCTCCGTTTCTCGAGCTCTTGCTCGTAGCTCGGCCATGCCGATGCCTGCCATTCGTTCTTACCGCACCGTCTCGAGCCCCATTGCTTGCGTCAATGCCCGCCCCCAGTCTGCAAAGAAGTCTATCGCTGCCCAGCAGACTCGCGCCTCCTCCGAGCACGCCATCGCCAATCCCACACTTGCCGGTATCGAGAAGCGCTGGGAGGCTCTTCCCCCCCAGGAGCAGGCCGACCTGTGGATGCAGCTGCGCGACCGCATGAAGGTTGACTGGCACCAGATGACCCTCCAGGAGAAGAAGGCTGGTATGTATTCTCCATAATGACATGCCTGTCCCAAGAATACATCAGAATTTTGCTGACCGCGGCCGTTCTTGATAGCCTACTGGATTGCTTTCGGACCCCACGGCCCTCGCTCTCAGCCTCCCAAGGGCGAGAACCTCAAGATCTTCTTGAAGGTCGTTCAGCTCTGCGCCGTCTCCGTCGGTCTGTTCTACGTCGTCCACTTCTTCGCTAAGCCCCAGCCCAAGACCATGAGCAAGGAATGGCAGGAGGCCTCCAACGAGTACGCTCTGGTATGTATCCGCAATATACTGGGTCATAATTCTTTGACCATACTCTCCCACGCCCAATTGAGTTGTTACTGACGACATCTTTTCTCTCCAACAGCGCGAGAAGATCAATCCTCTGTACGGTATCAGCAGCCAGGGCTACGAGGGCAAGGGCTTCGTCCAGAGCCCTCCCGCTGAGAAGTCATAAATCGATGTATAGAACTTGGGTGAGTCAGGTATCGCAATTGGACATACTTGATAGGCCGCGATGGAACCCAGCGCCTATCACCCAACCCTCCCTGGCAATGCCGGCTTGAGCCGATTGCTCGTGGGCACGATCTTTTGCCAGTGTCTCACTTGTTCTGTCGACTTCAGCCGAAAAAGACCTGTGTATCTCGTACTGTGCCATAATCAATGTATCTCCTTTGTAGCCATAGAACATTGTGCCTTGCTTTTTGCTATTATATATCTGCTTTTTTGTATTTAAGTACTCGCAAGCACCAACATGCTGAAATCTAAGATCTATGTGTTTGACTGTCGGATGCAGTGGATGACGCTGTAGTTCGTTCATGAGCTCCATTGCCTTTGCTGGAACTGCTACGTAAGTGGTAGTTTGGTTTGGATGACAGCATAGCCAGCAGCTTAGTCTACACTGTACACTCAAGGAAATTTCTACTGCCATTGAGATATATGCGTGGAATAATCATCATTTTCACTGAAATAGCATAGCTATGGGGCGTATAGATGGTGTATTGCTAATAACAGGGACTTTCCAAAACATGCCTGAAAATTTTCGGCGCTGTCATTCTTCACCCGCAAAGGGTTAGAGCTTGTTAAGCTGGAGAGCTTCGACAGGCGAGGTTATTGTGCTTTGAAACGGAAAAATTGGTGTAAGTAATTCTACTTGCAAACAAGATGCAATATCCGAGCTCTAAGCTGTTTGGATACTATGAGGACGAGGTATCAAACAGGCCTGATATTCTTGATGGAGCTCACCGGAGGGTCAGTTCGTCTTCCTTGCATCCGGTTGCCAAGACTCGAACCTCCTCATTTTGAGTTCCCGTAACAACCGGACGGGCAAGCTCGGAGCTCAACAGAACTCAAGGCAGGTTCGAGCTTATTATGGTAGCAATATCATAGAGTTGCCCCTGATCTCAGTAAATAGTAGAGAAGATCGATAATGATAGAGCTCAGCGACCGCCTGTTGTGTAGTGTTTGTTGCCCCGGTACGGAAGATCACGGGACCGGTCGGCACAAGCCCCGTAAAGGCTAAGCCGGCCACATTCGTGTCCCAAGTTCCAACCTCAACTCTTCCCTTTCCTCCTCTTCTCTCTCTCCCATCCTCCTCTCTTCCCCATCCTATACCCTTTTCGCTCTTCTACACCATCACAATGTTTAAGAGGTTTGTCTTTTACTTTTCATATATTTTATTAATGTTTTAGTCCCGCTGACCCGTGTTTTTCTTCACCACAGCGGTCTGGCCCGGACCTTCGGGAGGGCTGCTTTTGCTCGACCTTCCCCCGTCGCACGCCGCGCCCTCCAGCCGTCCAAGCTCAATGGCTTCCCTTCATTCGCTCGCCTCGCCAGCACTGAGACCGCTGCCGGTGGAAAGATTCACCAGGTCATTGGTGCCGTCGTCGACGGTATGTCCCTCGAGTACCGCCAAATCCTCCCCGTTGGCGGCTGCGCGAAAATCTTTTCTACACCCGATTTCATCGCAACATCCATCAACAACAACCTCAATACAATGCCAAAACACGATATCTGACTTCGGATCACAGTGAAGTTCGAGGGTGAGAAGCTCCCCGCCATTCTCAACGCCATTGAGACCGAGAACAACGGCCAGAAGCTCGTTCTCGAGGTTTCTGTATGTATATCCGATACCAAAATCCAGCCCATGACATCAAGTTCCTTTAGCTGACTTTTCAAAGCAACACTTGGGTGAGAATGTCGTTCGTACCATTGCCATGGACGGTAAGTAGCTGCTTTTCCTGGCGTGAACACGTCGAGTGGACGCCGTGTCCCGGGACAAAATGTTGATATCTCCGCCTAGGTACCGAGGGTCTTACCCGTGGTGCTGCCGCCCGCGACACCGGTGCTCCCATCACCATCCCCGTCGGCCCTGGCACCCTTGGCCGTATCGTCAACGTCACTGGTGACCCCATTGACGAGCGTGGTCCCATCAAGGCCACCAAGTACGCCCCCATCCACGCTGAGGCCCCCGAGTTCATTGAGCAGTCTACCACTGCTGAGATTCTCGTCACTGGTATCAAGGTCGTCGACCTTCTCGCCCCCTACGCCCGTGGTGGTAAGATTGGTCTCTTCGGTGGTGCCGGTGTCGGTAAGACCGTGTTCATTCAGGAGCTGATTGTAAGTTATCCGGAAAACCAAGCTGGAACTCCTCTAATCCTCTTCCTCTACAGAACAACATCGCCAAGGCTCACGGTGGTTACTCCGTCTTCACTGGTGTCGGTGAGCGTACCCGTGAGGGTAACGATCTGTACCACGAAATGCAGGAGACCGGTGTCATCCAGCTCGAGGGTGAATCCAAGGTGTCTCTCGTGTTCGGTCAGATGAACGAGCCCCCTGGAGCTCGTGCCCGTGTCGCCCTTACTGGTCTGACCATCGCCGAGTACTTCCGTGACGAGGAGGGTCAGGACGTGCTGCTCTTCATTGACAACATTTTCCGTTTCACCCAGGCCGGTTCTGAGGTGTCTGCCCTTCTCGGTCGTATCCCCTCTGCCGTCGGTTACCAGCCCACTCTTGCCGTCGACATGGGTGGTATGCAGGAGCGTATTACCACCACCACCAAGGGTTCCATTACCTCCGTCCAGGCCGTCTACGTGCCCGCTGACGATTTGACTGACCCTGCCCCCGCTACCACCTTCGCTCACTTGGACGCCACCACTGTCCTGTCCCGTGGTATCTCCGAGTTGGGTATCTACCCCGCTGTCGACCCTCTCGACTCCAAGTCCCGTATGCTCGACCCCCGTATTGTCGGTGAGGACCACTACAACACCGCCACTCGTGTCCAGCAGATGCTCCAGGAGTACAAGTCCCTCCAGGATATCATTGCCATTCTGGGTATGGACGAACTGTCTGAGGCTGACAAGCTTACTGTCGAGCGTGCTCGTAAGCTTGAGCGTTTCCTGTCTCAGCCTTTCACCGTCGCCCAGGTCTTCACTGGTATCGAGGGTAAGCTCGTCGACCTCAAGGACACCATCAACTCTTTCAAGGCTATCATGAACGGTGAGGGTGACGACCTTCCTGAGGGTAAGTTGATTCTTGATGATGATTAATTTCTTTTTTCTTACTGACTTGTTACCAGCTGCCTTCTACATGGTTGGTGACCTCGCCTCCGCCCGCGCTAAGGGTGAGAAGATCTTGGCCGACCTCGCCAAGAACTAAATGTAATATTGCTTTGAAGCGCACTTTTTCCTTTTTGTTAGACATGGACTTCCTTTTCTCATTGCTCCATTTTCCGTCGATGCGTGTACAGTACTCGAATTGAGAAGAAGGAAGTTGAAAAAGAAAGGCCATCCTCTCTACTTCTAAGGGAAAGAGCACTCAACCCCCGGCAACCCTCCACCCCTCTGAAGTCTTGGATGCCAAAACATCTAGACTTGTGTGACAATATATTGTGCTCATGTAAGTAAATTAAATGACCACACCCGGCCTTATACCCTCGGGCAGGAACAACATGTATCATTTCTTTTGTTGGATTGGAAAATACGGTTTATTCTTTTTCTCCGATGTAGTATTTTTTCAAAAACGAATTTCGTAGATCTCGGCCTCCACAAAGTAACCTCAACATATTCACCCGCATTACAGCAACTGCGAATCTACTTGGTCGGTCAGTATGCATGCAGTGAAGCTTGCCTCCAAGACGTTCCTGTTCTACGCCGGTCATGGTCGAAATATGAAGGCTGCAATAGACAAGGAGGATGGCCAATCATATGTTCAACAAACAGATTAGATTATATTATGAACAGACTCAATATGACAGAATATGAAATATATGGTTCGATGCATATGCGTAGATCAATCATTCGCTTCAACAATGTATCTCTCCAGGAATATGGAGGAATATCTAGCGCTCCGTTGCTCAGAAGCCCGGGGCGGACAATTATAGCGTTTCCTCCAAAGCTAGCGCCTACGAGTAATGATTAGTATTGACCATGGACGAAAAGGCGAAAGAGAGGCAAGCCGTAAACTCACCAAAGCAGTCCTGGTAGGAATATAAACCTGCAGGAAATTCCGCCTCCCATTCCACCCCATATCACTCGTGAAGAACCTGGTTCCCTTATCGATCCTCCCTAAGCCCCCAAACGCCTCGTCGTCAGTATCAAGCACAACCCGGTAAGTCCCGGCCTGCTCAACGCCGACCCTATAATCGGTGAAGCTCTCCGTGGGATGGAAGTTGAAGACCCATAGGAGACCTGCCCGCTCAAAGACAAGGACCTTGTCGCCTTCGTGCTTCAGGGAGATATAAGCCTGTGCCGCATGGAGCCAGCCGTATTTGGATTCGGTCAGCTGCATGGCGCGGTCGAACTCGTTGAGGAACTTGTAACGCAGTAGATGGTCTTCGGTTAGGTTTAGCTGGCGGCGCGCATACCAGAAGGAGTTGTTGTTGCCGGCGCGAGGGAAGTCGAGCCATTCGGGGTGGCCGAATTCGTTGCCTTCAAAGTTGAGGTAGCCTTCGCCGCCGAGGGCGTGGGTGACGAGTCGGATCATTTTATGGAGGGCCATCCCGCGCTCGATGATGGGTGTGAACTCGGTCAGGACGGACATGTGGGTGTACATTTCCTTGTCGCAGAGCCACATCATCAGGGTCTTGTCGCCGACGAGGCTGGATCCTTTTTAGCATCGAGTCTTGGTTTTATGTGTTGAGAAGGTTGACTTACGCTTGATCGTGGCTTTCTGCGTATGCAATGGTCTTCTCGCCGTGACGACGGTTTGTCAAAGTGAAGGCAAGATTGCCAATGTCCCAATCGGCGTCCGACTTTTCTTTCAGAAGCTTGATGTACATGTCTGGTATGGCCATCGCGAGACGGTAGTCGAAACCGACTCCGCCAACGCTGTGTGGAAGGCATAATGCTGGCATTCCGGATACATCTTCTGCGACTGTTATGCATTCCGGGTAGAGACGGTGTAGCATTTCGTTTGCTAGGGCTAGGTACATCACGCCGTCATCGTCGACAGCTGGACCGAAGTATTCGTGGTAGCCGCCTGAAAAGCCACTGCGTACTAGTAAGCCCCCGTCAAAGCAAGTTGGTATATCGGATCCAGATACTCACGTCCCAATACCGTGATGGGTATATAGCATGCTAGTGACACCGTCGAAACGGAACCCGTCAAAGCCATACTCCTCCATCCAGAAGCGAAGGTTGCTGAGGAGGAAACGCAGAACCTCATGGTTTCCATAGTTGAATAGTCGACTGTCCCATAAGTCGTGCTGTCCTTTCGGCCCAGAGTGGAAATACAGATGATCGCTCCCATCGAACATGTTCAAGCCGTCGTCAACGTTCTTGGATGCATGACTGTGCACCACGTCAAGAAGAACGACCAAGCCCATGCTGTGCGCCGTGTCTACCAGTTCTTTCAGGTCCTCAGGATTGCCGTAGCGGCTACTCGCCGCGAAGAAGTTGTTGACCTGGTACCCGAAGCTGGCATAGTAGGCATGTTCCATGATAGCCATGAGCTGGATTGCGTTGTAGCCGAGGTACTTGATCCGAGGGAGCATGTTGGCCGTGAACTCTTTGTATGTCGCAACTTTAGTTTCCGGAGACGAGATGCCGACGTGAGCTTCGTAAATACGTAGACTTTCGGGTTTCTTAGGGCGCCCATGTTGAAAGTTGTACCGCTTAGCCTCTGGTGGGTTCCAGAACACAGACTCGTAGATGGGCGAGACGTCCAGATCTTGCACAACACGTTTTATCCATGCGGGAATCCGATATATCCGTTCTCCGCTGCGTGTAACCATCGTGATCTGCAGAAGTAAGAGATAACTCATAGGGCCACGCGATGGTGTAGCCGCATATTGACACATACCTTGACCTTACTATCGTGCGGTATTACGGGCGCACCATCCTTCGCAGGGAGGGCAATCTCCCAGACGCCAAAGTCGTTTCTCGTCATCGGATTAGCCCCGGTGTCCCAATTGTCTGCTAGTTTTAGTAACGCGACCAAACCGGTTATCCAAGCACCCGGGCGGACGTACTGAAGTCACCCACCAGCGCCGCCTCTACAGCGTTTGGCGCCCACTCCCTGTAGGTGATGTCACCGTTATCGCTGACATTGAAGCCGAATCTCTCGTAGCCCTACCGTCCGCACGGGAGTCGCTATCAGTCAATTGACCTCGGCCCACTGGGATAGAGAGAAAAAGGGATGGACTGTTGGAGGACTACCCACCTTGCTGAACTTATCGAGTCCGCCCTCCGCCTCGTCAATGGTCTTAATCCAGCTATCAACATAGTTGAATCGGCGTTGGATAGCTTCGCGGAAGGGCTCCAGCCACGGATCAAGGTCGATGATACCTGGCGATCAGCGTTAGAATGTCATTGACTGAATCATCTGCGCTCCTCGACCCACCGGTGCCATCCGATGGAGCTGTGGAAGCCATGGCCGTTGAGCTGCAAGATAAGCTAGCTAGCTCGGCTTGAATACGTGTGGTTAGTCGTGTCAGGAAATAAACTTCAGCGGGAGAAATGACGAGAAATAGGAATTGAAGCTCCGAGAAAAAAGCAATCGAGGGTAAGAAGGGAACCGGACGGGGGAAAGAAGTGGTTCGAGCTCTTGTTCCTGGGGACGTTGATTGCGGGGGTCCGTGTCCTGACATCACCATCTGGACCTCCCAACCTCCCTCTTATTCTTGGAACGACGACCTAGCGCATTTCGCCGCCGTTATCGACTGGGATTCACAACTTGATTGGATGTTTCCGCAATTGCCTGCATAGTGGCGGCAATTAGTGGTTTTGATTAAGACTGGCCAGGGGCTAGATGTCGCTCAACAGAACTGGAAGAGACAAACAAAAACTGATCTAAAGAGCTGGAGAACCGACTATCGATTCATGACGTGAATTAAAGCTTTACCCTGCTATGGTATCCAAAATAAAATATCCACAAGAAGAACAGCCATGTCAGGCTCTCCAAGTCACAGAAACGGTTTATGTACATCGTTAATCCCCGCCGCTACTGACCTCGACTTCGACAAAGGAATATCGTCGATTAAAAGGTGGTGGAGGAAGTGCTAAGTGACAGAAGTGTTAACCAACGATGAGACTAATGTGATTCGAAAGCGCTCACAGTTTCTTAGAGGTTGTTACCAAGGGTAGCAACAATGCTGCCGACGGAAGCACCGACGCCGGAGAGACCAAGGCCGCCGAGGAGACGGGCAACAGATGGGGCGAGCTTAATGAGCAATGCCTTTCCGTCGGTACCGACAACAGTGAGGAGCTGGTTGGTGGGAGCCCCGGTGTGGTTGACAAGCTCGCCAACGGAGCTAGCCTCGTCTACAACCTCGCCGACAGGCTCTCCAACGCTGGGAAGTCCAAGACCGGAGACAAGAGAAGCAGCCTCAGGGGATAGCTGGATCAGAAGTCGCTGGGAGTTGGTTCCAGTGACCTCGAGGATGTCCTGGACCTTGGGGATGTTGTCGCCGACGACCATGCCGTCACGCTTGAGGTTCTTTCCAACAGTGGCGACGACGGAGCCGACGGGGACGCCGACACCGGGGAGGCCGAGGCCGGAGAGGAGACCGGCGAGGGATGGAGAGAGGGACACCAACAGGTATTCTCCGCCCTCACCAACGACGGTAAGGAGACCATCGACAGGCTTGCCAAGGTTCTTGACAAGGTCACCGACGGAGCTCGCGGAGGCAACGACTGCGCCGACGGGGGTTCCGACAGCGGGAAGGCCGAGGGTGGAGAGGAGCCCGGCAACGTCAGGGCTGAGCTGAATGAGGAGTCGTTTGGCGTTGGGGCCAGTGATCTCGAGGACGTCCTTGACTTGAGAGCCAGCATCCTGGACGATCTCGCCGTTGGCACCGGAGGAGGCCTTGGAGCTGGAGCTAGTGATGGCGCTGGCAACGGGGATGTTCAGGGACTGAGTGACGGTCTCGATGTCCTGGGTGATCTTGGTGGGAGCAGCCACGACAGAGGCGGCAAAGGCCGCGAGGGCAGTGATGTAGGCAGCCTTCATTGTGAGAGTGATGTGGTAAATGAGTGTGGGTATTTGGTAAGGAAAGACTGAAGTTGGAAACAGACAAGAGAGAACGACTGGCTGGTTGAGAAAAGAACACTGACACTGGTCCAGGAAGGTTCTTGCCTCTTATATGCCGTCGAGAATAGGGATCACCGGCATCGAAGCCGTGAAGTGATGATCATCGATATCCACATTTCTCTGCAAAGGGACATGGTCAGAAGGCGGGTGAGTCCATACTGTATGTTGGTCTGTCATTACTACTCGGCAGGGCGAATTCTCATGGAATTCAAATTTAAGTACGGAGTATGCTCTACACTGTGGATATAAACATGACGGTATTTGTCACTTTCACATGGCACAACAAATTCTTCATGAGATATCAACCCTACCCTTGGGCCATGGTCCAGTATCAAACGTTGAAGCCCGCCAGACGAACACTGCTTCGTTGCAGGGTAACAAGGCGCATGCTGAATCCACCGAGAGCCTACGCAATGCACCGTTATCTGAACAAAACAGGGATTTGCAAGAAACGTCTAACCTGCAGCTGCAGCACTTTAGGCGTACGTATTATGATCTACATCCTCGTTCTAGTGCACTGCACCGTCGAACCCTAGAGCTTGATGTCTCCAGTCAGAAACAGTCAGGCGGCCCTGTAGATCGGCACTTGTGAAATGAGCGAATCAAACACTGCATGGCCCTTGTTAGTTGATGAAGTATCCCACGGTACATACTATGAAGGTGGGACTATGGCGGGCTTCCCGGCGTAGTGTTGGCCGCAATGCTATAGCTCTGGCGCAGTACAATGTAGTCACACTACTAGACTAGCAATACATTTTGTAGATCCTAGGCGAATTATCCGATAGCTCCTTGTCCGTTTACATAGTGACATGAGCTCTGCTCGGTAGCCGACCTCGATATTTGACGATTGTCTGGCTGGATTGTCGTCAGGAGGACCTAAAGCACGGAGTCAGTAAAGCCCTGAGCCGCTGACCCTGACTCCCTTCCCTGTCTCGACCTACACAGTTGCAAGCATTCAAAACTCCCTTTTTAATCCCCACAGAACCGATCGAGCAGCGAAGCGGAAGCCCTGGAGACGGTGCTGATCGTGCGTATCCTCATTTAACTAACGTTCAACTCACCGTACCGCTGGGCCACGCCGACGTACGGAGTATTTGCAGGCTGCATAATTCTGCAGAATCCAGGAAAACGTCTCTGCTCTAGCCTCCAGGTTCAACGGGATTCATGATCCTTGGATTCTGAGCTTCCGAGACAGTGCGTAGTAGGCGAGGAATATCCAGGTCAACCAGCCCTTCCAGCAAGTCCTAAGTAGGTTGTGGCTGCGGAACCGAGACTCGGACGGACGGCAGGCGCCGCCTTGTCGGTCGCAGCCATGGGTCTGATGATGACATGTTGAGGCTTTGTCCACGCGGGAGCGTTCTCCTGGCTTTTTTCCCAGATGATCTCATCCTTCTAATCAGAAGAAAAGGGGTTGAAGATTCCGCGGGGTGGAGTGCAGCACGGAGGGTGGCGAACTGGAGGGCGCGGCTTGCCGGCAACGACTCCGTTGGTGGGGTCCCAGGGGTTGCGTCTTGACAAAACACTCGCGAACTTCGACATGCGATTGAGCCAGAGGTTTGCCATAGTCCATTGACTATTTGCATTGGGAAGCACTTCCTCGGGTTTCGAGAAGGGAGCGACCTGAGGTTCACCTGCAAATCGCACGTGAAGAGACTTCCGCTCTCCAGGGAACCCGCTATCCACGAATGAAAGTGACATTGCTGAAGAGTCTACTAATCCTGGGCAGATGTCATAAGACGATACACCGCTGGATGACCGGCGATCAGGAGAAGCACGGCAAGGTACGTGACGTCTGCTAAGTATGGTGTTACTCTGAATACTGAAAACTTGGAAGTTGACATTCATTTAATCTGTATCCCCGTTGAAGACCCAGTAATGGTCTTCCGTGAGACGGGTGAGAGGGAAAGGGGATTGACTCGGGCCCATATGTCAACTGTCAACTGCCGATCAGGTACGGAGTACTGAACTGTGGGCAGACTCAGGGAACTGAACGGGCTATGCAACGGCGCATAGCAAATCAGTCGCCCTCATAGGGCGCCTCCTCCTGGTACACGTCATACTTGTACTGACTGCCTGTATGATCGGACCTCAACCCTGCCTGACCTACGCCATAAACCTTCTCGCGCGCCGTCAGCCCCTCCTGCGGCGCTTCAGAGTAAATGCCTCGTCGACGAAGCTCGGGAACCAAGAGATCAACAACATCCTCGAATGTTCCTGGCGTGGTGACATACGCAATGTTGAAACCGTCGAGGTCGGCCTCCCGGACCCAACGCTCCAACTCATCTGCAACCTTTTCAGGCGTTCCAATGGCAACAGGCCCTAAGCCGCCAATGGCAGCTTTCTCCGCAACTACACGGGGAGTCCACCGTGGGACGTCCTGGCTTGTGGTGGTGAAGCTGTGGAGAGTACTAGTAACCTTGTGGGCCTCCAGGGAGTCGGCTGCTGTGATATCCTGGTCCAGGGGCAGGCGGGAAATATCAATGCCTGTCCATCCGCTGAACAGGACAAGTCCTCCGATGACCGAGGCATACTTCTTCAGCTCTTCATATTTTACCTGCGCTTCCTCGTCGGTACGTCCAAGGATAGGAGTAAAGGTTGAAAAGAACTTGATGGATTGCGGGTCACGGCCGAGCTCTGCAGCTTGCTTGCGAATAGCAGCAATCTTGGGAGCAAGAACAGATGGCGAATGAGCGGACACGAAAATACCCTCTGCATGAGCTGCTGCGAAGCTCGATCCTGCTGCCGATGTGCCCGCCTGGAAGAGGAAGGGTGTGCGCTGCGGCGATGGATCGACAATGTGGCGTGAGTTGACGGAGAAGTACTTGCCCTTGTGGTTAATTTGACGGATCTTGTCAGGGTCAGCATACGAGTCTGTTTCGGGGTTGGGGGAGACAGCATCCGGAGCCCATGAACCCTCCCAGAGCCTGGTATGGATGAGCAGAAGTCATCAGTTTGGATGGGAGAGGTCATACTTATACAGCACGCGCAGATATTCGTCTGCTTGCCGGTACCGCTCATCGTGCTCAATTGGGGAATCTAGGCCAATAGCTTTGAAGGCGGCCTTCTTCCATGAAGTGACAATGTTCCACCCAAACCGGCCGTCCGTCATATGATCCAGAGTTGAAAAGCGCTTTGCGAGAAGGAAAGGAGGCTCGAAAGACGTTGAAGCCGTGATTGCGAAGGCGAGGTTCTTGGTCACGGCTGCCATTGCCGAGATGGGCTACACTCATATTAGTCCATGGCCGGATCACTTAGGCACGGGCGACAAACAATTGTCGGGTCTGTGACGGGCCACTGAGCCGCGCGCCGAATACATTCGTCCAGCTTCCCTTCATAGGTATCATATCCGCCGTAGGTATCAGCCAGGAACAAGGCGTTGATACCGCCTCGCTCCAGAAGCTTCGCGAGCTCCACCCAGTAGGCCAGCTTCCGCTTCGTGGCGGACTTGTCGGTTGGATTCTGCATCAGTTAGCTGAGATCGCAAACTCTGAGCTAACCTTTTGTGCATGACACTTACCTTCCACTGCCCAGGGGACAAATGTCCCACCGTGGACATATCGAACGCGTTCAGGATGATCTTCTTCCTGCCATTCTGCTGGCCGTTCTGACCGTCTGCAACGTTGGTATCACCCATCTTGCCCTGACTGATTCACGGAAATTGCTTAGCACTAAACGGTCAACAATGACTGCCAGTACCGAGCCTTTTGACCCCAAGATATAGATGCATGATTGTGCTCTTAGCCCCGCGGTATATCGTCATAGTCTCTCACCATGGCGCAAGCGCTGTGCTATTTCATCAAGCCACCAATACTCCAACGGATACAAGGATATCTTATCAATTCGTCATCAACCCCGCATGAATTGCAACCGGAGGACCTTTAGAACAGGCTTTTATTTGTCACTTATGTTGAAGCTACGGGTGTATTCGAGCCTTGAAGCCGTCCGTCAGTCGTGAGTGGAGAGCCTTTCACCATCAAGAGCCCTATTGCGTGACAATCGACATTGCCAGGACGCATAACATCAATTTTGAGCTCTGACTCGGCCGATATCTAAGTCTATCAATAATGATTCATCTTAGCGTGCTATTGCGATCGAGCTACCCTTGTCAGCCCGAGCCAGTCTTGCTTGGCTCGACAGCTGTTACGACCAGGGTAGATTCTGGATCGCGGACCGCGTCCGAGTCGCTCGCGTCCGCAGAATCTCTTGCCTTTTGGCGCTTGCTTGGGAGAGTCAGTAAATTGCTGTGAGAGTAAGAAATTGGTAGTACGTACTCCTGGCGGGCGATGAAGTACCTGATGACATGAGCCAGTGCAATCAGGCATATAGCATTCCCAAGGACGAAAGAGTAGCCCTTCTTGAATCTGGGACCCTCGACTGTCTTGAACACTAACAGTGGGGTCCAGGCCGTGGTCGACTGTGCAACGGTATTCAGTATGACAAGTGTTATGGAGCGTTCCACTGGCGAATAACGCAGTTGCTCATTTACCCAGCCATACAATACGCTGGACATGGACACGGCCGAGTATGTTGTGATGAAGGCGAACCAGAGCGCAGACTCGGGGACGTCCCAAGTGACCAGAATGACCAGACCAATAATATTCCAGACGTGAGCGACGGTGATTGCCCATGCGGGACCAAGTACGAGATCAGACGCGAAGCAGATGAACAGCGTATAGAACATTCCGAGAGCTGGGGAAATGGCACCCAGCTCGTTCAAACGGCTTGTTGAGTACCTCTTCAAGCTCTTTAGCCACAGCAGATAGCCACCAGCTGAAGTGTTAATGCTGCCGTTCCAGAAGAAAATGTCCAACAACAGCAATGCCCAGAACTTCCAGTTTTGAAGGACATTTGTCAGGGACCGCAGCGTGAACTTACCCTGGAATGTGTGGCCTGCGCGCGAGAGACGGGCTTTGGAAAGCTGAATGTCCTTCTCGTTGATTACCAGTCTGTTTGGCTTGTCGGGTGTTCCGGGGAGAATGAAGTAACCTAGAACTCCAATGGGGATGGTGATGATGGCACAGATGATGTACATCCATCGCCAACCCGCCAATCCGTGGACGCCGTCGAGTCTTGCTGACGTGCCCGCTTGAATCAGACTCGCTGTGAGCGTGCCCAGGGTGAGTCCGACATAAAAACATCCTCCCCGGCGAGCAATCTCATCGCCGCGGTACCAAGCTCCTGAAAACTGTGAGACGGTGTTCATGCTTTGACCGGGTTCGAAACTCACCGAATATATAGTGCATCCCTGGGAAGAACGCCGCCTCAAACCAGCCCACAAGGAATCGGTAAGCCATCATCTCGCCGAAGGATCTCGCTCGGTATTGCAGCAGTGTGAAGACACCCCACATGATATCCAGAAAAGGAATCACCCACGACATGGGAAATTTGGTGAAAAGATATGCGAACGGTAACTGGCCGATGACCGCGCCAACGGTGTACATGGTCTGCAACTCTACAAGCTCATTGCCATGGAGCTGTAAGTCTTCTTGAAGGCCGGAGACGTACGCATTGTCTGAGTAGAGCTTGTGTTAGTCCAGAGGGTGTTGCCACAAGCTCTTGATTAGGAAGCACGCACTGATATTCGCCTGGTCGACGTACTTGACCCAGTAGGCCAGAAAAGCATAGGGGACGATTAATGCATCGAGTTTCAGAATAAGTCGTCGCTCTTCCTCAGTATCTTGGTCGGCGAACCACTTGATGTGATACCACCTTTTGTTTTCTCGGACGGTAGACATCACGCTCGTTGCTTGGAGGAAGATAACCCAGAGCTATCAAAGCTTTTTATAGTTTCAAATCAGAAAGCTGCAAGATGTCACTCCTCGGCGCTATTGCGTGAGCCTGGGCGTTCGGGTCATGGTCGAATTTCTTATCAGCAAGTTCCTCTTGACACATAGCCTGTGGCTTCAGACAACTCTGTGCCCATCATAGGTGGGGAGAAATCGATCTGGGGCTAGAGGCAGAGCTCCGACGTGCAGATACATTCTCGTAGCCAAGGATCGTGTCAGGAGGTGGAGGTAAGGCGTGCTCGAGTTAGTCTTTTGCACTCGCATGGGCTCCGCGGGTAAACAGCTTGCAGCTTGAGCCCTTTTCGATTCTGAATTCTGACGCAGATGAATCCAGGTTAGTGTGGGCATTCGAAAAGGCATCTGTTATCAGATCAGGTGCCAAGGGGACCAAGGCGGACACCTACCTGATGCGCTTATTGAGAGATATTTCCAGGGTCCCGCGGGACTTCGTGTCTCGACGGTCTTTGCCTGTGAAGTGAGATGAATGGGTGAGAGGGAAAGCGAGTTATAATAATTGAAAGGTGGGAGTTGAATTTGCCCAGGTGCTGTCTGCTTCTTTCCGGTTTCGACCCAAGTTGTACTGGGGCACTTGTCGACTTTACGCGAGCGCCTCTCCCACCCACAACCCAGCAGGGCTACTGAACTACTAAGCTCTTCCCCTTGAGTCGCTCATTAAGTTCTTCCAGCAAGTCCTGCCACAACCTCGGCCGGCCGGCTGTTTCGTTCGGTGCATTGCTTCGCGACTGAGAGCCCACCAGCCACCGCGTCGTGCCTGATACGACTTTGGGATTCCACGGGGGTTTGACCACCGAAGCTGCGGGGAAAGACAACGGCAACTCGTTTAAAGCGGAGATCGACCGGGATAACAAGCGAACAGGTCGGAACTCGGAAATATCTCTGGAAGTCGGCATGTGGGCAAACTTCTGGGGCTTCCCCGTGGGGAAGACAAAACTACCTAACCGCTTCCTACGCCTGCGTTGAGTTATCTCTCGGCGCCAAATACACCGTTGTTCTAGCGAAGCTCCAAGGGAAACCTATGGACGGCCGGATTTAGAGTGATGGGCGAACTCGTTCCTGCGGGGCCTGCGCAGAGGCGGAGGTTAAATACCCAGGAAAGAAGCCCCAGAGTCGTGGAACATAGAAGGAATCGCTCTTGCAAGCTCGGCTTGATATCTGCAAAAATGCCGTCTTACAAATGGATTCTCTGCGCCACTGCTCTTCTTTCGAACGGCAATGTTATCGTGGCTTCGAAACAGGCCCAAGATGACAATGCAAACTGGCGAGGCCGTTTACCAGAGACTTCGAGCTACGAAGCCCCTCGCTTTCGCTATTGGTGGCCCGGGGGATGGATTGAGCCTGAAATAGTCAGAGACGAGGTTGAGGCCATAGCCCTGGCAGGATTTGGCGGTGCAGAAATTGGAGATGTGAGGGACAGCATTACAGAAGCAATGGATCCCAAAGTCTACGGTTGGGCACAAGAGAGATGGAATGCGGGAGTTCTTGCAGCCTATCAAGCTGGAGAAGAGTGAGCCCTTCGATTCTGGCGGAGATGAAATGGACTAATGTATGGACAGCCAAGGTGTTCACATCGACTACACTCTCGGGCCTCACTGGCCAACTGGCGTTCCCGGTTATACTCCCGACTCGGTGGAGACAGCAAAAGAGCTCGTTCACGGACAGATTCTCCTTCAAGCCGGTACGAATTACTCGGGACCTCTTCCTTTGCCCGTCGCAGACCCGTCTGGACAGAATGGCGGCAACCCTAACGTGACCGCCACCCCTCAACTGGTTGCTGTCCTTGCGGCTAGAACAAGTACTACCAATATCAACGCGTCTGTTGTTACATTTGAGGACTCCACGGTCAAGGACGTCTCACAACACTATAAGAATGAGAAATTCACTTGGACGGCTCCTCGCGACGGTCCTTACATTGTCGTCGCAGTGTACGGACGCGGAACAGGACAGGTGCAGAACATGTACGATATGAACTCTGAAGGACCTCAGCTGACGGATCCTGCACCTGCTTATATCGTGGATCATTTGTCTGTGGCTGGAGTGAGAGCAACAGTCAAGTATTGGAACGAGCATGTCTTGACAGATGAGCTCAGAGCCCTGATGAAAGCTTCCCACGGATCACTTTTCGAGGACTCACTTGAATTGAAGCTCAAGCAGTATTGGACACCAAATTTCTTACAGGAATTCAAGAAGCGACGTGGCTACGACCTGATAACGCATCTTCTTTACGTCTTGAAAGACACAAACACCTTTTCTGGAGATTCAAACACTGCCCAGATGGTCGAATACGACTTTTATTCCACGGTAACAGACCTATATATTGACTACCGACTGACTTATCTGCAAAAGTTCGCTCACAGTCTCGGACTTAAACTGCGGGTTCAGCCATACACAGCAACTCTTGACTCCACGCGCGCCGCGGCCTTGGTCGATATTGCAGAAGGAGAGTCACTAGGATTCGGAAGTACCCCAGATTCCTTTCGGGTGTTAGCTACAGGAAGAGACGTTGCTGGCAGGACCACCATCTTGTCCAACGAAATAGGCGCATACATGGGTGAGGCGTACGGAGTCACCTGGAGCTTTCTCCTGGGAACAGCCAACTTTGACACTTCTCTGGGTGCGAGTCAGAGTGTCATCCACGGCTTCCCTTACAGTGACTCACCGACCAGTGTGTGGCCAGGGTTTGCGCCCTTTACTCCTTTGGGAAGTTCTAGCAACGGGTTTGCGGATGCATGGGGCCCACGACAGCCGCAGTGGCTCTTTGCACGCAATGCGAGTAGTTACATGGCTCGGTCTCAAGCTCTGATGCAGAACGGCTCAGCGTCTGTTGATATTGCTATTCTCAATCTGGATTGGGGAGTCACTGCGGCTTGGGACGACACTGGTCTAAATGATGCGGGTTATTCATACCAGGTAATACACATCTTCTCTTCTCAGAAGCCGTTTGCTGATGAAGATCCAGTTCCCAACCCCAGAGCTTCTGGCCGAATACTCCGCAACGGTAAAAGGTGGTCGCCTAATTCCTGAGGGCCCAAAGTATAAGGCGCTCGTACTCCGCAATGTGACGTCTTTGAATATAGACAGCGCTCGAAACATCCTCTCTTATGCCAAAGAAGGGCTTCCGATTGTTATTGTCGGTAGTACTCCAACCCAGACGCAGTCGCTCTGCACATCCTGTAAAGAAGCGTCTTTACAGCTCAATGATATCTTTGAAGCTGTTCTTGCCTTGCAGAATACGCGGCAGGTGGACTCCGAATCTGAGGTTGTCGCATCACTCAAAAGCCTGAGAGTTAAGTAAGTGGTTTGGAGCATCGAATGTCCTCTCAAATTCTGACCGTGGAGAAGTCCTCTAGTACAGTACACCGATTCAATCAACGCAACAACAGTAACGACTAGACGACGATTGCAGGAGAACGAATATGTCTACTGGATGTATAGCTCGAACCGCACTAGCCAGACCGTTTACCTCGAAGGCGAAGGTTTTCCACTTCGGTTAAACCTATGGACTGGAGAAGTATCGCCAATCGCCGCCTGGAACACCATCGACGGATATACTGCTGTCAATGTGACCATCGGAGAAGACGCCGCTGAAGTAATCTACCTGGGCCACCAGAACCCGTACGGTGCGAGCAACCTTGAGCGACATCTTATATCTACAGACGCGGAAGCAGTGGCAGACGAATCAGGCAACCTCTTCGTCAGAGCGACCGAGAACGGGAAGTACGCGGCACAGCTTTCCACTGGAGAGAAGGCGACGGCCACATTTGATTCAATCCCTCCCGCTATTACACCAGAGTCATGGACTCTCACTGTTGAGGACTGGTCTCCAGCTTTTGTCAACGAGACGGGGCGAAACTCGTCCCTCACGGCAAAGAAGACACTGGACCCGATAACCCTGAGTACATTGACGTCTTGGAACGAAATACCGGAGTTGGAGTATGCCAGCGGCGTAGGAGTCTACAGAACGGCAACCAACCTAACTACCCGGCAAGACCAGGAAGAGCTGGGGGTTTACATCCATGTTGGCGAGGTCGGAGGAACATGGGGCCTCAAAGTCAATGGCCAGGCCGTTCCAGGAGTGGACTTGTTTAGATCCGCGCCTCTAGACGTAACTCGGTATGTCCGTGATGGAGATAATGGTAAACTGGGGTCTGTTCCATCAAGCATGAGTATTGCTGCTGACTTCATGTGTTAGATATCGAGGTAACGGTTGCTACGACGCTGTGGAACAAGCTTAGGAAGACATGGCCTGGCTTGTATGGATCATTGGAGCCGCAGGAGATTGGGCTTCTAGAGCCGGTGTATTTCACGTACTATGCGCAGCAGCAGATCTAGCCTAGTCTACCTAATAAGAAACTGCGGGGTATCCAATTGGTTGCCTAGGAACTTGCAATTTCCCCGACTTCCCCACGCCCACTCCCACTGTATTTAATGGTCCTTCCGCCCCGACAGTTATCAGTTGAGACCTTCCTGCCGAATTCTTCCTCGCTCACGCACCGTAATGAACCGCACAGCAAGTGAGGATAATGGCCCCTCCAGCCAGATCGAGACAAACCAACCACTCCGGCGACACATCGGCAAGGCCTGCGAAGGTTGTAGGCAACAGAAGATCAGATGCAACGGCGACTCTCCATGCGAGCGATGCTCTCGCCTTACCCTGCCCTGTATCGTGCGGAGAACTGCGAGGCAGCGTCAGAAGCGGCATCAGATACAGAGAGCCCCGGACCAGTCCAACGATTCTGCGTCAAGTGTCATCCTACGAAGCGTTCTTAGACCAGTCCGTGTCCGGAGCGGGATCACAGGGACCAGCGCTTCAAGGACTGCGGTATACGGGCCCACGTCGACCGTAGCCGCTCTGCATATCATCGCGTCAAGAAGCAACGGAGATGCGTTGATTGGAAACCTAGATCCAGGTATCGAGGATACAAAAATCACTGTCATGAACAGCAGCATCTCGCTCGAGGCCTTCAAATACCACACCTTCGTGCTCGGAAATACTCTCACTCTGGCTCCAGAGACCTTAACACCTCCGCTCTGCCTAACAACGATTTCAAATGATCTGCTTGAGTTTTTTCTGCATAGATACATCGACACGGCATGGGGCACACTCCCGCTACAATCTCCCGCTCAACTGACGACTCTCTTCCAATCATCGTGCAATGCGTTTAGCCAGAATACGTTGCCACCGGTGTTTTATCCGGTCCTGCTATACCAGCTCGCAATGGGGTCTTTGTCCACGAGACATGGAGAGCTTTCTGAGATGCTGGTGATGGAGAGTCAGCTCCTTGCTCCTACGAGCGGTGGATACGGATACGGAGGCCTCACTGAGGAGATGGTGTTGCAGTTGGACATTCTTATGATAAGTGTTCCATTACCCTATTCCAGCGTCATCTGAGATGCTGGGCTTCGTCTGACCTTGTCGGTCTTCTACATTCAATACTACAGCGAGATCGGCAACTTCGATAAGGCATACGAGATACTGGGCCAGACGCAAGGGAGAATCTACACTGCCGGCTACCATCTTGACCCTCAGGCTCATACTTTAGAGATCAAAAGACTGCTTCGGGTTTTACTTTCAACTGAGAGGTTCGTATCCGTCCTCTTATACCTGTTAATTGGTCAACTGATCATCCACATTCACTCCTAGTTACGTCTGCATAGCCGTTGGACGACCGTGCCTTCTTCCTTCAACCCTCCGAGTTCCATTGGACGAACGCAGCAACGACTCGCCCGTGACAAAATTCGTGTCTGGCCTGTTCTATATAATCAACGATATGCTGCGAGCCCAGCAAAACGTCGATACAAGCTTCGAAAAACTATACGAGTCGGCCTGGGCTACGCATGAGAGACTCGCGTCATTCTGGGAAGAGAACGAGCCGGCGTTATGGTTTGCGCATGCGGAACCGATGTGCCCCGGGGGCGTTAGTGAGGCGATGGAGCTTCATGTTGTTCGTACGTTGGCTTCTTTAAGTTATGACCTTGTCCCAAAAATGCTGACTAGAAGGTGATGAAGTGCATCAGTACGCCATCTTGACGAATTTCAAGCCATTCATTCTGTACCTTGGGTATAAGAATATATCGGACCACAACGAGAACGAGAACAGCAACGAGCCAGCGCCGGAAAATGCACAAGAAGCACACTCAACCCCACCGATTCCTGGCCCAAAGAACAAGGATGGGAGTGGCAAACATAGAGATGAAGAAAACTTGAGACTGTCAGCCATCAGCGAACACATTCTCACTGCGGCTACTAGGATTATTTCGACATTATCGGCAATCTGCCATAGCCAGAATACGTCTGTGCTCAAGGCAAGTATTGTGCGGTCCATGGCCATTCCATTCCATCCAGCTAGCCTCTTCTGACAGTCGTCTCATGTTCAGGATCTCCCCATGAACTCATTTTTCCTCGAATCGGCCTGCATATCCCTGATCTGCTACGGACTCTGGGAAGGCAAACGCTCCGCTGCAACCGTATGGGAAGCCATTGAGAAGGGCACTAAATGCATGGAAACCCTGCAACACCAGAGAATAGCAACAATGAGACTTGCAGCCGTGCGAGCCACTCTAGAACAGTCTGGATTCCTACGTGTTTTGGCAAGCTGATCTCATTCAAAAGCCTACCTATATGCAGCTACCGTCTACCAATCCCGATCCAACCTCTCTCTTATCCCTTTAACATGCCATACACCTCCCCTCCCCACAATCCAAAGCTCGTTCCTCCCAAACGCCACGCTCACAGCAAGATTCTGCCCGCCCCCAACACGGATTGTCCCCAGCGTGAACCCCGTCTCGGGATCAATGACGTCCACGCCATCGCCGGCACCGCAGAAGATCCACCCTTTTCTGGACACGCGAATCCCGTCATAGAAGTATGAGATTGGATTGGACAGGAGCCGTTGGTTTGAGAGGACTGAGCCGGGCGCGGAGACGTCGAAGGCTGAGAGCGCCCGGTTCCCGTATGGGGTTTTCTCCGTGGGAAAGTACTTTGAGACACCCGTGTCCGGGACATAGAGGGTTTTGCCGTCGGGCGAGATGGCGACACCGTTGGCGTTGCCGGTTGTGATGTGCACGGGTTTTATGCGCGATGTGGAGCGCTCGAAGAAGTAGACTGTTGGGTTTGTGGGTGGCGTGAACGTAATTATTCCTCGTCCCTGTTTTCAAGATCAGCAGCTGCTAAAGAATAACCACGGTAGGTTCGTGTACCCAACCCGACTTCGAATCCGTCAAGTAGAAATTCCCCCGTGGATCAATCTCCAAATCATTGAACCCAGCAAACGGCTGAACAAGGTAATTGTTAAGCAGAGTCTCCTGTTTTAGCGTATGCGGATCGACCCTGACCAGCTGGCCAGTTTGGCTGTCCCCATGCCCATCCGTGACAAGGTAGAGGGAGTGATTGTAGAAGACACACCCATGTGCATTATACGTGGGCGGATCGGTCGTGATCTTCCTCAGCGCATTCGTCTCCAAGTCAAGCATGTACTGCCAGGAATGCGTGCCATTGCCCATGTCGCCGCCGGGCGGACCCCATTCGACAAAGAACAGCTGGTTCGTGTCCTTGACGTAGCAGGGTGCTGGAACGCGAGGCTCTGGACGTGTTCGATTGTTGCGTTGGGGCCGAGGATGTCGAAGAACTTGGGATCGTAGGCGACGAAGTCAGTGGTGCTGAGGTACTCCAGGCTGGAAAGAAAGTAGACGTTTAGCTTGGCTTGTAAAGAAATAGAGGGACTCACGTCTGCGAAAGACCAGTGTCGGAAATGTCTGTTGTTGCCCATGGAGCTTCCAGGGCAGATCGGTTGAAGTGACCGGGGAGTTTGGCGATGGCTCCAAGGGAGACATAAGCCCACCTTGCAACGGTGCTGTTCATGAAAGATGGGAGGGGCTGTAGGTAGCTGGACATGGTGGCTGTTGATGAGCCTGGTTGGAGCTGCCATTGTCGGCCGTTTTATAGACAGTCGTACCCCACGCTGTTGTAGATCCGGGGACTCCGCAAGACGATCACGGAGCGGTCCATATTGTTTGGAGATCAAGAGAATGGACGAGGCTAGTTGGGCGTCGGGTTGCTCCGTGAGTTCGGAGCAGTCCTTCCGAGAGCAGAATAGAAGGACAAGCCAGGGCAAGATTGCTAGGTGATTTGCCTTACGACCCGTGTCGAAGTCTACCTAGACCATGGATGCCCTTGATAATCTATGCCAAACCAACGTCCAGCACCGATCCACGGCTCTAGCAGAAACAGTGACCATGATAACGAGCCTTGCCATCTTGCCTTACTATTACGCGACTCCTACTCCTTCGTACCAACTTCCATCGCAAACTCACCTACCGATAAACCCAAACCCGATCATCCAACAAATCCAACGCCGCCTGTCTCCCCCTCTGCTCCATCTTCGCCCTCGCATGCGCCGCATCAACCTCCTCCTCCGCCCTGGCCCTCGCCCCCTCCATGAGAACCCTCACGCGATCAACCTCCGGCTGGTACGGCGCCAGAGGGAGCATATCCCGCGGTAAATCGCCCCACTCCAGCCACGCCGGTATCCTGTACACCTTAATCACGCGGTTCAGCTGGCTCCACGCGGACGAGGGGTTCAGGAGCACACTGGTCAGCGCGAGCTCGCTAAACCCGCGCAGCGAGAGCATGGGTTTTCGGCCGCCGGAGACGGACGGGATCTGCGGCATGAAGCGGGAGAGGCTGGGGCGTTGGGAGGCCGGGAGGTACGAGAGTGGGTTTAGGGGGTTGGGCTCGGACGATGAGGATTGGGATGGGGTGCGTGGGTGGAGGGCGAAGTCGATGCTGTATGCTGTGAAGTGGTCGGTTAGTTCGCGGTCTGCGATGTCCGTGCCGGATTTGGTGTGGCTGTATCTCCCTGGAATGAGCGTTAGGGCTAGCTTCCAATGGTTTTATGATTCAAAACGAAGGGAGGGACTGAGTCTGACATATATTGTGGTTCGCTGGAGCCCCGCAGGCTTCGAGATACTGCGAGTATGCCTCTGGGCTGAGGAAGCCCGTGCTTTGAGGGTCTAGATGCTCGAAGAGTTCTTCTATCATCCTGGTGAACGAGAGCGAGGCTTTCATGTCCTCTGTAAGGAGGGGAGCCCAGCTTGGGGTTGTGGGCTGAAACCGAGGCTCAGGCTGCTCGGGATACTGTCCAGGGACCCCTCGCTCAGGGCTTGGATGCTGGGAGCTGTGATGCTCAAAGTCTGAAACCGTCGGCGGCGGAGGCCCGGGCAAGGTAAAAGGCTCCTCGTTTTTGTCCCTTTTTTGGCCCTCATCCTTAATCTCCTCCTTTATTTCCACTTCCGGCCTCGTCGGAATAGGTCTCGGAGGCTTCCTCGGCGGCACATCGCTGTACACATTCGCGGTCGAAACCGGCCGTCGACGCGGTGGTCCATACGAACTCATGGACCGGCTAATAGGCTGCGCTCGCGGCGGAGGCGGCGGAGGAACAGGGAGGAACCCGGAGTGTTTATGCAGCGAGATCGGATGGGACTCGTCATCTTGATGCTGTGGCGGATAGTCTTGCACGACGTAGCAGTTTGCGCAGAGGGTCATGCGCGGTGTGCAGGAGGCGCAGGATAGACGTGGCTTTGCGGGCTGAATGGGTTCGTTGCAGGATGTGCATTTGTAGAGGGACATTGTGAGGGAAGTCCAGAGCGCACCTGCAAGATAGGCGCAGTAGGGCAAGGCATGATTCCGACGAAGGGCTGCTGGTGTTTATACGAGCGAGTCTCGTCGGCTAAAAACGCCGTGTTGGGATCGTGGTTGCGGGGTTTCCTCAGCCCTGGCAGGATAGTCCACGTGCTCAACGCCATTGTACGACATGGATACCCAGGAGTATTAGTGGGAGAAGACAGTGAAGAGATATAATGCCAGTCTGAAGTATATGAAGAAAAAGGTTTCATCGAGTCCCCACAGCCCATATGGAGCAGTCTCGGATTCCATTGTCCGTCCGACCCGGAAATGCCACCGATTCGCAGCTGCATCGGTCCACCAAACCTATTACCACTATAGCTTTACAGACAATATCCAAAATTACGTTCATCCACCAATCTTCAATGTCGCCAACCCCTCCGGCGAATGCCAGCATCGCCAGTACCAGAACGCAAAGACCGCCGCAAAGATACACTGGGCCCTGACCTTGCCCCTAGACCCGCCATACTTCCACACCACGACCCCAAAGCCCAGATGCATGTATACGCTCATGAGGATCAACGTGGTCATGGCCTGATACTGGCGGGCGTGGTGTAGTCCGAGTAGATTCAGCCCATGGCCGAGTTCGTAGATCGCCTTGAAGTAAACAAACGGCGACACCTGGTTTTTGCCTCGACTTTCTTCGCCCTCGGTTTTGTTATCTAGCGGCAGCCCGAGATCCTTGTATATATCGGCGGGTTGGAAGAAGGTGCGGATTCCTTGGCCTGTGAATAGGCCGCCCATGATCTCGATGAGGAGCGGGTTGAACGGGTCTGGTATATAGTCTGGAGACTGAGTGAGTGTTTGTAGCTTGGCTGACACCGACTGGAGAGACTGAAGGTACCTGAGATTGAAAACATGGTTGCGGATGCTTGATCTGTGTTCTTGTTCCTTTATGGGCGCTTTATGTTGGATTGAATTGCGCTGCCTTGCCGTGGGAGAGGGCAGCGTCAGCTGCGCCCCGCGAAGATCCTGTCATCGCCCCATTGCTTGACCAACTGGGGGTCAGCACGGCATGCACTGAGATGATCAGACTCTGGTCAAGATGTGTACACAAAATCAAGGCCCCAAGTGGGATGGTTCCTGGTGGAGAGTGACGCTGAGGACTCCACCGGGCTCCCCCACCTTTTTCTTCTCCGCAATCCAGTTTCCTTTCCTCTCGTAATTTTCTTCAACCGTTCCCAACCCTGAGACTGAGACTTTCCGAACACCAACTGCTACCATGAAATATGCCGTCCACAAAGTCGTTCACCAAAAGGAGGAACGCCACCATGGCGTGCGTGTCTTGCCGCGAGAGCAAAGTCAAGGTCAGCAGCCATTCAGGAGCTCTTGATACAATGGCAGTGCCCCGTCTAACTGATGCTTACAGTGTGACGGGGCCCAACCTGCGTGCTCCAACTGCGCCAATCGGAATCGCGAATGTCGCTATCAAGCATTCGACAAGAGGAAGTGAGCACTAGGCAGCTTGTCTGCTATCGCATAGCTCTGACGAAAGCGCTATAGATTACCCCTCCGCGTCGCAATTGAGTTGCTTTCAAGTCGGGTAGATCAACTATGTTGCTTTATTCGAAATAACGGCTTGCAACCGCCATCCATGTCACAAGATAAGGACACCGCTCTGAAAAAGGTCCTGGAGATGCTGGGAATGGCCGAGGTAAATTCAACTTTGGCGCAGCCGGTTGGAAAACCGCTTCCAAAGGCCGATGCTCAGGACATTCCAGCGTTGCCAGACGCAGCCGAACTCTGCGCCCCTAATGTGCCTCTCGGCCAGGAACTGCCTGGGACTCAACCAAGCAACAACCAAGGCTGGAATCTCGAGCTCGGCACAGACCCATCAGTTCTACCTGCCTCTCCAAGCACGCACAATTTCCTCACGCAAGCATCCCCTAACGACCCGCTACGTGCAGCACTCGAAGGTATACCTGAACCATTCGAATTCATAATTGGCGATGACGACCAAACATTGGTGGAAGATCCCAGCGGCCCAGAGGATATAGAAGGTCTGATCGATGAGCTCTCGGACCGAGTCGGAACACTGCAAGTCGGGCCTGGAGGGCAAACGCAGTTCTACGGCCCGACATCGACATTTAACTTAGCCGATATGCTGGCTACAGCCAACTCTGGGACGAACCTCGCTCAAAATAATGCGTTGGACTGCTTAGGTCGCCTCGGAAGCAACAAACCTGTTCCTGCGGCCCTCGAAGAGCACCTAACGAATCTCTACTTCAGCTGGCAGGATCCGTCGTTCCATGTGGTGGATCGGAAGATGTACCATGAGGCCAAAGCAAAATGGTATGCCATGGGAGACACCCCGTACTACTCCGAGTCACTGCGGAATGCCATGTGAGTACCTGCGCTTCATGAAGTAATGAACATGGCGTTCTGATCTAGTCCAGGTGCGCTTTAGGAGCTTCCTTTGAGACTCGCTATCATCCGGACTTCGTAACGTTCCCAAAATCACTGGTCGATTTCTTCGGGGACCGCGCAAAAGCTCTCCTGGAAGTCGAGCTGGACTGCCCCTGCATCGCTACCGTCCAAGCTCTGGTTATATGCAGCAGCCTCGAGGTAGGGAGAGGAAGGGAAGCACGAGGGTGGCTCTACAGTGGTACGTTATACAGAAAGAGATCTATCTGGGTCCAACTTACGCTCCTAGGTATGGCGATTCGACTCGCTTTCAACTTAGCCCTACATCTGGACATGTCCTCCTACGTTTCCAGCGGAGTCATCTCTACAGCAGAAGCAGACCTGCGCCGAACAGTCTTCTGGGCTGCGTATACTGTTGACCAGTACGCTCCCTCATACTCTCCTAACAGACTCAGCTGACAGGCTCCAGCCAGCTAGGATTCCACCTCGGCCGCCCCTTCCGCACAAACATGGAAGACGTAACCGTCGGCAAGCCGACTGCCAATACTGCCCACCGAGAACAAGGCAGATGGATGCCCTACGTATCTCAGGGCTCTGTATACGCGGGAACCGGTGTCCCAGACTCCATGGAAGCAATATGCGAAGAACAAGTGACACTTTGCGAAACCATGGCGCCCATGGGCGATTTCCTGTAAGTTCGCCTCACCAAACAGCCAAAAGCACAAACCGGACGTACCCTATCCAGCTAACCGCGCCAACACCACAGCTACGGAACATCAAGTATCTCCAAAACCGTCCTGCAACGCCTCAACGAAAAAATCGTCGCAAAGCTCCTAACCTGGAAAGCGAACCTCCCGCCCTCCCTGCAAATCGACCTAGACGACACCATCGCAACTCCATACACACCCCAGATCCTCCTCCTGCACATGCAGTACCACCAAAACATCATCTACGCGCACCGTCCCTGGATGTCCAAATCGCACCTGCAGCCCCAGCCCCCACAGGGCCCGGGCCACGGGCACGCCCGCGAAATGTGCATCCAGGCGGCCCTCGCCATTGCGCGGATCCTGGCCATGTATGAGGCGCGGTATACCCTGCGCAGGGTGCACACGAAGGCGGTGGCGATCACGTCGTCCGCTGTGCTGCTGCTGCTTTTCGCGGCGGTTACGCAGTATCGGCCTTGTAGCGCCGGTGATAAGCATGGTGGGATAGCGGGGCATCTGAGTACGTGCTTTCGGGCGCTGGATGAGTTTGCGATTTCGTGGCCGAGTGCGGCGAGGGCGAAGGATCTGTTGTTGAGGCTGCAGCGGCGGTGGGAGATCAGGACGCGTTCTAATAAAGGGGGATACGGACTTGGACGAGCCTTTTCCGGTACAGAACAGCCGTTGGGTTCGGCTGGGCTTCATGGAATGAATGCTCAAGGCTTTGAAGCACCCTGCGAGCATCTAGAGCCGCAGGATATTAACATCGACACCGATATTGACTGGATGCTTATGCCTGAAGGACAGTCGTCATCTGATAATAGCGCCGCGGACCTCTACTCATTGCTTTCTAACCACGTGGCCATGCATCCGGAACGTGGGAGTATCTAAAGGTGTGCAAGTGCTCTTCATTAAGAGGGATGATCTAGGTTCTAGGGATATTGCTTGAAGACACGCCAAACGGCGCACGTCTAATCTATAAACTGCGCCCATCTCCGTCTATAACCCCGAGCTCTGCACAATAGCAACTCTAGGGGGCGCGCCCTGGACACTGACAGACGCAGGGCTTGGTGGCACTTCCCCGGTGAACCACTCGCTCGGCTCAGCTCCGAGTTCGAATTCCAGCGTCCCTCCCTCGGCAAAGATGTCGCCCCAGTCCAGCCAATTCTTTCTCCAGTTCCGCCCATTCACTTGCAGGCTCTGCACGTAGATGCTTTCGTCGCCGGTCCCATCTCCGCCGGTGGAGGTGACTTGCAGCGTCTTGCCATCGCCCAGATCAATGGTCAAAGACTCAAACCACGGCGAATGGATAAGGAAAGTGGCTTGTCCAGTGATCGGATACAAGCCAATCATGTTCCAGAGGAGCCATGTTTGCATGGCACCAGCGTCGCTGTTGCCTGGAAGGCCGGTTACGCCGGTATTGTAGTAGGACTTGGCGATGCTTCGGGACTGCTCAACAGAGAGGTCTTGCCTATTAATGTAATTGTATAGGTACGGGATGTTAAACATTCTACTCAGTCAGCTGGGCCGTGAGAGACAAGAGGGAAAGGAACTTACGGTTCGTTTGTTGGGTCGAAAATAATTCCACTGGAACCACTTGCGCCGTCAGTGAACATTGTATCCAAGCGCTCACGCATGATACTCTCGCCACCGGCCAAGTCAATGATATGCTGGAAATCATGGACACTTGTCAATGAGTATGCCCAGGAATTTGCCTGGTAGTATGGATCAGCCCAATATCCCGCGTTGGTCACCGGGTTGGTGTCGATAAAACCATCGTCGTTACGAGGAACAACAAAGCCTGAGAAGCCTAGCGACTCCAAATTTGGGTTCCAATGGTTTCGCCAGTTTCTAGACCGATTCAAGTACTTGTCCGCATCGTCATCCAAACCAAGGCCGGATGCGACCTGGTACAGAGCAAAGTCATTGCACGCATATTCAACAGCTCGGCTGACGGCGCGGGAGTAAGTAGGCGTGATGTATCCCCGCTCGATCCAGTCCGGAAGCGCTCCTCGTCCTTCCTTGGTGGAGGAGTCACGGGCCATCGAGTCGATGGGGTAATTTTCCGGGGTGACTTCGGCATCTGTTACCATTGCGCGGTAACCGTCTTCCCAATCAACGGCACCGCGCACGCCTTTGACATAGGCATCTGCGAGAACATTGTCTGCGTTCGAGCCGCCCTGTGTTCGGCCGTTGTAGTTTGAAGAGCGGCCGTCAGGCAGAAAACCATCGAAGCGCCAGATGTCAATCAAGGAGCGAATCTGCTCTTCATATGCAGTTGGTTGCAAGATGTGCATCAGTGCCGTCGCGCATCGGAAAGTATCCTTGATATGGTTAGGATTCAAACTTTGGTCACATTTAACGCAGGCTTACCCAAAACGTGAAGATATCCTGGTAATAGGGCTCGTCTGATTCCCAGCCCGGGTTCTCTCCTGTTTGATTGGTTGGAATCAAGTGCATGAAGTAAAGAGACGAGTACAGCAGAGTGAGGCTGGTCTCGTTCGTTGTTGTTGTTGTCACCTTGGAGAAAACCGTCTCCTCCCACTCAGTCTGTGCTTCGTCGACAACGGACTCGAAAGACGCTTCATCAAGCTCGTCATCAACATACTTGCAGGCTCGACTGGTGGATATCCAGGAGATTCCCACCCGGGAGATGATTTGTGTATCGTTGAAGGAGAAGACGCCTCCAACACGTGTCGACCCGGTCGAAGAACTAGCAGATTCGCTTTCCTGTTCAATGCTGCCGTCCTCATCGGTACCGGTGTACACCCGGCTCTCGTCAATGTCTTGGTCGAACCAGCCACCTGTGGAGCGTTAGTACCGAGCCAGGAGGAGCCGACACGGCTGAAGAAACATACAGAAGTAAATTGTCCAATCCGGAGAACGATTCCAGCCATTGTCATAAATTCCATACCCGGCATAATGGCCGTCGGGGAAGACAGTGAGGTTGCCACCCTTGTATCCCTGGCTCAAGCCTTGCCCTCTGAATGACGGAAGCACATGGGATACATCAACCAGGACATGGTTCTCGTCCGATTCTGGCGGGAAAGAGTATCGGTAAATGCCCGCATGAGCCGTCGCGCTCAGTTCCACAGTGACACCATCTTCTGTCTCCGCCTTGTAATATCCCACCTCTGCTTCATCAACGCCCTTACGACCGATGGTTATGTTTGAAAGAGGGTTGGTGATTTCACCGACGAGAGGTAGTTGTGAGACAGTGCCGTACTTTGGGGCACCACCGGTCCCTTGCTCGTGCATCATACTGAAACCGGAGAACTCGCCCTCGGCCAGGTATCCGGAGTATGCATCTTTTGTACCGCTGAGCAGATCGGGTCCCAGCTTTACCATCCCGAATGGCCTTGCAGCACCGGGGAAGTTGTTGCCGCCGCCTTCTGTCCCCATACTGATATAAGTGTCAGCGAAACTGCCCAAGCATTCAACAACCACGGCGGAAGCTTGACTCACAACATATTTACATGGTCCCCCAAAAGGTCCGCAGCCTCGACAGCAGTCTGAAGCTGGGATAAGACGAGGGGAACCCCCCAACCCCAAAAGCTCGACTTCATTGTGAAAAACCAAGCAAAGAAACCAATTCTCAGCTCTGTTACCCTCCCTTCTTAGGTCTCACTCATCAACAACAAAAAAAGAATATCCGCGAAAAGAGCGACAGCCCGCAATAAAAATGCGCAACGCGTCTAGGACCACCACCTCAGAACCCCGCGCGCGGGGGACTAACAATATAATAATGATAGCGATAAAAATACCCACCTCTTCAGGTGCTAGGTAAGGATCGATTCAAACGAGTGTGTATGTTTGCCAATCAAGGGAAGCCAAAAGAGCGCGATAACGAATGGACGGCGCACAGCGTTGAGGTCGAGTAAGTCGAGCTCAGCCAGTGCATCCTCGAGTCAGGTCCCCGTGGGCCAGAGCTAGGCCACTTGACGCTGGGGGAGAGCGCACATGTCGGGCTCACGGGTGTGTGTATGGAGTCGCCATTGGGTCGACAGGTTGACGAACGGCCGGGCCGGGGTGGGTGATGTGATCGTCGGGACTGGAGAAGATGGAGAAGGGCGCGGCGGATGGTGGAGCTTTAAGGTGGTCTTAGGGAAAAGGGTTGTAGGGGCACTTAGGAAGGATTGGGAAAGGGATCAGCGGTGCCTGTGTCCCCTATTTTTGTGATCGTGACGCGGGAGTCCAGACGAGACTGGATGTGATTCGGACGTTTGGACTGCATATCTAAGGCTGTCGGGCCCAGGGCGGACAGAAAAGGAAGGAACCTCAGTGGACATGATTGCAGGGCCACAGCAAGGGGGTTGTTTGTTGACTCCGGCGGAAGGAACTATTGAGCTCTAGCGATCTATACCCAGCAGACTACGGAGCACTGTGCATAGCAAAAGTAAAACACAGCATTTGTGACATGTAGACCACTAGTCTAGAACTATGCATTCCCTCCGAATACTCCAGGATCCATGCTTTTGCACAATCACCTTGTTCTTCCAATTTGCCATTTGGATCCTGCCCTGACCCATATCCAAGAATTTGCTTGGCCAGGTGCACACCATGGATGGCATGTCACACCGCGCCCTCGAGCACCAATCAGACGGCGCTGATGTGCACATGGTCCATTCTCAGGTGGACAGGAACTGCGCTCTGCATCTAGGGACCGGTATCAATCGGGAATCAGCTGCGTCAATCAAGAGGCTTATCGGGGCACCTGCTAATCCGCAGGGTTCATCGCGGTTAATTGTGACTTTTGTGGATGATCGACATGACGGCTCGAGTGAGGTTATTTGGACAGATATATCTCACGGCTTTTCATGCGGGGTTATCCTGTCAGTATAAACGTAGTCGAAAGTCGAAACTCCGAGAACGGATGCCCATAAGTATCTATCGCGATACTGCACTGTAGAAACTCATATATCCTATTATTCATTACCAACGCCCAACTATCCTCAAGCGCACCCAGACAACGCGATACCCGAACTAACCAACCAGGAGAGCAAACCACAAAACGTTTACAGCCGCCGAAAAGCAGACAAAATCTTTGAAAAGTCCGATGTCCCACTGCCACTACCTCCCCCAAGTCCCGGCATCAGGAGCCTTGGGTTGGTCATCCGGCAAAGCTGAATCGAGGTCTGCACGTCATCCGGCACAGTCATACCAGCAGCGCGGTACGACGCCAGCAGCCGCTCAAAGTAGGGCATCGCTTGTTGATACTGCTGCGACTCCAGGTACATCTTGGCTATGAGGCTAAGGATCGTGAGAACATCGGGCGATCCGATGCCGTGGTTCTGCTCCGCCCAGCTCAGGTAGCGTTGAAGCCAGGGAAGGGCGGTCCGAAGATTTGCGCCCTGGTCCTTCATGTAGGGGTTGTATCCTTGTGCAGTGAATGATCCGCGCAACGCGAACATGATGCCCATGGTGCCGACAATGCTCAGTGTTTCGGAGTGGTCGGGACCAAGGTATTCTTCTGCGGTAGCAAGGGCGCGCCGGAGCGTCTCCGAGCCGCTGGAGCCGGTATCTGGATCGAGGGACTGCATTGCTCCGCCGATCCACATGCTGCGGATGGTAAGCGGGTGATGTCTACCCAGGCGAGTGCTTGTCTCTTTTACGATATCTTCGATTGCTTCTGCTTGGGGGTCGGAGCCCGTGAAGCGCTTTAGCATGGAATTTTCACTGTTCGCTAAACGGTCGGAGAGGACTTGTTCCGCGGCGTCAAGTATGCTTGCAAGATATAGAATATGGTTCTCCCCGAGAACACGTCCAACGCTCTCGCTGTACTTGGTCATCGCCTGAATAGCTTCTGTACGCTGACCAAGTTGTGCGTGGGCCACTGCTACGCGCCGTCGAGTCTCTAGAGTATCGAGGTGGTCGTCGCCAACTTGCATTTGTTGACGTGCTAGCACGTTCGAGCAGATAGACTCGCCTTCTTGTGCTTTCCCTAGACGAGACAAGAACTCGCCTGCTATACCCTCTGACTTCATTGCAAGCTCGTGTCGCCTGCCGAGCACTCGCTGGGAATTGTGGCACACCCAATCGGCCCATTCTTTTCCCTTGACAAGACACCCAGCGTTTAGCTCTATGTCCGCCAGATAGTAGCCTGCTAGCAGAGTGCTGTAGTGGTCCTGTCCAAGAGAGCGGTGATGCTCTTGGAATATCGAATATTGCACTCGCCTTGCGTCATCCCATTTCCACTCATTCATATGCTTCGCTACCTGAACCGATCGTGGATCTCTGTCGGCGGGCTTGAAGAGCGTCCCGATAATCTGTGCCTCGGCCGGGTTCGGTGTACGAGGGGGCCCTGAGTACGGCAAACTGCTATTAAGATGCATTCTCGGTGGAAGAGGAGGGCCCGAGCTCGGGGAGGTGGAAGGCTGAGGGACGAATCCCCGTTCAGCAAGGAGGACCTGATCTGCAATGTCTCTGATATTTCCTTGAATCAGCCTGTACATCGCTCCCCGGCCGCTGACTTTGCACATCTGCGAGTGATCTGCATCTAGCTTGAGAGTCGTCTCGCGCTGTCCGGGAAGGCCGAGGATGGCTGACTCTTCATCAACCACAAGCTGCTATAGTTAGCCATAATCCCCAACACGGGGACGCGGCTGCTTACATGGCTCACTGACGCCGGACCACTGCCCCCTAAGAACACTTCTTTGCCCTCAACAAAGCTAACGATCTGATAGTCCTCGAGTTGTTGCTTGAAATGGCGAGACATATCTCTGGTGAAAAGTGAATTCTCTTCAAGGCACCTGAGCAAGTCATTTTTGGCATGGCCTTTGGAGATGAATTTTGCGACGTTGGCGGCGATTCTTCCCAGTTCAACGCCCTTGGCGCCTCTGTGTGGAGTGCCAAAGAAGACAATGCCACAAGTGTCGGTGCGGATGTGCGTATACTTCCGGTTTTCGTGGGCGTTGAGCAGTGCCTGCAGCGGTCAGTACAAACCTTTCTACCTTCGACTTTCGAGCACGGACTTGCTTGACGACCAAACCTCCCAAACTGTGACAGACCCAGATAATTTTCGGGGCCCTCGCAGCCTAGATCAGGATCAGCGTTATCACTCGATACGAAGTGACCGGCTTCCGTACCCTCTGCTCTTTTCGCTCCAGGTCCACCAGATTCAGCAAAGTATCCGCATGGTCTTTGATACTAGCAGTAGACATGGTCCTGGCATCGGTAACGGTCGAGTTGTAGCCATAGACGAAGACGCGTGTGTCGGGGATGTCTCGCGGAAGATAGTCTCGAGGCCAAAACGTGCCATTTTCGTGGGTCCAAGTCTGGAAAGGATGGTCGTTGCGCGCGCGAGGGTTCAGCCCATGGACGAAGACGAAGCTAGCCAGCAACCGTCGGTATTAGTATGGGGCAAGCGGCGGAGACAGGGCGAGAGACCTACTCGATAAGCGGGGCCCCGGATGGGGTATACACCCTCTCGAGAAATGGATATTCCAGGTTTATAGTGGCCTATAAACTTAGCAGCGGCCCTGGAACGTGGGAAAGGGAAACAGTACGCACCATTTCGCGATGAAACAGTCGCCCTCACAGCATGGGCGAGATGAAAAGAAGTCGGTACGAACGAGTCTCAGCTTCTGGTGATAAGGAGAACTCATCTTCAGCCGCGAGGGCCCCGTCATGTGATAAACAAGGCTGTTTTGAGGGGGAAAGCGAGTCATTTTGCCCAATCGCTTCAGAGTGCCTGGGGTGGGCGTTCGTGATCAACAGGTGGGAGGAGAGGCAGCAAAAGCAGTAAAAAGAGGCGAGAGAACCCTGATCTGGAGAAATGGCGCTCTCATTGGCGCGAACCCCTGTCAGTTCCTGTCTCATCCTGCTTAGCGCTTATCCCACGGTCTTGAGGTATCATCACTCACAGCCTCAGTCGCAGCTTGTACGACGAGGCGAAGGCGATGGACATTTCGACATTGGAGGTGCTGGAGTCTGGACTTGAGCGTGGGTGTGGCTGATGCAGGTTTGATTGCTGTCTTACTCCGGACTCTCAGCCTGCCGACCCTGCGACTCGCTCGACCCCTTGCTAAAAATAATACACGGGTATCCATTCTTGATCAATTTAAGCTCTCATGGTGCCTCTCAAATGGCGCTCGCCACGTTCCGTAGGATTGTTGAACATCGTTACAGCGTCACTTTGCTGTGTCTTGAGCTGTAGGATCATCGTCAAGACACTCTGCATGAGACCAAGTCCAATCTCATAAACTCCCAGACAGTCTTATATGACGAAACCGTGAGACAAAGAGCCAATGGGGAGGTTTGGCTATAACCCCTTGTGGTAGCGGTCAACCTGGAGAGTATTCCAAGGTTAGGAAAGAGTCATGGAGGCTGGCTGTGTGCATTCCGTAATTCACGCACCAAACAAGGTGGCGGACCGAAACAAGCAAATCCAATCACCAGAGCAACGTTTTGTCTCTCACTTGCAGTGAACAATTGAGACACCATCACTGTTTGTCTCATGAAGACTAGGAGTCATCCCCCGCTGCAAGACTTTATCAAAACTTGATAAGTTGTTGTAGGCCAAGGGTTTCGATTGGATTGTTCAATCTATTTAATCCACCTTGCCTGAAGTGATGGGGCTCACCACATTGCTGTACCTCTACGCCCTTTGTGTCTCCTTCCTTCTGGGGCCTGGCCTTGGTGCAGCTTCGGAATGCACGTTTCCACCTCTCATTGATGCCACGCAAAGTGAGCTTCAGACAGGCCTTCGCCTGGGTTGCTTCACCAGTGCAGATCTGGTCAGAGTCAGTCCTCCTCCGCTGACATCTGCTGCTCAGATGCTAATGCTGCAACCAGGCTTACATTGCACGAATTCATGAGATCAACTCGAAGCTCAATCCCGTCCTGGAAGTCAATCCGGAAGCCATGGAGATTGCTGAGCAACTTGATCTGGAGAGACAGCAAGGCACAACCCGTGGGTATGTTAGACCTTAATTGAACCACACAATAAAAGCTGATTGACACCGTACTAGCCCTCTTCACGGACTCCCAATTCTTGTCAAGGATTTGATAGCAACTGACGATCGGATGGAAACAACGGGTATGTGGCTGATTTGTCTCACAACGACAGAGTTGGTGTACTAACTCGTCGTCCGCTCCAGCTGGCTCCTATGCACTGGTCGGAACGAAGGTTCCAGCCGACGCGACAGTGGTCGCAAATCTCAGGAAAAGCGGCGCAATAATTCTCGGCAAAACAAGCCTGTCGGAATGGGCGAATACTCGCTCTACCAATTCATCGAATGGCTGGAATGCTGTAGGTGGCCAGACGTACGCTGCTTATTATGAGGAGCAGGATCCAAGTGGGAGCTCGAGTGGCAGCGCAGTATCGGCCGACTTGGGGCTTGCCTTTGCAGCCCTGGGGACAGAAGTGAGAGTGACCCTCTACATATAACCCGTCGTGACACCATGCTAACTCTCATTTGAAGACCGTTGGTAGTATTATACTGCCTGCCGAGAAGAGTAATATCGTTGGGATAAAGCCCACCGTCGGTCTGACGTCGCGATATATGGTAGTGCCCGTCAGCGAGCACTTGGATACGATTGGGCCGATGGCAAGGACAGTCCGCGACGCAGCCTTGGTACTTCAAGTAATCGCAGGTCAAGATGCAAGCGACAACTATACATCGTCTTCGCCATTTCAGGGCGCACTTCCTAAGTATATCGCGGCCTGCGACATGAGAGGTCTGCATGGCAAACGGATAGGGATTCCCCGAAATGTTCTCAGTGCCCTGCCTCGCAGATACTACCGTTCGGCCGGCCCAGTTCTGTCCTCGTTTGAAAGAGCTGTTGGATCAATCAGAAACGCCGGGGCGATTATTGTCGAAGACGCCAACTTCACTGCTTATGAGTCGTATCTGCAAACGCAGCTCCCGCAATTGGTGATTGCAGCGGACATGCTCAGCGGATTTTCAGCCTATCTCGCGGGACTGACCAGTAACCATAACAAGCTTCGTGGACTGGAGGACATACGCAACTACACGCGGAATAGCGCTGAAGAGGATTATCCATCGCGGAACACGGAGCTATGGGACCTGGCCATTGCTGCCGGGCTGAATAATTCATCCCCAACTTTCTGGCCCATTTATCAGCAATCTCTGTTTTTCGGCGAGGAAGGGGGTCTTCTGGGTGCGCTATCGCGACATAATCTTGATGCCGTCGTCCTCCCATCCTCGTTGGCATCGGACATTCCCGGCATCATCGGCACGCCAATCATCACCGTCCCATTTGACTCGTTTCCTGCCAACGCATCTGTTGAGTATAACGGGCGAGGGGACCTAGTTGACGCGGCACCGGGAATTCCACTGGGAATTAGTTTCCTAGGGCCAAAGTGGAGCGAAGAGTCACTCATCGCAATGGCCTATGCGTTTGAGCAGCGAACAGCCGCAAGGGGAAGACTCCAACGCGTGGTTGAACCACTGGTAGAGTTAGAAGATGTGGTGGGTTAAATAACCGGATCCGCTATATATCCTACGTGGATCAAGACCGTCATGTCGAAACCGCAAAGCAAGACAAATGCCTGCATAGTTTATACCCGGCATTATTCGCAAACTGTATCTAATCTAGCATGCCGCTTCGAATAAACAATATATTGCATATTTAACAATTCATGAGCTTCGCCCAGTCCACGGCTTTCAAATTCAATGTTGTCAATGTTGACTACCTAAAGCGGCTTAGTGGGCATTTGCGATGAGAGCCGCGCGGGGCGCCGGCGGAGACGTTTTGCAGCAGGACTCCCCCGCGTCCGTTTCCCTCAACGCAACACGCGGAAAACTCACAGACTTCTTCCTCGCTCTACATGGAAGACCTCGAGAGCAAATGCGCATCCCTGCGCACCAAAATAGCGGCCACCGAAGCGCAACTCGCGAAGCTCAAGCGCGAGCTCCAAGAAGCGGAGGATGCCCGATCCCAGAATGCCGCAGCCGCGGCCGCGACCGCGAATGCAACCACCAAAGAACAGCCCCAAACGAGGTCTAGGTGGCCGTTATCTGGGGAAGAGTACCGGCGGTATGGGAGACAGATGATTGTGACGCAGCTGGGGCTGCAGGGTGAGTGACCAAGGATTGATTACGAGGTTGAGTCTCTGGGCTAATGAAGTCTTTCCTCTCCAATGCAGGGCAACTGAAACTCCGAAATGCGAAGGTTTTGGTTGTTGGAGCAGGTGGGCTAGGATGCCCGGCTGCGCTGTATCTTGCTGGTGCTGGGGTTGGGACAATCGGGCTTGTTGACGGCGACACCGTGGAGTCGTCGAATTTGCATCGCCAGGTGCTGCATCGGAGTAAGAATGTGGGAAAGCTCAAGGTCGACAGTGCCATCGAGTATCTACAAGAGTGGGTTCTGATCCTGGAGCATGATGTCTGCCAGTTACTGATGCTTCGATCTTCCGACTTAGATTGAATCCGCACCCGACGTATATTGCGCACCGCGCACATCTCGCACCGCAAGAAGCACCGGATATCTTTGGGAATTACGACTTGATTCTTGATTGCACGGATAATCCGGCGTCGCGGTACCTTATTTCGGATACAGCTGTATTACTGGGCAAACCGTTGGTTTCAGCATCCGCTCTACGAACCGAAGGACAGCTCATGGTGCTGAATAACCCCCCGCGACCGGCTGGAAGCAAGACAGGAGGCCCATGTTACCGCTGTGTCTTTCCTAGACCACCGCCGGCGAACAGTGTAACAAGCTGCGCAGATGGTGGAATTCTCGGACCGGTGGTTGGCACAATGGGGTTATTGCAGGCTTTGGAAGCGATCAAAGTTCTCTCCTCGACCGAAGAAAAAGCCGAAGCCACGCCGCCATCTCTCTTGATATTCTCGGCGTATTCGACCCCGCAGTTCCGGGCAATCAAGCTACGATCCCGGCGTCCCAACTGCGCGGTATGTTCTGCCGAAGCGACCGTGACGTTGGAAAGCGTGAGGTCGGGCTCGATGGACTATGTCTTCTTTTGCGGGACGGTCGATCCGGAAGATAGCCTTTCCCCGGAGGAGCGTGTTACTCCTTTGCAATACCGGAATGGTGAAAGCACTGGGCCCGGCAGGCATGTTATTGATGTACGGGAAAAAGTCCAGTTCGACATCTGCAGTCTGGAAAACAGCATCAATATCCCAATGTCGACTATCCTTGCTTCCGCTTATAGCGCACCGGCGAAAGATGCCGACGGACAGAAGCCCCTGCCTTCGTGGCTACCATCTCAGATCACCGATGACGCAAACAATCCGATCTATGTGGTATGTCGGCAGGGTAATGATTCGCAAACGGTGGTCAGAACGTTGAAGGAATTGGGACTGCATCGCGGAGGCGAGCGTGTCGTAGTCGATATCAAGGGCGGATTTCGATCCTGGCGGGAACAGGTCGATCCGGATTGGCCTGAATATTGAGAAAGAGTCGATCGTGGACAAGAGACGTGCATGCAATAGAATCAACATCTAGACGAAAGGGGTATATCGAACAAACCACAGGAGGAAAGGACAGCAGAGATAGAACGAGTGGGAAAGAACGTGGTACATCATCCCATAGCAACAGGGGTCTCGTCCAACCAGGCCCACTGCACCGTCACCCTACCCTCTGCCAAATCGCCAAGTTCCTCAAACACAGACGACGAAACATCCAGGTCATCGACGTTGCACCCAGGACAACGATCCACGACCTTAACATCCACACTGCTATCGCCCCTTCTTATTCGCAACTTCAGCCCGCAAAGCGGATTCTCGTTGGGGTTTCCAGAAGTAAGTGCGGCATCGAATACGACATGCGAAACTGCACAGATTTTCTCGGAGGAAGTGCTTGTTATCCCGCACGATCCAAGACCGGGGTCGTAGTATGTCAGGTCGCCGGTGTAGGGGCCGCCGTTGGAGGTTGGGAGAGGGTCATTGGAGCTGGTTGTGTTGGTAGGATTGTCAGTAGAGTTTCCTCCATCATCCAATAGTCTATAAGAAGAATATAATTCATGGGTCAATCAAGGAAAGACGCAAGGGATATCAATTGAAGGCGTGCTCATGCAACCCCAGATTTCGGACTTACCCCTTTCCATTACGTCTCGTCAACCCCACAGCAAGACCGATGATGAGTGCGAGAAGCGCGAGCGATGCGACTAGAGCCGCGATTATGACGCGCTTCTTTTTAGTCGAAGACTGACCCCATCTTTGTTGCAATTGTTGCCATAACGTCAGTTTGTGTTGGGGTGCTGCGGGCTGGTTTTCGGTCGCGACCGCGGGCTCGGCCGTTTTCTCAAGGTCGCTGGACGAATCTGCAATTGGTGGAGGTGCGGCGACGGCGGAATTTGGAACTGGTTTCCGCTTAGGAACTCCAGATGGAGGGCCGTTTATTGCTGATGACATCGTGGGGCGTCAGCGTGCAGATGCATTTTGCGTCGATAGATAAAGATCGGGACGGGGGACTGTTCCTTAAAAGGCGGCGATGGCTGGCAAACAGCAGGGGTTGTGATAGACGGTTACACCGGGGCTTTCCCCGAGTCCCTGACTAGCCGTATTTGAATCGATATCGATCATTGAGGTCAATTAATTGGCGTTAATCCGTTGGAAAGGCTTGGGAGGCTTCAGTGGCTTGCAAGTTGCCGATAACCGAGCCCAGAGAGGACTGCACAACCGCCCTCGTCCCTTCCTTTTCCTATAGACAAATTCCATTATTTGGTGGAATGTGATCCTGTCTATTATTTCTCCATAAGCCAGAAGTACAATCCTTAGTGACTGAAGAACAGATCTGACTACTATATCGTGGGTACTTGGCTCTTCTTGGCGCTGTACAGAGCGGCCCACATTGTTGTCTTCACTCCGCAATCTCTGCTTTCGTCATTATTTCCTTCGTCCAACAGCTGCACTATTCCGGGCAACATACGCTGCGCATCAACGGGAACCATACACTGCGTGCTGAGCTCAACCATCGCGGTAACCCAGTCGTTGTTCCCAGCGGTGGAAACGGGCCAGACGACCACTCATCCATGACTTAGGCTTCGGGAACCGAGGTTTTGGAGGATCGCGATAAATGCGGGGAGGATTTCTTGGTTACAAAATACAATATGGCAGAACAGCCTTCTTCGCGCGACTTCGCCTACGAAAATGGCGCCGATCGGAAATCCGTCACGCGTCCGAGCCTTACGGACAGGGCCAAGTCGGCGTGGAACAAGACCGGGCTGGACCGACAGTCAATCATGCTGATGGTCAAGTGAGGCTTCTTTTTGACAAGCCTTGTAGTAGTGTGCTAATCGAAATTACAGGGGCGCAATACCCCCAACCATTGGGCTCGCAATGTGAGTCTTCTACGCTTTTGTGCTACTCTGATTTGACTGACAACTCGAAGGTATCAGGCCGACGGGGTCGCAGCATATTTCACTACTTCTGGATACTTGATAGCTATCATATCAGTATTGGGCTTCGCTATCATGCCCCGCGCTAAGTTCGTTCAGATGATGTTGCTCGATGTCCTGGCCGTCTGCGTAGCAGCGGCTGTGAATCTCCTGATGATGTATGCAACCGTCAAGGCACGCGAGCATTCAACCGGTTCGAACGAGTCCCAAGCTGGTAGCTCAGGTTTTCCGCCATACAATTCGTCTGCCTCAGTCACCAGCGGCGTATTCTTATTCTTTCAGACATACCTCGTCCATTCGCTGAGGGCCAATTATCAGCAGTTTCAATTCCCCGTCATCATCTACTCCATTGTGGCCAACGTCACCTTTTCATTTGCACCTCTTTTGTCAACCATGCCCGCAGCGATGTCTATGGTCCGTCGCATTCTCGAGGCTGCGTTAATAGGGCTGGGGCTTGCTACTGGGGTATCCTTTTTCATCTTTCCACTTTCCTGCCGAACAGTGGTGTTCAAGCAAATGGCAGGCTATATCAACGCTTTAAGATCAGCCCTGCAAGCTCATACGGCCTATTTCGAAGCCCTGGAGAGCGAAAACGTGTTTGGGCGGACAGCAACCTATGACTCGACTGTGGAAAAGATTGACGAGCATGGGAAAGTCTATTCCCCGGAAGCAGCGACAATACGAAAAGCTGTACAGAAGATCACAGAGCTTCATGGAAAGATGAGCGGTGACCTGACTTTCGCAAAACGTGAGGTTGCCATAGGTGAACTTGGGCCGGATGACCTTCAATCTATCTTCCGCCATCTTCGTCAGGCGATGGTACCCGTTGTCGGACTTAGCTTTGTTGTGGATATCTTTGAGCGATTATCAGAATACAATAAATGGAACGACCCGATTGATCCCTCGTCTGTCATATCCGGTGACCTTCGCGACCGTGCGATACACGAGTGGCATGAGATTATGAGCGCTGTCCATGATCCGTTTGTCTCTATGATCCAAACAATTGACGAAGGTCTGCAACATGTTGCTTTGACTCTGAACCTGACACCGGCACCGAAGAACAGAAATACAGACCCTGAGGCATCAGGAAACCTAGGGCCCGGGGACGAAGGATTCAGTGCCCATATGGAAAAGAAGCTCTCTGATTTCAAAATAGCCAAGCGGCTTGCGCTGCGGACATGGAGCGAGGAAAAAGGCATCACCCTGCCGCCGGATTTCTTCGAGCATCCTGCGACCGCACACCTGGAAATGGAAGATATACCTGTGGACGGAGCCGTGAACAGAGATCGTGCTCGGAGGCAACTGTATCTTTTTCTTTATGTATGTTTTTATCCCCCTCCATTTAAAAAGTCGTGCTAATCAGGACTAGATGGAGCAACTACTGGCCTCCACCGGCCATGTCGTCCTCGACTTTGTTCGATATGCCGACCGCAAACGAGAGAGCGGGAAAGTCTCGAGAACAAGATTGGTTATTCCCGGTAGTAAACGCCTTCGCAAATGGGCTCTAAGTATTTTCAATACCGAGGATTCCCACGGAGAGGACCACTTGGGCGATGTGAATGCGCACAACGGCACGCTTCAACTTGGCGAGGCGTATACAACCAGGAAAGACCCAGAGCATCTACCGCCAGAAACAGCGTTTCAGAGATTCGGAGATAAGATCAGGCGACTTGCAGCAATGCTTCGTTCCCCACAGTCGGCCTATGGCTTCCGTGTTGCATGCGCCACCATGACCATCGCGGTTGTCTATTTTATTCGTGATACGCAAGAATTCTTCATCAGGCAGCGATTTGTCTGGGCCATCATTATGGTCAACCTCAGTATGTCTCCGACATCTGGGCAAAGCATTTTTGGTTTCGCTCTTCGTATTGTTGGGACTATCTTGGCAATGACGCTCAGTTTGCTCTGCTGGTATATTCCTGGGAAACAGACTCCTGGTATTCTCGTTTTCTTTTTCGTCTTTGTCGCTGCTACGTTCTATATACCAGTCAAGCAGTTCCGTTTTCGAATTGCCGGCATCATTACTGTTATATCTACGGCTATGATAGTGGGGTATGAGCTCCAGGCTCGCAAGATTGGGGAGCAAAACGTCAGCGCAAATGGGCAGACGTACTATCCGATTTATCTTCTAGCACCGTATCGACTTGCTGTCGTGACGGGAGGTATTGCAGTTGCCTTCTTCTGGACGTTCTTTCCATACCCAATATCGGAGCATTCGGTCCTTCGACAAAATCTAGGGTCGAGCTTATACCTTCTCGCCAATTACTACTCCATCATTCATGAAACGGTCACTGCACGAATGCGAGGCGATGAGGGCGACATCGCCCTCAAGACCCCCGCTGGAAGGCGGCTTCTGAAAGCGCGAAACCAAGTCTTTTCAAAGCAGATGATCATGCTGAGCAGTCTCCGCACATACTCCGAGTTTCTCAAGTGGGAAGTGCCCATTGGCGGCCGATTTCCTAAACAGCAGTACGACAGAATCATTACCTGCATTGAGAAGTATGTTGTTCGCTTGCCTGTTTCTGAGAGTTTGTGTACTAACCTTAGGCTTAGCATTGTCAACTACCTCAGTCTTCTGGGGTATGCCTCAGACTCGCTCAAGCAGCTCGGTAGCGATGATGAATCTGACTCGGCATGGCTTAATGACCTGAAGAGGTTGATCGCCAGCGCGCGGATTACGACGCACCAGGTGACATCGGTGTTATGCCTTCTATCTGCCAGCCTCACAAATCAGCAACCTCTACCACCTTTCCTGAAGACACCCAAGCCATACAGCTTTTCGAAAAGACTGGAACAGCTGGACAAAGATATATTGAGTCTCAGACATATTGCAGAGCCAGGGTTCGCGACGTTCTCAGTCCTACAAATTTCCACTCGCTGCATCGTTGGTGACGTGGAGATACTTATGAAGTATGTCACTTTCTGCTATTGATAGAAAACGCTCTAACTTAGTGTAATAGGGATGTAAAGACCCTTGTTGGTGAACTTGATTTTTCATTCCACGCCTTGAGTGCCCGTCACAGCAGCGTCTCAACTGGGGATGTTTCGCGAGCACCATCAAGAGCTACGGCGCGAAACAAGCTCGACTAGAGGTATATACCTAGCTAAAACTTTTGGACTTATAGAAGCAAGAAATTCAAGACAGACTTATATTTTCACCTTCTATGGTATCGGGCTCTTCAAGTACCGTGCCGCTTGTGCTGATTCTCTGCAGGGTAGACAAAACCGGCTTTGGCGCATAACTGCATAGCTCCACGCCAGTAATCATCCGAAAAGCTGCATTATTACGTCCATTACGTACTATCTCTCACTGTTTTGCAGGAAAGGTGTTTGAGAAGATGTTGTTATCCGCGGCACTGTGTCTGTGCTTGCATGCCAGACGTTTCCAGCGACGAATAATATCGCTGAAGATAAGTGTGTGCCATATGCCCAAGGGGAATGGAATGCTGAGCAGTCACACTTGGATCAATCAAACCTACAACAGATAATCGTTCGGTGTATTTTGTGATCCACCTGCAATAATTTCCGACCAAGCTCTGGGCGCCCCAACACACAATGAGTGGATTTAACGCGAATACAGGGCCGCCTAGCTCGAACTATATGATACGGATAGCTTCGGCATATTGGTCTCGAAACCGCGACCAAGTATCAGGACCGGCAAGAGACCATCTCCGATGAAATAACCCGCTTGATAGCCTGGTGGATTTTCTGCCGGATGAGGGCAGAATCTATCGAGCTCGGTCATGCCGATGACGGATTCAGGACACAGTTGCACGAAAATCCCAGCACGGAAGATCTGGTGGAAAGCATCTACCTGGAGCAACCCCCATTCTCTGACACATCGGCGGATTTAGAGAGCATCATCTGGCGGCCCAGGCTTAGGGAATGGCTCGTTTTGAGCTGCGTCTCCCTCGTGGCGATGCTAGATGCATTTGACGCGACTATGATGGTGCCCATAATACCGGTATGTTTCTTGGTTGTTTGTTTCCTCCTGTCTTTAGCGGTCTCAACATGTAGCCTTCTGTCTGCAGGTTCTATCAGCCGTCTTTGAGCAGCCACTTCGCAGCGTTCTCTGGGTGGACACATCGTACCTTTTCGCAAGTGCAGCGAGCCAGCCGATATTCGCCATGTTGTCCGAAGTCTTTGGTCAGGGACCGATTCTGATTGTTGCCGTCGTGATAGCCACAGCCGGGACCGGGGTATGCAGCGGCTCCTTGAACGTTCCAAGTCTAGTCGTAGGCCGACTAGTCCAAGGGGCGGGCAATGGTGGTGCAATGGCTGTCTCGTCACTACTGGTGACTGACCTCATTCCGTATCCGCATCGAGTACGGTTCTCCGACTACATCTGTCGAGCTTGGGCGTTTGGGGCGATGCTTGGACCGGTAACCGGAGGGTTCTTCGCTCATTACGGGAATTGGAACTGGACGTTCTACTTCAGCTATATTTTCTGTGCCTTGAGTCTCCTTGTGGTGCCCTTTGCGGTCGACTTGAAGGAGTGCAAGAGCATTGCTAGACACGCAGCGCGTGAAATGGATTGGATAGGGGCTGTCTTGACATTGCTTGGGACTGGGTCACTCCTGTGCGCAGTTAGCTGGGTAGGGCGACCGCTCACCGGATGGGATGACTGGCGCATCCTGGTTACCAGTTGCATTGGAGGGTCAGCAGTTGTGGTGCTGGTGCTTTATGAGAGCATCTGGGCATCGCAACCGCTGTTCAATCTCGGAATATTCAGTTCAATATCAAAGATCATGCTGTACATTGGCAGTTTACTGCATGGGCTCTTGGTAAGTATAACTATCCTGTGATCATCCACGGTTTGCTGACAGTTCCAGGTCCTCTGGCATCTGCAGGGCCTTTCCATGTATCTATTCCTAGGCAAGGAGTTTTCATCACCCTCTACCGGGGTAAGCCTCATGGCGGTTACCGCACCTACTTTACCAACACTCCTTCTCACAGCGAAACTTGGAATTGGCAGATACCCTATCCGCCCACGATGGATTGTCCGCGCAGGCTGGACCCTGAATATTCTCGTATCAGGTTGCTTCATACTCTTTGACGCCAATACGCCGACACCCGGCTGGGTCTTCATCTTCCTTACCACCGGAATCAGCCACGCTCTTCTTATCTCTGGCTACAATACATGCTCACAAACCGAGTCACCCGTTCGCAAACGCGACGAACACGACGGTCGGCAAGCGATGCGAAGGGGTAGAAGCAGTAGCACTGCCTTTGCTATCTTGATGTACTCTATCTTTAGAACATGGGGGATGTGTATTGCTGTTCCCGTTGGCGGGTCTATCGTTCTGACGCAGATGGTCCAAGAGATCGATACGAATGGAAGTGCTGCTGGAGCGTCCGGCTCGTTGGTCTCGAAGGCCGGAATTGTGCTGACTCCGGAGAACAGGGAGGAGCTGGGTCGTTTGTTTCTGGGCAGCTTTGGCGTGTTGTGGCGGTTCTTCATGGGGGCTTCTGCTCTGGGGGGATTGTCTTCGCTGCTGATCCGGTGATGCCTACCGAGTCTTAGTCAATGATGCCCAATGTCTTGTCTGTGTAGTGTAGCCGCCAGCCAGCGGGTAGGAGCGCTCCTTCCTCTTTCGGCGGTGCCTGCCCTCCAGCGAGTGCTTTCCAGCCTGCCATTGACCAGGAACGGAAGGCGCGCTGGATGCCGTCGGGCAGCTTAAAGCACGCGTCTCTCCCCGTCGTCAAGTCCTTCTCTTTCTTCTCCCTCATCCATCTTCGTTCCTACGCAGCCCACCTCGGCCCATCTGTTACTCTCGCATTCGTATCTTGTCTTCCTTAAGCACTCGCTATTGTTACTCTCTCGTCGTCAAAATGCATCTCTCCTCGTCACTCCTTGCTCTGGTCCCGGCCCTGGCACTCGCTGCCCCAACCGCGGAGAGCTTCGACACCACCCCGATTCTCCCAGATGGCCTGCCTTACCCCACCCCCGAGCAGCTTCAACAGATTGAGCAAGCCGCCCATGGCACACTTCCCGGCTTGCCTTTGCCCACCAATGCCAGCGCAGTCGGAATCACCAACCTGCAACTGCTCGCCTTTCAAGAGCACGTCGAGGTCGCTTTCTTCCACCAGCTGATTGGAAACATCACTCGCAACACCACTGGCTACACCTTTGCAACCGATCTCGAACGGGAGTTTGCCCTTCGGAGCCTCTCAACCATGCTCGCGGTACGCTGTCACATACTCTGATCGTTTGGATGGATGCTAACTTCTTTCCAGCAAGACGAACTGCACGCTCTCACAGCCAACAACGCCTTGCAGCACTTTGGCATCCCAGCCATCGAGCCTTGCCGCTACTACTTCCCTGTCACCAACCTCGAGGAAGCCATTGCTTTGGCTACGACCTTCACCGCACACTCACTTGCTGCACTTCAGGACATCACTGAGCGCTTTGCAGCGAACGGTGACTCGTCTCTCGCACGGATCATGACCGGTATCATCGGTAACAAGGGCGCCCAGCAAGGAGCTTTCCGGATCTACCAGGACAAGTACCCTAGCGAGCTTCCGACCCTGACAACCACCGACGTTGACTTTGCCTTTACCTGGTCAAACAGCTTCGCCCTCCCCAACACTTGTCCCAACCTTGGCGACATCAAGCTGCGCATCTTTGAGCCTCTGAATATCGTCACTCGCCCTGAGGCTCGCACACACAAGATCCAGGTCACATGGACCCACGGCCCAGACGAGTCGAAGGAGAGCCTCCTGTGGGTTGCATACATCAACCAGCACAACGTGCCCATTGTTGCTCCTGTGCAGGTTGTTTCTTGTGACGGCTCCAAGTCGACTGCTGTTGTCGTTGTCCCGTACGATGAATTCCTCATGAACGGCTTGACGGTTATGGCTGTTGTCAACCGCAGAGGACCCTTCGCCAACGCGGAGGCAGTGGCCCGCGCCACGGTATATGGCCCGGCTCTGTTCATTGTGGAGTAAGAGAAGGATGCATGTATCCTTAGCTGTATTACTATAGAAAACATGGAAAAGCAACTTGGCTAGCGGGCTACCTTGCTAGTATCCTAATGTCACACCTTTGCTTTTGATCACTGAGCATTATATATTACCGCGTAAAAGTGTAGATTAGAAGGCGAATAAGTATGTACAGATTTGAACAATCTCCTCTTCACCAAAATTTATCCCACCGAACTTGACCAGCACGCGGCGCCCGAGCAGCAGGCAGCTTAGAGGGTGTTACCGGCGGAGGAAGACACGCTGGAGGCAATGCCGCTGTAGGCATCGGCAGAAGCAATGTTCTTGCCCTCGAACTTGCTGAGGAAGTCGGTGTCGGCCTGGTTGAAGGTGCCGGAGCTACCGAATCCGTTGAGCTCGCAGTTACGGCCGAGGTAGGAGGAGCAAGCAGTGTTGGCAGACTCGGAGGGAGAAGCAAAGAGCTTGCCGTCAATGGGGTCCTCGGCAACGACCTCGACGTTCTGGAAAACGTTACCCTCAGCGAGGACGTAAGCACCCTCACCGATCTCGAAGGCGTGGCCGGAGTTGTCGTGCCAGTAGTTGTTAACCTATCATCTATTAGTTCCGAACCATCTGCATAAGCCGGGGTATGAAACGTACAGCGTGGAGCAGAGTGTTACCCTGGACCTTGGGAGAGCGGCCGCTGGTGTGGTAGATGTAGTTGCCCTTCATGGTGACCATGTCGCTGGAGCCGTCAAGGTAGACACCCCAGTAGTGGTAGCCGTCGCAGGTCGCGGAGTAGTCGGATTCACCGTTGATAAAGGAGTTGGAGATGGTCACGCGGTTGTCGGCTTCGGTGCCGAGGACAATGTGCTGGCGACCGATGCGGGCGGTCTTTCAGTCACTTTTGTTAGTATCCTTTCGCTTTTTTGGAGGTAGGCAGGACAGGACGTACGGTAACGTGGTCGATCCAGACCATGTCGACGTCGTTGAGGGTGATGGCGTCACCTCCCCAGACGTACTTGGGGTTGATGTCGGTGATGGCGATGTTCCTGCAGCAGTGTTAATTACCATTCTTCTCACTTTTTCCGCTGCTGTGGTTCAGTTGGAATGCATACTGGATGATGACGTTGCTGGTGCCGCTGACGAGACGCAGACCCTTGCCCTTGATGACACCGGCGGAGCCCTCACCGATCAGGGTCTTGTCGGAGTTGACGGTGATACCGAGGGAGCCGGCGTTGTCGTAGGTGACGGAGACGGTGGGGGCGTCGGGCTGGTAGTTTGTGCACCAGTCGTTCTGGTTGATGGCGACCTGGCAAGCGGAGGCGGTTCCCCAGGGGGCGCAGCCGGTGTCGGTGGTGGTGCCTTCGGAGTCGGTGAAGTCGAAGCTGTATTAGACATTGTTGTTAGTTGCCTGTTGTTTTTTTTAGGGGTTGGTGGGCGCATACGTCTTAGAGAGCACGATGACGCGCGCCTCGTCGTCTCCGAGGTACGAGACCAGCTCGTCGATGGAGTCGGGGTAGACGGCGGTAGCGCTACCACCACCGGTGACGCCCTTGGCGAAACCCTCGGCCGAGCCGCTGACGGAAACGGCGGCGGCGGTGCTGCTGAGCGCCGCGGTGGCCAGGGAGAAGAGGGCGGTAGTCTTCATCGTTGCGATTGGCAGTTGGTTGGTGAAGATAACGAAGGAATGAACAAGAAGTAGGTCGGACCAGCCAAAAGTTGATAAGAACAAAGGGAAAATGCAAAGAAAGACTGCGGTTGGGAAGGATGGTTGGATAGCTTCCAGAACGAGGGGGAGGAGTTGGGGGTTTTATATCCTTGCTGTTGGCGTTTGGGATCCATGGCCGGCATCGACTTAGGTAACGGGGCCGCTGGTGGACTACTCTATCTTGATTGAAGACCCGTCATGGTGGCATCAGATAGATAGGGATGCGAATGCGGAACCCCAGCCCGAGCCCTATGGCAAGGTTCCGGGCCCGGCAGCACTGGCAGTTGGCTCTCGCGGAGTCGCGCCATGTGCAGGAATCGTCAGGACAAGGGGCAAGTTGCGAAATTAGGAGTGTTTCACGGTGTCCACTAGGAGGGCCGGCACTTGATGCTAGTTTCTCGAGTCGCAAACAAGCAATTCCTCCGTCTTGGCGGGGGGGCGCATGGTGCTTGATTGTTGTGACAGACCATCTTGGCGATCAATTGCTTTAAAGAGTTGATTGATGGAATTTTCGATTGAATGTTCATGTTGAAGACCGGCAAGAGGTGAAACTGCGCGGGGCGCCGGAGCTTGTGGGGGTTGTGGTATGAAGATGCATCAGAAACCCTGCCATCGAAGATCAGAGCTCGTCGAGCACGATGATCGATTGCGACGAGATCGAGCTCAATGTGGCCGCCTTATCGTATCTCCCTGGCGACTGAACCATCGTGGCTTGCCTTGGAAGATTAAGAGTTGACGTTCTCCTCCAGGGGCATCGCTCCACAGTGGATAACCGTTGACACATTGATCCACACGCTAGTTTTCCTCCGAAGCAGGAACATGTTTGGACTTCGACATCGGACCTGGGCTTGAGAGCTGCTGTTACAGCCAAGAGTCGAGACTCAAAGTGAGACTGCAGCTTCTCCAACGACCAGGATCAGTCCGCAGCCCGGGGTAAGTATTGGAAACAGGCCAGGAGTTGAAGCCGTATCCAGGATGGACATTCCACAATAGCGGTCAGGTCAAGGCCGCGCAAGCCAAATCAAAGACCAAGACATATAATATCTGTGCCGAAGTTCTATATGACTTGCATATTAAATCTCGGAATTGCGATGCGCAAGATGAAGAGCGGTCACGATGAGTTGCTAGAATCATGGAGTCGGCGGATCTGGCATCTTGTCACTGCAGCACTTTCAGGAGATTCAGCGGAGCATAAAAGATGGCAAGAACTCGGGAGTCGGAAGCTCAAGAAGCTGCGTTTTGACCGAGGTATCCCCGTGCAGAAGAGCGTAGCTGGGAGAAGCCTTGATGCCTCGCTTTGTCGCCTGAATGTGAGGCAGAAGTTGATGCCTGAACTTTGTGCCTGAATCATGCCTTATATTTCAGGATTAAGTCCTCGCCTGTCGTTGCCTCAGGCTGTCAGGCTGTTATCACATGACGTCGGCAATTGACGGCAACTCGGAAGTTTCCGTTCAGCCTCAGCCGATGCAGCAGTCATATAGGCGATATTGTCAGACAAAGGCAATGTTGTACGGCCTGTCCTTGAGCTGCGTATAGAAGATAGAAGAGAAGTGCTCAACCACTGTAGAACTGCCGACTGTAGCAGTGATGGATATGATTTCCCTTCAAAGGCCGCCGTGTCCGCCCGACGCTTGTAATTAGCCATCTTGTGATTGGCGGACGGCAGCTGAATCAGCACAGTGCCGACCGCCAGACCCGAGGTTACCTTTTGGTGGCAGAAACGAGACTCTTCGTGACGATTGCTTGCCTTGACCTCTTGATCCTCGCTTCTCTGGCTCTGCATTTGCTAATCATCGCTGGCGGACTGTTGTCGTTGCCATCCTCTCCCCTCTTCTCTTCTTCTTGCTCTCTCTAACCCGCTTCTCGCCCCATTGACCCTATCCCTTTGCGATCCGGATTGAAGGAAAAAGTCACGATGGCCTCTCTTCGCACAACGTCGCGCCTTCTCGCCTCCTCAAGGTCGCTCTTCCGCCCCGCGACCTTTGCTCGCTCATATGCGACTGTCGAGTCTGGCTCGGTGAGAAACATCAGGCTCATCAGCACCGGCCTTGTCGCGGCTAATGTTTGGATGTGTAGGAGCCCGCGCCTCAGATCAAGAAGTTCCAGGTCTACCGCTGGAACCCCGACGCCCCCTCCGAGAAGCCCAAGATGCAGACCTACGAGTTGGACCTGAAGAAAACCGGCCCTATGATGCTTGACGCCCTCATCCGTATCAAGAACGAAATCGACCCCACCCTCACCTTCCGACGGAGTTGCCGAGAGGGTATCTGCGGTAGCTGTGCGATGAACATTGACGGTGTCAACACCCTCGCTTGCTTGTGTATGTTGCGACAGAACGATTTGGACGCCTGGACAGCAGTTAACGAACGATGATAGGCCGCATTCCCACCGACACCACCAAGGAGTCTCGCATCTACCCGTTGCCACACACCTACGTCGTCAAGGACCTCGTCCCCGATTTGACCCAGTTCTACAAGCAGTACAAGTCCATCAAGCCGTACCTGCAGCGCGACACGAAGACCGAGGATGTAAGGATAGCCACGTTTGGATGACGAGCCGGATACTGACAATCTTAGGGTCTTGAAAACCGCCAGAGCCCCGAGGACCGCAAGAAGCTGGACGGTCTGTACGAGTGCATTCTGTGCGCCTGCTGCTCAACCTCCTGCCCGTCGTACTGGTGGAACAGCGAGGAGTACCTCGGCCCTGCCATCCTCCTCCAGTCCTACCGGTGGTTGGCCGATTCCCGAGACCAGAAGACCGCCGAGCGCAAGCACGCCATCGACAACAGCATGAGCGTGTACCGTTGCCACACCATCCTCAACTGCACACGGACCTGCCCCAAGGGTCTGAACCCTGCGCGTGCCATTTCCGAGATCAAGAAGATGATGGCGGCTCACTAGAGGCGGAGCGGAAAGCGTCGGGATATAAAATTGTTTTCAGTTTCATTCTCATTCCCTTCTCTAGCATTGGTTGTGTTTTTCGAATTTTCCCTTCTTTCCTATGTATCTTTGATCTAGCTTATTCCCTTGTTTTGAGGCCATTGACGTCGGATGTTTCAATAGGTGTAAATGTGTGAATATTATACACGGTTCTTTATCTTGACTTGGCCCGTTCGAGCGAACAACGCCTCTGCAGGGTACTGACATGGCTACAGTACGGATTCCTTAGCTAGCTCGACTTTTCTTCAGATTCATACGATAGGTAGAGTGACGGCATGAAGATTGCCACTACGGAATCTGAGGCCGACGCTCTGGTCGGCGGGGCTGGCTTCGCCTGCGCGAGGACAAGCTTCTCCCCGTCGCAGCCCGGGCTTCAATCCCATCAATTCTGTGTGACTATACGTGCCTAGAGGCTAGAATGCGTCGTGGACGCATCACGGGGTAAGGGTCCGATCCACTTCGGACAACCGGAGACCAACCAAAGTGCCGAATGTTGGTCCCAGGAGTGATACCATCTAGTGAGTTGAGGAGGGCTCGGGTGGATATGAAATGGACCTGATGCCACGACGGCCGTCTAACAAGGCTCTATGATTACCCTGACCTGTAAGGCGGAAGAAGTCTATATTCTGTCCCTGCTGATCATCTAACAATACCCCCGACATGATTGGATGGATCTATACCCCGGCCCCAGTACGCCAACAAAAACACCAACTTCCAACTTTCTATCGAGGTAGATATATATCCTCCCATAACAAACTGGCTACTTCATCCGCTACTGCCCTTTCGTCCCACTTCCACTCCCACCAACAACCTCCGCAATGATTTTCGCCGCAAGCGGCACCGGGAACGCCATCTCGGGCGTCGGATCCCGGTTGACCTCGCTCGAGGTAATCAGGTCCACGACCGCAACGGCAACATACCCGCCAATGCCGGTAAACACATGCCACCAGCCGTGGAACTCAAACAGGAAGGCCAGCGGCATGCCGACGAGGTCCCGGGCGCCCGATAGAGACGGGCAGAGGAAGTTGTCGACCAGCCACATTGTGTAGCCGAAGATGAAGCAGACTGGGTAAGGTAGCGGTTAGCATTGAAGTTTAAAGTTAGGAAGGGAGGGAAATGGACGAGGCCGTACACAGTCCAAACCGCGAAACAATCTTGATGTTGAACCGGATCGCTGGGTCGTGGATCTGCCGCGGGATTGTCTGGATCGTCTTGATTGTGATGAGGAGCACGGCGGTCCCGAAGGAGACGGCGTGCAGCAGGAACTCGTCCATTACCATGTGCACGAGCATGACGATGGCGAAGGCGATGGAGAGGGTTGTCCCGATGGTGCGAGTGTACTGTGCGTTCTTTTGGAAGGTGAGGATGCGGTAGAGGAGCGGGGTTGTTAGGAGGTGCATGGAGAGTTCGTCCGCTGCACCGCGGATAGTCTACATGTAAGCCGTCTGGACACATTTGAGATAATGAGTGGTAAAATGGCGGAACATACACATCTGCGTGTGGTACTTCAGCGTCATGTGGTACCCCGCCGAGCAGACGCCCACGCCGATGAGTCCATAGTACGGGATGCAGCGGGACAGCGAGGCCTGGTTTCGTTTGGACAGCTGGGAGATCCCGTAGAGTCCGAACGCGCAGTAGATTAGACTGCTGAGGGTGTTGATGAACTCGGCCACGTAGCGGGTGATTACGTAGTCTTCTTCGCAGAAGCTGGGAGGCTTTTAGTATTTATACGGCTAATGAATGGAGGACGCACTTGAGGTATGAGGTCTGGGGGCCCCAGAAAGGCTCGATTGGGTTCATGGCGTTGGATTGGAGTGGCTGTGAGAGAGCGAAGGGAGGAGGAAGGAGGACGAGAGCGTGTGGATTGCGGAGACGCGCGGAAGGCGAACCCGCCCCACTGTGTTTCTCAAGTATACACTAGAGTGACTATACAGTGGCTGCAGGGTAGGTAAACAATGGATTGATCATTGTCGCATGGTGTAAGTTGGCTGTAAGGAGTTCATCCAGTGTCTCAATGCCATTGTTGCACAAGTCTCATAGTGAGTGGAGGGACAAAACCCCGCACACCAAAAAATATATAAACACCAGCAACTCCGCGCGTCAACACAACCCGCTGGAAAACTTAACCTATCCCCGATATATTTAACTCGTCGGCATCTCAATCGACGTTGTCGGAATGATGACTGCCGTCAACATGCGGTGATTGTCAGCATTGATCAGATGCCTCAAATCCGGCTCATTTGCCCCTTTATTGGCATGCGTGGCACAGCTCGCCCACTCACCTTGGCGCGGTCGCCGACAATTCGACACAAAACACCCCGTGTCAGGGTTAGGGCTTGAAGATTTCGCCGACCTGGCCCGCTGATTTCGTCCTGCAGATAAAGTTGATTTGCACAGCCTGATAATCCGCCATGTGCTCATCCGGAAGTTTGTTCAATAGGCCTGCTCACCAAGCTCGTCTGCTTATGGGCTAGAGACAGAGTCTATTCAGGAATCCCCCAACCGGTCAATTGGCCAGGACTCAGCGACGTATGCACGGTTCAGTGTGACGTGCATATGTAGGCTCTAGACGCAAGTCACCAGTTCAGATCTATACATATCGAATGGGAAACTGGAAATCTTGGGGGACGTCAGGCTGGTCCCATACAGGTCAGGCATTCTCATGGTCAACCTAACGCAGAGGAGCTACGGTGCATCCTCAACTACTTAAGACTCCTTTAACCACGGTTGTTCGCCGCGGATACCATCGGATCGTCGTGGATATCACGAAGGTAGCAAGACGACCCTACCAGGTGGCACAGAAGTCTTGACAGTAGCCGTATGACTTTCACTTCGATCTACAATCAGCTGCTGCGGGCCTCTAAGATTTCCGATAGGAGAGCCTTGGACTTCATATTGCTAGCGATACTTGCTCCTAAGCCCGTTTCGGTTCGTTGCCTGGAAGTAGATCCCCGGTGCCGTGAGCATCATCGTCACCACAACCTCAATACGTATACCGATAACTCGGATGTCTATCCCCCAGCACCTCAAACTGGTCCTCAAAGGTCCTCCCCTCCAAACCAAGCCGCGTAAGAAACTCCGAGCTCCTCACCTCCTTCTGCGCATTCAGCCACCGCAAAACACCCACTTGGGCAACCAATCCCACCAGCATCACCACAATCATCGCGAGATTCACCCTCGCACCCAGAATATAATACGGTGCCGAGCTTCTCGGATACAACCATGTACTCAACACACCGCCGGAACTAGTCGAGACAAACCCAATCGCGACCGCCGTCGCGCGGCGCACATGGCCTGCCGTGTTATTGGGCACCCAGGAGATGAGGCACGGGGCTGCGGCGTAGATACCCGTAACCAGCAGGATAAGCGCCGTGTATCGGATTGCAATACTGCGGCCGACGAGCATGAGTACGGCGCCGACCAAGGCGATGAGGGTTGTTGCGAAGGCGCAGAGCCCACGTTGGCGGTACCGGTCTGCGATGAACGCCGTGATCATCGTTACGACAAAGGCAACGGCGTAAGGGGGCACGGTCATAAGCTGGGTTCGGGTGTTGGAGTACCCCATGGCCTGTACGATTGACGGGGAGAAGTAGGCCAGTCCGAAGAGGCAGGTTCCGCTGCAGAAGAGGATGGCCGAGACGAGGATGACGTGGATGTCTTTGAAGACGGAGAAAACCTTCTTGGTGGTGACCTTGTCTGACTCGAAGAGGTTGGCGTCGGATTGGAGACGGCGGAGGCAGTGTTCTTTGTGACGCGGTGTGAAGGTCATGACGGTCTCGGGCGTATTTGGAAGCATGGCGAAGGAGAACAGGCCAAAGCAGACGGTGAAGAGGCCCTCCAGAATGAATATCCACTGCCACCCGCGAAGACCACGGATCCCGTCCATCTGCTGAATCGCTGCTGCCAAGAGGCCAGAAAATGCGCCGCTCAAAGAGGCGGCGGAGAAGAAGAGGGCGATTCGGACTTGAAGTTCGTTCCTCCGGTAGAATCCAGAGAGGTACAGGACTATGCCTGGGAAGAGGCCGCCCTCGCAAAGGCCGAGGAAGAAGCGACAGGCTACAAAGCCGCTGAAGTTGCGGGCTTCGCATTGCAGGATTGTGACGAGGCCCCAGGCCGTGCAGAGGGTTGGGAGTAGGATTCGAGGGCCGATTTTCTTTAGGATCAGGTTGGAAGGAAGCTCGGAGAGGATGTAGGGCACGTAGGTCACCGTGATTGCTATCCAATTAGATTGATCGCTTATGATGAAAGGGCTGTACATACCAACTTTGTACTGGTGGTCGCTGAGGTTAAGGTCGGTATCCAAGCCAGCCTTTCCAGTCAGCAACGTCTTTTTCGATGGCAGGAAAACCTACTACTCGAGCATTGCCGACATTTGCTCGGTCCAGCCAAGCCAGCAAGTACAGGATCAGCGTCATTGGCATCAAAACCAAGTCGAGTCTATTGAGGGTCTCTCGGTTGAGCTTGCGCTCAGCCTCTGTTGGGACATCCTCCACAAACAGGTCCTGAGGCTTTCCTGGATCACTGGCAGGCATTTCGAAGGTTGCTGTAATAGCTGTCAATACTGGGACCATCGCACACATTATAGAGAAGACACCGGCCTCTCCAGTGACCAGTCATCAAGCTGCCAAGCAGCTTCGAAGCCGATTTAAGATCCGATGCGGGGATACTTTCTTGGCCGTCATTGCAAGGATAGGCTGGTAGCCACTGCGGCAGTTGGAGCAGTTTGGAGTAGGCAAATGTCCACCAAGATGGGAAAACGTGCTCCTCCCCCACACAATCTTGGTGTAAATGCGGGGGGAGGGATATGGAGACTGTCCAGACTCAAGCATGTCTAGGACCTCGGCAAGAGCCTGCACTCGGCAGCTGGGGTTATCCGAACTGCGATCTTCCTCTTGGCTGCAGCATCTGGTCTCTTAAAGGATCTATCTCGGAGTTCCCCCGTGCTTCTAACCGAGATGTGCGCCTGGTCAATAATGACTTCAAGAACCAGTCACGATCCCCTGTTTATGTGACTGTCAGAGACAGTTCCCAGTTCTTGTGGCAATGACTGAAAACTGGCCAGCGAAACTCACGGGCGTCATTTCAGAAGGGAGTGATCTCTCGTTCGAAAGGATATCATAATGCCCTCGCCAAGTGAAACGTCAACCATCAATCACCACACGCATCCAGGAGATGTCGAGGCGCCTCCGAGCACATGCAAAGTGCATGGCCCTGAAATACGCAGGGGGCATTCTCAAGGTCCATCTTGCGATCTTCATCGGGATGCGAAGCTCTTCATGACGCGGGAACACGCGGCACTTCCAAAAAGGACAAGAACTCTCCAACCGTAAGTCCAGCTCTGTCCAAGGATATAGCGCCTTTTGCCATAGCCTTGTAAACGGGCTATCTGGCTCTGGTGAAGCTGGCAATCAGATTGAGCTGCGAGAACTGGCTGGTATTCGGATGCCCAGCAGGAATGCAAGGAGGGACTGCAAGGTCGGAATGAAGGGCGACAGTACTTTCTTGATCTCGACGACGAGAAAAGCCACTCAGAGAGACAAGGAGAATCCACTATCCGAAGCTCAAATCCCCAGCATCAAGAATGAATGCGGAACGAGGCAGAGTGCGAAGTCAGTAACACTGAACCGGGCCAAGAATTGGACGCAAAAGGATAGGGTGTAGAAAGACCACAGAAAGCCGTCATATACCTAAGCGAAGTTGGATGTGGCATTCGGGATTTTTGGTCATCGCCCTGGGCTCCTGGGGATTCTTGAGTGCACCTGGGCATGCTTTCCATGGCACCTTCAGTCCAATGATGCTTGTTGGTAAGCACGTGACTGCCTAATCTGGAACCTTCCGCCAGTCACGTGCAGTTCAGGAACGCCATGAGTCGGACCAGTCCACCAGGCTCGGCGTTGAGCTTGGCCAGGCACCGGTGCTCGATGCCGATTCCAGCTGATCGCTTAGCGCTCAGCTGCCAGATTGTTGATTTGTAGTTATCATGAAATATCAAAGTGACAAAGCTTCTCACGCGATGGCCCCCAAATTATTTATTAATTTCTAATCACCGCGTACCGCTGACAAACCCCTTGGGAATGCCCCATCGCTACGCTGTGATTGGCCACCTCGTGCGGAATTAACGATCCCACAGGCCGTTCCTGTCGTATAAATCCGCTGCCCCTCTGCCCCTCATCCGCTGCTTTTTACTACTCTCATCTACAAATCAATCAATCCAGCAAGCACAATGGGAAGCACAATGGTTGAGTTCAAGAACCCCGCTACCGCCACCCTCCTCGAGGCCGTCAAGACCCGCCGCACCATCTACGGCCTCAAGGCTGAGAGCCCCGTCTCCGACGACACCATCGAGGCCATTGTCCGCGATGCCGTCCTGCACGTGCCCAGCTCCTTCAACACCCAGACCTCCCGCGTCGTCCTGCTGCTGAAGGAGGAGCACCAGAAGGTGTGGGACATTGCGCTCGAGGCTATGGAGGGCCTTGTTGCTGCTGGTGCCCTGCCCAAGGAGGCGTACGAGTCTCACACCAAGCCTAAGCTCGAGGGGTTCCGTGCTGCTTATGGAACTGTACGTCTTTTGACCAGTCTAATCGGGTCATAGTATTGGTTGTTAATCGCGATGCAGGCTCTCTTTTTCGTCGACTACGACTCTCTCAAGGACATCAAGGAGAAGTTTGCGGCCTACGCCGACAAGTTCGATCCTTTTGCTCTTGAGTCCAACGCCATGTCTCAGTACCTTGGTAAGCCTGTTCTCAGGGTTCTTTGGGCTTTGTACTGACGTTTCTAGTCTGGACCGCCCTCGCCTCTGAAGGCTTCGGTGCCAACCTTCAGCACTACAGCCCCCTCATTGACGAGCAGATCACCAAGCAGTGGAACATTCCCGCCAGCTGGAAGCTCGATGCCCAGCTCGTCTTTGGCACTCCCACCTCTCGTCCCATGGAAAAGACCTTTGCTCCCATCGAGGACCGCTTCAAGGTCTTCGGCAAGTCCGCATAGATCACTTTAGCAACTAGCATCATGCATGTTGATGAGTTATGAAGCGTGCATATAGATATTCATTCAATTCAATCTTCATATTATGAAATCCAACAAACGCCTGTACGCCAGACACCTCAATCACAGTCTATATAAACGTGAAACAAGAAGCTCAACCTCCTATTTCCCCCCTAGAAGCTCCATATCCCCATCAATCCCCCTCCCAACCCTTCGAGCGCTCTTCACCAACCGCCCAGGATGCCAAACAACCCAAAGCCCCATAACAACCGCCATAAGCGTCCCGTCAAAAACATAGATATACACCTCGCGACTCCTCACATCCGCCCCATGCGGACTCCCAAACTCAATCGTCCGCACCAAGTTCCTAACCACCATACACCCGCAAACAACATACAAAACCCACATATACCGCCTCCACCCACTAACCCCCTCAGCCAACGAAACCGCCGTCGGAGCCGCCGAAAGCCGCCGGTGAAACGTGACAACAATCCAAATAAACCACCCAAACACAAACAACGTGAAGATCAACCCAGCCAGAACAGCCTTGTTGCCTATACTGATGATCTTCTGCTCACCCGTGACCTGGAGACCGGCACCCACAAGCTGGGTCAACAGGCAGACGATGTCGTTGAGCACGAACAGCACGGTTAGACGTTTTGGTCGAATAGGGGAGTGTTCCTCCGCGTTCAGCGCGCGGATCAGCCGCGAGAGAGTCATGTAGATGCTTGCTGAGAGGAGAGGGGGCGCGCAGAGCAGGAGCATCTGTTGCTGTGCCCAGGGGCCAATGCCTGTTCTGTCGTTGTGGGAGCGGGCGCGGCCGTGGTACCCGAATGTTTCGCCTAGCAAGGATCTTGTTAATTGCGGTACAGAGTTGGTGGAGGGGTAGGTAGGGACGTACAGACTCCGCCGAGCACAAAGGGGATGAAGTAGGCTGCTCGGTAGGGGATCATCAGGACGAGATGGATGAGCGTTGCGATGCCGAAGATGGCCATGAAGGCGTAGCCGGCTGTGAGGGAGGGGTTGTAGGGGTAGAACTCGACCCAGGGGTCTGAGCCGTTGACGCCCGGGTGGAAGGTGAAGTCCATTGTATGGTGGAAAGGTTGATGGTGGTGATAACAAGAAGATATGGATGGAAACAAGAAAGTTAGACGGAAGCAATGGCCAAAGACGTTTTAGAGACAGAGAGGATGTCAAACAGAATTCAGATGCCTCTGCTGACTCTTTTATAATTCCAGGGTCCATTGCGCGTTTCGACTGATTGCCGTTTCGGGTAATGCTGGAACGAATACGGGTGGGGCGGCAAGCGTCAAGATTTTTAGGGTGGGGGCACGTTATTTTTAGGGGCATTCATAGAACTGATCGACGGTTATCTACAATTTCTGAAGTGTAGATAGCCCGTGGACAAGCCTATTGGGTGATTTTGTAAAAGGCAGCAGTGTAACAGCTCCTTATGCCGGGGTTTTACCGTGGGTCCGTCCAATGCTTTGGATAAACAAGACTAGATTCTAATTTAGGTGCTTATATTACATCACTGCTCAGACGCTATGACTTCTTCAGGCCACTCGATCCAAGCATGATACGCCGGCGGCAGACAAGCCCTAATCCCCAGTATGATATGCTGGTCCCAGCCGCGCATAAACCAGACGTCGCCCATGTACCGGAGCAGAATAGCCCAGTGCGCCAGGATTACAAGCGCAACCGGCTCTCTCCCTTCTAATCTGTCGATCATCATCTCTGGAAGGCGGAATGTCCATCCCACTGTGAATGGCATCAAATCTTGGGGTACGATGCCGGCTTTTCGCTTTTGATATGCGCCATCGAAGCATCCGATTAGGTCATCGACCACTTGGACGTATAGGTCGCTGTCTGCTTGAATCTCAACACTCACCATGGCTTTGACTTCTTGGAGCCGGTGGATATGCCGCGACAGTTCAGTGTCGAGCTCAGGGTTGAGTATATCCATGTTCTGTTTCTCCTTTTCAGGTGCAAGCACGCCCGTGAAGATTTCAGGTTGCTTCTGACTGAGTATTGTGCGCACTCCGTGCAAAAGGACTAGCCACTCTGATTTTCCTTTGGCGTTGAAAACAAGGTACTCGCCGTCCCTTGGGCCGCGAGCAAAGTATGCAAAGCAGATCATGACCGCGGCGATATATATCTGTTGACAGTTCGTCGAGTCAAGCGTATCAAGAGCAAGGACCGATGTGACAGATCGCACTCCGAATGTGAAATGCTCGTCGGCTTCGTGGATGTACTCGGCTTGTTTGGCTGGGTTCAAGTGGGCAAGATGCAGAGCCGAGAGAGTGATGAGTAGGTGCATGATAGAGGGGAAGGAGAAGCCCCATCGCGGGACATGGATTTGCCAGACAGGGTATGCCTCCTCGGCTGCGAGGGTGCAGTATGTTGATGTGGTGAAGTGGTGGAAGAGGGACAGGTCCGGTAACGAAATCCCCTCTCCCGGACCCCCCTTAAAGTCTATGGTAGGCGACGAATCGCATTGAACTCCAATAGAACGCGAGTTAGAGCTGGCTTGCTCTGGTGCAGGCGAAGAGGTTTGGGACTGGTATTTGGATGGGCGGAATTTGAACCGCCGTGTTTGAGGTGGTGTTGAACCCTCGGAGGGTGAACTTGAAGCTGGGAATTGAAAGTCGCAGTCGATAGAGTGCTGGACGCAGTTTGAGCACATCGGTTTCTTCTCGTCGCACTGCCTCTATATCAGCCTAGCCTCTATGATGCTGGTTCGACGTGTTGTCGCCACCCTTTATTCGATTCACGAGGAGTCCGTACCTTAACGCGCCGCTTCTTGCAATTCCCGCATCCAAGGCGCGACTTGCGATGTGTGCGCCGTGATCGAATCTTCTGCTGGAGTTGTTCGCTGTCCATGATGCTGGAGGGTGTTGATGGAAAGTTTCGTATTCGTTACTTTTCTGCCGTTTTCGAAATGTGGCTGCCTGGGGCACTGATCGGCGTCACCTGATCCGCGCTTCTATTCTGGTTGGGGTCGCGCTACCAAACGGTTTCATGTATAACTTTTCGTATGGCCGCCCTCCGCTGAGGCCCGGCAAGAGTGCCTGCCAGAGATCTCATTGCCCTCCCCCTTTTGCCCTGTTCAACACTCAAGCCAACAATTTCTGAGCAGACGTTTACAATAGTCTGTTTGCGAATAAGGACACGTCTATGAGTCGCTTGCCATATTGATTCCAAAGGATCTGGGGATAAGCTTCCTGGTAGAACCCAAGGCGGCTGATCTCAAGTTACGCGCCGGCAGAGGCTTCACTTCATGGAAGGCATTCGGGATACACTGAGGATATTCGAATGATAGGGCCGTTTCTTCGTTGACATTGCGGGTATAAATGGAGCCTGATGTCTATATACAACATGAACAAGTCGGGCTTTATCGCCATGCAGTCCTCAAAAATGGAGCGATTCATGGCTACTCCAGCTCCCGCTGGATGTAGCACTCCAGGTTCGTCTCCCAGGCTTGAGAATGGTCGGATGTTCGGTAGAGGAACCAGCGGGCTCTGACTCGAGCGATATCCGCGGCTCCTGATAACTCGTCAAACTGCTCGGAAGCTCAACTGCGGACCAGTCCGTGATCTCTATCGTGATCTGATGCGGCGCGACAATCTGTGGTCCGTAGAAACGATCCTCCTCCTTCACTGGTGCCGCCGTCGTCGACGACCGAGCTCGCAGTTTAGTGGCTGCTGAATGCTGGGGAGCGGTCTTCACAATCTTGACTCGATCAACGGACGAGGTTCTCGTTATTGATCGCAGCATCGTTGAATGCAATATTTTCATGAGCCCGTATGTCTCCGGTGGCAACGTGACCTCTCCTCGAAGTAGTTGTCGCGCCGTGACTGCCTTCTGGTATATCTTTCGATTCGCATCTATTCTCTCGCCGATCGTCGCGCCTTCTAATGTTGAGCCTCCAAACACAGCTCGTGTTTTGCAATATGCAAATATATCCGCCACGTATTCATCCCCCGTCAGCTCCGCGCTGCGTCCGAATGGTCCGACCGCTATTGAGACATCGTGGCCGAGTGTGAAATTTTTGGACTGTGAGAATTTTTCCACGGCCGCGTCGCTATTGAGCACGTATACAAACTCTGTAAGCTCCATCCCAAACTGGCCCTTCGTCGCAAGTTTGCCGGTTGTGATCGCGGACGGGGCCGACCAGGTCCCATTGGCAAGGCGAGCGACTACAAGTCCGGAGCCGATTCGAAGGGAGCGCATCATGCCGACTTCAAAGACGCTGAAGATCGCAAGGCCCTATTGTCGTTAATCTCTGCTCGAGCCCCGCGATTCTGGTGGATGACTCTTACCTTGGCATTTTCCAGCACCTTGCGAGGAATGCGTTTGTCCACGCTCACTATCTCTGGATTGATAAACGAATCCAAAATCTTTTGAGCCTTGTTGCATTCGCCTGGAGAAATTAGCTCATCGACTCAACCAACGCGATGAGAGAAACTTACCGGCTAGCGATGGGGACGTAAACGACGATGACAAGGGATAATGCATCTTTCCCAGCATATCTTATGTGCGATCCTTGCAGTTTGAAAAGGAAACATACTGGAGAAAGATAAGAGTTTGAGCAACGTTCCCCTGCGTTTCCTTATTAATAGGAAGGTTACCTACCGCGCAACGTCCCAGCCTTGCGGCTTTGCAAGCGTTTTCGAGGCTATGCCAGCTGTGGATATGGTAATCAGGCAAACCAACACTCAGCTGTGCGCTTATTCGTGCTCGCGCCTCGTACAAATCTCCGAGGATCCTGCGACGAATAGCAACAGTGGCTGAGCCCCTCCATGCCGTGGCAGTGGGAATGGGATTGGGGGCCGATCTCTCGCCTCAGCCGCAATGCAAGCCTTGCTGCCTGATCAGTCCAGCCTCTCAGCCTCTCAGCCTTCACCTTTCGGAACTTATTACACGAGATTCGATCCGACTGGAGTAAGGCAGATTCGGTTCCGCTAGCGCCGTTGGTTTTCTCGAACTTCCGTAGGGCTGGAATGTCCGCTGGCTTCTCCACGCGCAGTTTGTCGTCATCTGTCTCTCTCATGCTAGGGCTGAGATTCAACACCGGTCGAATCATCCCACGCAATAAAGCGTGGACCCTTCAGCGCTGCTGGAAATGAGTCGCTTTGGCCAAGGACCTCCATCTAGCTCAAAATGCGAGACGGATGATTACTTCTACAGTGATAACTGCCTTGAATCTTGCCAACATAACCAGTGTATGCGTCCCACTTTAAGGCTGTGCCCAAAGCGAGGAGCACAGCGCCTAAATAATCCAACAGCGCTCCGCTGAACCGGACGAGCTCCGATCACGGAGATGTGTGAATCAAATGCGTGTCTTTTTCAAAAGCAGTTTGTCTGCGACCGCCGACAGCTATACTCCAGGCCCGGAAAGGATTCTTACATGCTTGTGAAGATAAGCTCAGTCGTTGGAAACTAGTTCTGTCACTGTCGCTAGCAAGCTGACCATGACAACCAAGATTGGTCCATCCGCGGCAGAAGTCTTTGCTCAGGCGTACCGATTGTAACTTTATCTGCCGGAGAGCCTAGTGCTCTGGGCGGGGAATTAAGTCGTTGGATCTGCGTTGTCAGCTCGATCGAGTCAGTTCCCCATATACAACTCAACATACGATCTCGGGAGCAACCATCCCGGAGTCAATTTGACAAATCGAAGCTCTTCTTTCCTCGGCTATGGCATTTCAAACAAGCGACTCATTCGATGCGACTAGGTATGGGCAATCGCAAACACCTGAGAGGCTCCTTCCCCGCGATCGTGGCCTTCTTTCCTCGGTCCGCGCGCTGATCCCCGAGCACATGAAAACAACAACGGAAAGACAGGGATATTCTTCCTATCACTGGCCAATATGGTGATACAAGAGAAGCTCGCTCGTCGCCTGATGTCATTGACGCGCATTCATATAAGGCCTCACAATTCAGCTACCCCATATGCACTTTCACTGCAGTAAACCGACAACCAACCATGGACCAAAGGCTACTACAAGCGTCAATGAGCCTCAAGCAGATCCCGATCCGGACTCTGCTTATGGAGTTTTGGAGTGACATTCGAAAACGCAAGGGTCTATTGGCTGCTGTTCTTGCCGCATACTTTCTCCTCCAACGATCTCTGCGTTACCAAAGACTCCAGCGCCTGCAGAAAGTATACCGCAAGTACACAACGCGGGAAGAGATGGCCTCGATGACGGACCATGACGCATGGGAAATCCAAAAAGGGATGCTGGTGATGGAGTTCCCATCGGCCTCGCTCAAGGCATTGCAATTCGCTTTGTTTAGGGTAGGGTACTTGCACTCCCTTGTAGCAAGATAGCATGCTCTAACCTGAACAGACCTACGGCATTCCTACAATATCCACCCTCCTCCTCAAAACTTCCCAATTTTCGAACCCAGCGACGTCCTTCAAGCGGTACGCCGATACAGGTGCCCTAATCGGTCAGTTCATGGCATTCAAGCCGTCGTCCGAACGTGCGCAGACAGCTATAGCACGCACCAAGTTCCTGCATGTTGGGTACCGGAGCAGCGGAAAGATCCTTGAAGCTGACATGCTCTATACTCTGAGCTTATTTGCGCTCGAGCCAATCCGTTTTATTGCCATGTTTGAGTGGCGGTCGCTTAGTGAACTTGAACAATGTGCCATCGGCACATACTGGAAGAGTCTTGGTGACGCTCTTGAAATCAGCTTTGCGGATCTGCCGTCAGGACCGCATGGATTCCGCGACGGGCTGCATTTTCTGGAGGAGCTGCGGGCGTGGAGTCTCAAGTATGAGGAAAGCTTTATGAAGCCGAGCCCGTCGAATAAAGAGGTTGCGGACAAGACAATGGACGTACTTGTTTATACCCTGCCGCAGTTCTTGAAGCCGGTGGGCATCAACTTTGCGTCTTGCATGATGGATGACCGATTGCGACAGGCGATGATGTATGAACTTCTCCGCTACAATCATGAAGTGTACTGATAAAACAGGTATCAACCGCCTTCCGCCGTGTACAAAACGATTTTCTCCTCCCTGGTGGCCATTCGCAAGTTCTACTTGCGCTACCTTGCTCTTCCCCGACCGAACTTTCAAGGAATCGACATCTTCACCGACGAGCCAAACGAGTATGGGCGGTACTACGTGAACGTCTACGAGGCGATTCCATACTATGTGAAGCCAACGGTTTGGAACCGCTGGGGTCCTGGTGCATGGGTTAGCTGGGCGATGGGGATGCCGCTCCCAGGCGACGAGGACGACAAATACTATCCTCGAGGTTTCGAACTGGAAGACCTAGGCCCAAAGTACTTCGAAGGCAAAGGCCGCAAATCAGTAGCCAAGATTCGCGAGCTGCTGAAGAAGGAGCGACGGGGGCAAGCGCCCTTTGTCCCTGAGCTGCCCAGCGTGGAGGACGCGAAGTATGAGGTTGTTAACCCTGACCTTTATGAGGCGTAGCCAGGTAAAATTGCGCGGTCCGACATTGTCACCTGTGGTAATAGAGGTAGTGTTTGTGGTCAGTGTGTCGTCATGACATGAGCAAATCCATGGTTCGGCGGCCGACCAACCTTGAAGTCATACAATGTTCGCTCCCACTTCAAGTTCATTCATTTTGAGACCAATTCTTTTATAACACTCAAGATGTCCAGAAGGAACCCCAATGACTTGGATGCCTGGATACTAGGCAGCGGCATTGCCTCCCTGACAGCTGCCGTGCATCTAATCCAAGAAGCCCACGTCCCCCCTTCACGCATCCATATCATCGAGACTCTCAACGTCGCCGGCGGCACAACAGCTAGCCTCGGCGATACAGAAAACGGCTATGACTTTCGCGCGGGAATGCGCCCGCAGTTCAATGACCTATGCATGGGAAATCTACTATCCTTGGTGCCATCGCTTTCAGATCCGGACCGTAACGTGCGCGACGAGATATTGGAATTTGCGAAAACACTCGATATCAAGCCCGCCCTTGAACAGACGCGGTTTTTATCGAGAAAGGGCAACAAGGTGAATGCTGTGAAGGGGAAGAAGATGGCACTCGGCGTCCGCGATCGTATCGACCTGGTCATACTTGCGTCCAAGTCGGAGAAGGCCCTGGGCAGATCGAGGATATGCGATTTCTTTTCCAAAGGTTTCTTTCGCAGTGGTTACTGGCTGAGCCTTGCTACGACGTACGTCTCCCTCCACCCCAGTAGAAGGAAGATTAACCAACAGACAAATGGATAGGTTCGGCCTGAAGCCCTCACACTCCGCGTCCGAGTTCCGACGATACCTGCACCGCTTCAACAACCTTCACGACCTGTCAGACCCGCATCTACTAGACCTTGGAAAATACAACGTTCACGAGTCCATCATCGTCCCCATTGCGCGTTTTCTGCTGAGCCGGGGCGTAGACTTCCGTTTCAGCACAACGATCTGCGACATTCTCTTCGCGCACGATAACCCAGCAGACCCAAACGAGCCCACTCGAGTCACAGCAATCCAGACCTCCCCGGCAATAGAAGGCAAACCTCGGTCCTCAATCTGTTCAAAGGACGAAGTAACCATCAACTTGAACCCGGACGACATCGTAATCGTCTCTCTGGGCTCAATATTCTCCTCTATGCTCACGGGAACAAATGCGCAACCACCGCCAGTTTTTGACCCGTCCTCGCTCTCGCTCTCCCTGGACCCAGAAACAGAACCCAACACCGAATCCCAGCGCGACTCAGGCATTGAGATCTCCCCCGAGCTCGATGAGAATTGGCTCCTATGGCTGGAACTTTGCACGAAACACCGCAAGTTTGGGAACGCGTATAACTTCTGCACGAGATTACATGCCTCGCGCATTGAATCGTTTACGATGACACTTTCTTCGACCGAGCTGTTTGAGAAGCTAGCTGAAGTTTCGAATACGAGACCCCTGCCTGGCCCTAACACGATCCTGACGCTGTCGGACTCGACGTGGCTCGTGACGCTCCGAGTCCCTACACAACCCGTATTCAAGGACCAGCCTGATGGAATCCAGGTCGCGTATGGGTATGCCATGGCCCCCGAAAAGAACGGAACATACATTGCAAAGCCGATGCTTCACTGCTCCGGCCGAGAAATCCTATCTGAGGTCCTGGCGCATCTGAACATCCCACCGGAGAACCCCTCGCACGAGCGCATACTTAACAGCGCGATCACAATCCCGTGCATCCAGCCCCGCGCCACAGCGACGTTCCTGCCAAGGCATCCGACCGATCGACCCGCTGTCATTCCACAGGGGATGAGCAATATGGCATGCATCGGGGCGTTTGTGGAGATCGGCGATGAGGTTGTTGTCACGGCGGATTATAGTGTGCGCGGGGCGCAGATTGCGGTTAGGGAGTTGATGGGTGTTGGGAAGGGGGCTGAGGGGAGTGCCAGGAGAAGGAGTAAGAGGGGATCTGCGGTGGGATTGTTGGGGTTGTGAGCTCGTTTACCTTGGGAGTAGACAGGATCTGATGTTGGCTTTGGGCTTGGGGTTCACGTATCAATACTGCATCATCACACGATAGCATGTAGAAAAGCTTCGCCTGACCCCGCTCCCAACTCACTAGTGTAGTGATGAGGTCACGGCCTAATGGACATGATCAATTGGACTGTTCCAATCCCCTTCAGGTGCGTTCCCAGTGTGCTCGACCACTTGATGGCTTGATTGTAGGCGGCTGAACTTCGGGGAAATTCAGTAATAGCGTGGATCCGGGGTAGATTTCTCCCTAGCTTGCTCATTGGCGGGGACGCGATGATTGGACAGGTGGAGCGCTGCCTCTTGTACCTAATAAGGCAGGTGAAGCAGTCCACCTGCACTGCTGCACCTGCATCGAGCCTGGGCGGAGGGGCACTCGCCTCTGGGCGACGAGACGGGCCGCAGCTCCGAAGTTGACATTGAAAAGCAGCAGAGCAGCCAGCCTAATCAACAACAACACAACCACCGTCCATTCCCTCAGCAAGACTCCGAAGAACACCCGCCATGGCGAACTCTGCATACACCCGGTTTGAATGGAGACGTACCGAACCCGGTCGCTGGGAGAGGGATATCGACGAGGTGGAGGAATTCTACACTGCTTTGGCGAAGGCCTATGAAGGAACAGGACGGGTCTTCTTTGCAATGACTGGGTTCATTACCTTTTCCATCCCGGTACCACCAGGCACCTCATTTCCGGACGCCGAGAAAGCGGTTGAGATCGCGCTGAGGAATGCCTGGATTCGTCTTCGGTATAACCACCCAACCATTGGCTCCAGGGTCCAATACGACCCAGTCGAGAAGAAATACAAAAAGGTCTACGAGACCTTCTCGAACAGCGCATCTCTGCGCCAATGGGCTGACGAAACTGTCCGGGTTGTACCAGAGCGCATGTCGGGTCTTGACTGGTGCAACGCGGACCCTCCAGTGCCTGCTCTCCCAACGCTGTTTCTTGTCAAGGCGCCGACCACCAGCGACCAGACCTTCCGCGCTGATCTTGTCCTCCGCTCGCATCATGACATCATCGACGGCATGGGCACCTTGCTTCTTTTCGATAACCTTTTTGCTGCGGCCGCGGAGGCGTATGAGCAGCCTGGCCGCGCATTACCGGAATTTGGAGATGAGTGGATGAATCTCAGCCCGCCCTTACGTGTGGCAGCCGATATCCCAGCAGCCATGACCCCAGAGCGCAAAGAGCATATGCGTGAGTTCCTCGAGCACAACGCCCAGTTGAAGAAGGGCGTTGAGATAGCCAGTATTCCATTCCAACAGCACATTGTTATTCCCGGAAAGCATCAACGTGTTGCAATTAGAGTCCCCGCAGATACAACGGCAAAGGTGTTGGAGAGATGCCGGAGCCTTGGGCTGAGCATTACACATGCATACCATGCCGCAATTGCGATGGCAGCTGGGGACCTCCAGGACCGCAGAGAAACAGAGCGCACAGTGAGATATATCAACTACTCCCTGATCAACGAGCGCCACCACTGCAAGCCCCCCTACAGCACATCGGCTCACCCAGCCTCTGTGTACCACTCTGTCTCTGGAAAGTCCCTCGCCATTGACCTCACTGTCCCTGCCATTGGAGCTCCCAACAGAACCATCATTGACCAGGAGACATTTCTTCGCGTTGCTGAGCATGTCCGTGACTATTATGTTGACATCCGTGACAACGAGGAGCACATCAAGCTCGTCTCAGCCTACTGGGCAATAGGCACATTGCCTTACCCGGATAGTGAGACTCCCGCAATCCCGCCGCGCAATGAGACGCCGTCAGTGTCTATTTCAAGTATGGGTGTGCTCGACAAGGTCATCCGGCACAGGTATGGAGATTTCAGTGTCGACCATCCCTGGGTTACTGGAGAGGAGCTCGGGACAGGACTCGGGGTGTTTTTGGACACCTGGAAAGGGATATTGACTCTTAGCTCAGCGTACAATGACGCTTGGCATGGAAAGGAAGAGGTGTTGGATGTGTTGAATTGGTGCAATGATACCGTGGTTCGAGGGCTGGGAATCTGACAGAGCTGTTCCCAGTCCCCAAATGTCAACGTCGGCCTCCGGAGGTGTCGTAGTTTATCTGATGTTCTTGGCGTTTCAGAGAGATTGAGGTTCCCACAGGAAGACTTCCATTCTCGTCCATCTTGGCGGGAGTTCACGGGGTCTTCATTCAGGGCTTGGTTAGTGCTTGTCAGCTGCGGCGCTGGAATTGGTCCCCCTTTCCTGACGATGTTATTAATAGAGGTGTTTGTCTCCCCGTTTCTCCGCACTGCCAGGGGTCGTTTCTTGTTTTGCCGATTGTTCCGGTCTTCGTAAAGGCGTATAGTCCGCTTACCTAACGCGGATAATATATTCGAAGGGACTCGTTGTTGCATACTTCAATATTAACTCTTGGCTGGCAGGTGTCGAGCTGTCAATGCGCGGAAACGTGGTGTAGGGCCCAGGTATAAAGAGCACCCGTTCGTCTCAGGTATTGCCGATCAGACACAGAGTGCGAACCCTGATCGTCGCAAACCAGAAAAATGAAGAAAGCCGTCTTGACCTCGCTCTTTGCACTTCTCCTTCGCTCGGCCAGCGCCCAGGTCGTGGGTACGCCCACTGGCTTTGCCGCTGGAACCACTGGCGGAGGTAACGCGACGCCTCAGACTCCCTCCAGCCTTGATCAGTATGTCCCCTTCTTTCCTCTAGCGACTCGAGCTGACGTAGCAGACTTGTCGAATGGATCACCGACGACACCGCCCGTGTCATTCTCATCGACCGCGAATGGAGCTTCGTCGGCACCGAGGGCACGACATCCGGCCAGTGCTGCAGCAAGAGCACAACGACCTGCGCTGGCGGCACCAGCGCCGGCCAGGCCTGGATTGTCGACTCCTGCGACGACGGGACTTGGGTCAGCTGCACCTATGACAACGCCGGCCAGTCGCCTCTCGACGTCGGCAGCAACAAGAGTATCGTCGGTGTCGGCAGCGCCGGCGTCATCCGCGGCAAGGGCCTGCGCATCCGCGGCGGCGCCAGCAACGTCATCATCCAGAACGTCCACCTCACCGATACAAACCCTGAGTACGTGTGGGGAGGAGACCTCCTCACCCTCGACGACTGCGACAGGGTCTGGATCGACCACAACAAGTTCTCGCTTGCCGGTCGCCAATTCATCGTGTCTGGCTGGGGCGCCGCTGGCCACGTTACCATCTCGAACAACGAATTCGACGGCGTGACTGACTGGTCCTCCGGATGCAATGGGAAGCACTACTGGACTCTGCTGCTCATCGGCGAAGAGGACTGGTACACCTTCCAGGGTAACTGGCTCCACGATGTTTCCGGCCGCGCACCTCACCTGGGAACCTCCAACACCGACAGCCGCATTTTCTTCCACGGGGTGAACAACTATTTCCAGGACGTTGGCGGCCATGCCTTTGACATTGACACCAACACCTGGGTTTTGCTCGAGGGCAACTACTTTGACTCGGTGACGACCCCTGTTACCGATACCACGTTGTCTAGCGGCGCACTGGTGTACAATGTGCCAACCGTCGACTCCGCCAGTGCTTGCATTGCTGACCTTGGGTACATCTGTGAATGGAACCGCCAGTCTAATTCTGGCAACTGGCCCTCGCTGACGGATCAGGAGGTCTTGACTCAGTTTGCGCAGTACACGGACAGCTTGGTTGACGCTTATGGCGTTGCGGATGTGCCTTCCACTGTTGTTGCCAACGCTGGTGTTGGTAAGATTTAGTGTATCATAATCTCTCTGTACCTTGAGTTAGCATAATCATAGCGATATTGATTCACAACTGCCATTCCGAAATATTTAAATGGGTCGCAGTCCCTTTGACCAGTCTAACAGTCAGCGCAGTGCGGTATAAAGTAGAACAAGGATTCCCGGGGCCTTCTCTCCAAACTGTTGCGAAGGCTCGGTATCACTGAGCGGTGGAATTTAAGTTAAAAAGACCACTTCCGAGTCCCGCTCACCTGAGCCTGCAACGAGGCTTGACGGTCGATACCCTGGACTCAAATACCCCCTTATGCGAAGTTTGGAATAAACCGAGTAACTGCAATGCGTAAATGCGCCTACATTCGCGAAGGATGTTCAGGTGCGACAATGAAGGCCGTAATCGAGTAAACATTCATAGACATTGATCGTTCTCCGTACATGCCAGCGAGTCTGGCGGTAACCAATTTGATACCATTGTAAAATCACGCGTAGTTTGCCCGACTGGCCTTGCGGCGCATCCACGCCCGATACGCAACGAGCATTGCGATCCCCATAGCGACGATGAACACGATGACGAAAACTAGGACGGGGCCGCGGTTCCTGTTGGCCCAGTTCCTCCGTTCGAGGAATTGCTTTTGCGTTGCGATGGCGAGCGAATCAAGGGCAGGCATTTCTAACTTGGTTAACGCAGGACATGTAGTCATTTGAAGGGCTCCGTACTGGTTATTTGCACAACTGCGGATCGTCTATCTCTGCCTCTGTATCACGAGGGTTTGAGTAACATGAATCGCTTGACGAGGACCACGGAGTATGTATGGCTGAGCGAACCTCGCAATGACTGGACTGCGAGATGCAGGACTGAGGGAGGAATGAGGGTAGGCGACATCTTCACAGGCTGCGGCGGGCATGACGTCGTGTAAAGTCAATTGTATGCAACCCTGGGCTTGCGACGAAGTTTATATTGAAAACCCTCCGGGCGAGAGTTCCGTGACCGGTTGGCCTTTGCCACCATATTCATATTCTCAATGATGATGGGGTTTCGCGTTGAGTCGATAACGCGCTGTTGACTCGACTGATGTTGATCGCCAGTAGGTACAGCAGCTCTTAGCGTCACAACAGATCCATTCCAGCGTCAACTAGACGCGAGGTGCCGAGTGTCACGTAACGCAGCAGACCTGGTACAGGGTGGTGGTTCGAGCATCGGAAATGATTTCCATCTTAAAAATGCGAGGACTGATCGTTGACGAAAAGTCTCCAGGGAGCGGGACCGTGGACGGTGACCGCAACACAAAAGGCCGATCGGCATCACGAGTCTTGGCAAAAGTCACGCTTTCCCTCCAGGATTCGAATCCCGTGCCCGCCAACCGCCCGCTCCTCTTTTTCCTCCTCCCAACATCGTCTCCCATATGTCGTCCCTTCAACACACCGTGTCACCGGTCATGAATCACCTCTGAGTGCCGAGTCAGCCTCCCGCTTCAAACGCTTGGATCCTGAAGCCATACCTTAAATTGCAACCTCTGCGGCTCGGCCTCGTATTTCGGCGGTGCACCGCCAATCAACGGGCCTGCCAATGCTCTTGATCTGCAATGTCACCCACTGCGTTTAATGCCCGGGAAGGGGCTGGACAAGGGCCTGGGCCATGATTTGACGAAGGCTCTGCCGCTCTAGGGATGCGATTCCTTCTCCCACAATGGCATTGGCATGGAATCGACGATGCCTTGCTACAAAAGGAATCGCTCCTAGGGGTTGAAACATGCGTCTCCATGGGGGGACGTGTCTCAGCCTCAGGTCGTTCTCATCTCGCCCACAAATCCCCAGCGTCCCCGAGTCCCCGTATAACGCGACTCGTACGAGGTTCTGCCTCAGCTCAAAAAGCTTGCCAAAATACGAACAATGGCTCGTTTCCCGATTCCAGCCCTCTGGCCGACGTATCTGGCGTCGCCTCTAGTCTTCCCCAGAGCTTCTGCCTGGACCCTCCTGTGGCGAAACGAGACCACCCGCTCTTCAGTCGAAGACGGCCAATCTGCTCAAAACTGCACACCAATCTGGCATCAAAAGAATGAAGAATTCTCATGGGACCCAGAGGGTCCATGGTGTCTCAAATTCTACTCAGACAATACTTGCGAGGACAGCAACGGAATAACATGCGAGGGCTACAAGTGGAAGCAACCAGCGTCGCAAAACATCTCCGCGTTTTCGGTCTACCCTATGCCACCCGCGTCTGTGACTGCGTTTGGATTTGCCTCGAGCACCGCTGTTCCCAGCACAACTGCAACCACGACACCTTCGTCCACTAACACAGGCGCCGAGGAAGCAGAAGTAACGGAAGAGCTCTCCAGCGACGGCAGCAGCCTCTCTGGCGGTGCCATTGCCGGTATCGTCGTCGGCGTCGTTGTGGCTGTCGCTTTCCTCTGCGCAGCATGTTTCTATCTCGGCCGTCGTACCGGAAGGAAAGCCGCAACCGCGGCCGCGGCAGCGACTGCCAACATCGCACCACGATCAGACTCGCCACCACCCGCTCCCTTAGACGCGAACACGAACCCATCCTCGCCACCTTCTGAAGATGCCAGCTCGAGTCCGACATTGGCGGTTCCGGGTCAGACGATTGCCGAGCTACCAAAACCGCCTATGGTCGAGATTGAGTACGTCCCGCCGTCAGGCGACCACCAACCTCCGAATGGAACGCGGATGATTGAGCTACCGGGACCGAATCCCGAGGTCGAACTCAGCAACACTCGGCAGGTACAGGAGATGGGTGTCACACGGCAAATACAAGAGCTCGAAGGACACTCGATGGAGAGGCGAGTCGAATGATGATACTTGGCTTTCTGTCACGAACACCCAGTGTTTATTTTTCGCTTCGCTGCTTGGTTGAGATAGGACAGGAATGCTCCGCTCGCTTCTGCATTCATGATCGCCTTGGATATTTGAAGCATCTCTCTACAAATATATACCCGATTTCATTATTTCGCGACCAACTTCCTGCGCGCAGTAGTTCACTTCGAGTCCCCTATGTGAACTGAGCATGCAGAATGCGAAGCCATGAAAACTGCTAGAATTGTTGGTTGAAAGCTCGCCGCAATTAAGAGGACCCCTGTATTTAGACTCCTCTTAAGAAAGGGTAGTAGAAATGAGCGGGTGACTCACGCAAAATACAATACATTTTCGACTACCTCGTAGCTGAATGCTATCAACGCCACATTTCAGATTATCATTACTTTGGTAATAGAACTTTGCCTCCCAATAAGCACAACTAAACCAAGGAGCCTTAAACATCACAACCGGCACCAAAACGAAAGGGTATCAAGAGAGAAATCATTGAGGCGCCTGCTGTCCCGGCTGAACTCGCTGCGGGTGCACCACCACATGGCCACTCCCGTGGTACGTAGCAAGCAGGTGGCCGCACCTCCCACAGTGATGGTCGACGTTCTTAAAAGCCGCAACGAAGTAGGGTATGCAGCCGATGCAAGCGCAGCAGCAAAGCACGGCCGCCCAACCACTGCACAGCGTTAGATGTATGCTGTCTTCAAGAAACTGCAAAGATGGGAAACGTACTGTGTTGATTTCCCGTTCACCGCCTCTGTCCGGGTCATCTCTCGCTGGCCGCATACAGGGCAGTCGACGACCTGGGGCGTCCGTTGCAGCGCGTGCAGAGGGAACGCTGTCGGGTATTGACTTGGCTGCGGTAGCTGCGGTGTCGGATTGTAGGCTTGAGGCGGGTACATGTGAGGGTTGGGATTTGATGGATTGAGTGTGGGTTTTGTTTCTCCTGCTGGGTAGCTTGTTCCATATTCCTGAGCCGGGTGTGTTTGAAGCTGGATCTCGGGCGCCGGGTTGGTAGGGGCTCGAGGTGGCTGTGTGCCCTGTTGCGCGGCGGGAGCTGGCTCCGTTGGGGGTCCGTAGCTGGGGGGCGCTTGGCCCTGAGTCTCTGGCGCTGAAGGTTGGGGTTAGTTTGGATCTGCCAGATTCGATGACCCGGAATGGATGAGTACGTACTGTAGCTTGCTTTTTCCAACATCTTGGAGATAGAAGTTTGAAGCCTTGGAATCGCGGGAAATGGCGAAAAGTGGAAAAGCAGAGAGGTTGAAGACTGGAAGCGAGAGAAATCAAAAAGTCCCTTTGGCTTACATCTGCCAATCTTATATGGTTCAGCATCCTTTGACATGCGACCGAAATAGTCCAAGCTGCGCCCAGCCCCGCCACCGATACGAGGCAACAGGGATTCTCATAGGATAACAGGAGCGGCTCCGCCACCCAAGTTCAGATTCCTCAGACTGGTCTCCCTAACCTAGGCGCATTGTTTGGTCCGCGATTCAGCCTCGCTATATGGTTTGGCGTTGGTTCCGCCGGAGTGAGCTATCTTAGCCGACCCACTTGGACAATTGCGGAGGTCTGGGACATTGGACCCCTATCGGAGGACCGTTGTGCGTGTATCTCGCTATGCCGGTTTGCCTTGATGATGTCCATCGTGCGAGTATTCCGTGGAATTTTCGGATGGCTTGTGACTGGGAAGTGAAAACGCGACAAAGTTGGCGAGTACGAGGAGGCGAGTCGATGGCGATGCCCAGGGCTGGGCGTCTAAGAACACGAGCAGCGGCGAACGATAGGCCAGCTTGTCATGGCAGTGCACGAGGATCGTCATTCGGCTTCCGAGCTCTTGTGTCAGACTGCATGATTGAGGTCAATTACTCGCAGAGTCGTAGTAATGGGTTCCCTGATGATTGATGAGGTTTCTTGAGAGCCCGAGGGGAAGGAGGGGAAATATAGACGCTGCCTCAGGCACCAGGCCGCTTTTAGCTTAGCGCCAGGCACCACTCCTTCCTCTTCTCTTTCGTTCCAACCACTCTCCCAACATCATCACCAACCAACCATGAACCGAGTCGCCTTTCTCTGCTGAGCGATTTCTTTCGCTATATGCCGCTACGGGTGGTCTCTTTGATCTACCACGGTTCAGTTAGCCGGGACAGCGAAGCTTGCCTAAACGAAACTTGTTCAAGGAGATTCATGAGGTACTACTGCGATTATCACTGATTCTGCCGGTAATGATGCATCTCCACGCTGAATTTCGCTCCACGCCGGTGGCTTCAGCGTCAACCACGGAGATACCGGTAAGCTCCTGCCCACAACTAGCTAGCAGCCACAAGCTGAAGTAGCAGATGTGTCATGGCTTGTACCCCGGTCACTCCCTGGATGTTTACCCCTGGGGAGAGAATGAAGAGACCGGTATACCTACAAAAGGGACTACCATACTCCCCTCTAGATCAACAGTCTGCCACGCATTCCTCCGTGCTGCCAGAGTCTCAGGATGCAGCAAGCTGATTTCTACCATCTCCTCCAATCCGCCTTCGTGGTCTTCCCTTGCTTTTTCCTTTTCGGTTACAACCAAGTCGTAGTAGGAGCACTGGTGTCTTTTGATGCTTTCACAGACTTGTTCCCTCAGCTGGATACCGTCCATGCCAATGGCTCTTTGAAGTCATACCGCTCTGTCATTCAAGGGGTATATGTGTCATCCTTCACCCTTGGATGCGCCGCGGGGTCCGTTTTCTGCTCTTTCGTCGGCGACAGACTGGGGCGACGGAAGACAATAGTCGTTGGCTCCATCCTCACGCTGCTCGGCGGAGCACTTTCCTGCTCTTCGTCCCAACTGCCACAGTTGTTTACTGGGCGGGTGATAACAGGCATGGGTGTCGGCATATTCTCGACAATGGTTCCTGTCTGGCAGTCGGAATGCTCACCGGCCACGAACAGCGGCCGACGAGTGGTAATTGATGGGATATTCATATTGTCTGGTTACGCCGTGAGTTACTGGATCAACTTTGGCTTCTCTCGTATTCAGAAGCACGATGTGGCGTGGAGAGTCCCCCTTGCCATTCCAGGGGTGTTTTCTATCGTCCTAGGCACCGCAATATTTTTCTTCCCCGAATCGCCTCGCTGGCTGGTTGCCACAGGCCGCATTGATGAAGCAACTGCGGAGCTAGCTAGGCTCAGAAGAGTCCAAGGAGATGCCGGCCTCGACGAAATCACGCGCGAATTTACCGCAATCGGAGTTTCTCTAGAGACCACCGAATCAAAGGCCTCCTCGTTCAGAGACATTCTCACCATGAAAGATGGAAAGTTGTTATATCGTTGTATGCTATGCGTTGGTCTGCAGTTTTGGTGTCAGATGACCGGAGCGCAGGTAATCACCACATACTCAACTACCATCTTCCAGCAGAACCTGAATCTCTCCGACGGTATCACTCGGATTCTCGCCGCCAGTGCTTTGACCTGGAAGTTCCTTGCGTCTTTTGTATCCTTGTTTACGATTGATCTGTTTGGACGCAGGAAACTCTTTCTCATTTGTGGTGTTGGGATTACGCTATGCATGACATGTATTGCCATCACAGCCAGCTTCGGAAGCAACAACCGCGGCGCTTCAATGGCAAGCACTTTCTTCGTCTTCCTCTTCAATTCCTTCTTTCCGGTCGGCTTCTTGGGGCCAAGCTCTCTGTACTGCACAGAGGTGTCGTCCAGCAGAGTTCTCGTGCCTATGACCTCCATATCGACTGCTAACCATTGGCTATGGTATGGTTCTGCCCTTGTTGCTGACATTACATTGCCTGCTAATTATTCCTCATATAGGAGCTTCCTCGTGCAAATGGTTACACCTTTCGCTCTGTCGAGCATTGGATACAGGTACTGCCTCGTGTATGCAGTCATCGGCCTCAAATATGTTGTCTGTGTCTATATCTTCTACCCCGAGACAATAGGTCAGAGCTTGAAGAAGCTCGAAGATCTGTTCCAGCAGGATCTATCCATTCGTCAAACGGTGAGCGTCGCTAATAAACTGGCCGGGTTGCACCCGGATGAAGAAGCTGCCGAGGAGAATGTCAAAGGAGAGGCGGAGGTGGTGGAAAAGGCATAGTGATACTTTCACATGGCTATCGAACTGTGAACCGCGTAGTCGCGAGATTTGGAGGTCATGGTGAATATTTGGCTTCGTGGTGCTTAGAAAGATGCAATGGTTGGAGCAGGAAGTACTCCGAGTAGCCGAACTGGCCGGCAATTTACTTGCAAAATCGTATAGGCGTCACAACAAGTCCGTTATGAACCTGTCTCCTTTGTAATGGATACGCTAACGGGGTACAGTATGGCTCTTTGCTCTTGGCAACGAAGAACGACGGCGTGATTGACTGCGTACCCTACTGTGGACGTTGACAAGGATGTCAAGTCTCCCATCTAACCAGCATCCATACCCCTTCAATTTGCGATTCGAGTCCTAATCGTGGTCGGATGATGACTTATCCTCATCTGCAAGTACATCGACGTTGCCCATACGCATCTGAGCTACATCATATGCACTCCCGGTGCCGCTAGCTTTGCCTGTTCAGTTCCTGGGTACGCTTCTTCAGCAGCTTAATTCAAACACATGACAACATGAGTTTGCTTTTGTACCGGCATAGCTTGTTTTAAATGTTCCACCACCAGGGTCAGCTACCGAAGGGCGCGAAGAAGCTCAAAGTATGCGGGGGAACTTGTCGTGCGGAAAGGGGAACCCACCTCCGTATATGCTGGCAGGATTGACGTCTCTGTGTATGTCCCTCGGACTTCAAGGGCGCCACTCGCGACATGCTTGTCAGTCAGCGAAGCATGATCACCGTTGATTATGGCTTAACAATATCACAGATCAACTGTAACGCAAAAGTCAAACTCACCTCCCGTTGATATCAAGCACCCCAAGCATCATTACTGAGCACAAGTACCCTTATCGCACTGGATCTGGCGACAAATCAAGCTATTGTTTGACAACATTGGTCGACCAGCAACTGGACTCCGTATAACAAAGATTAACATACCAGTGTCCTTTATCTGGGCGTCATGGCTCCCAAGCGCGACTCGCTCTTCATCACTTCGCGACCTAAGCCAGTCCGCCAAGCTCTTGCATATTGCCTACCCAGAGTGCATTATCGCGTTATTTGACGACCCATTGAGTCATCTTCGCAGGAAGAATGAGCTTCCCAACAGGCATGGCCGATGGACGTTCCACGGCGTCCGACTCTCATACTCTGGGCGCATGCTCCAAGTGCATGCTGCCATTGGCTACGGATCTTGGAGTAGGCATCCAATGGTCCAATGATATTCTGTCGCTGTGCTTGTGGCCAAATACTGCTCTTATGATTGGTGGAGCCAGCTTGGCAACCGAAGCTTTGGCAAAGCTTCACGGCTCCACTTCCATGCTTTGCGTTGCTTGTTCCTGTTCGGCTGTCGGCGGACTGAGATAGCCTGATAGGTACCTACGATCAGTAGTTGCACACGTGGGCTGGGGGGTCTCCACGCAGCATGGACTGGCAGCCGTCCCGGTAGAGCAGGATGCCTGTCAGATTCGACAATCGGTGCATGTGCGCGCAGGCATGGCTCTCCATTTGTCTGCGAGAGTTGGGGTCAGTATCTGCCATGGCGCCATTTCGCGCTTTACACGATCTATAAAAGCACCCAGGACGACCGGGCAACAAACAGTTGATTAGCACATCCTTATCACAGAAGCCAATAATGAAGGCCAACACTCTGGTGCCCCTACTGGGCCTCTCCACCGCCGCTGCCGCTGCCGCCGTCCCTTCCAGCAGCAAAACACCCTTCGGCTACGCGTCTGGATCTAAGGAGTCCATTGCGAACCTCAAGGACAAGATTGACAACGTTGTCTGGATTCTGCTCGAGAACCGCAGTTTCGACAACATCCTCGGTGGGGTGAAGCGCAAGGGCCTCGACAATGTTGTCAACAATGGTCCCTTCTGCTATCCCCAGAATGTGAGCGATCCAAGCAGCACGCAGCGGTGTAGCGTATACAAGGACTTTGACTCGGTCAAGCACGATCCTGACCACTCGATCACGGGCTACAACATGGAGCTCTACGGTACCTATCAGCCCAGCGATGCCGCTATCCGCAACGGCACCCTCAAGCCGAGCATGAATGGCTTCGTTCAGCAGCAGCTGGTGCACCATGAGGGAATGGACCCCAAGGTGGCTACCGAGGAGGTCATGGGATACTACTCTGAGGACGAAATTCCAACTCTTGTCAACCTCGTTGACGACTTCACCACCTTCAACTACTGGCACTCGTGCATTCCTGGTGTAAGCTTCCGCATTCCCCATACACGTTTCCAATACTGACTGAACAGCCCACAAATCCCAACCGCCTCTGTGCCATCTCCGGCACATCAGATGGCCACGGCGAAAACGACAACAGCTTCGACGTCTCTGGCGTCGACATCTCCAGCATCTTCCAAGTCGCCAGCGAACAGGGCATCAGCTGGAAGAACTACGACGGCACCAACGGCGACTTCCTCCCAGACTCCCTGTTCTTCAACTGGACGGCCGAAAACGCCCAGAGCAGCGTCGTCCCCCTGGAGAACTTCTACCAGGACGCCTATCTCGGTCTTCTCCCCCAACTCTCCTACATCAACCCTTCATGCTGCGACCTCGACACAAACTCCATGCACCCCTCTGGAAACGTCTCCTTTGGCCAGGTCCTGATCAAACAGGTCTACGATGCCGTCCGAACCGGCCCACAATGGAACAAGACCCTTGTCCTCTTGACTTTCGACGAAACGGGCGGCTTCTACGACCACGTCGAACCCCCTCTTGCCGTCCGCCCGGACAACAAGACCTACGTCGAGACTGCGGCCGATGGCAGCGAGTACACCTTCACCTTTGACCGTCTTGGCGGTCGCATGCCCACGTGGCTTATCTCGCCTTACACCCCCAAGGGCCACATTGAGAACTTTGGTGTCGACCCTGTTACAGGCAAGAGCACCTCGTATAGCGCGACATCGGTTCTCAAGACCCTGGGATATCTCTGGGATCTTGAGGACTTTACGCCCCGTGTCGAGCACTCGCCTGCTTTCGACCACTTGATTGGGCCTAAGATCAGGAGTAGCCCGAAGACTCTGGCCAACCCCCATACCTTTCCTGACGCCGTTTAACGCGCTTGAGTGGAGCTAAGAAGATGCGTTTACGAGCCATGCCTCATCTTTTACGATACATGTTTGGATATGGGCAATTACTTTGCCCTTTTGGTTTTCGGCTTTTTTAGACGGCTCTCTCAATCTTCTTCGCAAATTGGGTACAACAATGTTATACTTAAGAGACAAAAGCATATGGAGAGATAGAAACATTAGTGGTGTAAATAATTGCCGAGAGTTGGATTCTGGATGTTTATTGCAAAAGTACTCAAGGTATATGTTGTTTGCTTCCCAATCAATACTCCGAAGTGTTTACTGACTCCCAGCATGCAATCTGATTCTCGCATTTGCATGAAAACACAAAACTCCTTCATTTGTTGAACCCATGCCGCCGAAACCTTTTGCGCTGACAGTTCTACTCTCCTGGACGCGCGTGCACGTGACCTGTGCTCGGCTAGGCAGCGGAGTTGATCTCTCCATCTCCATCTCCTTTCTCCCTGCAGCTCAGCGAACTTGTGGGCATTGCGGCTTCCGACCAAATGTCACAATGACAAAACCATCTGTACGTATAAGACTCCCCCGCGAAAACACCGGGATCAGGTCTTCGTCTAGCTAACTGCCACCTGGTCACCAGAGACTATCCGAGGATCGGTCAACGCTCCGAACAGCAGGCAATCGGATCCTCTCCGAGACTCCGACTGTCCACCGCGCCCCCCGCTGCCCCGCCTCCACATTGCCTTGTGCTCTTAAAGACTCGATCCAGCGACTCTGTAATTGAGTCAAACACAATTACATCTGCATCAAACAATGTCCAAACCATCGATCGGATTCGTCGGCCTCGGAGCCATGGGCTTCGGCATGGCCACCCACCTCGTCAAGCAGGGCTACCCAGTCCATGGCTTCGACGTCTTTCCAGCCTCTATCGAGCGCTTCAAGGCCGCTGGCGGCATTCCTGCTTACTCTCTTCGTGAATCCGCTGAAGGCAAAAACTACTACATCGTTATGGTGGCGTCGTCGCCGCAGGCGCAGGCAGTCTTGTTCGCTGAAGACGGCATCGTGCAGCGTGGGTATCTCAGATCTATAGCAGTCTACAAACTAACAACGTACAGACCTCCCACAAAACGCAGTCCTCATGCTCTGCTCCACGGTCTCCTCCATGTACGCGCAATCCGTCGTCGCCGAACTGCAGAATCGCGGCCGCGGCGACATCCTCTTCGTCGACAGCCCTGTCTCCGGTGGCGCCCTGCGCGCCGCGAACGGAACTCTCTCCATCATGGCCGGCGCGTCCGACGAAGCCCTCAACGCCGCGCGCGACATCCTACAGGAGATGTCGGACGAAAGCAAGCTATACCTGGTCCCCGGTGGAGTCGGCGCAGGGAGCAACATGAAGATGGTGCACCAGGTCCTGGCGGCCATTCACATTCTCGGGGCGAGCGAGGCCATGGGCTTTGCGGCGCAGCTGGGGCTCGATGCGCCGGTGATGGCGCAGAAGATCCAGGCCTCGGATGCGTGGACGTGGATGCATGAGAATCGCTTTCCCCGGATGGTGGAGGAGGATTGGAATTCTGGCGCCAGTGCAGTGACCATTATTCTCAAGGATGCGGTATGTTAAGTTTTCCCATGCTAGGGTCCGTTCGGCCACTAATCATGCATCATTCTGCAGGGCATCATCACCACCACCGCGCGCCAGCAGCGCTTCCCCACCCCGCTGTGCTCGACGGCCGAACAGATCTACCTCTCCGCGTTGCTGCATGGCTGGGGTCCGAAGGACGACTCGGCGATGGTCCGACAGTACTACGCTCGGCCCCTCTCGGAGGCCTCCGTGTCCCCCGCCGCCGACGCCGAGGCGGCCACCGAGCTGGTCTTGGACTTGATGCGGGGTGTTAACCTTGTTGCTGCTGCGGAAGCTGTGGCATTTGCACGGCACCTGAAAGTTGATCTTTCCATGTTCCACACTCTTGTCAGCCAGGCTGCTGGTGGGAGCAAAATCTTTATCGAGCAGGGACTGGAGATGATCGAGGGACGGATCGGTGATAAGGCTCCGGCGGGGTCGGAGAGTGTAGACCAAGTCGCTGCGAAGCTTGAGACGGTTGTACAGAAGGCGCGAGATCTCCACTGTCCGTTGCATCTGGGTAATGCGGCGCTGAACGTGCTGTTTATGACGCAGAGACATGGGTCTGGAGCGCAGAGTAGCACGAGCGTTATTCGGGTTTATGGGCAGTGAGATGATGTAATGAACTGAGCTTATGGTACTTTACTTCCCTGACGTCTAAGCGAAATCTCGCAAGGAACAGCGAAATGTGTAGATAGCAGCGGAGCTCCACATGAGTCGCACTCGGTGGAATCGCCGGCGAGTCCGTCCACCGCACGGTCGGAGCAAGTCCGGTGGGGGGACAACGCGGGGTTATAAGCCTCTTTCTTCTACATAACACCATCTATTCCTTCAAGCTTGATCTCTGATCATCTCATCCATCACCTCTCCTATCCAACCCACCGCTTAATCCAAGAAACCAAAAAGACCGCCAGCATGCCCCTCACCAAACCCAACCCGGCCCTCTCAATCCTCACCCACGCCTCGGCCAACAACTACGCCATCCCCGCAATGTGCGTCTACAACCTCGAAGGCATCCTCGCCACCGTCCGCGCCGCCTCCGCAAAGCGCTCCGCCGCAATGATCCAGCTCTTCCCCTGGGCCCTGCACTACGCCGACGGCCTGCTCGTGCACGCCGCCGCCGAAGCCGCCCGCGCCGCCGACGTCCCCGTAACGGTATCCATGGACCACGCGCAAAGCCCCGAGATCATCCGACGCGCCGCGGACATCGGCGGGTTCGACAGCATCATGGTCGACATGAGCCATTACGAGAAGAGCGAGAATCTCCGCCTTACGCGGGAGCTGGTTGCGTATTGCCACGAGCGCGGGATCGCGACGGAGGCGGAGCCCGGACGGATTGAGGGTGGTGAAGACGGGGTTGCGGATACAGCTGATCTGGAGGGGATGCTGACGACGCCTGAGGAGAGCGAGGAGTTTGTGGACACGGGGATTGATTGGCTTGCGCCGGCGTTTGGGAATGTGCATGGGGAGTATGGGCCCCGGGGCATCCAGCTTGAGTATGACCGGCTCAAGAGCATCCATGACAAGGTTGGGGATCGGGTGCAGCTTGTGCTACATGGGGCGGATCCGTTCACGGAGGAGATCTTCCGCAAGTGCATTGAGTGTGGGGTTAGCAAGGTGAATATCAACAAGGTGCTGAATAATGAGTATGTGAGGGTTCAGCGGGAGAAGGCGGGAAAAGTGCCGCTGACGCAGTTGCTGGAGGAGGCGACGGATGAGATGCAGAAGGCTGTGGAGAGATGTATGGATATGCTGGGTAGTTCGGGGAGGTATTGATTTCTGGGTAAAGGTTTTTAAGAATGCCATTGTCTACCACATACTCCTGTTTACAGGTCCAAGAGGCCCCAGAGGGATGAGGCGACCCAGCTATTGCTGTCGGCGCGATGAATGCAATTGTTGTCGATGGCAAACCCTCCACGAGACTTCACAACCTCTTCCACATCTTAGACAGGTTATCAAAACCAAGAGTTCCTCTTCCTCCTGCAAACCAGGACCTTCATCCCCGTCTTGCGTTGCGCATAGCCATACCACCACTCCGTAACCGGATCAACGCGAAACGGATGCCTGCGCAGCCACCATCTGGACAATAAGACAGAAATGGTTAGCAGCACTACTCACCGTGTCCGGCTCATCTAGCATTCAAGACACGATGGGGGTATTTACCTGCAAGCCCAATAATCAGCCATACCCAGCATCCCCAGACCCAACCCCCCAGCAAGCAAGCGCATTTTAGACATCGCAGCCCAGCCCCATCGTACAAGCACAACCAACGCCATCAGAACGAGCAGGGCGTTGCCCCAGATCGCCGGATTCAAAGGATTCCACCGCAGAATCTCGACCATTCCCCGTGGTCGGTAGATATAGCGTATATAGCGCCCGTGGCAGTTGGCCCAGTCCCTGCGCACGACTTCGGGCGCGTCCTCTGGTACAGGTGGGGAATCGGGCATGGCTAGCATACCGAGGCAGCTGCCGGGCTGAAGGGCAAATGTATTGGAGCGGAATGCATTGCTGTCGGAAGCGCTTGTGAGGCCTTGGGTGAGCTTGGGTGCTGTCGACATTTCTGTCTTTGGTACCGTGTCTAGGTAAATGGATGATTGGAAAGCACCTGCGGCATGAACTCAAAATCGTGGCTCTTCTGCGTTCTTGGTGTGGAATGCTAGGACGCTGGTATTGTGGATGCCTGGACAGCACTGCCACGATCCCTAGGCCCACGCGGCGCAGTCTGTGCATGGAATACGTAGGATAGGTGGACTCATACAACAGCGCTGAGCGATCTGGACCGGTAGGCCCGGCGGCTTTCCAATTGATCTGGATACTGTCCATGTTTGCGACATGTGGGCTCCTTGATTGAAAGGGGAGAGTTGCAATCGCCCTAGGTAAAAGGCTCAACCCCTAGCTTGCTTGATGGACTAGTCATATAGTGGTCTTTATCACGCACCAACAACGGGATTTCTTAGGAAACATTGGTGGAGTAGTGGGTGTAGGGTATCGCGGAGTCCGCACTTAGGGCTTGAGACCCTTAGGTACCCTAGTGTCCGTGTTGAGCTACCGTATGTTAACTAACAGCATATCCAAAGCTATCCACAACCAAAGCATGGGAACATCCTTCATAGACAGACAAATCAACGCAACAACCCCTCCGGCGAAATCAAATCCACCCACCCCAGATTCGGCTCCGACTGCACCCACCCCAGCCTCTGCTGCACCAGCTTCGAATACCCCCTAACCTCCTCAGCCGGGTACACCAGGAACGACACCTCCTCCTGCCGATAAACCCCGCCACACATAAACATGATATGCACCATGCGACTGCCCTTCGATGCTGAGAACTCCCCGCCGCCGTGGTACGTGCTCCCCAGCATGATAAACGCCTCGGTGGCATGTAGCTCGACATCAAGAACGCCTTTATTCCCGTCCGGTCCAAAATCAGGCTTTTCATCACCCCACAGATGCGAACCGGGGACTACACGGGTCGCACCGATTTCCTTTGTTGTGCTGCACCCCGGCACGAAGAGGCCGAGCAGCATGTCGCGTTTTCCTTCGTTCTGACTCTTGAGGTCCGGATAGGTTGTTACAGGCGCATGCCGCGCGTGGTGGTTCTTGTCGTCGCGGTGGAGTTTCTGGGCTTTTGCGCCGGGTTGGATGGCCATGGTTATGGCGATTGAGAGGAGCGGGTGGCTGGTATTTGTGGACGGCTCGTCGTTGTACCAGGCTGTTGTTGTTATGGCGAGGAAGGACTCGGCGAGGGACTGGTATAGAGGGTCTGAGAAGAACTGCTCGCGGACCGTCTTGCTGCGGCTGATGAGGCGCGTGCAGGTTCTTGTGCCGCCGTTTAGGGCTGCAGGGTTAGTATTTTATCAGTATGTGCCAGTCTTGGGCTGGGACGGGAAGGGTGGAAGATAGACGAACCACCCACTTGGCTGTTGCTGTCTTTGTTTAGGTATGGCTCGACCTCGCGCCGGGCTTGTTCGAGGGTCTCGAGGGTTGTGAAGTCCTGGACGATCACGCAGCCGTCGCGTTTGAGGGCGTTTATGAACGCCTCCTGGGGAGCGGAATATGGGATTCGTTGGATGGACATGGTGAAGTCTGGTATCATAGTGTTTATGGGCAGTGCTGGTGGCGGTCTGACTGGGGAGTTTGCGGGCTTTATTGTCTACTACAAGGACATTATCTGCGGGGTTTTTCTTATCATCGGATGTCAGATCGGTAACAATAGTGATTGGCAGAGTCAACCTGGGGTTGCATGTCTCCAAATTTCTCCAACGGCCTTTCAGGCAATGGTACATAGAATTGAGTGAATGCCAATGCACAGGCTAGACTACACATATACACACACGCTTCAGCGGTGATTGGAAGGAGGCTAGGAGGACACCAGAGATGGCGATCTATCAGAATACTTCAGAGGATATCTTCTGCTGTTGGATATGCGGATATCTACCATATGATTCAAGTGATCTTCTTCGGCTCCAATGATCTGCCAGGTAGTTTCCCAGTTCCGACAATACCAGTGTGCCCAGGAAGCCATACTACCCTAGATAAAGCCCTGGACGAGTATGGATAGCTGGATATCCCGTAGCATACCGGGGACCGCGAGAAATAACAACCAACCAGCCCTTGAGTTTCCGCATCAAGAACAGGACCACCAGCATCGCCAGAACAAACGCCTTGTGCATACCCATTGATGGTGCAGAACTGCGACTCGAATACTGGGATTGTCTCCGGCAAGTGGCTTGCGCATCGCTCTCGGGTTAAGATGTTGGATGGGAGATGTTGCAGATACCTTGAAATGGATCCTTGGAAGGGAGAGGTCCATCCCCACCCGACGAGGGTGACTCTCTGCCCTTCGTATGGGTCATTCTGCTGGATACGATCTGGCTGAACCTGGTCGCTGAATTGAAGAGGCTGGGCCAAGTCGATAAACCCAATGTCACTCTGAAGGGTGACCGGATCGTATCGGTCGTACCTAGGTAGGGACGGAGTTCACGAGGCATACGGTACATCCGCCCCTAGTCACGGAGATCATTTGTGCCAACGAGGACTTGCAATTCATTTGGATTGCCCTTGAAATCGAGGATCACGGCTCTTGCTATGGGCTGATCTGCTGATTCGGATCCTGGGCATTCTTGACCGTCTCATTGAACCGCATTAGCGCATTCTTGTTCTAATTGTAGGTAGGTACGTCTCGGCTATCTGGCCCATCATCGCTGTGCCTTTTTCTTCTGTTCGGCGTGTTTACGATCGAACACAATGCAGACGATGCGGTTTGTCATTGATGGTTCGTTAATTTCCTGGGGCTTCGGTGGGAAGGGTTAGGGGAAGCGTACGCATTTGTCTCATTCCGAGGGAATGTCCCAAAGCAATCAAGACCAGGTTCACGAGTGCGTCTTTTCGTGACTTCATACTGGAGCATACCTGCTGTGCCTCTTGCGGAACTCAACAGGGACCAGACGTTTGAGTAAACTGTGCGCTAGAGACTCATCCAACTCAGGACACCCTGTATCTTTCATCTCAACACCGCATTCGTGATTTTTAACAACAGTCCCCCAAATGCCACCACATAAGAACTAAGCTTTCCTCCTGTTTATCCCGCGTCCTGCTCCCAGGCCGAAACCAAAGCAGAGTGCACGCAACACACTTGCACTGGAGGCAGCCATCACTCCGATCAAACGAGGCCTCGCAAACTGGAAGGTGGTCTGGCACCAACACGAAGTCCTCGACAAGATTTAAACCCTCAGACGGTCTTTCTCGATGCAAACCTGCTGGAAACAAACGGAGTGCTGCACACTAGCTCATGCATTCATTGTCAGCATTCAGCAGCAGACCAAAGCACCCCCCTCAGGTAGAACGGTCTGCTAACGCATATTGCAAGCATGGGGCGCTTCTTGATTGCTTGGACGAGAACAATATAAAGCCGTTAAATTGCTTAACCCAACCTGTTTCCCACTCTGGGCTGTTGAGGGTTAGAAATTCCTAGGGGGATGTAGATTCCTCCCGCCCGTGTCCGAGCCCTAAACCCTTGAACGCTGGAGGCTTCGTCCGCCAGCCAAATACATTTCATCCCACTGACCTCGGTTTATTGCATAGTATTGTTGGACTCGATTGGCCTGCTGGTATGCTTCCCCGCGTTCCAAGCCACCAGTCAGGTGCAGCCGACACCCCGCACGCCTCGTCATACAAACCTGGGGAAAGAACTGCTTGTCCATCCACCATCACTCCTTCCTCTTGCTCTCCAGGTCATCGCCGACTTCCACCGCCGTCATGCTGTTCCTCGAATTCCCCACCGAGATCGTCCTCCTCGTCGCCGAAAGCATCCCCCTAGAACGCGACCTAAGCTCTTTGACACGAACAAACCGTCGCCTCCACTCGCTCCTATCCACTATTCTTTTGAAAAACAATATGCAGAACTCCGACAGCTCCTCCCTCTACTGGGCTGCCCGGAACGGCAAGCTCGTCCACGTCCAGCGGATGGTCGAGCTCGGCGCCGATGTCTCAGCCACCGCCGACGGACTCTCTCCTTTAGATCACGCTGTATGCGAAGGCCATGCGGATGTTGTCAAGTACCTCCTCGAGAAGGGCGCGCCGTACCGATGGAGCGAAACTCGACCTTGGACGCCGCTTTGTGCTGCTGCGGCAGCCGGATTCACCGAGATTGTCCAAATCCTACTCGATCATCACGGGCCTGAGCGCGGGACTCAGAAAGAGGACGACCTGAAGGCACTCAAGGACTCCCCATCATGGGCCAATTGGCGTGTGGTCAAGTCGCTCTTTCACACCAACCTGGCAGGGATCGAACGAGAAAGATTCGAATACACCGTCCCGCTGTTCATGGCAATTGCAGGCGGACATTGCGAGACAGCTGAAGTACTGATGAAGGACAAGAGAGTGGACGTCAACTATCGCGACCGGGTGGACCGCTCGCCGCTGATATGGGCTTTGTCGCACGGCCATGAGAATCTGGTCACCCCTCTCCTGCAAAACGGCGCCGACGCGAATGTCCAGAACCGAGATACCGGCGAGACGCTGCTCGTCACGGCCATCCGCGAACACAAGCTGTCTCTGCTGCGAAGCTATCTCGCTCAAGGCGTTGTCGACCCCAACCTCACCGATCGGAACTTTCGCACCCCGCTGTGGGCGGCGCTGGACTCGTGGCATCGTACGGACATCCTCCAGGAACTGCTGGCAAGGCCGGACTTGGACGTGAACAAGAAAGCCAGTGTCGCCGATAGGACCCGCGGTGGCCTCACGCCTCTACTCCACGCCATTCGGGAACGTCAAGAAAAGGTTGCGAGAATGCTCCTCGAGCACCCTACGCTCGACAGTACCTCGATCAACAGCACAGATGACCAGAAGCGAACGCCGCTTTCCTATGCAGCCCAATACGGTCTTGTCGAACTCATCAATATCTTGCTGTCAAAGGGCGCAGACCCTCAACTAGCCGACCAAGACGGAAGGGTACCTCACTCGTACGCTGCCGAGAGGGGGCACGCGCAAGCTATCAGGAACCTGGTACAAACAGGGCGAGTCCCAATCGACGCAGCCGACAGCCAAGGCCAGGCGCCCATCTTCTGGGCCATCCGGGGCGGCAATGTGGATATGGTTGAGACGCTCGTCGAGATTGGCGCTGACCCAAATCAACAAGACAAGGCCGGCAGCACGCCTTTAATATGCCTCGTCAAGCGATCAGCAAGAAAGCCCACTCTCGCGCCGGACGACGAGCAAGCGATTACCTTTCTGTTGAACCAGAAGGCGAACCCGAGTATACGGGACGCAGAAGGCATGACGGCGTTGGATTGGGCTTGCAAGTACAAATGGGGCGAGCTCATGGCCGGTCTGGTGAAGTCGTCTCCATCTGGTATGAGAATAGACGAGGTAGACAGCACCGTGGAGAGTATTATCGCAGCCTCAAGGTCCAATTCTTGCGCAGCGTACGTACAACGGCGCGTTTGGAAGATGGGAGTCGGTGCTGGGGGTGACTGGGAGGACATGCGGCAATGAGCGAGGTGCAGTACGGGGTTGGTGCTGGAGGAGTCTCTGGTCTTAATACTATCGTTACTTAGGTATCATTGCTGATATTCCTAATTCATCTATATGACACCAAACAGAGCTCCCTCCAAGGCGTAGGTATCTAGGTAACATCTAGACCAGTGGTGCACATACATACAGGACCCGGGTCTTGGGCACTTACCCTAGGGAAGCATCAGCGTACACCAGCCAACCTCTTAACGATGCCCTTTCTAAGGACATGCTCCATGTATAAACACCATACGGGGGCCCTTCTGTCGGGCGTCTGGATGGGTACCGATGGATAGCAATATGAATTTATAGCTACATATTTTTGAGGACTACTACACTGGCTAGTGCCAGTAACACCAGTCCTCGATTATAATTCTGCATCATCGCGACGGGAACTCTCTTGTCTCCGTCTGCAGAGTGAACTAGGTAGAAGTGTAGAACATACGCGGGGGAGGACCAGCCGACGGGGCAGGTTATAAAGAGGTATCCTAGTCCTTCATCGCAGGAGGATAGATGAGAAGGCTACATCCAGGAAAGAGAAGGAGAACTGAATAGCGCAGCCTCGGTAGTCTTGCCCACGGTAACCGGGGCATGGACAAGAATTACGGGAATCTGAAAAACAGGCACGCGACATTCATTAGGTATTATGTGACAGTAGTAGTACTATTAGTATGCCCTGCCGAGTGCTGAGCAGCGACGAATGCGTCCACGGCTGCTTGCACATCGCGCCGTCGGAAGCCCGGCGAGCGCCCGAGACAGATTGCGCAGCGCACGAGCGCTATCCTTATCATTAGCAACATTGTAAAAAGGGCCTGGATGAGAGCGCGAGCACATACCCTGCATCAGCCGCGCCACACTCGTCGCACCAGGATCCTTGTTCTTCTCCCTCACGTCCAGGCCAACCATACTCACCTCCATGCTGTACTCCGGAAACAGAACGCCCCGCTCAGCGAGATACCCCTGCAAATCACCCAGGTCAAACCACACATCCTCGATCTCGTCGTCGCTCAGATCGCCCGTGAACGCCGCGACGTCCTCTTGGATATTTACAGTTTCATCGGCAGCGCCGCCACCCCGCTGCGCTGGAAACGGATGGTGCACGTTCGCCGGCGACGGATAATGCGTCCCTGCGCCCCCGACTCGGAAGAACGGGATGTGCGCCCAGTGCGCCATGTCCTTGTGCCCCGCGCGCGCGAGAAGCCAGTCCTTGAAGAACTCGGCCACGAAGGCGCGCGGCATAAGACCCAGTAGGATGCGGAAGGGGCGCTCGATGCGCCGCTGCGGGATGGACGGGTTCGCGGTGACGAGGTACGCCTGGTAGCAGCAGGTTACGTGCAGGCGGTCGATGAATTCGGGGATGGACATTTCGGCTGTGTGAGGGGGGTGTGGCGACGGAGGCATGTCTTTGTTCTGCGCAGGCATGTCGAGCTGGTGAGTTGTGCTGGTGCTTGGCAGGACTGGGAGGGCGAGGCACGCCTGCACTGTGTTTCCTAGTGGTTTGAGCAGGTCGGGATGTGTGTCTAGGGCGCCGGACCGGACGAGGTCGTCGCCGAAGGAGATTACCGCTGTGCTGATTTGTTTCATTGCGGTTTCGAGCTGGTTGATGCGGTTCTTTAACGAGGAGACGCTGGCTTCTTTGCGGGAGCGGTATGCCCGCTGCGCCATGCGGACTTGGGTGCGGCGGCGCTTGGGGGTTAGCTATGCTGTCAGATAGGCAAAATAAACGCGCAAGGTACCTCTTCTGGGTTCACGCCTGCATCATCAATGAGTTTCCTTGGACGGCCTCGTTTTCTCGTCGGTTCGGCCGCCGACGTTCGGGATGAGCGCTGAGCAGGCATTTGCGCCGTCGCAGATAGCTCTGTGCCTGTGCTTTGGACGCTGGAGTCCGTGCTTGAGAGGTTATCATTGTCGAGGACAAGACCGCCGAGTAGTGGGACCTGGTTGTTGTATTCTGTGTTTGTGTCTGCCTGGGTCTGCAGTGGAGGCTCGGGGAGCGGATAGGAGGATGCGGAGAGCAGCTGGTCCAGCTGGGGGTCCAGATCGCCCCATCGCGAGCCTTCTGCGTCTGCCGACCGGGGCGAAACGTCCCAGGGGAAGAGGGCGTCGGTTGAGTCGGTGGTTAGAGCCCAGTTGATGCTGTTGTAGAACTCGGTCTCCATCTTGCGATATATGTCGTGAGTCGAGCAAGTGTCGAGGACCAAAGGTGGGGAAGTCAGCAGCGCACCTGGAAGTCGATTTGTCAGCGACTGGAAGGTTCGGCATGTGACTGCACAATTACTCAGCAGGATTTGTGTAGCAGCAGACTCAACCCTCACTCCCAACACACTGTTTTACGTTTATTTGGACCTCTGAAACAAGGTAGTTAGAGTTAGAATAAGCTTTGACTGCCTAAACACTGTCTCATGTTTATTCCAACCTATGAGACACAGCTTGCCAAGTTACACAATGTCGTCTGTTTAAGCTCATACTGTCTTAGACAATGTTCCACGCCAATTTTGACTTGCTTAAGACAGGTCTCGGCTCTGAGAATGCTTGTACAGGCGTAAATATTCAAAATTCTGCTGTCTTACCTACGTAACCTTGTTTTGACGCCTTGTTGGTTTACCCTCAAAGGCATATATATACAAGAACTTGCCTCCGCTGCCCATTGCGCCAAAGGCTACAGTTATTCTACCCAAGGAATGCAGCCTTAACGGGACAAAGGAAAGTGTGATGTTTGTTCGCCACTTCGACGCGCTCCATCTTAGAAGAAAGGCGTTCTAGATGTGGTACCTACGCACTTCGCGCAGAACCTGGCGTTATATTAGTCCCTATAGCCGCGTTACCGTTGCATGTCGGGGCCTGAAGCAGTCTTCGCGTGCTACTCGTCAACCTACCGGAACTGATATCCATGCCGGTTCCGGGGGGTCCCGGCCAACGGCAATTTAACAGGGATTAAACAGGTTATTATTGGCCTAATATTAGTAAAAAATTAAATATATTTTATAGTTAAATTAAAGTAATATTAAAATAGGTATATAATATTTAATATTAACTAATATTAAAATATAAAATAATATTAATTAGTTATAATATTTAGTATAGCTAAATAGTATTAGTAAAAAATAATATTAAGCTAGTAGGTAATATTAGCTAGGTATAATATTAACTTAACTAAGTAATATTACTTAAATAAATTATTAAATTATATAATTAATATTATTTAAATAAAATGCTAAATAAAAATAGTTAATATTAGCTAAGTAAAATATTATAAGTAATATATAATATTAACTAAAGTAAATATTAAAAGTACTAGGTAGTATTACCTATAATTAATATTAAAATAATTAGGTAATATTAGCTTAATAAAATATTAAATTTTTACTTAATTATTAAAAGTGGCCTTTAAGTATTAGCCAGCTATTAAATTTTAACTTATTTATTAAATTTTTATTTAATTATTAAAAATAGCCTTTAAATATTAGCTAGTTATTAGATTTTAACTTACCTATTAAATTTTTACTTAGCTATTAAAAGTGGCCTTTAAGTATTAGCCGGCTATTAAATTTTAGCTTACTTATTAAATTTTTACTTAGTTATTAAAAGTAGCCTTTAAGCATTAGCCGGTTATTAAATTTTAGCTTACTTATTAGATTTTAGCTTACCTATTAAATTTTTACTTAACTATTAGTAATAGCCTTTAAGTATTAACTAGCTATTAAATTTTAACTTACCTATTAGATTTTAATTTAGCTATTAAAAGTAGCCTTTAAGTATTAACTAGCTATTAAAGCCTATGGCACTATTACCTTATATATTAATAGTTATTACTTATTTAAATATATTAATAATAGCGCAGGCTTTATAAAGCTACTAATACTATAATTATAATATTTATATATTATATTTATTTAATTAATTACAGGCCTTTTATATAAAAGTAGCGCCTAATTTTTATTTATATTAAAAATAGTAATATAAAATATAGTAAACTTATTTAAATTAATTTATAAAAACTTATAAGCAGCAGTGGCTTTGCTAGTTAATTAATATAAAAGCTTTATTTTAAGTTATTCCTTATTTTACTAAAGTAGGTGGCAGGGATTTATATCCAAGTATATTTACTATAAGGTTTATTATAAAAAAAAATATAACTTTTAATAGCAGATAATACTTTAATTTAATTTATAATTAATTTATTAGCTAAAAGCTCTTATATTTATAAATATTATATAAGTTATAATAATATTAAGGTAATAAGGCGCCCGTGAGCGGGCGCCTGTAAATATAAACTTATTTATTTAGCTAATATATTATAAATAGCTCTAGAGGTTATATAAGTTACATGCATATTTATAGCCTATTAGTATTAATAGCTTAGGTTATAAAAATTACTAAAGTTAACTATTTAACCTTTAGGTGCCCAGCGGGTGGTATTCCTAAATATTTAATATAAATAACTAGTATAAACACAGGCGGGGAACTTAAGTTATACTTTAGGATTTTTATTAAAAAACTAATAATATTACTTATTTTAAAAAATTATTAGCTTTAATCCTAGTATTTTTTATATATTTATATTATTAGCCCTAGTATATTATTAGTCCCTGGAATATTGCCAGGGTTATTAGCTATTAAATTAAAGTTTTAAATAATGCTGGGATTCAAGCCTAGTTATAATAAATTAGTAAGTATTTTATATAGCCTAGGTATTTAGTATATAATTAGTAATAATTTTAGCTATAGTATATATAAATCTAGTAGCTTGTTAAATAATATTAGCATTAATCTTAATTATAAAAAAAAGTAGTATTCCTTGGTAGCTAAGGTGCTAATCCAAGGCTAATATTATTTTTAATTATTAAGGCTTTTATTAACCACTTTTACATGCAGCTTATATATTAGCTAAACATTAGCTAAATATTAGTTAAACACGTAATAATAATTTATTATAAATATATAATAATTATATCCTAAAATTATATTAATAAAAAACTATTAACAGGAAACTAGTATAACTTTATAATTTTTAATTAAAGTTTATAATTTTTAGTTAAATACTAATTCCTGTGGCAAAAGTTTAATTATTTAAAGTAAATTAAAGGGGTGTAAACATACCTAAGTAATAAAAAAAATATAATTTAACATTTATTAAAGTTAAGCCTGTAAAAGTTAAAAATTAAACTATAAAAGTATACTTTTTAGCTGGATATTCCCTAAAATTAGGTATTTATAAATAACGCGTGTTATAAATAAGCTACTATATTAAAAAGCTAAAAAATAGTAAATATATTAATTAGCTTAATATTTTTTAAAAAAATTTTATATTTATAAAAAATTAAGTAAATGCAACCATAGCAAAATTTTAAACTTAATAATAAATAAAGTTTAAAGTAGTGGATTATTTTATAAATTTATATTTAGTTAGTAAATGTCCCTAATTTTAATTTATAAAAAATAAATAAACTATTTTAATAGCATTTTATAACTATAAAATATAGCAGTAATATTTATATAGTATAAAATTATATAATCTAGTCTTATTAATATATAGCTATTATTTAGTAATATAGGAAAGTATAAATAACTTAGTAAAGGGGCTGGTTATAATAGGGTAAGATAGTATTATAAAATAATTAGTTAAAAAGCTAGCAAGTTAATTACTATTAAAATATATAGGTAGTAAGTACTATTAATAGTTACTAGTAAATAAAAAAAAGGTTAAGCTTACCATGCTTTTATATACTATTATTTTTATTATAGCTTTTTATAAGCCTGGTATTTAAGAAGCAAGCTTGTTAAGGCTTTTTAAACTTTACTAATTTTATTTTTTTTATTATTATAGTTATATTACTTATTACTAGGAATAGGTACCTAAATATAGTTTTATTATACTTTAATATATTTATAATTTTAATAAAAAGCCAGAAAGCTAGATAGGTATTTAGCTAGGTTATATTACTTTTAGCTTTAAAAAAAAGGTATATATACTAATTTACAGGGCTAGGATTAAATAGCAAAGTTTTTATATAAGGGTATATTAAAAAAAAACCTAGTAAGAAATACTTTTTAAATATTATAATAATTAATATAATTTATAAAAAAAAATATTAAAAAAATTAAAAAAAGTACTAAACCTTTTAACGCATAATATACCTATATAAGTTTTTAGCTTTTAATATAGTAGTTAAAAAGCGGAGGAAAAAAAAAAAGCTAGAGAAGAACTTTTTTTATATATTAAAAATTAAATATATTAAGTTATTAAAAAATATTAATATTATTATAATATTTAAAAAATAAAAAAAATAAGTTAGTATTGCGGGATAAAAAAAAAATAAATTATACTTACCTTAATAAGATTTTTAAAAAATAAACTAAAATATATAAAAATAATAAAAAGACTTGCCTAATATAGCTATTTAAAAAAACTATTTTTAAAAATACTATTATTTATATAATAGCTGCTATATAAACTATAATGCCTTTAAAAATATTTTAAAAGGTAAAAAGGGTACCCTTATAAACCTTAAAAAATAGTATTTTTTTAAAAAATTTTAAAAATTTAAAAATTATTAAGTTAAGCTAGGTTAAGTAATAATTATATATTTATAATTTAATTTATACCTTATTTTTTAAGAGCCCTAGACTAGCCTAAATAAAGGTTAAATAATTTATTAAAGTATAACTAAAGGTAACCTATTATAATTTATAGTAAGTTATTATTTTACCTTTTACTTAAGTTATTTATAAAAAAAAATTTATATTTAAAAAATAAAGACCCTGGAATAGTAATAGCTAATAACCTATTTAAAAAAAATTTATATTTTATATATAATAAAAGACCAGGTTAATAAGGCTGTTAATATTTAGTTTAAAACTTAAAAATATTTTTAATATTAATATTATAAAGTACCTTTTAGCCCTAATACCTAAAAGCCTAATAATTTATTTATTTATAATATTTTTTATAAAAACTAAAAGGTATAAAATAATATTATTATTTATTTTACTATTAATTATTAGGCTTATAAAAAAAAGACCTGTTATTAACTATTTATTAATTAATAAAAAAAATTCTTTTAATATATATAAAGCTATCGCGAGACTAAATAAAATTACTTTTATAAAGGGTAACATGTTTTTTTAACCCTTTTAAAGCTAGTTAGCCTATTAAATA